ACCTTTAGACTTTCAGGAATTTTCTTCCTCTAAACTAAAGGGTACTATTAAAAGGTATGTAGTAGGATGAGCGTATAAATACTAAATAGGAGTGTAGTAGCTAGCCGTAGAGCGTCTAAAGAGGTCGTAGAGATAGTACAAGAAGTGCTACAGTATAGAGGTCTAGTATATACTAGAAGGTAGGTAAAAAAGTAGAGAGTGGGTAGGTAGATTAAATATAGAAGGAGTTACTTATCTATCTTTCTTCTTAGGAGAGACAGAGGTCTCTATATAGCCTTTAGATATCTTTATAAACTCTGTTATACGCTTATAAGTTTAGATAGAGCTCGTTTATAATAATAAGTTCTATATATATTCTCGATACCTCTACCTCCGAACCGAATTATAGATTTTTAGCTACAAGTAGATAGTAGGTACTAGATAAATTGCCCTAAGTAGGTACTAGATACCTAATAAGTTATCTAGCGGTAGGGTCGCCTCTAAGTATTAATAAAGTAATTCTCCTAGCTTCTCTTAGGGCTTAAGTAGTTAATCTCTACTACTAGATAAGCGCGAGATACCCGATTAGGCTGTCTTATAGTAGGATTACCCCTTAATAGAAGTGAATCTAGTTATAGAGTCGAATCTACTAAGTTTACTATAGCCGTTTATTACTAAGTTAATAACCCTACTTCTATTAATATAGTATCTATCTCGATCTCTAGTATCTTTATAATTTAGCTCCCTATATCTTTCTTATAGTTCTATAGTACTCCGAGGTAAGTAGTCGTATTAATCTACTTCGCCTTTAGCGTCTCTATACTTTCTTACTCTAGAGATAAAAATACAAATATAAAGTCGTTAAGGTAATAGTCGAGATTAATACCTATATAGCTCTAGATAGCCGAGTATAGAGCTTCTATAGATATATTAAATATAAAAGGCGTAGTACGAAGGCTGAAGGGTAAGTAGCTCGCTACGTATAGTTAGTATCTCTATAAAACGCTAAGAAGATATCTCTAGTAATAGTATATCTATAATTCTAAAAACTACCTTACTATCTCGTTTAACAATTATAGAGCGTACGACTACCTACTACCTATCCCTTCTTCGTAATATAGTAGAATATAGTATACTCTAGATATCGAAACTCTAGTAGAATAGTACCGTTTATATAACGGCGATAGAGGTAAGAAAGGTTATATATCCTTCGAAACCTACTATTATATTTCTATATTAAGCCTAATAGAGAGCTTACGATAGTATTACTATATATAGCTATAACTACTCTACTAATATCGAGTCCTTCTTGTAGCTATTTTCTAGTAGGGTAAAGGATACTAGTAGGAGGGAAGTGCTAGTATTAGCCCTTATATTATATAGACTAACGAATTATTACATTCGTAGGAGTAATTATTTACTAAGGGATAATTACTAAAGATCCAAGAAGAGACGTGTTTTTTTTAACTTATATATTAGCGCTACATAATATTATGTAGAGAGTAATATAACTAGACTAGCGATCCGGACAATTAGTAAGTATAATACGCTATATAGGTACTTTAAAAGGAGAAGGTTGTAATAAGTCTATTATTAAGAGCAAGTGTGTTATCCGGAATGTTGCCTTTACTACTATCTTAATATCTATTACTATATAATCGTTTCCTTTCCTACTATAAGCGGCCTATAGCCTCTTTATCTACAAATCTTTATAGAAGATTATAAGCTTTACCTTCGTAGGTAGAGCTTTAGCTATTTCCCTTCTACGTTTTACTTTTTCTAGAGTAATCTTATCAATTATACGATATTCTCTACTAGTACTACTCTATTGCATAGAAGGGGTATTAGGGCGCGAAGAGCCTTACTAGCCTTCCTAGCTAAGCGTGTTACTCGAAGACTAAGTAAGCGGATCGTTAACTAAAGCGGCTAGAATTAGTATAGTTAGCGTTAGTGATTATTCTAATCCGTTTACGAGACTTCTCTAATAGGTCCTATAAGAAGTTAGTAATAGAATCGGTATTATCTAATAGTAAGTAGGTAGGTTTAGGCGTATTAGATAAACTATCTCCTCCCTCCTTATTACATATAATAGGCTTAGCGACTACTCTTCTTATAACGGCTATCTAGATATGTTTAATAACGCTATAGCGTAATAGAACTTACTACTAAGAGTTCTAATTTGATAGTAAAATAATAGAAAAGAGATAAGCAAACAAACGCGACCTATAGTAATAATTAAGAAGAATAATTCGTAGGTTGCTAAAGTATAGTAGAGAGATAAGCTAGCCTACGTATAGACCCCCCTACTTTATTAAGCTACTAGAGAATAAGAATAGAGTACTCCCTACTATTAGTATCTCTAGAGTACTAAATTAAGCTAGAATTAAGAAAAGCCTTATATCTAGTAAGGGTACTACCTAAAATAAAGTATGAAACCCCTAGAATATAGCTTAAGGACGTGTATTAGATTCAAGAATAAGGAATATTCTAAAAGATCTAAAATAGATACTAAGGGGGCGACCCCGCCGCTAGCTAGCCTAATCGGGTAACTAGCCTTTATCTAGTAGTAGCTACATACTACTAGAGCCCTAAGAAGAGCCAGCAGTACTGCCTTACTAAGTCTTAGGGGCGACCCTACTACTAGATACCTAATAAGGCATCTAATCTAGTACCTACCTAGGATAACCTAGCTAGAGATTTACGATTAGGCTCCTAGGTAGGAATATTAAAAATACGCACGAAATATATTGTGAACTAGCTATATCTTGTGTTACGAGCCCGTAATAGAGCTTGCAGAGATGTCTAGAGGATATATAGAGACCCCTTTTTCTACTAAGGAGACAGACAGACAAGCACCTCTTTCTGTACCTAATCTTCTTATTTACCTTTTACTTACCTAAGTACTACCTACCTTCTATCTTAGCTACTAGCTATACTACTAGCTACGATATCTAGCTACGATATCTAGCTAGTATACTAAATCTCTATAGTATAACACTTCTAACTCTATCTTTACGACCTATAGACGCTCTATAGCTAGCTATAGTACTACTATTTAGCATTCCTACAGTCTATACTACCGTAGACTATTTAATATTAGAATATAAGAGATATTCTAAAATTCTAAAATAGCTACTAAGAGAGTGTCCTACCTACTATATAGCCTAATCGGGGATATAGCCTAATCGACATAAAAACACTACTAGAGTACTAAGTAGCGCTAGAGGCTACAATTGCCTAGCTACTACTTAAGAGAGACCCCGCTACTAGATACCTAATTAGGTATCTAGTACCTACCTAGGACAACCTAGCTATGAATTTACGATTAGCTTAAGAGGTAAAAGTATTAGAAAACACGCTAGGAACATGTCGAAACCTAGCGCGCTTATTCTAGAGTTTACGAATATATCCAGAGAATATTTAAATACCTTTCTCTTCTTCTAGAAGAAAGATAGATAAGTAGTTTTTTACTACTAATCTATCTACTCATTCTTCACCTACTGATTTACTACCTTAGCTACTAAAAAACGCTACTAGCTACTCTACTATCTATAGTATTTAGCTAGTATACTATACTCTACTTATAACACTTTTTATACTACTTCTACGACCTATACGGACGCTCTACGGCTAGCTACGGCACTTTTATTTAGTATATTTACGCTCTATACTACTATTAACCTTTTGATAGATATTTCTTTTTAGTATGTTTACGCCCTATACTATCGTATACCTTTTAATAGGTAAAGCTACTAGTATACCTTAGAGAGGTATAATTACTATCTTTTAGAGTGTCTATCCTTCTTTACTATATTACCTTTAATTAATAAGTAGGGTAGTAGTAGTAAGACTATAGTATATAGATAATAAAACTTATCTTAAACTTTTACTAGAGAGGTCTAGCTAGTTTCAGATAATCTAGTACTAGATATACTCTTAAATATATACGAAATATACTTCTTAGTAATCTAGTTCTAGCTTTAGCTTCGTAGTAAGTACTACTTACTCTTTCTTTTAGTAACTATTCTAAATTTTTAGAGATATATTACATTTTAATAGTTAATAATTTACTATATCGTTTCTAACTATACGTCCGACCGGTATTACTAGTCCGCCCGAACTTGCAATTAAGATACACTCGTTCATATAGCAGGAATAGGTCTTAAATAGAGATAGGCTAGATCTAGAAGCCTTAAAGAAGCGATTATAGGCTTTGCTCGACTAGGTCTTTAGAAGCGACCTCGCTGTCGCTAGAAGTAGAGACCTACTCCGGGCGTAGTAGCGACAGACTACACGCAGGTCGGGCTGCTTCCGCTACCTACGACCGGACTGCTTCCCTAGAGCACTTAGCGACTATACTAATCGATATCTAGCCTACCCTACACTCGGATAACGCCCGGAATCGCTCGGGGATGGACTAGTAATACCGGTCGGACGTGTGGTTAGAAACGATAATAGCTACGTATTTTACCTTAGATCCTTTCAAAATTAGATATTAGACTTACTTAGTAGTATACTAATAGATTATCAGACAAAGCTCGACCTATTTCTACTATACAATTAGGTAGTAGACGCTTTAGCGCAGAAGAGTAGCGTCGTCGAAGCTACTATTGAAATTACTTAAGCAAGCCGTACGGTGTTGCTTCTTACGCCGATTACGAGACTCCTTACTGGAACGAGGAGCGCATGCGCTGTTTGAATGGCAGATAGCTAGCCACGGGCTGACGAGGTAAGAGATAACGTAGCACCTGATTGTTCTACTAGCGTGGCGCGTCAGTATAATCTCGAAGCCGGTCAAAGTGTTATTTACAATGACCTGTTTCTGGATCAGACTAAGATCGGGTGTCGCTGATGCAGGTTAGATATCCACGCAGTAAGGTGGTTCCCGCTAGCTTTCGTTCTTGAGCAAGCTGTCCTAGTTCGATGGAATCAATTCATGCCAGTCTCTATATCTCTATTAGCTTTTGCAGTCACTTAACTCCAACAGCCAGTTCGTCAACCCAGTCAAAAGAGAAACGAATCTACCGCTGTCCTTTCAACTCATCGTTGACTTCTTTGACTACAATCTCCCGCACTTGTTGCCACTCTGCCTTGCTGTCCGTTATCCGCTTTGGAAGCTCCTCCAAGCCAACGAATTGCTCTGGGAGCACAGTGTCAAACGAGAAGCCCGGCTGATCCCCCAGCGCTAATTGAACTGCATGTGAGAATTTGGCGGGATGCGCTGTCGCGAGGGAGATGTGATGCGCTGTACTTCCCTCCACGGATCGTAAAGTGGCCGCAAGTCCAATGGCGGAGTGTGGATCAAGGATATAGTGGCCGTCGTGTTCAGTTCCCGAGGTCGCGGGCTTGCCGTTAGACTGCTTCGTTGACGGCAGTCTTTGGCCGTACATGTGCTTGATGGTGTCAATGGTTTGCTGGTCGCTCACCCGCTCACTCTCAAAGTTCTCCTTGGCAGCTTGCAGAATTTCCTTGCTAACACTGAAACCGCCTTCCTCCTTGAGCTGCTCGAGCCAGCCCTTAACCTTCTCTCCGGCTTCCATTCGTCTGTGATTTGTCTCCTCAATGTCGCTGGTCCGGAAAGCCAGATACCAAAGCAGTCGCTCAAAATTTGAGCTAACCAGAATATCCATTGCTGGCGCATAGGTCTGCTTGACACCGCTGGGGTCTGCCTTAGCGCCGTCATCTGCAAAGCCACCCTTGGCATCTTCTCCATGCTTTTCCTGCTTCTCATAGTTTCCAGACTTCCAGAAGCGATGCAAAATGTCATTTTCGTTTGTTGCAATAACCAGCTTATCAGCGGGTAGACCCATACGAGTAGCAAAGTAGCCTGCGAGAATGTCGCCGAAGTTGCCTGTGGGAACCACAAACCGAGCGATTGGCTTTTCTTCGCCTGTCATGCGGGCGAGGGAGAAGTAGGAGTGGAAGTAGTATGTGATTTGCGCAAGGATACGAGCCCAGTTGATGCTGTTCACTGCGGCCAGACGAAGTGTCTGATTGATTTCTTTGTCCGCGAAGAGTGTCTTGAGGATGTCCTATCCCGGGATGTCAGCCAAAGGCAGTGCGTTCCGGGCCAAATCGCCTTACCTGGCAGTCGTCAAAGGTACCTGCAACTGCAAGATTGTGCACATTTGTGTCTGTCACGGTCGTCATCTGTGCCTCCTGAATCGGGCTCACTTTACCCTTGGGGTACATAATAAAGACGGAGACATCCTTCTTCCCTCGCAAACCGTAGATGGCCGCAGATCCTGTGTCCCCGCTTGTCGCTCCAATGACTGTCAGATGCTCCCTGTGCTTGCCTTCTTTGCCCTGATTTCTCCTCACAAGGAAGTATTCGAATAAGTTGCCCACAAACTGCAATGCGACATCCTTGAATGCGAAGGTTGGTCCGTGGAACAGCTCCAACAGATGGACTTTCTTCTGTTCATTCAGCGTGACCAAGGGCGTGATCTCGTCTGCGCGGAACGGGGCGTATGATTGATGGATGATGTCCTTCAAATCGGCGGCGGGGATTTCCTCGGGACTGACGTATAGGGAGAAGATCTCGTAGGCAAGGTCTTGGAAGGAGTAGTTGCGCCATTTGGAGAGGAAGTCGGTAGGAAGAGCGGGAATGTCTTCGGGGATGAATAAGCCGCCATCGTTGGCGAGACCTTTGAGCACGACGTCTTCGAAGGAGAGCTACATGAATTCCTTGTCTCAGCGTGAGCTCCTGCGTCCGTGGTTGCTGGAGGGGGACATACGTCGTAAGAGCCTCCGCGTGTGCTCAGATAGCGCTGCGAGGCGCTATGAGAGACCATTTTGTGGTGTGAAGTACTCGAGTGGTGTGAAGTACTCGAGAATGCGCGGTATTGTTGTTTGTGTTGGTGAGTCAAGACAAAGCCCAATGCCGACGTCGCAAAAGCTGCCGGAGGAGCGGAATAACTTCCGAAATGTTGCTTTGATTGTTCTTCCATGTATGCCTCAGGCACGCATTTCCGGCTTGACGATGCGGGAGAACAACAACGCAAGGCACGATTACTTCCCCAAGATTGACGGGTCGATATCTGCTATCTACTCAATCAAACGGCACTACGAGTGATCCGTGTCACGACGCGTTACTCCCCTGCATCCCAATTCATGCCCTTTTCGGGTGTCCTGCGCTTGGTGGAGATACAACAGTATCGAGATGGTATGGGGTATATGAATCCTGTCGTGTTGTTGTCTTTCTGGAGCGCTGATGAGGGATCGAGAAGTGGTCTGCATGTCTCTTGACCCTGAAGGCCGGTCATTTCCTTCCAGGGACAGCTATGAACAGCTATAAAAAAGAGCGTCTACGCCGCTTGCGTCAGCAGCATATGAAAAGATCGCTTGTGGGACTTCAGATACCGAATTTCTGGAGATCCTGCAGTTCGGACTGCGCCGGCAATCGGGTCATCAGGAGAATTGAAGGCGAGAAATTCCAAAAGTCTCGGTACCCTATGAATGCTTAGTGCAGGCATCACTCAGGTGCTAGTACCCTTCACATGAAAACCGCCTGATGGCTAGAATATCACATCTTCATCGCCCTCGTCACCCAATATGTTCTTGCCTTCTGATTGATCGCCTTGGGCTTGTGGCCCATTCTCCTTGTCGCTGTCTCTTCTGTTGGCAGCCTTCTTCTTTCTCTCTTCTTCCTCTTCTGCCTGCGCTCTTTCCTTCACTCCCTTGACTTTCTTCAGCCTGAAGAACTCTTCACGGTCCATTTCGTCCAGCTCCGAGTTGATGTACTTGATCGTATTCTCTGTTCGCGGGATAATAACGTGCTCGCTGTAGTCCTGTCAGCCAGAGGGTTGTCTCCCAACACCTCAGCGATACTCACATGGCGTTCACTCTTCGGTTCACAACCTTGATCACCTCATCCAGAATAACAAAGGCAGTCTGCAAGCTCGCCAACTCCACCAGCGTCTCCACAGCTCTTGTATACGTCTCTCTGCATTTTGCGACCTGCTGTCCACCCTTGCCCAGTCCAGTCATCCCGAACTCACTACTCCCCTCTACCTGGTAACTCTCGAAAGCGGGCAGAAATACACCGCTAACATTCTCCTGCTTTGTCCTCACCCTGAACTTCGCATTCTTCGCACTTTCTGTGATCTGGTATGCGAATCCTGTATTTCCGACGGCATACGTGACCTCAGCCATGGAGAAGGCGGCTATCTGCATGACGCGGCCCATCTTGCGTTTGGCATCGTCGATACGGCGGGTGATTTCGCGGAAACGCTTTGTAAGGGCTTCGGATTTGCGCTTGAGGAGATCGTGGCCAGTCTGGGCGCCTTTGAGCTTCGATTTCATTACGCCCAGATTCTGGCGGGTGGGGAAGACGGGTTCTCTGTCCTATATGTCATATCATGGTTAGGTGGGTAGATGTCTCGTTGGAGTGGTGCTTGTACCTTGCCAGACATTCTGGGCAGATCTTGGGTGGGTGGATCTCGTTGAATAGATGCTCGATAGCTTTCGAGTATCCTGTTGAATGGATCGCGCGAAGTAGATGGATGCTAGCTTCGAATCACATGCGAATGCGGTTGGTCAGGTAGAGTGGGCAAGTATAGCTTGAGGTCATTGTCGGCGAAGCTAAGCTCCCCGTACAGCGGACCATATCTACCATTTTCTACGTATTTCTCTCCGCGCCTAATCTCGAGATTACCGTGGGAGCTCCTTGCTTCGCCGCTGGCGCCGACGGACGACCACTACTGACTAGTCACACCGTTTGCATTCGATGCCCTTCAACCTCTCCATCCCTCTGCCTTCGCGTCGCAAGAGTGATGAGCCCGCCACCATGGCCCAGATTCGCACCCAGCATGCGAACGACACGAACTGCACGCAATCATCACCCCTCTACCTAATCTCCCAGAACGACGAAATCTACGAAAACGATATCCTACGCGCGCCGGGAAACATTAGGCCATGGCTCGACTACGCAAACTACAAGCGCCAGTACGGCTCCCTTCTCGAGCAGTCCTTTGTTCTCGAGCGCGCTTGCAATGCGCTGCCGCGATCGTACAAGCTCTGGAAGATGTATTTGGAACTGCGAGTCGCGCATCTGAAGGGCAAGAGTCCCGCACGATGGAAGAGCGAGTATCAAAAAGTCAACGCCTTGTTTGAGCGCGCACTGGTGCTGCTGAACAAGATGCCCAAGATCTGGGAGATATACCTTTCCTTTCTCTGCCAGCAGCCGCTTGTCACCTTCACCCGGAGAACCTTCGATCGCGCACTGAGAGCTCTTCCAATTACACAACACAATCGAATCTGGGCCCTGTACCGACCGTTCGCGAATTCTGCGGGCGGAGAAACGGCGGTGAAGATCTGGACGAGATACATCCAGATCCACCCAGAGTACATGGAGGATTACATAGAGCTGTTGGTCAACGAAGGCAAGTACACACAGGCGGTGCAGAGGTACGTTGAGATCTTGAACAATCCGCGCTTCAAGAGTAAAGAGGCCAAAGGACCATTCCAGCACTGGACGGAGATGCTCGAGATTCTCATCGACCATGCAAAAGTCATACCGAACCCCGTGCCGCTGCCGAATGGAGCAACGCTCAGCGTGGAGACCATTATTCGGAGTGGGTTGGAGCGATTTGCGGATCAGAGGGGTATCCTGTGGGTTGGACTCGCGCGATACTACATCTGTCTCAGACACTACGAGCGGGCAAGGGACATCTTCGAAGACGGAATCACAACTGCGATGACTGTGCGCGACTTCAGTGTCGTGTTCGATACCTATGCAGAAGCAGAGGAGGCGCTCATCTCGATCAAACTGGAGGAGTCGGCCGCGCGGCAGCAAAAGGGCAGGATTGATGAAGACGCAGATCTGGACTTGGACATTCGTATGCTGCGTTTCGAGCAGTTGATGGACCGGAGACCATTCCTGGTGAATGATGTGCTCCTACGACAGAACTCACACAACGTCAACGAATGGCAGAAACGCGTGGCCCTGTGGGGCGATAACAAACAAATGATTGTGCAAACATACGCCGATGCGATTGCAGCAATACATCCAAAGAAAGCCGTTGGCCGATTTCACGAGCTGTGGACTAACTATGCCAAGTTCTACGAGGCTGGTGGCGACCTTCAGAACGCGCGCATCATCATGGAGAAGGCTGTTAAGGTGCCCTATAAGTCGGTGTCGGAACTCGCCGAGATGTGGACTGAATGGGCAGAGATGGAGTTGAGAAACGAGAATTTCGACCAAGCCGTCAGCATCATGGCCACTGCAACCAAGGCGCCCAAGCGAAGCAATGTGGACTATTTTGATGAGACGCTCAGCCCGCAGCAGAGAGTACATAAGAGCTGGAAAATCTGGTCGTTCTACGTGGATCTTGTGGAATCTGTGTCGAGCCTGGAGGAGACCAAGAAGGTGTACGAACGGATTTTTGAACTGCGGATCGCAACTCCTCAAACGGTCGTCAACTACGCCAACCTTCTCGAGGAGAACGAGTACCACGAGGAGTCGTTCAAGGTCTACGAGCGCGGACTGGACTTGTTCTCCTACCCCGTCGCCTTCGAACTCTGGAATCTCTACCTCACAAAGGCGGTCGACCGACGCATCTCCATCGAACGGTTACGAGATCTGTTTGAGCAGGCAGTGGAAGGTTGTCCCCCTCGCTTCGCCAAGACGATCTATCTCATGTACGGCGCACTCGAGGAAGAGCGAGGTCTTGCGAGACACGCCATGCGTATCTATGAACGAGCCACACGGGCTGTCGCAGACGAAGATCGCGCCGAGATGTTCGAGTTCTACATCACGAAATCCGCATCAAACTTCGGCCTCACGTCTACCCGACCCATCTACGAGCGCGCAATCGCTGCTCTGCCCGACAAAGAAGCCGCGAGCACGTGTGTGAAGTTCGCCGAAATGGAACGCCGTCTTGGTGAAATTGACCGCGCAAGAGCGATCTACGGTCATGCTTCTCAGTTCTGCGATCCGAGGGTCGATCAAGAGTTCTGGAAGAAGTGGGAGAACTTCGAGGTCCAGCATGGAAACGAAGATACTTTCAAGGAGATGCTGCGTATCAAACGATCCGTACAGGCTCAATTCAATACAGATGTGAGTTTCATCGCCAGCCAAGCCGTCGCTCGTCAGCAAGCCGCCGGCGCGAACGGGGCCGCGAACGGCGAGGAAGCCGGACAGGAGAAGGCTGATGCCATGGCTGCACTGGAGCGACAAGCACGGGCGCCGATGGGCTTCGTTGCGGCCAGTACAGGTCCTGAAGGTGGGAATCGGCCGGAAGCTGCTGATGCGCATGGGGCGCAGCAAAAGGTTGTGGACGCGAACGAGATTGATATTGAGGAGGACTTATGATCATAGAGCCGGTGAGGAGGCGGCGAAGATACTTCTTGCGAACAATTTAGCGAACCAAACGAGCGAGCGGGATGAAAGACTGTGAATAGCTCAAGATCAGCATTGAACGGCAGCATCAAAGCGGATATCGATGGTCCCAAGACAGGTCCAGTATCCCTTCGTACCATTCATCTCCCCGTCGACATTTTTCCTCGACACCTTCCAGCCTCCGCTCCGCCATAGCTGCTCTTGCTCCCTTGGAAGCGATTGGCCTGATTGCAACGGACGTCCTCTTTCTTTGACCCTCACCACGTTGTAAAGACTCGCAGGAAGTCTGCCTTGGTCGGAGACGGCGTCAGCGTGAGATGAGTAGGGCGTACAGTGGGGAGGAGTGGCAATCGTGCAACCTCTGTCTCGTCCGACTGGCTCAGCTTGTCCTAACACCAGGTCTCGATCGCCGTGCTCACGACGACAGTCGCTTGGGAGGATCAATGGATTCTGCAATCCTCAACGCCCTATGCGCTTTGTGATGAAACAATGTACGGTCACAATGGCCTTTGTTCCAATGATCCGGCTTGGAAACAAAGAAGAATGTCTCTAGCTCGACGTACTTCAACCTCGCACTTCCCTGCCATCGGGGCGTCCATCCATAAATCCCTTCCCTCTGCAATCGGAGCAGGACTCCAATCGATCCCTTTCCATCCTTCACGAAGCAACACCCAGAGCCACAAGCATGACACAGGGAACCACGAAGCCTCGCCATCCCGGTTTCGACAGCAAATTTTACGCCGTCCAGGACTTCTATGGCCTCCGAGCGGCAAGTCTTACCAATGCAATCCACCCACTGTTCCGCAGATCTAACTTTCAAAGTAGCCTGTTTGATTACGAAAAGCTAGAGACGACTCTCCGGCTAGCTTCCAATCTCCTCGAAGTCGCCCTGCCGGTCTTCCATTGCATCTTCTTCTCACCACCGGTCCCATTCGCCGACGAGGGAGAAGGTAGGGACTCTGGCTTCTTTCCTCGACCCCTCGACGTACTAACAACGCGACAGGTAAAGAGAACCCGGGCCGCTCTGGCAGAATTCACTGGTAACATTCTCTTCGGTATTGCGGACATTGAGGGTTGCCACGCAAACTGCGAGTACTACGACAGTCCGGACAAGCAGATTCGCGGCTGCAAATATTTGAAAGGATACCGCAGCCAGATCAACATCGGGCAGCCCTTGTACGAGCAAGTCTTGGCAGCCTGGGAACATCCCAACGACATTCTCGGCCATCACTGGCACAGTTTCCAGCTAGCCGTTACTCTGGTTCACGAAGTAACGCATGCGGGCGTTGCAGCCGGCACACCGGAAGTTTTCCAGTACGATGGCTTCATTCTAGGTGACTGTAGCCGATCCGAACCAGGCTTGGCCCTTGAGGAGTGGCTATTTGGGGGCACATTCAGCGCAAGCCCATCAAATCGGCCTCGATATCGTCTGGATGGTATTCCTAGCAAGCTCGATTCCCTGATCGCCTACACTGAGGGGCCTGATCCAGCGGCGTTGACTGCTTATCAACATGCAGGTGACAAGATCTATGTCCGTCCGGGCTCGTTACCCGAGGTGGTTGTCAAGTGGACAGCTGACCTCGAGTTCATCTCGAACTTGTTCCAGGATGCCTTCTGGAACGAGGAGACTCGAAAGCCGAGGCGCAAAGCCCTACGGCCCAGGATGACAATCGGCGTCCGTATGAGCCTTGATTTGGGACAGAAGTGTTTCGTACCCTTCCCTCCAATAGGTGTCGTGGACAATGTCACCGCGATGCCCGAAGGCTACTCGCTGGACGAATGTGGAATGCTTTACGCAACACAACCTGGCTCTCAAAGCATCCTACAAGCAGCCGAAACTACCACATCGCCTCGTCCCGCCAGAAGTACGTCCAATAGGCTTGGGAGGTGGTTCAAACGAGCAAGGCAGGTGCCCTTGACGCCACCGCGAAGACGGATGAAAGCCTAACAAGAAACGACAGATAGGTAAGTAATTGTATCTTCTTTCTCCCGGCTCGAGTGCCCCAGTGCTTGAGAATTCATTGTTCAACTTCTTTGTAATTGTATCTCGTGATTGGCGAGCCGGCTCGAGCCTCGCTGGTTGCTTCGATGGTCCGACATTCCATGAAGCAGCTCCGGCTTCCATCCACGCTAGTAGACTGGTACTCGAAGATGTAGCAGAAGTTAGCTCCTCCAGAAGCCCGTATCTTTCCGGATCCTCTCGTGTACCCAGCTGCGTTCCGCGTATATACTCAACTGAGACCCTGCACGAGACTCCAAGACCTCTATGTCATTGCAATGTACTTTATAGGGAGACCTAAAACGCCTCTTCCCCCGTGTGAGTCGGTTACAGCGGAAGTTCCAGCTGCATGGACAGCAGCCTGGCGCCATAGCTACGGATTCACTTCAATGCAGTAGTAACGCGTCGACGGGCTTCACCCATGCGATCTCTCCAAGAAGATGCAGAGCCAGGGGACCCTGCTCAGGAGTCGGCAACGACAACTTGGACCAGCACAACATCATCAAGCGCAACAATACCTCCGTCTATGCTAGTCATTCCGCGGCGGAAAACAGCATGTCCGACCAACGGTCATTCGCCTCGCCTCGAACAGAGCCTCATTGCAATAGCTCTAGCGACAGGGGAGATGGCTGAACTTCACGTCTTGTCGATATTCATCCACCACATCTCAAAGGGGAGCTGCGACGACCATTCCGGAGAAGGAGCTTTTCCAGACAGCTGCGTCCTCGATGGGATCCCGAGCTTGTCGGTGGCGTGGAATGCGCCAAGAACGACGACGCACATATCGCCGCTCACTATATGGCCCACGCTGTGCTCCTCGTGAAGCACCAAGACCGACGCACGGAGTGATTTTTCGGAGGTACCCAAGTGGCCGAAGAGGGATACGCATGAGAACGTAGGACCTCTGGCGCTCATTGGCCTGGAAGAGTTTGTTGACGCGTTGGGCCGTGAGAAGCGCCTGATCGCCTTCGCAATCACCCCCGAGCCGGAGAAGGATGGCCTCGAGCAGCTCGACAGTGTTGAGGGCTCGGTGGCCGGCAGACGCCTTTGTTGGATGCTTTTTGATGGGTGACGTCGAGGGCAGTGCAGTGGTCGAGAGGAGTTCATGTTACCTACTACCTGAAGATAGTTTGTCTGCCGGATGAAGTGGAAGAGGAAGTGGAAGTGCTATAAGGCACAACCTACGACCGGGGCTGCCCCTTCGTGCGGCTCATCTTCGGCTCTGGATTAGCGCGTTCCTCATTCCCAACATCCTCCAAACCAACCAGCTCCCCATCCGTTCCTATTCTCACCCTGAATCTCCTCCCACAGTCCTCCAACTCCCCTTCCCTCGAAGCCAGGACCTCACTCCCATCCACACAACCCCCAGAAATCCAAAACACCGTCCTATCATACCCTTCGACCCCAAAAGGAACGCCAAAGACTCCTTCTCCCAGCCCCGCCCCCTCAACATTCAAAGATCCCTCGACATTCTTGACGAACTTCACGGCCCACTCGAAAGAGAAATACCGGCTCGCCCTGAAGCCCCTCACTCTCCTGAGCAGTCCCCTCTTTTCGGGCCCAATAGCCTTCAACCATGTCAAGAGAGGCCCTCGCAGAGAAGAGAAGAAGAGGTTGTCGCCGTAGAAAATGGCTAGAGATTCATGCCGCACTTGTCGGCAGGTCGATAGGAATGCTGGTTCGCAGACTGGATTAAGGTGAGGCTTGGCGATGAAGAGGGAGGTTGTAAGCTCTTCCTTGCAATAGTCGCGATTGGGGAGGTGGATCGGCGTGGGGGAGACCAGAACATGGTGGTAAATTTTGTTGCGAAGCTCAGGTGGGAGGGATAGCAAGCGAGAGTGGGTCCTGGAAGTTGACGACTTGGAGACTTCCATTGTGGTCGCGAACATGAGGCGGCAGGCTTCGAATCGGTGAAGTGACCCCGAACCTGTTTTCTAAGCCTGTTATACAACTGCTTCGTGCAGTTACAAAGATTGCCACTTCGTGAAAGATGTCCACATTCTTGAGCTCGAAAGATTGGCCGAAAGAAAACGGGAGTAGGAAACCACCGATGGCTCCCAGCGGCAGCAGAAGTACTCTTCCACTATAGGTTAGTTTCATAGCAAATGCTGTCTGGCAGTGATGCGTGGCGAAGTAAAGGAATTATTTCGGGACGGGCAAGTCGGGTATACCACGCAGATAAGCCCCGGACGAATCGCTCTCACACCTGCACCGAGAAAGGGACTAGACCATGCGACCATGTAACATCATTGATTGGTGACAGCCCGAGTAGTACTTACAGATTCGCATGCCAGAAGCTCGCTCCAACTTCGCTACGAGGCCTGTGCCTATTGTGTCCAAGTGCTTTGCCCTCACTCATACCCTCGCATCCTCGTGCCGGTACAATTCTGTCCCTCTTATCGAGACCTAATCGTGCTGGATCTTGTGATCGCCGGCGACTGCCTGCTGGTATGAAGGCGGCACCTCTTCGCTTCCTCCCGGCAATGGTCGGGTGTGTGTTGCTGATGAAGCTGACGGCTGCAGCGGAGGTTGCACGACACCTTGCTGCTGTTGCGAAGGGAACTGCGCGTTCGGGGTGCTATTGGCGGTTCCATATCCTCTTTGCGGCGGTGCGTCATATTGTGGCTGTCCGGTTTGGACGTAGTAATAGGTGACTTGGCCGCGTTCGGGATCCTGCTGTGGGAGGGCATCGTAGGTTGGGTCGGGCGTTACAGCGATGATGTACCATGCGTGAAGGAGTCCCGGGAGGAAGCCCAGACCTATTAAGAGTACTCAGCATATGCCCAGGATTGTCGGTCCCAGATGATACATACAGCAAAGGGCGATATTAATGAGGGAGTCGGCGCTGCAGATGCCCCTCTTGACCCAAACGGCCAGCGGAGGGAAGAGGATCGCAATGAGGCCGAGGAAGATGTCACTGCCGCACATCGTGGCGACTGATGTTCCTTATGTCTGTAGTGGGTTGCGTCGTGATGATTCTGCTTCTTTCAAGGAGTCGAAAAGCAGCAAAGAGGTCTGTCTCATCATGGTACGACATGTACAGTATGGAAGCCTGCGGGCGGCGCACGACAAGGCCGCCCCGGGATGACGAAGGCGTGGCGGAGCGGCTAGCGGCTGGAAGGGCCGCTCCGCCCCGACCCAAGGCATGCTATGGTATGCCGTAGTGATACACCTCACTCTGCTCGATCCTGGACAAGCAAACAAAGTCACACAACCATGACCGAGTGACCAAAATGGCATTACTAGCAGATCGCCGCCGCCTCACCGCGCCGCCCGGTGGGACTGCTCCGCCCGTCTTCGGCGTCCCTCCAGACACTCACATCTCAAGACCAACACGAACAAGAAAAGCAGACGAGCACCGCAAAATCTTCCTCCGGACAGGCGTCGTTCCGTCGGCCAGTGGGAGCGCATACTACGAGATTCAGCCTCAATCTTCAACATCTGGAGATGAGACCTTTCTCATGCCATCCGCATCAAACCTCAAAGTCTCATGCACCGTCCACGGCCCTCGACCGTTACCCCGAAATGCAGCCTTCTGTCCCAATTTGCTACTCACGACGAATGTCAAGTTTGCTCCCTTTGCTACGCGACAACGACGCGGCTACATTCGCGACGCAACCGAGCGGGATCTGAGTGTTCATTTGGAGACTGCACTGCGAGGCGTGGTCATCGGGGAAAGATTCCCAAAGAGTGGCTGCGAGGTTGTCATCACAGTCCTGGAAGGAGAGGAGCACGGCTGGTGGGGCGAATCGCAGGAATGTGGTGGAGGCAATGCAGGCAGTGGTTGGGGAATGATGAGTGTGCTGGCTGGATGCATCACGGTGGCGAGCGCCGCACTCGCAGATGCAGGCATTGATTGTGTGGATTTGATTTCAGGCGGTGTCGCAGCGCTGGTGGGAGATGATGTGGTTCTGGATCCCTCGCCGCCTGAGCACAACCTCCGAGCTGCTTGTGTGATTGGGTATCTGCAATCCAGGGACGAGATCACGGAGATGTGGATGAAGGGCGAATCTGGTTCGCAAACCGAGGCGCTGGTGGACGGTGCTGTGAGGGCTGCGGTTCTGACGAGGACCGTGCTTGCAGAAGCCGTAAAAGAGGCAACAGAAGCAAAGCTTGCCGTGCTACAGGAAGCAAAGAATCAGGCGCCCACGCGTGGCAAAGCAAATGAGAAGGATGCAATTATGATCGGTTGAGCGAATTGAAACTTGGTGCGGCTCCTGTGGCGTGCGAGTGCTACTCAAAGTTCTCACCTAATGGCACAATCTATCGAGTCTTCGAGGCGTGTTGGGCATCAGCTTTGGCCTCTGCTTGTCTCAATTTTCGACGCAGCTAGATGTCAAGGCCTTCAGCGGCGAGCCCGAAAGTTCACGATTCGAAGACACTGGCCAATGAGGACGCCATCGGTTACGAGCAGAATAAGTAGCAGAGACGCGAAAGGGACATTCTCGCCGTAACAGCCGCAGCATGAATATGCATATTCACCCTGCAACCAAGGCAGACCATGTGCAGACTCTGGCCATGGATGGAGAGGATTAATTCTACTCGTTGAGCTGAATAGAAGTGCTGTCCCAGATAGCACTACTATCCGCCTAGCATATGTCTCTTGGCTGCGAGCACAGACCTAGCGAGATCTTCAAAAAAGCTCTCCTTCTTTGCAGGACTTCTCGTCTTTACAATAACTGTCGAATTCTTCGCGCTCAATTTCAAGCCTGCGGGCTACTCACAATTTGTACACCTCTGCAGCCATACGACCTTCCGGCAACAATACTGACATACAACAGGCATTATGTCTGAGATTTTCCCAGCGACATGTTTGTTCATTCTCCGAGCGTGATTCATTCCCAACGCCGTTCTTGAAAGTGCAGCTCACACATAATCTAGGAGCTTGAGAAGCGACAATGTGATCAAGGTCTTCTGCGACCGCGACAAGAACGTGCAAGAGTGCTGCATGGTTCCTAAGACCCTGCTCAAGAAAGGAGGAGTTTGTAAAGGTGCAGCAGAAGTGCAGAAAGAATCGGATGGAAGATAGTACCGACCACTGGAAAGAGTTCGCGTTTGAGGATCCACGGAGTGGTGGTGACAGCGAGGACTTGGATCTAGTGCGGAGCAAAGACGATATAACATCCGCTCGAGATGAATGAGGCTGTCGGAGCTGCAGGAAACGAGGCAAGGGAGATGTATCAAGATGAAACTCAGATTGGTGCAGTGCCAGTATGCTCGATAGCGTCTAGTCGGTGGTTTGCAAAGTAGTACTAAAACATCAAAGTTATGCAGGAAACCAGAACATTTCTGAGCTAAGCATAGGTATTTATACCTGCTTAGCCGGGGATAGGGTCCGGAGGAACCGCGTTTATACGGCAAGCAAATTCCTTTCCGAAGAAGAACTTCAGCACCCACTGCGCCAGAATGTGATATTGGAAGTTTGTAGTGAAATTTTGGAACCTAGCCCTGATCTCTAAAGTGACCATGCCTGCCTGCCTGCCTTGGTCATGACGATTTCTTCAGTGACTTGGTGCCTGGCGTTGACCTGGAGACGTCTCCAGCAGCCCGGCTTGACACGCTTCAGTGCGGTCTAATGCCCAGCCAATCTGGTGCAATTGATGGCAGCGTGGTGTGGCAACGGGGCAGCTCCCGTGCTCTTGGCATGTCTATGACTCTCTGGTCGCCTCTGCGACACCGCCATCAACCTCAACATCAACATTACCACCAAGCATCGAGTCAAGCAACATGGCCACAACCAGCGCTGCCGAGCGTGTTTTCCGCACGACCGAGCTACTCGAGAAGATCCTTCTCGAGACGATTGAGAAGCACGATGTCGCAGGCGTGAAGAGTGTGCTTTACAGCCAGAGAGTGTGTGAGTAGAAGCAGTTGTCTCGCTCAAGCTAACTCGAGTGATCTACAGGTTAGCAAGCAGTTCCGTGCCACCATTCGAGGCTCCAGCAAGCTCCGCAAGATCTTGGGCTTCGAGGGCGGTCTGCCGCTCTGCACCTGTGACGCCAGCTGCGGCTGGTTCCTCAACTGCTACAACAAGATCTTCCACTCTCACAAAGTCATCCGCTACGGCAGAATCGCCTTCGACATAGGCACCAGCAATGATTACTCAGCCGTGGTCTTCACCTACTTCGGAGCCCGTTGGAACACGGAGGACATCAAAGGCTCCTGGCGTGAGATAGTGATTATCCCCGCCGGCAAGCAGGTCAAGGCCATCCACCTGCACATGTTCATCATGCCAAGTCGGGTCGGGGCCGTGGTGGACGCGAAGGAGACGGTGAAGTGCGATGTCAAGGGACCTGCAACGATTGGAAAGCTATTGGATCAGGCCAAGGGCTGCTCGCTGACTTCGACTGATGATGGTCTGTTGAGAGAGTCTTCCGCGGACTGAGAGGTTGAAGCGCGGATGGATGGAGGGAGGTGAACGCGACTTTGCCGTGTCAGCAGACAGCCCTTGAGATTGTTTTTGCAGCGTCAGGACATGTACTTTGGTGCTCAGAACTGCGCGTTAGCGTACGGTGTAGTTGCCAAGATGAGATGTGTAGTACAGGACGTTTCCGTACAGCTTCTTAGGAATGCGAAAGCTGTTCTGAAGGCAAGATGATGATGATGAAGATGCTTTGTCATTATCGTGGGTGTGGCATTGATCTCTATAGGCCTGGGCGACATAGTAGCTCTGCAAGCTGGCGGGTGCCGCGGACTAGATACTTTGTGATGAGAATCTTGATACAACAACATTTCGGTTGACACTTGCAAGGGGCAGCGGAAGGAGGGGAGTGTGGGAGTGTGGGAGTGAAAGGTGAAGTCGTCTCTGCTCCACACAATCGGGAGGTGCACGGGCCACGTCCTTCCTCGGCCACGAGACCGGGAGACAGCGACCTTGATTTGAAACATCGCCGGCGCCGAGGGATCACTATACCATCACTCGGTCTCTCCAACGAACCTCCTCACTCACATCTGCTCTAATCACGCAATTACGACCCCTCAACGAGCCTGCGACATCTGTCGCTTCCGAGAGTCCGGCCTGCGATCTACATCTCCTGTACAGATACATCCTCGACTTGCCCTCGGGACTCCCACCATTCTAATCCCACGAGTTCTACGGCGCCTTGATAACCGAAATGGCGCGCGAGAAGGACTCAGACGTACCACAACCGGGCCCGGCAGCCCTCACGTCGAACGCCGGACCGGATGAATGGCTCGCGCAAGCCCGTCTGTGCCGCTATCTCCCCGAATCCGACATGAAGAAACTCTGCGAGATCGTCAAAGAATGCCTCATGGAGGAATCCAACATCCAGCCTGTTGAAGCTCCGGTAACGGTATGCGGGGATATACACGGGCAGTTCTACGATCTGCTCGAACTCTTCAATGTGGCAGGCGGCATGCCAGGCGAGGCGGATCAGCGAGCGGCAGAGAAAGCCGCAGGCGAGAGGGAACGGGCGGCAGCAAAAGCAAAGAGGAGCAGCACGAGCGGCGGCGGAGCGTCAACTGCGATCAATGCTGCAGACATCGAGCCGCCGACACAAATCAGTGATCCGAAGGTCAAGAGGAAGATGAAGAGGAGGTTCCAACGGGATAGTGCCTACACTTCCTCTGCATCAAATGACGGATCAGAAATGGGCGCAGACGACGAAGAAGAGCAGAGAGGAAGAGTGCGAAGTAGAAGCATGGGCGAAGGCGAGGGCGAGGCCGATGAAGACGAAGAATACGTTGACGACGATGATGAAGGTAGCGAGGACAGTGGCGTTGGTGTTAGAAGCCCTGAGCCAAGTCGGAGTAAGAGCGTGGCCAAGAGCAACAAGGTCAATCATGCGACTGGCAATCAAAACTTCGTATTCCTGGGAGACTTTGTGGACCGAGGGTATTTCTCGCTGGAGACATTCACTCTACTGATGTGTCTCAAAGCCAAGTAAGTCTAGCATGACGGCAAGTATGTTTGAAGTGCTAACATGCCTTCTAGATATCCCGACAAGGTCACGCTCGTTCGCGGAAACCATGAATCCCGCCAGATCACCCAAGTGTACGGCTTCTACGAAGAGTGCCAGCAGAAGTACGGCAACGCGAGCGTGTGGAAGTCCTGCTGTCAAGTCTTCGACTTCCTTGCGTTAGCAGCCATAATTGACGGCAAAGTGCTGTGCGTCCACGGCGGTCTGTCGCCCGAGATCAGGACGCTGGATCAGATCCGAGTAGTTGCCAGAGCCCAGGAGATCCCTCACGAGGGTGCTTTCTGTGATCTTGTGTGGAGTGACCCAGAAGATGTCGACACGTGGGCGGTCAGTCCGAGAGGAGCTGGGTGGTTGTTTGGAGACAAAGTCTCCAGCGAGGTAAGCACATACTCCATGCTGCCCTGCGCGTAAGCATCACTGACGTCTGCTGGCGTAGTTCAACCACGTAAACAATCTACAGCTCATCGCTCGCGCACATCAGCTGGTCAACGAAGGGTACAAGTATCACTTCGCCTCACAAGACGTCGTCACTGTCTGGTCCGCACCGAATTATTGCTACCGCTGCGGCAACGTCGCTAGCATCATGACTCTTGGAGAAGATTTGCAGCCAGATTTCAAGATCTTCAGTGCAGTGCCGGATCACAGACGAGCCGTACCAGCGGGCAGACAAGGCAGGGGTGAATACTTTTTGTAAAGTCTGTTCATGAGAGTTGGTGCATTTTCGTGGACGGCGTCAGGACCCGGTTCCAACATTTGGACTCGATGAGTAGGCTGGTGGAGCTCCAGGAACACTCGCAGCAACGCATGAGAAGTAGGCGCACCCTCGGCGTATTGGATGGGATGGATGTACAGTACAACAAACCTTGGCAAGAGACTGTATGATTAGGATGTGATACCCTTACACTACGAATGGTTTCTTCCTGGTCCTTCCCACATACTCTCGTAAGGCGTTGACAGCGTCCTGGGTGGCATTGTGAGGTTGTTGCTTCCTGCGATCCCCTTGATGTAGACTACGATGTCGCAGGGATCACAGGGCACTTGCCTTCTGCAAGTTATAACTATAACATGGTCAATACCGATCAGAAGGAACAAAGACCAGTCAATAACGTGTGGATGTTCATCCGCCCTTGTCAGACACCACGGCAAAGGCACTTTTGACGGGACCTCGGATGTGGACGTTTCAGGAACGAGCTTTGTGATACGACTTTGTGCAAAGAACTCCTCTGCGTTCCCCGAGACATCCAGTATCGTCGTTCTGCGATCAACCGCGAGAGGTAGTCATTCGCATCGTCCGCGCATACACGTGTGATAACGTGATCGGTAGCGACCCGATTGGTTGCGCGAGGATGTGGTGGCGACCATGGAATCACGGAATTAAGCTACCGGGAGATTGACTTCGTAGCCAATTCCCGGTTTCAGTCAGCCAACGTCCCGGGTAGCAGGAACACTTCATCATTCGAGGAAACCCCTCGAGTGAGATCGGGATGAACAAGCTACCATTTCCCGGTGTCCATTCATTCGACGTGGTGGTCGTCCGTGGACTACAAATGCGTGTTGCTCAGCTGAGCCTCGCCCGTACCATCCCGGTCAAAGATGATCTGAATGGTGTGCATTTATTGGAGAGGCCAATCTCGGACATCTGTGGCTCGCGGAGCTGCAAGGTCCCGATGCCTCGTGACGCCCCTTCAGGGCAAGGCGCTCGCTGTGGACGCTTTTGATGAGCGCTCGATGACGGGCAGCCGTTGAGAAAATGTAGGCCAAAATTGAAATACGGAGAGGAAGGACGGGAGGCTTTCTCGAAATCTGTGTGGATGGGAGGCGAAATAATGACGAGTCGGAGACGACAAACGGCCATGTACAGAGTGCCATGTTGGATAAGAAAAGGTATGGAAATAGCAGGGCCCTTTGATCCATCCATCGAATACCTTATGGACGAGATTGATAAGGTACCTTACATTATGTCGAAGGACACCTGTCTGTGTCTCGGATCGATCGAAGAGCAGGCGCGCGTCCTTGGAGGACTCCCGAGGGCGATGCAGATAAGGTTGGGGGACGGCTGGTTCCAATCTGGTTCCAGAGATATCTTAGCGCCGATTGCCGTGCCGAGAGTGTGGAGTGTGGCATCGAAACGGGGAAGAAGAGCTGTCCCCATCTGCGGCTCTTCGTATGGGAACCCTGCCAACATCTCCGCCTCACGGCATATCGCCTCCGCGAGAATAGCAATCATCATCATCATCATCGTAGCACGGCAGCGAGTATCGGAGAGTCCAGCTGTGGTGCTTCCGCTAGGCGGGAACGCCAATTCGGCTTGCAGACGCCGGACCCTCGCTCCCCGGCACTTGTCCAGTTAGCGCGCTATGGGGGGTGAGGAGTTTGTCTCAGTCGATTTTAGCGGTGTTAGTACTATATGAACCTTCGAGGTTGCTGGGAACGCCCCTGCTACCACCGCCAGAGACCGGTAAGACGTTAAGCTACCAAAGACATATGTGGTTATCGATGAAATTACCTAGGTTTTCCACTTGGTCTATGCCTCGGCATCGCTGGTCCACGATAAACTGTGCCGCCCTCGTTGTCGTTACGGAATGGTCATCCGGCCTCGCCGCTAGTGTTCTATTGAATCTCTCATTACTTACTGGCAAGGCCATATCGTCGGTTATTTACTCGCTCTGGTAGATTTCGTCCCGGAGACCGCGAGGGGCTCCATAACGGTCGCGTCTACCCCCTCAGAGCGCAGATGTGGAAGTGAGGTCGAGCTCAGAGCGCGCACGTTACGTTGTGAGAGCGCCTTTCACTGCGCGCGTCTTCCCTCATCGCCCCCAACTCCTCGTCGACACCAACCTCATCATCTTCGACACCCCACAACTCATCAATTGCCGTCCACCAGCCTTCTTTTTCGCAGAGCGGAGATCGACTGTGCAGTATCCCCAGCCGGCATCCTGGTTCGCGTCATCCACTCGCCGAGCCATCCATCCATCCCTCCATCCATCCATCCATCTACATGCCATGCGAGTCGCGTCGGAAGCTGGCGCCGCCCTCTGACCGTGCCCTCCATCAATAACAACACTTGCATCCCCGGCTCCTGGACCGGAGCGGAGCTGCCATAACACGCGCCTGCCAACCAACATCAACCCATCGTCGCCTCACATCCTCCACGCCTCTCCCAACCCGAGCGCGCGATCGAACAGTCTGGGCAGTTGTCGATTGTGGTGGCAGAAGCACCAATCCATCACATTATTGTTTGCGGGGAGCGGAAGAGGTGTGAAGTGGACAATTAGCCGAGCTGGAAGACCCCCGGCCGGAGCTGCCAGGCTGCAGGGGGAAACAACATCACCCGTCAGTTCCATCTTACCGCAGTCCGCTGGCGCAAGCGGCAACATCTTCGCCGCCGGTCACGCCCAACGGCCACCCGGCTTCAACATGCGCCATAACCACACTCGCACCTCCAGCCGTCTGGCCGACGTCGCCAGCAGGGCCAGCGACGAGGAAGGCGCGAGGACGGCCGTCAAAGTCGGTATGTGCCGCCATACAATGCACCGCCCCAACTCCAACTCCCTCTTCTCCTCCAACATGTCCTTACCTTACTGACCGTCGCGCTGCAGCTGTTCGGGTCCGACCGCCTCTGAAACCCACTGACCCTGGATTCGACCTCATACCACAGCGTTTCCGCGAGAGCACCTGCGAAGTCACACCACCCACGAACCTCTGCGTACAGTCACCCCAGGGCAGGAAGCTGTTTGTCTTCGACCGCGTCTTCGATGAGGATACCACGCAGGAGGGGGTTTGGGAGTATGTCAGCGACGGTGTATCGTCGTTCGTCAAGGGGTACAATGTTTCCATCCTCGCATACGGCCAGTCCGGCGCCGGCAAGTCGTATACGATGGGAACTTCCGGCCCGGAGGATCAGAACGACCAGGACGTGAGGGGTATCGTGCCCAGAGCCGCACATGCACTCTTCGAGAAGCTCAATGGGACCACATCGAAGCCGAGCGGTCTTCAGACTCCCAAGCGGTATTCCACTCAAGCCCTACCGACCCTGGCCGCGATGAAACAAGTCGCAGATGCGGGAGCCAAGAATTGGGAACTGAGGGCGACGTATGTGGAGATATACAACGAGCAATTGCGCGATCTGCTCGTACCGGAGAACACGCCACTCCAGGATCGCGCCCAGGTCGCGATCCGAGAAGACACAAGGGGCCGCATCATGCTCACCGGTCTCACGCAGGTTCCAATTAACTCTCCGGAGGATTTGCTCAACGCGCTGAATTTTGGATCCGCCATTCGACAGACAGATGCCACTGCGATCAACGCTCGCTCCTCACGCTCTCACGCTGTGTTCAGCTTGAACCTCGTTCAAAAGAAGTCAGACCAAGCTTCTGCACCCATACCGCAACTCGAGAAGCGCCGATCGACGCCCGTAGAGCATATGGTTGGGGCAGAGGGCGTTGTCACGATCGACAGCAAGTTGCACTTTGTGGACTTGGCCGGTAGTGAGCGTTTGAAGAACACCGGCGCCACTGGAGACAGAGCCAAAGAGGGCATCTCCATCAATGCGGGTCTTGCAAGTCTTGGAAAGGTCATTTCACAACTCTCGTCGAAACACAGCGGCGCTCACATCTCGTACCGCGACTCTCGATTGACACGACTGTTGCAGGATTCGTTAGGCGGGAGTGCGATTACGTACATGGTTGCATGTGTTACGCCGGCCGTATTCCATCTCAGCGAGACCCTGAACACCGTACATTACGCTCAACGAGCGCGTGCGATCCAGAGTAAGCCGGAGATTCAACAGAGCCATGAAGAGGGCGATAAGCAGGCGGCAATAGATAGGCTGCGTGCTGAAGTGAGCTTCTTGAGATCCCAGATCCGCCACTCGGAGCAGACCGGGGATAGGAATACAGACAGCGGTGATCGATCCGACCGACTTCGCGGCAAGGAGAGAGAACTCCAATCCCAACTCATGGACATGCAAGAGAACTACAACGCACTCAGTCAACGACACGCCAAGCTTATCTCAGAGATCTCCCGAAGTAGAGACAACGAAGATGCCGAGACGCCTCTCCTGAACGAAGCCATCGGCGACAACGCCAGCGAGCGAATCAAGCGATCGAATTCGTTTGCGGAAGCCGTCGAGCAGGTCGTTCTTGAGTACGAGAAGACGATCCAGAGTTTGGAAGGGTCTCTATCCAAGACTCGAGCAAATCTGGCCAACACCGAGAGCACCCTCATGGAGAAGGAGACGCGCATTGCGTACATGGACACCATCCAGCAGCAGCTGCAAGCCAGAATATCGAAGTACCTAGAGCGCGAAGCAAACAATGACTCATACACAAGGGACCTCGAGAGCAAGATGGAGGGCGCAACCTCAGAGGAGGAGAAGAAAGAGACCTTGATCACTGAATTGCGCAAGGAGCTTGCGCGTGTCCGCGAGAGCGAGGCAGGGGCTGAAGACTATATCTCGACCCTTGAAGAACGCCTTGCCGAAGCCGAGCAAGATTCAGAAATCATGCAACGAGAAATCGATCGCCTGGAACACGTCGTCGAACGCCAACGCAGTATCGGTAGGCTCGACAATCTGCTCGGCGAGTTGGATGTGGCTCGCGGTATCGATTCCCAGACGAATGGACGACATTCTTCTGACATGGCTTCGCGTATGAACGGTCATGTCGAGGACGACGATGATTATGACCCTTTCCGTGCGTCTTCAAGACCGACTTCCGTACCTGAGGTCAACTTCAGTCAGCCGGAGCGCTTTCCACCAGGACCGGCCGAGGATAGAACGCTGCCAGATGGAGATGCTGGGCGCAGTCCTGCTCAGAACGACTTCGTGGCGGAGAAGCTGGAGAGCCTGACCCAGGAATTCTTCGATCTCCGTTCGGAGCATGAGACGGTTGTCACCAACTATGAGAATCTAGAGCAGAAGTATCGCACTGCGCTTGAGACGCTCGCCAGGCTGGAGTACGGAAAGAGCAAGCCACCAGGGACTCCGGAGGAGAGTACTCGTGGCTCTTTTTTAGCAGAAGCGGGGATGAAGGACGAGGAACAGGCTACTGGTGGACAGCCTTCATCCTCGCGGTTGTTGTCGGAGGAGCAGTCCTCGCGGGAGCCACAGAATACTGGCGAAGGACCGGAAAAGGAGCCGAGCAGCACGGACATTGAGCGTCCGGCGGTTCTTGACCATCTTGCCGTGCAGAACGTTGCCGTGCAGAACGAAAATAGTCGCTCGGTGGTCTCTTCGCCAGTCGAACACGAAGAGATGGTGCAGGAGATGGAGACTCTCCGCAAGCTGCACGCGGAGAAGGAAGTCTCAGTCACTGAACTGACCAAGAACTACATGAGTCTTGCGCAGCGCCACGAGGCAACTCTTACCCAAGTTGAGGAGTTGAAACAGGAGGTGCAGAAATCTCAGAGGGCCCAGTCTCCGACCTTCCAGTCCTCCCCGGGTTTCTCCAAAAGTAGCTGGCGAAGGAGGTCTGACGATTTGCTTGGCGGCAGCTCTGATCGCGCCTCTCGCTCATTCGTGTCGATGAAGACAATGGTGCTGAGCAACTTCGGGGATCAGGCAGATGTGCGGCAAAACTTCGAGCAGCATCTGACTACCGTCATGGCTGAGCTGCACAACCGATCCGAACGTATGACTGCGCTGGAGTCGGAATTGACAACGATCAAGAAGGAGATGGAGAACAAGCAGCAGATCATCACCGGTCTCACCCGCGAACGCACCAGCTTAGCAGCAGCCCAGGCCTCAGGAGCGGACTTCTCCGTCGTTGGCCAGATGCGTGATCAACTTATGGAGAGTGAGAACCAGATCCGCATTCTACACGAGCAAAACATCGCTCGTGAGAAAGAGCTCCAGTCGGAAGTTGACAGCCTCAAGGCATCTCTTGCAGAGCACCAGAAGAATCTCTCGCACGAAAACAATCGGCTGCCAACTCCAGCTGAGGACCTGGCCTTTTCAGAAATTCCCGGCCAATTCCCGCAAACTCCTGCGCTTGAAACCGCATCCGACAAGCAGCTTGCAGAACCTCAGGCCGATGCAGGCGCAGCTCGCGCTTCTCGTATGGTGCAGATGGGCGAGATCAATCGACTCCAAAGCGAAGTTACGGCTTGGGAGAATAAGCACCGAGATGCCATGGATAGCATGACTGCCACACAAGCGGAGCTCATGAATACCATTACCGACCTTCAGCAGGAGCTGCACAAGGCAGAAAAGGGCGGTCTTTCTTCGAGGGCCGTTCCAGAAGCCGCGGACAGCCAGCAGCTCGTCGAGCATGAGATCGTCGAGCTGGAGCGCCAGAAGCATAGAGATATTGTCATGTCGCTTGAAGGCCAGATCAATGAGCACAAGAAAATTGCTGACGAGCGGGTGTCAAGGCTGGAGCAACTGCAGCAGGCATATGCTAATATGCTTCAACAAGTCGATGACGACTCCGAATCTCGACAACTCGCCGAGAAAGAGCTCGCCACGCATAAGGATCTCGTCTCAAACCTCGAGAATCAACTGCAAGTCCACAAATCGGCGATCACAATCCATCAGGAGAGCTTGGAATCGCTCCAATCGTCGCATACTAAGGAGATTGAGGATCTGACGGACTCGATGAACCGGCTTGAGAAGGAGTTAAACAATCGGTATGCTGCGGTCCAGGAACAGCATGAAAAGGACATTGCAGATCTTTCTGAGGAGTTGAACCTCGCGCGGAATGAGATGAGCAACCTGTTGCGCAATGCTGCGGCCGCTCTCGGCTACGAGACCGACTCTCGGAACTTGCAATCTCAAATCCAAGGCCTCGTTGAGGAAGGGAAGGAATTGCACGCTCGTCATCTGAAGACCACTAATGAGCTCAAAGCTGTGCAGGAGGAACTTCAATCTGCAATCAACCGCTCAGTGGAAATGGACAGCCAGATCACGGAGCTGAACGCCATAGACGAGGAGAAGAGCACTGCCTTGGCCAAGATGACCGAGAAATACAACAAGAGCGCAGCACTTGTCGACCAGCTTGAAGAGCAGCTTAACAACAACTTCGACTCGTACCATGCCACGAACAAACGCATGTCCAGCATGCAGTCGGAGCAGGTGCAGGCTCGCATTGAGCTGGAGCAGGAGCTAGAGGAGCAGCGAGTGAAGTACACGCATCTTCAGGTGAGCTCAAGCCGCGTTCTTTGTTTGAATCGACACTGACTCCTTACAGCAACAGCTCGACCAGTACAAGCACATGTCTGTCACCTCCAATGGCTCGTCGCACTTCAATCGCGACTCTCTCTCGCCAGACACCGCTGCCCAACAGCTCGTACGATCTGGTTCCGGCTCTGGTCAAGCTAGTCAGCGAAAGTCTGGCCCTACGGCTCTGCCCACGCCACCGCCCTCAATACCTCTCCCTCCCCTACCAGCTTCGCCCATCTTCGGCGGCTTCTCGGGCAACTCCTTGGATCGCAATGCATCCCCAGACCCGCGCGGTACTTCTCCCGTGCCTGGAGGCTCACCTCCTCAATCTCGTCATGCCTCCCATGAAGTCAGCCCGAACCCGGCTGCGGTGCAGCTTATTGAAGAACAAGAGGCGCGCATCCGTACTATCGAGAAGCACCTCTTTGCTGAGAAGCAGCTTACTGCCACACTGGAAGAGGCACTCGTCGATCTCGAGACATCGGCCAACCGCACCAAGTCGGAGATGGAGAACTGGCGCAAGAAGTGCCAGGGTCTTGAAGACGAGCTCGTCAGTTTGCGCAAAGAGCGCAGCAGCTCTCGGGCCAGCTTGCAGGCAGTCGAAGAAGAGCGTGAGATGAGAGTGCGCGCTGAGCGAGCACGTCAAGCGCTTGAGCAGCGCATGGCAGAGCTGAATGCCAATAAGAAAAAGAAGAAGGGCGGGCTGAATTGCTTCTAGGAGAAGCACGCTCGACGTCTGACTGCTCGCCACCGCCGAACACCATCCCACCCCAAGATGGTGTGCTGGGTCGGCTCCTGTTAAAAGTATTCCTTCGATTCTGCTTCCACCCTCGGAGGACCTGTCTTTCATACCGTACACCTTCTTCGACTCGACGGACCACATGCAGTACATGCACCGAAACACGATACCACACCGATTTGATCTTCTTTTGGGGTCTGCTTTCCACTGGAGTTATCAAAGGAACGGGACAGAAGACAAGAGGCTACGATGCCATGTGCGCATTTTGGAGAGCGACCAGTCTTGCGTTTTGTAATATTTGCTCCTGTAAGTTGACGCTATACCAGGAGTGTGTAGAATGAGATGGATTGAGCAGGGAAGAATTTGCTTTGCCTTCTGGGCCCTTATTTTCCCCCGAGAGCGTTTGTGTTGATTTTCGAAAATACCCTGCTGCTCATCGTAGCAATTCACTTCTTGTTCTAAGACTTCAGTGCTGCCACTCTCACTTCCTTCCACGATGTCTCGTGTAGCGATTACAAGCCAAATGCAAATGGTCGGAGTGGTCTGAGTCGTCTTCAACTCGCTCATAGTATTATCCCCAACGCTGTCCAGTCCGATGCAACAAATGTTGTGGCAACTGCATAGGCGGAACATCAACATCCGCCGCCAGATGACCCTGACTATTGGGACTGAAGAAGGGACTACTCCTCGGCGTCCTCCCCCTAGGCCTCTCGAGCAGCGTATAAAACTTTTTCAATTGAACCTCATCCCTACAAAAAGCCTTGAAATCCTTGATAATGCTCTCAACCAAATCCCCTTCCGTATTCTTCGAAGAACTCGAAATCCTACTCGAAGCAAGACGATTCGGAAGTAAGAGGAAATCGCTCGAATCACTCTGGTCCGTGATCTGAGCGAGAACGAGACCGGAATTGTGGACGAACTGTGTGTAGGTGTATGTTGGCGGGCCGTAAGAGTAAGTTACGTTTAGATCGGGTTTGAAAGAGGAAGCTGCTTCGTTGTCCATTGCGAAGCCCAATTTGCGCAGCAGAGCTTTGTAGTATGCTAGACGGTCTTCGACTTGGCGCTGGGAGGCATTATGGGGTTCGATGACAGGAGTTTGGAGGACGTTCTTGTCTGGTGGGCGAAGGGCAAGCTTGATCGGTTGAGGCTGATCGAAAGGGTGGTGTTCTCGGAATTTGGAAGCTTCTTCTAAAGGAACCTGGACGAGTTTGAGACCGTAGCCGTCTACGACGCCGGTCCAGCGGGAGATGGCATCGCGGACGAGTTTGGTGGAAGTTACGAGCCATTCAAGCTGTATGTGGTAACAATTTTCCGGGTTGTGGATGCGGTCGTAATGGAGTTTCACGACTTGTAAATGGTCGGATTTCCTTTGTGGATCCACGTTGTACAGCATCATCTGGCTCAGAAGGATTTGTTTCGTATCCGCCGGGCCTGTGATAGGTGTGCCGTGGCTGGATGAAGAGCTGGAGTCGCCGCTGACTGGTCTTAAAGCAGGCGACTTCATGGACTCTGCGACGGGAGTGGCCGGAACAGATTTCCAAGGTGCTTTGCTGAAGAAGCCTTGGGTGTCAGGATAGTCTGTAGTTCGATGAGCGCTAGAAATCTGGTAGAAATAGTGCCCGTCACGGAATTTGTGCTTCTGTCGCACATGGGTGAAGATACCACGCGACATCAGCTCGTTCCCAATAGCGACTGCATCTTCACGGTATTCAAGATCTTTGAAGACACTCAGCAGCCAAGTAGTCATCTCGTCTCCTCGAAAGCATTTCAGATGAGTGAGGGTCAGCCATCTACGATCTCGCATCTCAACGCCATATGGAGGAAGCTCTTGCATCTGCTTGACGAGCTTGGCGCTATCGAAGTTGCTGCTGTGGTGCTTCTCGGCCTCCATAAAAAGAGGAGTACTGAGCTCGCCATCCTCTAGAGGCGTTGCCAACAATGGGCCATGGGCATTAATGACGATGCTAGCGTCCTTGGTCTGATAGTCGATGGCCAATGGATTAGGGTCTCGTTCAGTAGTGGAGGCATTCTTTGCTTTCGTAAGCGAAACTTGATGCTGCTGATCTTCGGTGGAGTAGTAGCGTTGCCGTTGCCAAGTCTGCGTAAGTCTTTGAATACCCTCAATACGTCTCTCTTCATCCGACAGACCTCCCAAACGGGAATTATTGGACTTGTTCATATCAATGGGGATGAGCACGAATCGAACCTTGAAAGCGACGTTGAGATCGGGCATCGCACCCAGGCCGAGGATGTACTCGTCGAGCGGACTCCAGTCTGAAATGTCTGCCTCTTGATGGTACGTGATCTCCGGTTTGGCATTCATACCTGTAACAGTCCGCAGCTTGGGCTCATACGAGGTCAGATAGTGCTGCATCGCCTGCCCGACGCTTCCGATACCAGCCTTGGGCTGGTATTGAACGATTTGAACTTCGAAATCGGAAAGGCGCTGCACTTCGTGATAGTGTCGTCCAAGAGACATGAGCGTTGGCTTGTTCTGCGTTTGGTAGGTCTGGTCGCTCCCGCTGTTTCGGATGGTCACAATCTGCCACCCTCGTATCAAGCGCACGTCGATGAGCCTTTCCACCAAAATACGAGCAGCCTCGTCTTTGAGACTTGAGGAGTTGGAGAGTACGTGTCGACGCACTTTCTTGACGTAATGTGTCTCTAATTCAGACGCAGACGGCTTGTACTCGGCTGTCAGCGGTAGTGCAGCAGGCATGCACATGGAACTCCACTTGAAGGAGCCACGACTAACAGCTCTGGGAAAGACGTGCTGCCACTTGCGATACTGACTTGCCACTTTCATGTTGTCCCGTCGGGGGTTACATGGATTGAGTAGCATGACCCATGGAGAGAGCATGTCCAAGGTATCGTTGAGCGAGCCTTTACGCGCAAAGAGATGGCCGGCCTTTGGTGTTGCAGATAGCGAAGTGTCGTTCTCAAGCACAGTGCCAACCATTGTGTCTGCGATTTTCTGCTCAACATCGCTTGCCGGATCTCGAATCTCCGGTCGACTGTTTTCATTTCCAGCATTGATTGCGATGGGCTGAGAGTGGAACTCATCAGGATTGCTCACTCGGGAAGCTAAGCTTTGCTGTGAGGGCTTCTTCGCGAGAGATGCCCTGATGGCTCTGGCCAGACCACTGGACGTATCTGAAGGCATGAACGAACCCGGACCGACGTCCTTGTTCTGCTGCGCATAGGTTACAGAAACAGTCGTACTTGCGACTCCTCTACTAGGGGCAAGTCCTTTTGGCCCTACGCTAATCTTGCGGCCGATCTGCATCAGCGGGTGGGGTTTGGGTCGCTGGCGTTCCGGCCGATTTACAGTCTCTTTCACGGGGCTCGTGATGCTCGACGTCGGGCTCTCTGGAGGCGGTGGTGGCGACGGCTCTCTGTGCTTTTTGGGCGACTGTCTCGACATCGGAACAGCTATTGGGACACCTTTCATGGTCTCAACCGAGCCGGTTGGATCTGAGTTTGAGAGGCCGTTCACCATCTGAAGCGCTTCGCTCGCTTTGCCAGTCTTGTCTTCGAAGACTTCGTTATCATGATAATCCATAGTAGGGCCGTCCACCTCACCCCAATTGCTCTCTCGCAGGACGGGTAAGGAGATATCGTTGACGGGTCCATTTGGCTCACACAAAGCCCATGTGGAAGCTTGTACGTCATGCGGTTGCTTCCAGAAAGAGATGTCGACCCAGTGCGGTAGGGCGTATTCTGTGATTCCAGCATGCTCATACTTGAACAGAGGCACAGGATGGAGAGGCTTTGATGCCAAGGCAACGATATCGACACCGATGCTGTTGCCTACTAGTAGATCTGTTGTCTGTTTCAGCAGAGTGTGATCTGCTTCAAACAATCCCGCTCCGGCGGTCACCGCGATGATCGAAGTACCAGTGCTCATCAGATAGGCGTCCGTTTGATCATCTGCATAATCTAACGCAGTCAGATGAATAGCCTCCAGAATATTGCTCTCCGCCGCGAGTGATACGTTGCGCGGGAGGTGATAGTCATTGAGAGCTTTCTTCACCTTTCGGACGATATGTTGCCATGAAGAGCTGGCGCCTTCAGATTTGAGCACGTGGAAAAAGTCTTCGCCTGGGTGTTCACCTTGGCTATCCCGCTTTCCCTGGGGGGCAGCTGTACGTATGCGGCCGAAGCAGATGATAGAGACCTGGTGCTTGACTTTGAGCGATTCCCACCTCTGAAATAGCTCGGGGAGGAAGCCATCCACCAGCCTCTCATACATGAGCTCGCCGTTGGTCCAATTTTCGAGCATTTCTTGGGATATTTCAACCAGTATTGCGTACCGGGCGCAGCCGCTCCGGAATATGGGCTTCGTGTGAGGATGGATGGAGATGGCTGACTCTACCTCCCTTCCGGCGATATAGACCTGCTTCACCTCTGCACATTCGGTGTCCAGGTAATTTAAGATCTGTCCCTGGTATATGACCGTGTCCTGCACACATCCCATGAGCTGCCACATGTCAGCTCTAGACAATAACTGATCACGGAAAAAGAGCTCCACGTGGGTGGCAGTGGCGGAATCCACATCTTCGATGATTTGGATTCTGCCTTGGGTACGATTCTCGAAGCCGAAACGCGCTGCAAGGCTGATGTGGATTGAAACTTCGGTCGAGTTGATGGCGAGGCCAGCGGGGGCGATGCACAGCTTCCTCGCCCCCGGAGCCGTGAGCCAAGCAAACTCGCCCACATGTAGAACTCGGTTGCCGGCCAGAATGTCGACTCTGGTAACGCGGTCGTCGTGGAGCACAATCGTGCATGGCTTCGCCTCCTCCTCCTCCTCCTTCTCCTCCTCGATGGCCATGTCGATCTCACGTTGGATGGATCTTGCAGCGGGTGACGCCTATCTGCCGGACAGCAGCAGGCCAGTATCGCTCCAGATAGAACATCCTCGTCCAGGCGGAAGGAATCCCATTGACGGCTTGCGTCGTGTGTTTGTCGTTCCCAGAACTCCAGCGAGCTGATCAAAGGCCGAATAGCATCATGGGCATTGACCGGGATCAATTGAGCGATGCATGAAATGCTAGACGCGTGACGCCAAGTGAAAGGTGAGGTGGCTTTGTATCGGAAAATTGTTTCTCCGACCGGACGTTCCGGGACGTGCCGTCCCTTCACGCTGTGCTTGGGGATTGGTCGGCCAAGCGAGCACAGGCAACGTCAGACGGACATGGGGTTGCCGTTGCTGCACTTCTGCCACAACTCTCTGCAAACTTCTTGTATGTCTACCTTCTTGTACACGTTCTTGTAATACCAATCACACTCTCTAGAAGATGCGCCTCTTGACCTCATTAGCAGGGGCTCTCGCGCTCGTGAGCCATGCGCACGCGCATGGCGACCATGCTCACCAAGCGGCTCCCTCGGTAGCAGCAGATGCTTCCTGGGCAGAGAGACATATGGCTGGTGAGCATGGACACTTGGACTGCCACCTTGATGAACGCCGGTTGCTGACTGACATACATAGAGGAACACCACATCTCTGCCTTCGATGCCGGCTCCTTCTTCAACCTCCACGACTACGACAGCAGCAACGAATGGACAAAAGACGACCTCCTCAAAACCTACGGTCTCAAAGACCCCTCCACCGCCCACATCTCTGATGCCGAAAAGTCGGCCGCCATCGACCGCGTAATCAATACATTCGACCGCGACAGGAGCGGAACAGTCTCCTTCGCAGAATTCACCATGGGCGATGCGCAAGGCCTCAAGCTCCCTGATCTCGGATATGGACCCGGCCACCACGGAGACGACGAGTACGAGTATGAAATCCACCATTTCGAGAAATATCACGGAGAAGACACGACGGAAGAGGATCTCATTCACCCGGAAGATATTGAGCATTTCAGGCATCATGAAGAGATGGAAATGGCGCAGGAAAGGCAAGAAAGGTTGGATAAGATGAGTATCGTTGAGGCGAATATCCCGAGCAAGTTTCGCAAAGAATTATAAGCTTCCTACAATGCGATTCACTTCTGTAACCGCCGAGGAGCTGGAGCGGGCCAAGGACAGGGTTGTTCCAGGGAATGTGAGATTTGAGCGAGAATGGGGCTACGTCTTCTGCGGCGTCATAGCATGGGTGACCTTTTGGCACATGGCAGACAGGTATCAGGACAGACCGCATACGCAAGTCTTATCCTGGCTCGCGGTGTTGGCGGCGATATTGGTGGTGGGGTATGTATAGACGAGAGCATGTGAAGGGATCGGACCAACAGAGAAAAAACAAGGGACGGAACAGAAACCCCACAGTAATAGGAGGTAGCAAGCCGCTAGGATGGTGGTCCACATTCGGGACGTATAACCAGATCTATCACGCAATGCATCACGCCTGGAGCATAGTTCTTCAGGCGATTAATGTATTCGACTTGGACAGAGAAGGTCCCTTTGGCTTCCACAATTTGTACGACTGTTTGTCTGGTATCCTCAGCCTTTTGATTGATTTCTTCGACCAGAAAGTTTTCGTGATAATGGATCCAGCCCGGCAAGCTGAGGTCCAACACATCCACCGCAATCTCCAGAGAAGAAGTCGAGTTCGGCAACATGCCACAATTGACATGCCTGATGGGAGGTAAAGACTTCCTCATGGCTTTGACACTCGATGGTGCACGCTCATTGCTTTGATTGAAAACGAGTAATCGGGAGTCATGCCTCGCAGCACTTGTCAAGTCCTCGTCCTCTCCATTCACCAAGATAGCCTCCCACTTATTCCTCCTCGCCCCTCGCAACAAGCCCTCACAACTCCAAGCGTTTAAATCCCAGCAAAGCACCTTCCCTATGCCGGCCTTCACATAGGAAAACGCAAAATATCCGATCCCAGCATACAGATCCACAGCCGTACCACCCTCCTCAGCAGCTTTCTTGACCGAAGCCAAGTCAAGTAATCTCGCTTTCTCCGAAATATTCCCTCGTGAGAACATCGTCCACCTCGGAGCCCAAGTCTGATAAATCCCATTCTGCTTCGCGGTAATCCAGAATGCAGACTCGAAATCTCCTCTTGCAGGAGGCGAATGGCACGTTGAAGGACCGAAATCTCCGTGCAAAGGTGTGAAATTTGAAGGGCTGCGGAGGATGTTGAAATCCTTCTCTTCATCACCATCTTCCCGTTCTCCCTCGATTTGAAGGTTCTTGTGCAGCGGGATTGGCTTGTTGATTGCGATATGCGTTACTTTGAGATGACTTGATATGCACTTGTACAGTTCGATGTTAGGTTCAAGGTCAGTCCATTCCGGTCCTTGAAAAGCGGTTGGTGGGAGTAGGAGCATGGTGCCATAGATGGTATAGGATTTGTTGAGCTTCTTGGTCAGGGCGATGAGGGCTCCTGGAGAAGCCGAGGTATGCGAGAGCCATTGTGCCACTGCGCGATCCATCCGGGAATGATGATCTTGATGGTCGATCGATGGTATCTCGCCTGGACAGTGCGGGTGGATGAAGTGCAGGATTTCTTGTTGCCTGAGGCAGGAAGATTCGCCTGATCTCGCTTCGTCTTTCGGATCGACCAATTCACTCTTCTGACCACAGCAACTCATATTGGGCGAAGTTACTCGACTCGCAGATCGAGTCGGAATCTGTGGCGTAGTTGGCAACATGATGGACTTTGTGCTGCGCTGACCATCCATGTTTGCAAAGTTTGTCTGGACAAGTCACTGCTTCTGACGTGTGTTATAGTGTTTACAGGATCACCTACCCAGGCCATGCAACGTTCGACGTTGTGTTCCACACAGGCTTCTATATCGTTTCATACCGAATTTGCCTCCCCTGGCGGTCTTTGGCCCTGGATACACCCATAGCAGGAGCCAGAGAATGGCCCAATGTGCCCAGTGTGTCGACACTCGACCGGATTGCCGCAAGACAAGCCTAACTACAGTCCTCAGGTAATAGAATCTGGCACTGGTGTGCAAGACGCCGGAGACCTGGAGACAATCGCAATATTACTTCGGAGACAGGGACATCGTCCTGTCGAGGGATTTGGTTTTCGGAAAGCGGACACCTTCCCCATGAGCCATATGGCATTTCTTGCCTTTTAGACATCACTGCTGGCGTTGGGTTGGTCAATTGCATTGCGAAGCATAAGAAACCTTCGGAATTGATGTCACTGTAGTCTCAATCACGGTGGCGAATCCGAAGCAGAGCCGCTATTCGTCTCTCATGTATGTCATTCAGCTTTGGAGCTCTCAGATCTCAGTACCTCGACATGGGATGCGGCCCTATGGAGCCACTTGATCGGCTGGCCCCAGAGTTCCAACTCGAAAAAGAGGCAGAGAATCGCAAAAAAAAGCTCGTGGCCCATGCTCTGGCCGTGAAAGGGCTCATAAAGCGTCTTGGCTATGATCCCTCCAGCCGTCCCGGGAGCGGCCTAAAGATTCGAATACATGTGGAGTGGTATGGCGAGAAGGATGGCATACTGAATGAGATCCCCGAAGGCCAGCGATCTCAGGGCTCACCATCTCGAAAACCATTCGAGACGGGGAGACTCGTAGTGTGGCGGAGGAATAGAAGCACACCTAGACTCTCAGAAGTTCTGGTCTCTTCTGGAGTTTTCATAGTGGGCGACGGACGTCACATTCGAAGAGCGAGAGACCTTCGCCACGTCTACTATCCTGTGAGCTTTGGAAGTACGCATGATGTTTTGATTGGTTATGTTCACTTTGCGAATCCATTCGACAGACGATTAAATGGTGATTGAGCGCTTGCCGGTGACCATTGACATTATTCTGCTGTGCACAGATAAGGCCCACGATTACTGGACCCTTCTTCAGGACAGGACACGTTGCTCAAGGTCTGGACAGTCGCTCGTATATTGCATGATACTATCTACATTGCCGTTGCTGCAAAGTAAAAGGGATCCTTCTGTTAGAACAAGTTTGAATCCAATGAAATAATGTAGCATACGCGACGAACGACTTGATATCCCAAACGCCACGCTCTAACCGCAAAGACAAACAATCAGACCTCTGTCTCACTTTCGCGCCGTCGGATTCCAGCTGGAGTACTTGATCATTTGTCTTGCGTGGCCATACAGACCCATGATCGCCATCAAGATCAAGTAAGGGATGTATACAATCGAGAAGACGAGCATAGACCATCTTGAAGTAAACTCCGATCGCACTTTCTCGGTGAAGTACAACGTGAAGAGCAAGGCGATGACGGTGGCGAAGAAGAACCATTCGGCCATGGGGTACCGGAAGAAGATCAGCTTCACGAATTCGCCTACGTTCCGGGGCCAGTCCGTGATGATGAAGCTCAACAGAAGACAGGTGTGCATGGAGACGAGGTAGTAACTGATCTCTCGAACAAGAAGGAGGGAGACGATTCCGAAACGTTCGTCGGCTCCCCGCTTGCCATTTGGTGGGTTCCTCCAGGCCAGCGGCATGTGTACATAGGAAGCTTGAGTCCAGCCTTGTGCCCATCGTAATCGTTGCTTCCAGAAAGCGGCGAAGGTATTCGGTGCCATTTCGAACGAACTGACGTTCATGTCGTGAACAGCTCTCTTGCCCTTGCCGTAAGCGCGAAGTGCAGAGTCGATGTCTTCTGTGAGCATCTCGCCATGCATCTTGTGCTCTCGAAGTAGAGGTGCTTTCCAGTAACCATTACTGCCACAGAAGAGACCAAAGCCGAACATCCTGCTACGTCCCGGATGAGAGATGGCATAGATCTTGTCGAATTCGACTGCGATCATCTTGGCGTAGAAGCTTTCATTGGTGTTGTAGACGATGCAGCGTCCCTGAACGATGTCGACAGTCTCGTCAGCCAGGAAGCGCTCGGCTGCCCATCTGGGATTGTGTGGATGAGGGCAGTGGTCGGAATCGAAGATGCCAATGACTTCAGCATCGGACTTTATGTTGAAGAAGTAGTTGAGATTGTCAGCCTTGGATTTAGAGCCCGGAACCTTGATCACACGCAGGTTCTTGTACTGCTCTGGCAGCAGAGAGAGCTCAGTCTCCAGTGGTTCGATTGGCTTTGGAGTGTTGTAGACCAAATTGATTCGAAGTTTGTCCCTGGGGTAGACCACTTCCTCGCAGGCGTACAAGACTTGATTCCGAATGATATCCTTTTCGTTAGGAAGGTACGCGACAATGACCATGTCGATGATTGGTAGATCCTTGACTTTGCCATTCAAGTCACTTGGAAAGAATCCTCCATTCTTCTCGACCTCCATCGAGGTTGCGCGTGCCTCTCGTACAGGGGTCATACCAAGAAACGACTCGACAACGCAAGCAGCGGCGATGTAGAAGTTGGCTGCCATGTAGAAAAAATAGAACACCTTGATAGCTGCCGCGTTGCACATACAAAAGATCGCAGTTGTCACGACGAAGTATGTAAAGACCATGCAGAAGGGTGTCCAGTCCAGTATCCAGTCCGAGAATGCTGTTGTGCCTCTGCGAATACTGCTGGCGACGCTTGATGTGACTGAACGGAACGTTGACTTGCTTCGAGAAGAGGCTTCGTAATCGGGGCGTTCGGCATCCTGCCTTGAGGTAGAGAGACCGTTTCTCGAGAATGGCAGCATGACGGTTAGAGCTACCAGTCATGCGAAGTAAAGATAGATTCTGGGGAATTGGGTGTTGGCAGAGCGGATGGCTTGGTGTATTTGCTTGCTGTACGAACGAAGGGTGCGACGAGCGATAATAGCGAAGAAGCGCTGGAGCAATGACAATCACCTCTAGGCGAGAGTATTGTCAATGACCAATGTGACTTTGTGCGTGAGACAAATGATGGCGGAAGGCATCCATCACGAACTTATCAAACTGCAAGACATAATCCGGTCAGACGTTACACGATCGAGGATTCAGAACTATGGCGAATCAGCCAGAGTATGTTCAGATCTTCAGATCTTCAGAACCGTGCCTGCAGGATGGCCAATCTGCTATTGACACTAGACACATTGACATGCTAGAGTTGACACCGACATCAACGAAGACGCATTCGGTTCCGGTGACTCCGCTCCTTCTCTGGGCGGAGAGACAGACTGCCATATTCGTCCATTTCGAACGATGCTAGCGGTCAAGAGGCCGAGTCGATCTCATCATCGGGGTGCAACACGTTTGGAGCATTTGAGACAGCGATTACTGATGAGGATGTGATGGATCCGGTAGTGCATGGAGTGGAGACTCTGTGAGTTGAATTGGCCATGTCGACAGTAGTGGTAGATCTCGGAGTGAACCGATGCACGCCACAACTCTAAGGGAGACCTCAAGTCTCCCCATTACCGCCCATATGGATCGCGCGATCTTCACAGATGCATCAGTCCTGGATACTTGACTGCAAGACATGATTGAGGACAGATTGATCGGTACTGGTGCTCTGCTGTACCAAACTTCGACCGGGTTGGAGTCGAATCCGAATGTTTTCCCAAACGCGCCAGGAAGCGTTCTCACATCCTCGATCCGCTCAACCGTCAGCAGGAATGTTTCATACGTTGTGTCAATTTTCGAGGAGTGGTCATCCTCACAGTCCTCGGCATCACTCCTCGTGCATGCCGAACGACACCTTCCCGTGTGCGCAGCCTTGCAAGAGCTTCCGCTGCCTGTCCTTGTATCCACGTTGACGGAGAAGTCATATCCGATGCCAAGTTCACGTTGTTCTCGCGCGTGCGGGGATCAGCACTTCGTGTGGTCTTGAACCGCGTGTTCAACAGTCACGTCTCCGTTAGTGAGTGGCAGGTCTCATGCGAACTTCACTTGATGTCTGCATCGATCTTCAATTCCGGCTTATCCATTCTGCTGTAGCGCATCCTTCCGTGACCCTGCGAACGCCCGTATCGCTACCAGGAATTCTTGTGGGACTCAGACTTTCTGGATCGGACAACTATTGACGATTACGGTGCGTGTTTGTTTCACCCTTGCCACGTCTCTTGTCACCTCGATCCTGACGTCCAAGCTGAACTGCATTGCCGGCCGGTCGTTTGAAATGGCACAATGGAGAAAAATAGCAACTGTCGACACTTGCTTGACCACACCGCGCTGCCCTCACAGAGCCATCGTCTGTAGCAAGCTGACGGTCAGGTCATGATGGCGACAGAACAGAACACCTTTGGAATGAGCGTCCCTCCGGCTGAGTCTGGCAGGCCTACGAACGATGACACGACAACGCAGTCCAAGACAGGATTCACCGCGACTTTGCGGGAAGTCACCACGGCGAATCGCTCTGGTCAGCATCTGTACATTACCGGTCTTCGAGGAGTCCTGGTGATTGAGAGCTTCTTCTGGACGTATTTCTTCACCTTCATTCCCACATTGGCATCCAGCGCAACTCCAGGACCGACGTACCAAAATCTGCTGCGGGATGTCTTCAGCGTGCCACTATGGAATCCCAGCCTCATCTACAATTCCTTCGTTATCCTCTCGATGCGGACGATCCCTGTGACGTTTCTGCAGAATCCGACCGGTCAGGTCTACGCGGCGACAGTCATCCGAAGGATTGTCCGCATGGTGCTCATTCTCTGCGTCGGATCCGGAATAGCCACTGCAATCTTTTCACAGATTGGAGTCAACTTCATTGACGACTTCAAGACGAGGCTGCCGAATCAGTCCATGCAGACTCCGGTAAAGGTACACGATGCAGTCGCTGCATGGAATTCGTTGTACAACTTGTTCTGGCTCACGACCGATTTCTTCAGCCAGGCGGCAAATTCTTTCTGGCCAACCGGCACTTTGTGGGTGTCTTCCATCGTCTACTTCCAGGTACGCGCTCGAGATGCATCGTCCATCAAGAGCAGATCAACAGCTGATAGTGTATAGTCGTTCACGGTGTACTTCATCATGGTCATTTTGCCATACACTCGCGCAAAGTGGCATCTCAAAGGGCTTTTCTTGTTTGGATTCGGCTCATTCTGGATGGGTCACTGGGGCTGGTACAGCGTCACCGGCCTGTTCTTCGCCGATCTCGCGATCGACCCCATTCTGAAGGCGGAGTTGAAATCGGGATTCAAGCTCAAAGACGATTGGCATATTCCGTACTGGGCCGCTGCTGTCGCTTCCGCCGCGACTGGCATCGCATTGAAGTACACCTTCGCAGTGCTTCCCCAGTTCGTGGACAGTTTGCTCGTCTTACACCCATTCTTGGATCTGTCGGAGTCGACCAATCGCCAGCAGTACGCAGAAATGGGGCCATACGCGCGCCTTGATGATTGGCTCATCATCATTGCAGTCTTGATTGCCGTCGAGTCATTCGAGACGGCGCAGTACTTGCTCTCCTTCAAGCCGTTGGTATACCTCGGCGAACGATCGTTCAGTGAGTAAGGGTGGTGATGGCAGAAGGCTGGAAGCACAGCTAACCCAGCGCTTTGCAGGCATGTTCGCCGCACAATGCATCTTCTTCTGGACCGGAGGCATCAAGCTTTGGCTCGTGTTGCACGACGACAGAGGTGTCAGCACTGCCGGCGCCAACGCTGTCGTTTTCATCACCGGCTGTCTAGCGGTTGGCGTCTTCAGCGAACTCTTCTACAGAATTTTAGACTTGCCGTCCAGGTGGATTGCAAAGCGCACATATACCTGGCTGGTCAACTGAGCGCTCAGAAGAGGTTTTGGCCGTATGATAGTGGATCATGCCATGCGCCTGGTCTCAGCATGCGGTTAGAACAACGGTATACCTGTGAGTCGCAGGAGAGTCTGCTTGCCCTGTAAATACACCAATCTGATCTTTTGCTTCTCACTTCAACCTGTCGTCGTCTCTTGCCGTATAGCGTGAGGAGATGCAGAAGTCGGCAGTATCGAATGGTATCGTGTGGCAAGAGAGGAGTCGAGACCCTGGTACGGGTACGGATACGGGTGCGGGTACAGGTACGGGTACGGGTACGGATAGGGGACGGGACGGGGCGGGGCGGCCCTCCCATACCGCCCGAACCACCGATCTCAACACCTCACCCTACGTAAAAATTACATGCTGCGAACACCTGCAACGTGCCTACGGACGTACACATCCACGTTGCTGCGATCACCATGTCGCGCGCATCGAAATCCTCATCTCCGCGAGTTGCACGAGCCTGTGGAAAGAGAGGCGACCGTCAGTCTTCGTGCACTAGCCACAGCTCACTGTAAAAGATGTGACTGATCGTCAACACATCAGCCTCACATGGAGCGTCCGTTGGTCGAGCAGACACCGTCTCACACTCACAAGACGGCTAGGGTACATTAGGACCAACACCTTCTAAGTCAAGCACTCCACGCATCAGCTCCAGGATCGACAGCATGGCGACAAAAGCTATACCAAATCCGCCCCATGACACCCCCATTTGGGCGCCGATTGTCTCGTCTGTACCGACCCAAACTCTACCCAAATGAAACATACTTCTCTCGAAACTCATCCTTCTTGAAGCTAATTTTGCTTGGATCAGCTGAAACTCCCTGTCCAATAGCTTCTTGCTTCGTCGCTGGCCCAGCAAACCACCACGCGTGCACTGTCTCGTACGCGCCTCACTTGGTGGAATCGATACGGTGACCTTACTGGTCAAATCATCGATTCGCATTGTGCCAACGCAATCGGCGTCGGTCCGGATGGGGTCATTTTGATCCTTGCCAACAACATTGGTGCTGCGTGGCTGCATGTCCTCAGCGCCCAGACGTCATGCGATTCCCAGTCTGCTCCGGATTTCGGGAGCAACGAGTTTGCTACTCAGCATTCGTGTGGTTGGGACCTTGCGAGACGAGGACGTCTGTGACATAAGCCTTCTTCTTCAATCTCCTTGCGTGTTGTTGCCTCCCAACATGTTTGCATTGCTCGACTAAACAAGCGGCTCTCCTTTGTCTCGTGGGAGGTCAAGCCTTGCGTTGGCCATTACGCCCTGCCATAATGTTGTGCCTTGTAGTGCTTCCATTACTTTGGCGCCTAGTCGAAGGTGCTAACAGTAACGTTACGCTCGCAAGCGACTGCTCTTGCGGCTTTCAGGACCCCACTACAAAGGATCTGTTTACCGACTCCATCATACTTTATTTCAATGAGACCGGCGTCGACACGAATGTCTTCGAGATCCGAAACTATCAGAACAAGAACCAAAAGGGATGGAACACGGTCTTCAAGCAAGGAGCCCGGCCTTCGAATGTGTGGATCGGCAACAACGACAGCCTGCCATGGCAAGATGCCGTTGACGGAACGCAGCCGAGCTTGGAGATGTATCTCGATGCCTTGGATCAATACCAGCACCGATCCCAAGGAGCCGAGCTTCGTTCACTGCGACGCGACATTCTGTACGGCACCTTTCGGGCTTCGATGCGATCCGCACAACCATGGGTGGGAGGCAGCGCGATGTCCATGTACTTGCAATACAACAGTACTCAGCAGCTGTACCTGGACCTCCTCAACATGGACTCGGCCAATGCAGCGCGGGTGATGCAGACGATCAACGGAGAGTGGCCTGACAATGAGATCGCCGTGAACTACACTCTCCTTCAGGAAGGCGACCCGCCCAAGATCCCTCCGCTTCAGCCATGGGACTTCCTGGATACAAGAATCGACTGGGGCAATCGGACTGTCGATTTTTGGATTGGCCAGAACCGGACGCGACACGTGACTAAGGACGATAGAACACTACCGACGACTCCAGAGTCACTCTATCTGTCTCACTGGTCGACTGGAGATGCGAACTACATGCAAGGCCCGCCGCCCAACCGAACAGTGGCAAACGTGCGTTGGATTCGCGCCTTCTTCAACAGCTCCACCATGACTGCGGATGACCACAAGAGGTGGGATCAGAAGTGCAATGCTGAAGAAGCATGTTCGATAGACGACGTGACATTGCGGGGATCTACAGCGTATTCGCCCGCATCTACAGTCCCCTGGGAGCTGCCAGTGCTGCATTCGCACATTCGTACTGCCGCCGGATATGTTGCCGCCGCATTCAGCTGCTTCGGGATTGCAGCAATCTTGAACGCTCTCGTCCGCCGTGGCCCATGGTACAGGCTGAAGAACATCAGGCTTCCTGGGACCCAGAGGGAGTCTCTACATGCGCTACGGCAGTCGCTGCGCCGGTCTATGCCGCACCATCACCACTCTTCGAGAGATTATCCGCTTCGTCCGCTTCGCTCGATCTCGCAGACGGGCCTTGTGCAGGCATCTGGGTCGGAGACCCCAGTCCCTGGCTACACCTTTGCACCAAATGGTTATACATCAACTGGACAGAACTCTGGAACCATGACTCCCCTCCCACCATATGAAGACAAGACGGGCTCTCCATGGCAACCGTCAGCGGCCCACTCCCGCAAGTCTTCGTCGATCAACCAGCCTCAGTCCAAACTCAGCCCCAGCTTGATCACTCCGTCACCAGGACACTTACCCGCTATCAGAGGAGCCCGGGCCTCAGCGTACGAACGCGAGACAGATGTCAGCACCGAGCGCAACCGAGCGCTACTGGAGCTCGGGGGTACCAGCACTCCGAGTGACGATGAGATCAGACCAGCTGGTCCTTCCCTTGATTCGAGGCGATCGCACTCGTCAGCGGAGAGAAGAGAGATGCGTCCTGTCGGCGAAGAAAAGCAAGGTAGTTTCATGGACCTTGAAGACGGCAAGTTGGACGAGAAGGCGAACGACCGGTATCGGGCCCAGCACGACGAAGGCAAGACATCCTTCCATGTTGCCCCGGCGCCCCAAGATGAGTCTGTTGCGCGCGTTCTGATGCAACCTGGACCTGTGCCCGATGCTATGATTGGCGCAGCGAGTGCAGAGCCACGAACCGAGCAGCCTGCCAAGGCGCCCAATCAACCGCAGCAGCGTATTGACTATCTCGCCGGGCTGGTCGCGATATGCTGTGTCATGGTCACTGCCCGTCACTTCACGCTCACCTTCTGGCCATATATACCCGAAGCTCAGGGGGAAGTGAAGCACTTTGCAGCAGATGAGATCCTGTCCCCTATCTTCGGGCCGTTTATACTCACGCCGCTGTGGATCGGACCTTTCTTTGTTACATCTTGTCGATTCTTGGCCCAGCGGTATCTCAGGACCGGAAAACTCAACGACGTCGCCAACAAGATGCTTCTACGTGCGCCTCGCATGCTGATCCCTTGCTTCGTCTTTATAACGCTGGAGTACTTTTTGATCTCGCTGGGATTGACTTCCCGGTTGCAATGGCTCCCGAGCGTCTCCTACAGCACCTGGCCGTATGTCGTACCGCAACCCAACTTTGGCGTCTTCCTCAACGAAGGGGTGGAATTGGCGTACATCACGCCGAACGCGGCGCCCGAGATCATCAACCATTATTGCGTCGGTGTGCTCTGGACGATTCCAGTACAGCTCCAATTCTCCTTCGTCACCCTTCTCGCGACCGTCTTGATTCGGGACGTCAAGAAGCCCTGGAAGCGCATGCTCTTCTACACGCTCACCATCGTCCTCGGGTGGTACGCGAACAGCTGGTCGGCTTGTCACTGGCTCGGTCTCCTCCTGGCGGACGCCGACATCACGTACAACTGGATCAAATGGACCCAGGCACGGTGGTGGCGGCTCTATCCGGTTCTCTTCCTCGCCGCCGGGCTGGCTGCCACCACGCCGTTGATCAATCTCTTCAATTCCGACATTTACTACTTCTCCTTCTCTTCGTGGGAGAACGGCATCCGACCCGATCCCACGACCGGTCGGCCAATCCTGGAGACGGTCCCGAGTATCTACTATGCCTACCCACCCTACTACACGCCTAGCTTGTCGGTCCTGACCTTCTCCGCGGGACTGCAGGTTTGCGTCGAGCTTTCCACCTGGGCGCAGAAATTCTTGAGTATGAAGGTCATCACGTTCTTCCATCCGCACATCATGACCATTTACCGTAAGAGGCTTCCCCCTCCCCCTTTCATATTCTATCACAACTCCTCGGGATCTCACCTAGCTAACGTTTTCGTTCAAACAGTAATCCACGGCTTCATCTTCTGGTCGCTCGGGTCGTACACGGCCGTGGCGCTGAGCTCGACGGATCTCCCGTACTGGGCGATCCTGATCATCATCGCGCTCGTCTGCTACACGGTCATCTTCCTCGTGACGGTGCTCACCACGCCCATGATTGAATTCGCGACCAAAGGGGCGACGAAGAACATCTGGCGGTGGGCGACGGAGGCGCCCGTGCCGCATCGCAATACCACGGCTCCCTTCACCAAGGCGATTGTGCTGGACCGTGAGGGGGAGGCGGAGACGGCGGAGGGGGAGACGACGGAGACGAAGAAGGGTTGGACGACGGCTTAGTGGGCGGTCGTGGTCGTTGTTGTGGTCGTGGAGGCTTTTGTGACATGTAGTCGGAGCGTTTGTTCCGGGCGTTTGTATGGATGGATGGATGTATGTATGTATGCGATGATGAAAAAATCTCGCGCGAGTGCTTTGTATATATATATAAGGTATTCTTTTTGCTCAACATTTATCTGTCACTGCGCAAGCATGCATGGGGATGCAACACAGGAACTGAAATCTCATCGTATATAGTCGAGACTTTGTCCACTACGCCATCTGCACTAAGGAATGCCATGCCATGCCCATCGCATCGGTCTTCGGGGGGTACTCCTCCTCCTTCTCCGACGACGACGACACTCGCACTCACTCGCATGTTTCGTTCGTTCGTTGCGATCCTGCCTGCTTGCTGTTGATGATCCATTCTTTTTTTTTTTTTTTTTTTGAAATCGTAATGTGAATTTCTTTGCCGCTCATCCCATCCAATCCAATCCAAGCCAATCCAATCAATCCAATCAATCCAATCAATCCCCTCCCTCAATTCTCCATCATCATCATCATCATCATCATCATCATCTCTAATACCAACCCTTCCATTCCCAGGGCAAGGCAGCCACGTAGAAGGGCGCTTGGCCCTGCGCGAGATTGCAGTCGCCGTGCGCGTGCTGCAGGTATTTCACCTCGGCGCCTTGGATGTCGCATGCGAGAGTCGTCTGGTTGGTGATGTGTGCCCATCCGTATAGACTGTTGGGAGAAAGAAAGTTAGCGTCTGCGATGATAACCACAATAATAGTAACAGCCATGACCACAACCATGACAATAACAATAACAATAACAACAACCCCCCCCTAATAAGCATAACCATAATAAAAACCATAAAAACCATAATAAATAACAACACCACCAATATCTACCAACAACAGATCGGTGAATGGAGAAAAAGATTGAAAAAAAAAAAGAACATACCTCGTCTCATTCCCCCACAGCTCCTCGCGAACTTCGAGACTGAAATTGCCAATAGAAAAGTACTCAAAGAGCTTGAAGCTGAAGACGCTGCCTCCGGCACCTAAATCGGCACCAGGGGCATCGCACTGCAGCCATCCGCCGGTGGGGGCTTCGACGGAGTAGGCCTGTGGCTGGGCCCAGGAGTTGTCGCCCCAGGAGGCCCAGCAGTGGCCCGTCTGCAGGGAGTGGGAGTTGGTGGAGGAGAGGTTGAAGATGAGGTGGTAGTAGTTGGTCTGGCCGTCCGGGTTGCCGTTGGGCTGGTGGGTGGTGAGGGAGGGGATCTGGAAGGGGCGCCAGGTTGGGCCGGCGAGGGCGGTGGAGGCGAGGGTGAGGAGGGTGAGGAAGAGGGAGGCGGAGGAGGAGGAGGAAGAAGAAGAAGAAGAAGAAGAAGGCATGATTGGTATGATGGGTTTTGGAGAGGGTGGGATGTTGTTGGTGGGTTTGTTTTGTAGTGAGCGGAGGATGTGGATGTGGATGAGGTCTGTATTGCTTGATTCTGAAGCGCTGAAAAACAGAGAGGAATCGACGGCCTACTTATCCTCCTCTCCCCAAGACAAGACAACATCTCTTCCCGTCCGTCCGTCCGTCCTATCCAAGCGAGAAGGAGCAGACGTCGGGCGAGGGCTCAGCAGCAGCAGCAGCAGCAGCAGCATCCACCAACGTCGCATCCATCCATCCATCCATCGAATGACCCTTGCCAGGAAAGTGTGTGTGTGTTGTGTGGATGGTTGCGAGCGAAGCCCAAAATACCAGCAGTGTCTTTGCTGGTGGTATGCACCGCGGTAACGCTACACGAGGAGACGCAGCTATCCGCCGGGCCCTGCCTGCACACGCGCACACACGGTCTCACGGTCTGTCGAGTCGCATGTCGTGCAACCAGAAAGTTGAAATGCAGGTGGTGGTGGGGATTTCCAGACGTGAACCAGATTTAGAGCCGACATGAGGCCGCCTTATTGGCTCTGTGTGCTCGCGCATGCGGTCGCTTCGCTTCCATTGGGGTGCAGGGTGCAGGCATTCCCATCTGTGTCTGTGATCCTGCCCTGCCAGATCCGAGCGGGATTCCCACTCACACTCGTCGCGATGCGGATGGGGCGACCGAATGCGATGCCCCCTCCCCCACCCCCACCCCCACCCCCCTCCTTCCACATGGAGACGAAGGACCAGACAAGTCCTGCACAGCTGCTCCTTTTTCCGCCTTCCGCCTTCCGCCTTCCATCCCCGCCCTGCGCCCGCGTGTCGCACCAAGACGCAAGAGGACGTCGGTACCACATACCATTGAACGTGATGACTGTCACGGACCAGACCCCGGACCGCACTCGCCGACACGCTCGGAAAGAAAGCCGGAGAGCAGAGCGTTTTGGAAACGGAAACGGAAACCGTCCATTCACACACATTCTTCGCCTCCCAATCCATCCATCTTCTCCCCTTCTCCTCTTCTCCCCTTCTCCTCTTCTCCTCTTCTCCTCCCCCAGTGACCGGACATCCCCAGAGACAGACCCATGTGACCCTCCCGCGTGGCTTGACCCGCCCGCGTGGCTCACCTCGCACTGCAGCGACGTCGCCATCCTGCAGCCAGATGAGATGATTCTTCCACGCATGCAGCCATACATATTGGATTCCACGCATGCACAATCGCACATGGCTCCTTCCCATTCTCGACACCCGTCCCGATCGGGCAGCTTGGCGTCGTCTGCAACGCTCGATCGGGAAGACACGCCTTCCCCTTCCAGGTGTCTTGGCTCGGCGCTGCAACGCTGGTAGTCTTCGGTGAGGCCGACGCGGACGAGCCACAACAAGTAGACCAGATCAGACAACAATCAACGTCCACACAACGACGACGGAGCTTTTTTTTTCCCCTTTTTCTTTTTGCGGTCACAAGCCACAATCACACACACACACACGTTACCATACCGTCGAGAGGCGGTGGAGGTGATCGGATGGCGGTGCGTGGTATTTCGGGCCGGTGTGGTGTTGAGACAGCGCTGATTGGGCTCTCTCGTCTTCGTGCAATGGGAGAAGCTGATCCTCCCCTCCAACGTGACAATCTTTTCCGGACCCGACACATCCCTCCAACGACATTCCTGCAACATCTGCCCGAGTGGCTTATTCGCCTCTTCGCCCAGCAAGATGGAGTAGACGAGGCACGAAGCATCCGAATGCTGAAGAGAGAAGCAAAGAGGGTATCGTGTCATTCTTGTAACCGATCATCAAATCATGCCTCGTGGGTCGATGAAATTGGAATCCAACCGACTGGTGCCCGTCAAACATTTCCCCTCTCCCCCAAGTCAAGTCACTCGCCCTTCTTGCCTCCCTCAAACAGCTGCATCTCACGCGGAGAGAGGGTTCCTGCCTTCTTCCACCGAGGCACCACTCGAATCTCACCTGGTACTGATCCAAGACCCTGTCAGCGACCTCTCAACCTCCATCCCGGTCGAGCCACGGACCCATTCTTCTTGCCTGCTGTTGCAACTGCACCCTTCGCCGGCGATGACTCGGGAGTACGCTCGACGGACCACACCTCGTCTTCCGACTGCTCTGGAGCCGTCGACCGCTCTTGAGCCACCGACTGCTCTTGAGAGACCGACTGCTCTTGCGAGACCGACCGCGCCTGAGTGACCGACCGCTCTCGAGTGACCGACCGCTCTTGAGTCACCGACCGCTCTTGAGCAGCCGACTGGCTCCGCTGTGAACGGCTCTTGAAGAGCGTCTGGAAGCCCTGCAGAGACTTTCGTAGTGGCGTTCGCGGAGTGCTCGCCGTCGTCGCGGCAGATAGAGCCGGAGACGGCGGAGGCTGTTGGCCGAAACTCCCACTCTCCCTGTCCCTCTTCGGAGTCGACGTGCTCGACGGTGCCGCCGTCGGCGCTGTCGACGCGACAGATGTCACCGAGCTCCGCCGCGACTTCTTCTGCTGTCTCGCGTCGATCCCGATGCTCACCAATTCCTGGTAGTCGGGATCAATCCAAATCGCTTCGCAGTACCTATCCTTGGTGGCGAGAATGAGCACCTCTTCGATGTCTTGGCTTCTCCACCCCTCATGCATCAGTCGGATCTTCTGCGCAATCACGCCGTACGGCATCGCCTGCTCCTCGCATTCCGCCTTGAAGTCGGCGACGCGCGACGCGTGACGCTGTTGCAGGTGCTCCACGATGCAACAGAAGCAAACAAACCGAGCATCCAGATCTTTCGGCTGCGCGTAGTCGGCAACCTCGCGGATATGGCAGTTGATTGCACACGGTTCCGCTCCGGCGGTGAAGACCTTGTGCCCACATTCCAAAGTGTGATCGAGACTCTCGGCGGTACAGGAATCTCCGAAATGTGGCTGTTCATAGACCGGTTGAAGGCCTCCCAGCAGGGCAGATCTTGCTCTCGTTCGTGCCGCCGCTCTCGGGGATTGAGTCACAAAAACTTCAACTGGCCTTACGACGGGGTCAAATAGCGTGCCACGATTGGGTCCAAGAGGCCGGCCATCGTCTGTATGGTTCTTTTCGACTCGCAAGATCTTCCTTTCTCGCTGCACGCGAGGCAATTCTGCTGGCACAACTCGACGTCGGAAATCGACAAAAGCTGGGTGGCGGACCTTGGCTTTGGCTGGAGCTCGCGGTGTTGCCAAAATCTCTTTTGCGTCGGCAGGCGGAGCTCGAGAATCCTGTTGCGTTGTGCTGGACATTTCAGTACCCGGGGGCATGGCTTGCATTGACGCTTTCCGGGAGTGTGTGTTTGTGGGTATTTGTAGCTCAGAGTCCTGCTCGGGTTGCACTTTCACACGAATCCAGTAAGGTGTAAAGCTTGCCTTCTGCTTGATGGGAGGATAGGTGTCGGTCCAGAGGCGTGCGTGTCTTTTGTGCAATCTGGTGCTTTGATCTCCGGGTAGTGCTGGAGGCGAATGCTTTGTGTCGCCAAATGGCATTGTATTGTCGCTTGGAGAGACATCCTTTGTCACGAGAGGATCAAGGCAAGTGACCTTGTCGAAGTTTGCTGGCAGGCTTCTGAAATAATCGCACGCGGGCAAGGTCGGTGAGTCCGGGGGAGTAATTGGTAGTGCTGGTGCGTTGTCAATAGGGCGACAACGAGCACTCTCGCATGTGAACACATACCGACATGCACGCGAGACATGGCGCGAGACAGCAGTCAATGTGAAGATCTGTTCGTATGCCGTTGTGGACCCTGCTGAGAACAGATGGTCTTACTAGCCTGCACCTTGTAAGTGTGGGGTGCGTCTCCCATGCAAAAAGCGTGGCGCATGAGAAGGCCACCTACCGGAAGGAATGCTGATATCAGTCATCCAGAGTGATCTACGCCTCCGTAAGCGCCAACAACGAGAAGCGAGATGGTTTTGCGATGACACGAACGGGAGCATTTTTCGCTTGCGACAGAGCCCGGGTAATTTTCTTGCCGCTATCTGCAGCCCTTGCAGCCTCTGGAGAGCAGTCTCGATTCTTCCGTGCCGTGATGTTGGCGTCTGCGTCTGCAAGCGCCGAGGGCGGAGATGGATGAGGGGGTCCAGGCGAAAGGTGGTCAGGAAATTCGGGAAGAGAGATGAGAAGAAAGGATGGGAAGTAGTGTGGTGAGAGATGGTGCAATTTAGGAGGAGGTGCGGTCAAACAGCCCTGTCACTCATACCGTCAGATGTCCGGGATCTATTCCGAGCCCTGTACACAGCTCAGCTCACGATGCTGGTTCCCGGATCACAGAGCTTGCGGCTCGACCACGTGTAGGAAAGGAGCAGGAATCCATCGCTTTCGCATCAGAAGAAACTGATCCATTGGAGGATTGGGTCCGATCCGCGCATGCCGGTCGGTGATGTTGGACTTGATGGGCGTCGTCTTCGGGGAGCGGGTAGAGATCTGGTCCGATGTGACGTGGCCGGCAGGAGTCGTCGGGCACATGCAAGAGAACAAACAACATACAAGACGCGGCCAGGTCCATCTCCCTGCAGTGTGACTATTTTGCGAGTGACCAACCGAGAAGGTTTGCAGCCAGAAGGAGTATGAAGTCAAGACGAGACCAGAGGTGGGGGAAAAGGAGACGCCTGGTCCCCCGCAGAAGCAAAAGTCCTGGGACGCTCAGGTGACCATCTATTCATATCACCTGCACATGGACTTCCTCTCACACGTGGAGCTTGTTCCCCATACAACCCGAGACTTGACTACCTTTCCATGAGTACCCTTTCATCAACAGTATCGTGCCAGACCGTCGAGCGCTCCATACCCCCTCCGCTTGACGCCTCCTCGGACATTGTCATGATGCATCGGGCCATCCTTCCTCCTTGCGCGGGACTCGACAATTATGGCTGAGGTCAAAGGATACACAACAGACGTCCCGCAGAAAAAGGCGGACAGGTTGATGGGGAGGCTCAAGGACACCGAATACCCGATGAACTGCAAGACGGACCGGGATGGGACTACAGCGCACTGGTTTGAGTGTCGCAAATCTCATCCTTGACACGTTCGCTGAAACCAGCGCCAGCAGAGACGTAAAACGGATCGCGGAGTAATGGCGGCTCAAGTTCGAACTGGAGAGCCCATGAGAAGAATATCAACGACCTCCCAATCATGAAGTCCGCATTAATGTCAATCGGGATGGACCTGTTGATATGCACTTCGCCCATCAGGAGAGCCATATCTCAGGTGCCATTCCAGTGTTGTTCGTGCATCGCTGGCCGAGAATTTCTCTGGAAGTGTGAGTAGATGTGTCTCGTTCGCTCGAACGAGACATTGACCTCTCATCCTAGGCCTAAAATGCTCCCACTCCTCAAAGGCGGCAACGGAATGCCTGCTTTCCACTTAGTAGCTCCAAGCCCCCGTGTGTGTTCTTGCCATCGATTCATGAGACTCAGCAGTGCTCACCCCGCCACTGTTTCGAAAGTACGGCTTCTCACGCCCAGCTCTGAAACGAGGTTTCCATGTCGCCCGCGCTGCTGAAGCCCGCCACAAAGTGATGCTCGCTCTAGGCTGAATTCATCACTTTACCCAAGGCATGAAACAGACTTCTGCCATCTAAAACGACAAACTAATGCTCGACGCAGGCGGCGATTGGGACATGCTTATCACGCGTGCCTGCGCCCTGCTCTACCCACAGCACGCACAAGCCCACCACATCAACTGGGTCTGGGCCTTGCAATCAGAAGAGCACACCAATGGCACAGCCCCCGCACCGGAATATACCGAGCGCGAGAAACAGCAATCAGCCCTCGGCGCGCCCTGGTCTCCCTTTGGCATGGGCGACGGACCTGGCTATATTGCTATCCAATCCACACGCCCAGCGACGATACGGAAGAGATCACGGTCCCGAAATTTCAAGGGTATACTGACTGCCCTCTTGGAATTGCCGATTTTCCTGGGGAGATATGTAATACTCCTGTGGCTTGGAGGAAGACGGTGGTACTTCGTATCGAAGACGCAAAAATTGAAGACTTGCTGATCCATCATTCTAGGGTCCGATTGCCTTTCAGAAGCTTTATGAGAAGGGAGGACATTTCGCGGGACGGGAGCGACCGACTGACATTGCGGATGGGTTGCGCGAGATGTTTGGGAAAGGCGGTGGTGCGTATGGTGTTGTGAAAGGCCAAGACGGATACTAGATCTCCAGATATCGACAGTATGCTGCATGTGCAGACTATGGAAGCGTGCGACTGAAGCGTGCAGCACAGCGCACGGACTTTGAAGTCATGTGCATGTGAACGAGCCGACGGGGGCGCACGCACCAAGCGGGAGTATCCGCGCGGCATCTCCACGATGCCGTTTACACGCGCATCAAAGAAACTGACAAGTTCCATCAAACAAGCTCCCTCTGCAACAAGGACATAAGTTGTCGCGCTGCGCCATGGCAGCACCGCACTTTGACAAGGCTGAAGAAGCCATTGCGCTCGCCAAAAAGATCGGCTCGTGAGTCTCCGAACCGGAATACCAAATTTCCCAGTAACTGAAAGCTCACGACCGGAGGCAGCACCTTCCAAAACATGACATTCTCAGATCTGCGGGTCTGCTGCGGCGAGCAAGAGTGGCCAATCCACAAAGTCATCATCTGCCAGCAATCAGACTGGTTTCTGAAAGCTTGCGTGGACGGCTTCATGGTAAGCTTCGTCTTATAGTGCGTGGAGCAAAGTTTTCCACTGACAGATCGCCATCAGGAAGCGGACTCGAACACCATTCGCCTGCAAGAGGATGAAGCGTACAACATCCACGCTCTCCTCGAGTACTGCTACACCCTCGAATACGCCATTCCGGACCACATGTCCGCAATCCCTCTGACCTTCCACGCTGGAGTCTTCGCAACCGCCGAGAAATACCTGGTGTCCGCCCTCCAGAGGCTGGCCGTCGACCGAATCACCCAGGCCTCAGCATCTCCCGATCTAGACCAAGATCTGCCGCTCGCAGCCGCGCTCGCTTACTCCAACACCACCGACCCGCAGAAGATGCTACGCAAGGCAATGCTGAACATTGTCGTTGCCAACAAAGAGACACTTCTCTCAGAAGACTCGCCACACAAGAATTTCACAAAAGTCTTCAATGACACGCCTTCTTTTGCTGCGGATGTTGCTCGCGCAGTGGTGTTGGGGCAGCAGCAGCCTATCGATCCGGGCCCGACGACCGCCTCCAAGGCCACTGGAAAGCTTTATCGGTGTCCAGCCAACTGCAGATTGCCTTTCTGTGTCACGATACCGGCCGATGCATTATACACTCATGTGTGTCCCTATGCTGGAAGGTCGTTCACGATGACAGGAGCGGAGTGGGCCGAGAAGCATGTCTATACCTAGAAGTACTTTGAGACTTTCCATCCGGGCTTCGATGGTGGAGCTCAGCTGCCCAGACTCTGTGGCAGACTACACACGGTAATCGGGGCAAGGACAGCGAATAGTTATGAGACCGCGTGTTGTTAGAAGGGAAAAGCAAACGGTAGAGGCAATCGTTCCCTTCTGATATTTTCAAGCTGCATAGTGTTGCCGCATATCTTGCCCGCGAGCTACTTGCAAGCTGGTCCGTCGAGACCGGCGACAAGCAGTACTCACAGGACTAGAATCGCAGCAGCACAATCAGAAGAAAACTGAAGGAACGCTCAGGATCGTCAATCTCCATCACATCCATCGTACAATCCCCCTTCAAAACCGTACAGCCTGTAGAACAATCCATCTCATCATCCTGACGCTCCTCTTCATCGCCCATTCTAACTCATGGACAGCCACCTTTGCCAACCATGATCATCGCAAGCGAAGTCCGACGCACTCGTGGAACTCATCTCTCTGCAATGGAAGTCAGAAAGCGCGATCTCAGATGTTGTGGTGAAAGCTGTGTTACTTACTGCGCTTACGAGCACCGCCCTTCTTGCCTGCAGTCTTCTTGTCAGAGAGGCCAGGGCCGGCGTCACGGGTGATGGCATCCAGCAGGACTTGATCGTGCTCCTCATCTGTGGAGGATTCGTCTTGCTGGTTGCCCATCGTCACGTCGCCTTGTCCGTACGTCGCAGTGTTACTGTGCTGGAGAGTCTGATTCTGCACAGCCATCATGTGTGGGTTGCGGTAAGTCTCCATCTGAAGCACCTCGCCCAGAGAGATGTTGGCTCGCTGGGTGGCAGCATTGGTCAAGTGCATATCGACGTTGAAATGCTCAGAACCCATCATAGTGTTGCCAGCCTTGGCATGTCCCATATCGATGCCAGTAGCGGGCTTTGCGTCGCCAGAATCCTGTGAGGCACGGTCAATCGCAGCAAGTTGAAGCTGTGGAACGCGCAGTCTTACAATGAGTGACTTGGGCTCACTCTTCTCCTCGTTGACGTTGTCGTCAGCACCTGCAACAACTTTGCCGGGAACATTGGCGCCATTCTCGACCTCATGCGTGCACTTGGCATGACGCTTCTTGCAAGCCGCGCAGCGAGGCTTAGGCGGAGGAGCGCGAGAAGTGCCAGCGGGACGCGGTGCGGCAGGGGTACCTGATGGAGACTTGTCGTCTTGCTTGGTGATGCGTGCGGCGCCTTCGTTTTGCCCAGCGGAGCTCTGGCCCACGTTGATGTCGCCGAGGGCCTGTGGAGCATGAACGAGAGCGCTGCCACGGTACGGTCTGGTGTCGCCCCGATCAATCTCGCACTGAGCTCCATGGTCCTGCTTGCCAACACGAAGAGGTGTCGCGTTGTTGCCTGCAGCGACAGCGTTCTCCGGCTCTGCAGCTCTGGCAAGCTCGCCGCGTGCGAAGCTTTGGTGCATAGCCTGATAGACACCGTCCCGGGGAAGCACGAGACCCGTCAATGGCTTGACGGCAGAAGACGGCGTCGGTGTCATCATGCTAGACATGTGGTCTGCGTGGACCGAGTCCTTACGGGCATAAGGATTGTCGTACCGAGTGTTGTCCGCAGTGTCAGAGTAGTAAGGAACGGTGTTCGCTGCGCTATCGTGGGTCAGCATGGGACGCGGTACAGGCCAATTCATGTCGCGGATAGGCTGCATGACAGCGACTCTGGCGGTGGCAGCAGCTTGCGAGCTCAGTGGCAACCGGCCGGTCTCCAGGGCCAAGTGGTTGATGGCGCGATGGACGTAGTTGGTCATGTCGGATCCCTCTCCGATGAGTCCCATGGCCATTGCCGCACCATTATGCTGGATGCTGCGGAAAAGGTCGGGATGGACTTGGTTGATGTTAGTGGCAAGCTCTGAAGCGGGACCTCCGACATTGGGGTCAAGAACTCGCTTGCGCTTGTTGCCCGGCTGTCCCTCGTCCCACAAGTATTGCGCGGCTGGTTGCATGGGGCAGAAGGTGGACAGATGGCCAAAGAGGCCGCACTGAGTGCATTGATGCATGGGCTTGTCGCAGGGATGCGGAAGATGCCATGAGTCGCAGTTGTGGCAGATCATCCAGTACTGAGGTGTTCATCACATGTCAGCGCGCCCGGTCGGTTCGAGGCGAAAGGATTACGTTCCATGGTGGGCTGGGCATGTGCGAGTCGTGCTTACCTCGTACGTGGCGTCCATGTTGCGGGGGCCAGCAGGACAGAAAGCCCACTTGTGACCCCAGTTGTGGCAGATTTCGCACTGCTCCATCTCTCGACTGCACGGTTTCGGCAGTGCGCCGAGATGGCAGTCGCCGCAGTTGTGACAGAGGTCACTCATGTTGTCTGAGGTGGTCGCTGCCGTCGCGCGTGGGGAGAGCGGCGAGGGATTCAGGAGCGGGTGGTGGTGGTGGTGATGGCCGAGATGACCGGTGGTTGGGGGGAAGCTCGAGGAAGGAGGCAGAGTTTTCGCTCGTGATGTCCGAGCGTTCCTGACATCGAGAGTGTCTACCGGAGGGGAAGTCGCGGCCAGCTCGAGGTTGCCCCGTCAACATGTGACAGCCCGAAGAGGAAGGAACGTTCACGTAGAAAGACTGTGGAATACAGAGCTACTTCACCTATCGCCAGGCCGCAGACGGCACGGCACCCTTCATTCACTTACCTACAGGTCTCACAGCGCTTACTGTTGAACCACTACAATGCCGGAGAAATGTGTGATCCAGCGACGACTCGCTCCTTCCAGAATAGGCAAGTGCCAAGGAGGCCGATCTGAACATCCCCTTTTCCCCGTCCGACGGCTGGGTCTCCATTGAAGCGAACGCAAGCAGCATCTCGCACTGACATTGCTGCCTTTGCAGCCACAGCATCTCTCGTTTGGCAGCGATGGAAACACCGTGATGGGTGACATCAAAGCCTGGCGCGTGCTTGCCCTTGACCGGATCGACGGCACCCCGGGGCTTCCCATCTCGCGCTAGTTGTACTCAATAGAGGTCTCTGGGCTTGTTCATCTCACCTCAGCGCTCATCTGCCAGCGGATTTGCATGGATCTTCACCCTTTCAATCGTGATGCCCTCCTGTGGACGATTCTTCTTGTCCACCTGGATTTCCTCCATCTTGTCGAGAGTGTCCCATCCTTCCAACAATCTCCCAAACACGGTGTTCTTCCCATCCAGATGTGGCGCTGCTGCGAACGTCAGGAAGAATTGGCTCCCGTTCGTGCCTGGGCCCTTGTTTGCCATACTCAGCATCCCTCTCGCGTGGTGTCGTAGCGAAGACTTGATCTCGTCCTCGAACATGCCGCCGTAGACTGAATTGCTGTCCTTTGTGGATCGCGACGCTGGAGAGCCCCCTTGGATCATAAAGTTCGGAATCAGTCGATGAAATGGTGACCCATCGTAAGCACCACTTGCGCACAGCGCGAGGAAATTGTACGTGGTCTTCGGACAGGCCTGGCAGAAGAGTTCAAGCTTTAGGTCGCCGTGCGTGGTCTGTAGCGTGACCGACATGGCATCGGATTCTTCTCAGCCCGCGTCGTCGCCGGTGCGGTTACAGCACGCTGCCAGGCGGTTGCGTAGATATGCTGACTCGGATGTGAGCGGTGCTGTACAGGCTGACGTGCGGTCGCAAATGCCGAGGGCTATGTAGCTTCAAGGTTCGGAGGTAGCCCCAGACCAGCTGAAGGCCACACGCACGGCGTCGTCAGACTGCAGAGCGCGCTGGCAGCCAGACGCCGGAGAATTGTGAGGAGAAGCGAGGTGGGCGGGAACGGCAACGGCAGTGTCTCGTGCAGCAGCTGGAAAGGTCTGGGGCCGGGTGGATGTAGGGACAGGACAGGTCAGTGAAGGATCGTGCGGGATGGGTGAGCTAGGAATCGGAAAGTCAGCACGGAAGAACCCTTGTCGCGAGGCTGCCTTCCGAGACGACCTCACACCTGGCGTGCACGCCTGGAACACCTTCGACCTCCAGCCGCCAACACCGACCAACACCCTCATCCTCATACACATCCCGCTGCGCATCTCTCGACATTATCGTTCACGGCTCCGACCTTACCTCTTCCTCCTTCCGCCGGCGCATTGCTAGGATACAGGACTGGATCCCATCTAGCCAAGCCGAATCGCATCATCTCCAGAGCTCCCGTGTCCTTCGCGGTGTCGCTGAAACAACGCCCACCACCACGATCACGTTCGCTAGAATACCGCCCCACCAGCAACGGCAAGCTTCACTCACGGCCGCGCTACAGTCAAAGTCACGAGAACACCATTAATTGCGCCAAGCATTGCAAAGCGCGCTATTGCGAACCACGGCCATTGCTGGGTTGGAGGACCAGGCTGAGAGCTGGGCAGCAATCGTTCGTTGGTGCATGGCGTAGCCCATATGCGGGCAACGACAGAGTCACCACCACCACCACCGGCGACGGTCACACACAGTCATGGCCGCTTTTGTGAGGGTCTCGGGCCCGCCAAATAGCAACTTTCTTGTTGGCTACCCGGGCATATCTGCGACGTTGGTATGTTCAACCTGCGCCGCATTCAACGACATTTGCAAGTTTGGAAGAAGGCAGTCCACATGCTAACACAAAGTGACAGCCTCGAATAGAAGGCCGCGTCGAGGTACGGCCCGGGGTAGGCGTTTCTGCTCCTGTCAACATCTCCCTCGTCACGGTCTCCCTACAACGGCGCGAATCAATCCACCCCACCGCCGACTCCATCATCCGCTCGAACATCTCGTCCTCGCGAAAGGAGATCACCGACATCGTGGGGAAAGAAATGCTGCTGTTCAGATGTCCGCCCGGAAAGGAGTCAGAGGCCGTATTATGCATGGACCTCCCATTCGTCATATTCATACCATACGGCCGCGGAGGAGAGGAGGTTGCAAGGAAAATACCACCCGCAAGTATACAGTTGGACAAGCGAACCGCGGAGACGTTCTACGAGATTGTGGTCACCGTACAGCAAGGACATCAGGAACAGCGGAAATACGCCTTTCCAGTCCCCATATCGCGGTACGATACTTTAAGTACGTTCGGCATGTACAATCGCCCGGAGAGCGCAGAACGTGTCACAGATCACTTGGTCACGCTTGGTATCAGCCTGCCGAGGTGGAGCTATGGTCCACTGGACCCGGTGTCCGTATACATCAAGCTGAGCCCGAACCCGGATTGGCTGAACAAGGCCAAGCGAGTGACGATACAAAGTATCACGGTCGGCATTGACGAGGAGATCATCTACAATCCAGAAGGCGATGAGCCGACGCGAAAGGTGAAGACGTTGGCGAAGCATCAGCAATCCGTGGGAGTACGGATGCCGGAAGCTGGATATTTCACAAATCTTGGACTGGTGTTCCCTGCACGAGAACTACGAGACAATGAAGGCGTGCTGCCAAGGCCGAAGAAGGGTTTCCCGATGTACGCGGTCACTGGGTTCACAACCTCCGGCACGCTGTACAAGATCGAGTATTATCTCACTGTCAAGGTAAATCAGCACCAAGCATTCAAGGTGGGTGCGTCCTAACATGTTTTAGGCAAAATTGTCTTCGGCGCGGGATATTCTCCTTCGACAGCCGATCGTTGTATGCCCATTCGATCACGCAGGATGCAAGGAAGAAATGGAAGCCATCGAGCAAGCTGCCAAAGACGCCGCGCACATCTCTCCCGACAACCCAATGCTCCCAGCTAACGTGATCATCAAAGCGAATGACCCGGCAGGCCTCCGCGCGCTTGGCGTTGCGATGCAAGGAGGTCAGCGAAAACCCTTGATCGAGTGAAAGGGGTAGCACGGCGGATTTGCCCCTCTTATCTCACTCACTACGATCTCTATCTGCGGAAGAACGGCGGTGAGCTAGCTGTCACTGATCACCACACATTGGTGACTACACGGCTTTCCAGAAGCGGCCATACGGGCATGCGACCGCATGGCTCCTCAGAGGAATTTTCAAATACTGTGAAAGTGGCCTTGACAGCAGCACGCCGTGCGACTTTGCACGGTCCACAATCGCCCCCGACGCCGATGCACAACGCACCCCCGAATCGATGACACGGGCACACTCAAAGGTGCCGACATAGTACGACAACGGAAGCGAAGCACTTGCCGAGCAGCAGCAGGATACCCGGCGTTTCCCAAGGTTGCTTTTTTGTGTGTGGATGGACTTTGCTTTTTGCGGTCTCTGGATACCCCATTTGTTTTATCTGCGCCGGAACCGGGGCCAATGGGAATTGGGGAATAGGGCGCTTTTGGGGAGTCTGTCGAACTACTTATGGCTCGACACAGGAAGCACGAACTGGACCGGAGCATCGATATAGGCATTTTTTCACATGGCGCACGCATTCGTTTTTCGCATCGCATCGCATCGTCTTCTTCTTGAATGTATACTCATCATCGCTGCCAATCAATACTGGGCGAGAGAATTCGAAAAAGGCCTTGATCCTCCACGAAGAACTGCACCTGGGGAGTTTCGCTGAATCCCGTGTCATTGCGGGAATGTAGTAGTTCCCTTGGGGGTTTTGCTGCGAAATTTAAACATTTAGAATCCAGGACATGTCGAGAAGAGTGGGTGGATCCTGCTCAGACACAGAATTTCTGTCACGCAGACAGACAAGATCTGAGACGAGGTGTGGTGTGTGGTGGTGCTACGGAAGAGATTGATTTATTTGACTTGACTTGACCACTGGGCAACTTGGATAAGAACGGGTCAGAGCAGAGCAGAACAGAAGAAAGGAGGAAGACGTGAACTCATCTTTCCCATGCACATTCTGAAACTCAACAAAGTATCATAATGCTGCTGTGTGTGTGTAAGTGATATATCATACAAAATTTTTCCCGTCGTTTTCATGCCCTCCTCTCATTACTTTTCGTTCCTCAATACCCCCGATACCCCGATACCCCAATACCCAACGACCCGATCTCCTCCCATCCTACTGACTGACATCCAGCATCAAAGCGCAGTAGGCGCCTCCCTCGGCGTCAAAAGCGTGCTCACGATCCCATACGCAGGCGTAGCCGTCTCCGTCCCGGGGATGAAGACCCTACTCGAAGCAGTTTTCAATCCACCACCAGCGGCAGCAGCAAGAGGAGTGGGAATGGGAACATCCGTGCAATTGACGACCGTAGCAGTGGTGTAACTCGTGCTGTAAGAAGTGACAACGACAACAGCAGGACGACCGGGAAGAGGGGTGGCGGTTTCGTTGTAGAGCGGTGGAGGGCCATAGACGGGGACGGCAGGGGTAGCGAGAGCAGCAGGGACGCTGCCGGAAGCTGTATCGGTAGCGATGTCGGTGGAAGTGTAATACGTCGTAGCACAGCGTGGGCCGGGGGAATTGGTCCAGGACGTTTGCAAAGCGCGACAACCGAGGACGTTGCTGAAGCCGGTTGCGCATGCTTCTTGTTGGGCTAGGGTTTCGAGATACAGGCCCAGAGTGGTGGGGAGGGGAACGGAGAAGAAGAGGGTGTGGTTCTCCGTGGTGGTCCAGATGGGGTCGGTGATGGGGTAGATGAAAGCGGACGGGTTGGTTGGGGAAGGGAGTGCAGGTGCGGTGGTGATGGTGGATCCCGCACAAGTGGTGTCTTCCGTGGCAGTTGGATAGAAGTCGTCGCGTTCGAAGTCCAGGTATTGGATGTAGGTCGATGGGTAGGCCCTTGAAAGAGAATGTTAGTCGGTCGAATTGAGAACTGACGATGTTTGGCGTACATGGATACTCCGCTGACATCCCAAGTGTAGTGATCCACAGCAAAGGTGCTCGCGCTAGACGAAAGAGTGATGGTCGGAGTGCCAGTGATGGTGGCCGTCGAGGTGATGATGTCTCCATCGTCGCAAGTGGAAGTGTAGGGGATGGTGGTGACCGTGATGGTTTCGACGATGTCATACGGGAAAGACAGTAAAGTGGCAGCAATAGCGCCGAAGAAGCACGACGGGCAAGCAGTTGGCGTACTGGTCAAGGCAGAGTACCCAGAGACTGTTTGTCTTCGTCAGTGGCTGTGGCCGCCATGTGTTTGCCTTGGAGTGGCCTTTGTCAAGAGTGTCTGCTTACAGGTAGTGTTGACGGCCATGTTTCCGAGGGCGGGTGGTCAAGTGCTGTGTTGTGAGAAATGGATTTGGTCGTGTCTCTTGCTGCATCCCTTCGTACCTCTTTATATATTCAATATTCCAGACCTTTGGAAACGTCAACTCCAGGTCATTGAGATGCACTGAATGCGAGCTCCCGTCCATCGCCAGGGTGTATGGGCATTTTTGAAGCCTTTCGAGTGAGCTACAGCTCAAACCTCGACTTCAGCGACGCTGTCACCAGCCTCTCCTATCGCTTTGCGATACCTTGTTGCCCCCCCCCCCCCCCATCGCCTCGATGAAGCAGACACCACCTCCAATGGATGCGGCTCCTTCTATTGACCGGTTACTTCCGGGTAACGTCTAACAATGGCCTTTGAGATGTTGCGACAGATATCCAGGAATGGTGTTGTACAGGGCCTCGGCAGACGGCTCCGTACCACGGTTCACTGGTAGCACTGTTACTCCGTACTTGGGATGTTGCCTGTCTTCCGGCGGTGTAGCGGCGTTCAGTGTATTGTGCTTCTAGTTAACAATCCACCATTGTCGGGCACAGGTCCTTCTCCTCCGTCTCATTACCAGCTCCCGACGGCTTGTTGCATCTGTGCTTGCTCAGAAGATGGCCTCCTGGCTAGGGCTATTCGGGCTGTGTATCAATCCTACCTACTTAGACTCGGACACTGGGACTCTCGCGAGCCTTGCGGACAACCTCAAGAATCAGCAGGTGATCGATAGCTTTCCATTCGGATATACAGCAGGGTCGGCCTCGAGTGAGTACATGGGGATACCCGATACAATGTCATGTTGATCTGACGTTTTGTCTCTAGCGTCGACGCCTCGACACCTGGACGTCTCGTCTTGAGAGAGGTTACGATACGTCGCGCATCGAGGAAGAAGCACTGGGTGTTCCCATTGATCGCGATACTCACTTGCTTAGACTTTGAGTCGAAGGTATCAAAGCCATCTATTCACCAATAGCAGAGCAGAGCAGAGCGCACGATGTTCTTTGATGTCCGCGGTCGATGAAGTGCCGCCTGACGGTATGTCAATGTGATTGACCTGAGCGGCAGCGCAAATCTGGATACCGCCTGAGGTGTGCGATCGTTTCCAGCAAGCGTTTGGTCTCTTGTACCTTGCGGTGACGAGGCGGAATTGGATTACGTCATGTTGCCAATGCGACACGAGCCAAGCCGCACAGGCAGGACCCCTTGGACCGAGACTTTCAAGTGGTACCTTATGAGCTCCGATTATTAGATATTATTACGCAGCATTGGACATGCCTGCTGGTATGCCTTCTTAGTACACTTCACCCGCGGCATATTCCTGTGTACGCAGAGCGGCGAATGATGGCCAATATGTTTTGAGCAGGACCTCCCTCCAGAATTCCTACGTCGCGTCGCGGTCGACTGGGAGCGTGATGCCAAGCGAAGCACTCGAGCGGATCTGCGTCGGTCGTGCCAATACTGCAGGTCGACTCAACATGGCCCAGCTACGGCCCTCCTTTGCAAGCCCATAGCTTGGCCATTGGACGGATGGTTGGCATTTCCACGGGCAGTTTCGGCATTGTCCTCCTCAGCGCTGGGCTCCTGTGCTTCCAATGTGCTCGGAGATATGTGGAGAAGGGGAACAGTTCAGGGTAGGGGACCCATGTGGAGGTATCTGATATTGAGAGTCCGGAAGAGGCTTCCAAGAAGGCCAAGGGGTGAAGGATGACATCAAGGCCTCTGACTCGAGGGAGCTGGAGGTGTATCAGATGACGGAGTTAAGTCAGCGCGAGCGCTTCGGTCTGGTATCAGATGCCAGATCAGTACCTCTCCACAGGCCGTGTATTGGTCAGTAGAGGTGTCACGGCCAAGAGCAGTCAGTGACAGGTGTGCGTGTCGCCCGGGTGCGGCATGTCCGAGGATTGCAATTCTCGGCAGCGCACTCATCGCGCATCGCGCATCGCATTCACTACGCGCAATCCGGTGGCCAGGTAACGATTCCCACGGGAGACGCAGTGTGCTGTCTCGAGGAGGGTAGATGTGGACAGGGAGCATCCAGGGGACAGGGAGGCGTGGTACGTACGTAGTCTGCTGTGCTGGGCGGTGATAGGATAGGAGGGAGGCAAGCAAAGCGAGCACAGAGCGGAAGCAGGACGTCGCCGTCGCCCCGGAGCGGACCTTCCGAGGCGGCGCAGCAAGCAAGCATTCACCAACTAAGTGCAGTGGCATTTGCCGCCATCCCAATAATCGCCGTCGTGTCAACACGCCGAAACAGCAGAAACACAACACAATTGACTACCGTCGCCAATCCGGCCCACCGCGTCGAGTTCGAACTCGGCCGCTGTATCCATCCATCCACACTGCATCCCGCCAAGGCATCTTTAATGGGCCAGGGGCCTTCCAGACGCCTTCTAGCGACCTGCAAGTGCCCTACAACTACCGCTCGCTGACTACTTACCATCGACTACCTTACTCCACTACTCCTCACCACCACCACCACCACCACCACCACCACCTCCTCCTCCTCCTCCTCCTCTTCTACTACTACTACTACTACTACTACTACTACTCTCCCTCCGCTCCGCCGGCGAGCCCTCAACTATCCAATCCGCACACGTCCACTCCGACAGCCACATCAAGATCGAATCCGCGGCGGCTTCTGCGCCTCGGACCCGTCTCCCACCCACCACGGCTATCCCCATCGGCAAGCCACATTCCCACTCCCGCGCCTCCACCCGCTTTCATCATTGTCCTTCGCTACCTTACTTTCCACTTCATTCCGTCGCACTGGCCGTCTCACGGTAACAACGGGCCATGACTGCCCTTACCGCCAAGCGACACACCTCCGCCAACATGCCCGGCACCACCCCTTCCAAGGACGACGCCGGCAGCGGGAAGCGTGTCTTCAGCGGTGCCAGTCTCAACGCCAATCCCAGGCCCAACAACACCGCCGGCCAGAAGATCAAGAACTTCTTCCGCATCAATCACGGCAAGCATGATACTGCCTCCCAGAAGGACTCGGAGAAAGTGTCCGCCGACGGCTCGCACGACGGCACCCCCACTCCACCATCCCAACACAACAACAAGAGCAGTCTGCGGAACAGCAGGTTCCTCCCGCACATTGGGCGAAGCAGGAGTACTACCGTTGCTTCTGAGGGCAACCCACTCGACGATGGCATGAGCCCGACCGCACACGTCAACCCCTACTTCCAACATCAGGGCCCTCCCGCACTACGACATCACGACGATAATAGCATTCCGCCCTCGCCTCCCGACACACCCCAGATGTCCAAGAAGATTGCGCCAGAGGGCAATGGCCACGATGCCAACGGCAATGGCAAAGAAGAGCTGGCCAGGAAGTTGCGGAGGGTTGCCAGTGCTCCAAATGCACAGGGATTGTTCAACAAGGCCAAAGGGGCCAGTGCAGACGGTCGACCGCCTACTTCGGAGAACGAAGTCCCGTCGCCGCCAAAGGTCAATGGCCTGGGACAGCACAGTAATGCGAGTGCCCTGAGTATGGTCGAGACGATACCGCAGAATGGCGACTTGCTTCCAGTGCCCGGCATTAACGGTGCCGTGACGCCGGGAAAGCTCCGCAATAGCATCGCATTCCGCCGCACATACAGCAGCAACAGTATCAAGGTCAGGAATGTGGAGGTGGGCCCGAGCAGCTTCGACAAGATCAAACTCATCGGAAAGGGAGACGTGGGTAAGGTATATCTGGTCAGGGAAAAGAAGAGCTCGAGACTGTACGCCATGAAAGGTGAGTAGGTTTGGAGGCATCTCGGAGAGTGGAACACTAACAGCCTCTAGTATTGTCGAAAAAGGAGATGATCAAACGCAACAAGATCAAGAGAGCCCTGGCCGAACAGGAGATTCTCGCAACGAGCAATCATCCCTTCATCGTGACCCTCTACCACTCTTTCCAATCCGAGGACCATCTATACCTCTGTATGGAGTACTGCAGCGGGGGAGAGTTCTTCCGTGCTTTGCAGACAAGACCAAACAAGTGTGTGGACGAGGATGCTGCCCGATTCTACGCCGCGGAAGTTACTGCGGCTCTGGAGTACCTCCATCTGATGGGGTTCATTTACCGCGATTTGAAGCCCGAGAGTAAGCATTGCTCGGCTCAGATTGTCGGTTCAAAGCTGACCTTGTCCAGACATCTTGTTGCACCAGTCCGGTCACATCATGCTTTCAGACTTCGACCTCTCCAAGCAGTCCGACCCCGGCGGTGTTCCTGGTATGATCCTTGCTGGAGGACGTAATGCCAGCGGCGGTATCACGAGCAACCCCACACCAAACAACATGCCGACGATCGACACAAAGAGCTGCATTGCTAACTTCAGGACAAACTCTTTCGTGGGCACGGAGGAGTATATCGCGCCAGAGGTCATCAAGGGATGCGGTCATACGAGCGCTGTCGATTGGTGGACCCTTGGCATCCTGATCTACGAAATGCTCTTCGGCACCACTCCGTTCAAGGGCAAGAACAGGAATGCGACCTTTGCAAACATCCTTCGAGACGAGGTTCCGTTTCCGGAAGGAAACGGATCCCCAAATGCTTCCAAGTAAGTCATGCGAGACCTCGCTGTTGTCTCTGTGCTAATCTCATCCCACAGCCTTTGTAAATCCCTTATCCGTAAACTCCTCATCAAAGACGAACTGCGACGTCTCGGCTCTCGCGCTGGTGCATCAGATGTCAAGACACACGGCTTCTTCCGCTCGACCTCGTGGGCGCTGTTACGACACCAGAAACCGCCGATAATTCCAAATCAGGGTCGCGGAATCGATACCATCAACTTCCGTAATGTCAAGGAGAGCCAGAGTGTGGACCTTGGTAATGGCGCAACGACCGGCGTGAACAAGGGTTTTGGTACACCGGCCAGCAAGATGAAGGGCGTACCGCTTGACTCGGGATTGGAGACACCTGGTGGAGAGATTGCGGATCCCTTCGAGGAGTTCAACAGCGTGACATTACACCACGAAGGCGATGACCACGCAATGGCAGATGATGAGCAGCTGAACGCGCATCGGTAGCGCTGGCGCTTCCACAAGACCACCGGCTTCTGGCTCTACGGCTGATGGAAGAAGATAAGGGATGGAGGCGAGCCCCTAGGGAGGACGAAGTCTGTTCACTCATCGGAAAGAGCAGAAGATTGAGGATATACGAACGAGGTCGCTGGCGGTTCGGCTTCTGGCGCGTACACTGTACTATACGCTGCCGACCTCGACGGCCGAGACTGCGCGGCCGAAAGAAGAGACGAAGGCAGAAGCGGAGGGGAAGGGGACCATATAGGCCTCTCGACGATTGAGGACCTGCGTCAAGATGGAGGGGAAAGCTAACTTGTAAATATTGCACAGATGGGATATTCTGGGCGTTTTAGAGGCGACGACAGGGAAAGACGGGAAAGTTTCTTCGCTTCGATGCGCACTGGGGAGGTTTTTCATAACTGGTTCTGCTTGCTTTCCTCGTATTGTGCTGTTCTGAAAGCGGGACCGGAAAGGTGGGCCTCTGTATGAGGCCTTGCACGATCGTTACGAATGAAAGACATGGTTATCTCCACGGTCCTGAACTTGCCATTTCTGACTGCTTCCTTGTTATACAGCGTCTTGAGGCATCCGCCAATGCCACTGGAGAAGATCAAAAGAACGAAAAGGTTTCGTCACTTTCGCTTGTGATTCGCAGCCTCATATTGACGATATGCAGTGCAAAGTCTCCCTGACCACGCCAAAACCCCCTACTGCACAGCTGGAAAGCAGTTTCGAGTGAACGACATCCCACAGATATTCTCTTTACCGCAGACTCAACATTCAACATGTTAGACTCATGTGAAATTCTAATCTTGGCGAGTATTGAACTTCGTCCCACGTCCTTCACACTAACCCCAAGAAACCCTAAGGTGAGGAATCGAGTTAGGGTACGACAGCACGTGAACCCCAAGACCCGCACACTCTACGGCTCATCGGGTTGGATCGGGGTTTGTGGGGTCGTTTTGGCCGACTTCACGCGTCGCGACTACTCTCCTACACAATACCAACAAACCGACAAACAAACAAACAAACAAACCACAAACGCGAAGGGGAAAGAAAAAGAAAAATAATGGACGACGACATTGAATTCGACGCGGATATCATCCCACTGCACACACCGCGACGTGGTGGCGGCGGTGCACAGACCGAAGGAGGGGAGGAGGAATCTCTCTCCCCGCTGGAACAGGAAGTCCTCGATGAGTATGCGAGATTGGTGGGGAATCTGGATGATGTGAGTTTTGTTTGTTTGTTTCCTCCTCCTCCTCGAAATCTCCTGAAGCCACTGGCAAAAGTAAAAACAACCAACAAAAAGAAAAAAAGAAACTGATGTTGGAGATATATTGATTGTGATGCTTCTAGTTGGCGGCACTCCTGGCGGACTTGGCGAGCAAGCCTTCTGCGGAAATCCTGGATGCGTTGAGGGGACTGGAGAGGAAGACGACGACGGTGTTTACGTTGTTGAAGGCGAGTGTGTATAGTATTGTGTTGCAGCAGGAGATTAATGAGGGGGGTGGGGAGGGCATGGATGGGGAGTGAGTGAGGGACAGAGCATGGGTGAACAAGGAGAGCAGCTTTGTTTGGGTGGTGGGGTGGGGAGGGGAGAGGCTGAGGAGGAGATGTGATATTCCCACGCGAAAGGTAATAAAAAAGAGCCTGGAATGACCCACAAGACCGCCATGGAGTTAGAGGTTTTTGGTGATGTGGATGAGCCGGAACATACTGTGATACCCCAACGCGAAAGAGAATGCGCTCGAAATTGGTCGACCCACCAGCGATTGAGCGGACCACCGAGTCGATGTATGGCGAAATAACGACGACGTCTTATTACACAATGCTTTTGGAATCACATCGCTCGCAAGCATGCGGAAGTTGATTTAGGGCCTCGAGATATTGACGAAGCGAGGATGTGGCAATGCAATGGTGCGGTGTACTCACTGTCGAACTGTGTGTGTTCTTTCGGGAGCGAGAGCTGAAAGTTACTCGACGACGCCACATGTAATAACCTGTACGACTGTCGAGCTGCTACTCGTTTCAGATGGCCTGAAGACGAGGGCCAAAAGTGCATGAGCGAATGCTTTGTGTTGCCTGTACGACCCTTCAGCCATCAGCTGTCTTTGGAAGTGGACGGGAGATGGGGTCCGAAAATATCCGAACGATTGCATCGCCTCTACTACAAGCTGAGATCTCCCTCCATAATCGAGACGCGAGATGAGCTTTCGTTAGAGACGACGTGAAAAGCTCACCGGTCCGGTCGGTACAAAAACATCGATACACTATCAAGAAGCCGGGGCGTCTAGAAGATAGCCTCGAAAACTGGCCTACAGCTCTTCGGTGTTCTTGACTGATTCATTCTATTCTACTGTGTCCAAGAATTTGGCTGTTTCGGGCCTTGAACCTCAGCTACGACCGTTAAGAGTACTGGTCGAGAACTTCATGGTTGCGCGGTTTCTTCGCTTTCTCTGAACATTGGCGCCATCTCCGAGACGGAAAATTGGACATGGCAATTTTTTTTTTCTTCCTATTTCATCGCTTGAAGTAGGAGGCCAACTCCGAAAAAACATGAAACCCTGTCCGGCGAATGTGGCGGCAACTGAATCACGATTATACCGATATGCACAAAGACAGCAACAGGATTCCCCCTGTGTTGTACGGACAGCAGGAAGCTGATGTTCGCATGGAGTACCAAGAGCAGCATGACATCCTCGGCACCGGATTTCAAGGATGTGTCTCGGATGCACTTGCCGTCTCGTGCTCGATTGGCAAGGTATCCGTGGCGGAGCACTACCCAATGAGGCCTTGTGCGGATTTGTCCTGCACTACAGAGACGCATGGGGTGGACGGCCATTCAGGTATTCAAGGTTGAGAATGTGTATCATGGATGAGAAGTTGGGTGGCGCCGTCGAGAAGGCGATGAGCATTTTCAAGCGATCAGATGTGGATGATTGAGCCAAGTCGCTCATAACGGCGTATGTTCACAACGGTGTACGTTCACAACGGCGTACGTACTTGAGCAAACTGAGCCCTGCAATCCTACTCATGTGGAAGTGGACGAGCCGCCGTGAGAAGATGAGGAAATTCAGGATAACCAGATTGAGGATGAAGGAAAGGGCTCTTCAGCAGAACGGGAATGAAGTTGACTGGATGAATGACGAGGAGCCAGACACAGTGCGCGGGTGCGAAATTGCAAAACCAAACTTCTGCTCTGAACCTATCTAACGGCCTGCTGCACCTCCTCGCCCAAATGCTCCCTTCTAATCCTTCCACTGATCAAATACACCGCCGTCCGTAACTCAATCAAAGGGTCATCACCAGCCTCAATCCCATCAATATACCTCGGGACAGGATCGTAAATGATCTTTTTCTGCGCCTCTCCCTTGGGATTCCCCTCCTCCATCTCCCACAGACTCTCCACCGCAATCTCCCCCATCTCGACAAACTCATTCGTCTCAGGCCAGACCTTGGTCGAATCATTCGTGATATCACCCGATTCCGCGAGTTGCGCCAGGAGACGATACCTGATCGGCTTGTGATTCTTCATCCGCCAATCCAGATCTTCAAACTGATAGTTGCGACTCTGCTTCGCCACATCCGCTTGGCTATGCTTCATCACGCCTTGCCAGGGAACCAGCCTCCAGCGGAAAAACCTCTCCATGCCCCGTGCGTCGACGAATTTGAAAGCGTGGATGGAATGCCATTGTTCCGTCGCGAAGGAATAGGAATGCGCCGGACTTTGGTTTTCGACAAAATACTTGGCATGCGGTCTCTCCGCCAGGAACTTGTCGAACGTGCCGTTCTTCTGCGCCACGAACTGGTCCAGGAAGCCTTGGCCGTCGGGGACGATGAAGCCAAAGGCATTGTTTGTGATGATGTCGTAGTGCTTGTGGCCATCTTCTGAGAGCACGAAGCGGATGGCGAAACCACGAGAGCCGTTTTCCCCGTTGTCCGGGAAATTCTGGAATCCGGTGTCGGTGCTGTAGCGTAGGACCAGAGGAGTGGTGGAGGCTTGGCTGAAGATGGGTGCTTTGGAGTATTTGGAAGCGTCTTTGCTGGGTGTGAATGTGCCTTTGCAGAGCTGACCTTTGGCGTGGACGGGTCTGTAATTGTTCGGTGTTTGGAAGAGGTCTCGCATGGTGTCGATGATTTGGTCGGAGAGCTTCAGTAGCTCGGGATCCTCTGGAAGAGGCATGGTGAACGACTTCTTCGATGGAGCTATTCAGAGGTAGTCGCTGAGCTGGCGTTGTTCGCTAAAGATGATGGCTGTGGTTTTGCCGTATCGTTGGATTGTCCAGGGCGATCATATATCTGCTGAGAAGACACTCGTGCCTCGCTGGCTCGTAGTCCAAAGGATATCTTTCGTCACCAAAGACTGCTTTTACCTTTTCTATCGCTCCGATTGTATACACCTGGCCAATCAATTTCCACACGCTGCGACACCATATGATAGGCTAAGCGGCTATACGCATGTTCAGCATGTGTGGAGCCGACGTCCATTTGAGGTTCAGAAGATAGCTCTTCCCTGCCTGGAGGTATCCAGAGCAGGAAAATGTCTCGAGGTCTCCTTCTTCAGATTCAAAGTCCCAGTGCCCAAGAGACAGGCGTCTTGAACGACAAATGGTTATGTGACCTCTCAACGTGCATTGCAGTAGCTAGAGCTTTCACGTTAGATGGCATGTGTTATTCGGCATAACCCTCGTGCGGCAGTAGGTCTGTCAATACCTCGCTGCCAAGTCACATTCATCGCAGATAAAAAGTTAGCGACTATGACGCCGACGTTGTTGGTAATGCGGATGAGGTGGTGTTCCAGAAAGCCACTGCTGCAGCCGCGGCAGAAGTTTAATTCACTCGCCTTTCGGCGGGCCGGATCCTTTCGTTCTAGACTATGCTTCAGGCCTTCTCTGCTTCCCGCAACGTCTCCGTGGAGAGGACATCATGTTTTCATCAGCATCGCAGTTCCTATCCCAATACTCACATCAAGCATCCATTCTTCGCACTTGAATGTAGCTCGGACACAGCCAACCTCATCTTCTTCTTGTCCACGGTCTTGAAGACCTCGATGAACCACTCGTACCAAACTTTGCGGTCGTCGGTCTGCCGCCATATTGAAACTTCAATCTCAGAGTCGTTGGGAATGAAGATTGGTGTCTTGATAAATAGGTCAGCATCGCACTTCAAATGATGAAGTGATTGGTCTTACTTTCAAAGGGAAGAAGATTGGAAACCAACTGATCATGTCCTTGCTCTTATCATCCATCGTGACTGGATTTGTGGACAGCTCAATCTTCTTGCTGCCATTTTGTGGAGCGTAGAGGACCGTCTCGAAGTACCCCCCAAGACCATGGCAGACCCCACGTTGATGGGATCGGAAGGAGACCTTGCAAGAACGGGCATTGTGCTCATTCTTACCGTCGCCGCCTGTCCAGCTACCACAGTCGATAGCACCTCCCGCGCGGATGAAAGCTTGAGTAAGCACTGAACTCGGCACGGGGTGATCGAAAGACCAGACTTCCTTAACATCTGGAACGGGCAAAGAGTTGTTGTTTGCAGTAGTCGTGGGCTCCGTACAGAGGTAATCATATTGGTGAAGCATGACTACAGCAGGAACCTCCCATTTGTCGTCTTCAGGCTTCGCAAGTAAATCGGAGTACAGTCTTGGCGTAGCAATGGGTGTCAGATGAGCGCTATAGCTCTGCGGAATGTTGATTCCATGGTCAGGATGCAGAACATGCTGCACACCGTCTAGGCACTCAGGTGACAATTCATTGTCAGCAAAGGAGCCAAGCAGCTCCGAGACGAGTATGTCGACTTTCCGGATCTCGCCGTTGATCGTTGGACCTGGCCATGTGCGCATGTCCGACTTGTAAATGAGGACTTGCTTGTTCCAGAGAGGATCTGTCTGATTCCGACGTTGGATCAAGACGTGAGCATTTGGATTCTTCTCCACTGCGCAGCACTTGATTGTGATTTCAGTGGACTTGCTTGCCTGTAGAGCCCGGGTCACTAGAGGTCCTCGGCCAGCACCAACGACAGCGACGACGAAGTCCCTGGCACCACCAAACTTGGCACGAAGGTCTTTGAGAGCCGCAGCAACGGCTTTCTCATACCATTCATACTTCACTGGATCTTTCTCAAAGACCTCGTACGTGATGGACTCCAAATTGTCGGTCAGTGGCTGCAACGGAGATTGGATATAATCCTGGTAGCCCTGACCAAATCTTTCGATTGGAGAACGAGAAGGCTGCGCTTGCTGAAGATGACGAATATAGCGCAGGTGAGAGACCGGATCTTTCTGCCTGTCTTGGGCGTTGATAGCCGCTTCTGATGGGGTAGGATCCGCAGTAGCTACACCTACGGCAGCATCGAGCTCCTGAATCGGGTCGACATCTGCTAGTAGGACCCACGGCGGGAACCGAAGGCGAACAAAGCGAGTCAAGAGCTGCTGGTGTGCTTTCGAAAGGACAGGAAAGCCCTTGTTATTTCTCAGAAAGCTTGTGCGTGGGAGCACCAAGAGTCGGACTGGTTCGGAGTACCATCGCGACTGTAGCTCGACACATGGTAGTTGACGTGGTGTCTCCAATGCTACAAGGAGCGTTAGCACATGTTTCGATCGAGGCACCCAACTTATGCGACAGAATACCTACTCAAAGCTTTGCAGAGGTCGAGTGATACTCTGTGGCAGACATTTGGAAGGCAGCGAGGAAAGAGAGTGGAAGAAGAGGTAAGGAAACAAAACGCACGTACCTACTGCCAGTTTTGTGCTGTAGTTGCACATGGTCCTAATGGTGTTCCAAGCTTCCCAGGCTCCATATATATCAGAATCGGTCTCGTCTTCGTCTTCGTTCAGGTCCGGAACGTACTGGCTTCGCGCAAGTTCTGAAAGATGAGCACCATCTGAACCTTCCAGCTCAAGCTCGCCAGTCATGGGCATCAAGATTTGTAGCTGAACGTACGGGCCTAGACCAAGACCTTCCAATATCGCGCGAGAGTACTGAGCCACATCGGACCCGGAGATCGGACCATGCACCAAGACATTACTCACGCCGCAAAAAGCAGCATAAGCGACTTCCAGATTGAAGACTTGCTTGCTGATTCGCGCGATGAGAGGATCCGGAGACCCAAGATCAATCCAAGGGCTCACAACGCCAATCAAAGCGCTGTTACTATCTTCCGGAGAGAGGTCACTGTCCTTTGGCGTGAGAGGAGCAATCGCTGGCAGAGGAACTGCGGCTGGTAAAGGATCTTTGTTGAGCAAATCGACATGCTCTTGCAATTGGGCCAGAACTGTTGATCGGAAGTGCTCAGTGGTCAAGGGCGCTGACATAAGGTCATATCCAGACGCCTGAGCGGCTCCTAGCAGTTGGTTCGTCACCTTAGCCACTCGCTGGGACTCGTGCTGTCCGACGTAGAGTATTGTTGGAATGTCTTCCGAAGAGAAGCCATTGCTGTCCATGGCGAGCGACGCGGTCCTTATCGCTTCCCGTTTTCCTCGCAGAAAACCGCAAATATCGTTGTTGTTGATGTTCTGAGGTCGTCACATGAAACCAATCAAAGTTCGAAGAGCAAATCTTCTTTGATGCCTCAGGCATTAGACTAGCGAGTCAGGTCAAACCTTACGCTTTGAGATTTCTCGGCGCTCGAAGGTTCGGTTGCGATTTACTTCCTTCACACCCACAGAGCACCACTCTCGACACGATATGGCCGAAGCCGAGCAGCCGCGCAAGTCACGCTTCAAGAGGGCAAAGACTACCGACGACCGATCAAACCCATACCTTGCGCACATGTACAGCGAAGACGATTCGCAAGGCGTCGGCCTGAACGGCGGCGCAAATGGAGCACATACGAATGGCGCGCCGCAGTATACCGGCGGAGACTTGAGCAAGTGGCAGCGCCATGCCACGACTGCAAAGATGGCCAAGACGGCAGAAGATGGACCACAGAACCCCTTCACCGGCCAGCCGCTTTCGCAGCGATATTTCGGCATCCTCAAGACTCGCCGCGATCTACCTGTACACACGCAGCGGCAAGAGTTCCTGGACATGTACCATAACACTCAAATCTTGGTGTTTGTGGGTGAGACGGGTTCCGGAAAGACGACACAGATCCCCCAGTTCGTGCTGTACGATGATCTACCGCAGATGGAGGGCAAGATGGTTGCTTGTACGCAGCCTCGTCGAGTCGCTGCCATGTCTGTGGCTCAGCGTGTCGCGCAGGAGATGGACGTGCAATTAGGTGAGGAAGTCGGTTACAGCATCCGTTTTGAGGACATGACTGGGCCAAAGACAATCATGAAGTACATGACGGACGGTATGCTGCTGAGAGAAGCCATGAACGACCACGATATGAAGCGGTATAGCACGATTATCCTCGACGAGGCCCACGAGAGAACGCTGGCAACAGATATTCTCATGGGCTTGCTGAAGGAGGTCGTAGCACGGAGACCTGATCTCAAACTGATCATCATGTCTGCTACCCTCGATGCACAAAAGTTCCAGAAGTACTTCAATAACGCACCACTATTAGCGGTACCTGGTCGCACACACCCTGTCGAGATCTTCTACACTCCAGAGCCGGAGCGAGATTACGTCGAAGCTGCGCTACGGACAGTCTTGCAGATACACGCAACGGAACCTGAAGGCGACATACTTCTATTCTTAACAGGTGAAGAGGAGATTGAGGACGCGTGTAGAAAGATCAGTCTGGAGGCGGACGAGATGACACGCGAAGCGGATGCTGGGCCGTTGAAGGTCTACCCACTGTACGGTACCCTGCCACCAGCGCAGCAGCAAAAGATCTTCGAGCCGGCGCCTCCACCCTACAAACCCGGAGGAAAGCCAGGTCGAAAAGTCATTGTCTCCACAAATATTGCCGAAACATCGCTTACCATCGACGGCATCGTGTATGTCGTCGATCCTGGCTTCAGCAAACAGAAGGTCTACAATCCACGCATCCGAGTTGAGTCCCTCCTGGTTTCACCTATTAGCAAAGCATCAGCACAACAGAGAGCCGGTCGTGCCGGTCGTACACGGCCTGGAAAGTGCTTTCGGTTATATACCGAAGCCGCCTTCAAGAAGGAGCTTATCGATCAGTCGTACCCCGAGATTCTGCGCTCCAATCTAGCAAGTACAGTGCTGGAACTAAAGAAGCTCGGTGTGGACGACCTCGTACATTTCGATCTCATGGATCCTCCGGCGCCTGAAACACTTATGCGGGCACTCGAGGAGCTCAACTACCTGGCATGTCTGGACGATGAAGGCGAGCTTACTGCTCTGGGCAAGTTGGCCTCGGAATTTCCGCTCGACCCGGCTCTTGCAGTCATGCTAATCTCTTCGCCCGAGTTCTACTGCTCCAACGAGATTCTATCCTTGACTGCACTTCTGTCAGTACCACAACTGTTCAACCGACCAGCAAATGCTCGGAAGAGGGCAGACGAGATGAAGAACCTGTTCGCTCACGAAGATGGCGACCACCTCACGATGCTAAATGTCTACCATGCCTTCAAGTCTCCTGCGGCGCAAGAAAACCCGAAGCAGTGGACACACGACCACTTCCTCTCTTATCGTGCCTTGCAGCAAGCCGACAATGTTCGCTTGCAGCTGAAGCGGATTATGGAGCGGGAGGAGGTGGAGCTAGTCTCCACCCCGTTCAATGACAAAAACTACTACTCCAATATTCGGCGCGCTCTCGTCTCTGGCTTCTTCATGCAAGTTGCCAAGAGAGAGAGCTCTGGAAAGACCTATGTCACTGTCAAGGACAATCAGACCGTGCTACTGCACCCCAGCACTGTGTTAGGACAGGACTCGGAATGGGTTGTCTACAACGAATTCGTCCTGACTAGCAAGAACTACATCCGGACAGTCACGGCGGTCAAGGCTGAATGGCTGCTGGACATTGCACCCAACTACTACGACATCGAGAGCTTCTCTAAGGGAGACGTCAAGACTGCTCTACAGCGGTGCGCGACGAAGGTGGCGAGGGATCAAGCGCGGAAGGCGAGATAGGATCCCGTCGAGGCACTTAGTAGAATTAGTCTGAGTTGATGCAGCATGGCCCTTACCCAGATGAACACAGGCCGTGGTTGCGGTCGCGGTCGCAGAACTGGTGATAGATGTGGCTATAGGTGAAGGTGGGAAGATAGAGATGTCACGAACACTACGAGCGTGAGTACATGAGATACCTTACTGTCTTGTCTAACATGTCAGTCGCACACATTCTTTTCCCCTTTCATAATTTTCTTCTCGGAAGCATCAAGTCGCTTTCGTTATTCGCTCCTCTGGACCTCATCCTCCACTGGCCAGCTCACCAAATGCAGGCTCTCATTGCTTGCGACTACTCTTACACCAGCCTCTCCAACTCACGGTGTATGCTGCGGACGCGAGTCTGGATTGGTATATTGATCCGTCGCTGAACCATGTCAAGCCTCGGCGTTCGCTACGGGGGCCCCGTAGTTCTGAACATTTGCCGCGTCTGCATTCGTCAGCCTTTTCCCACCCGGCCAGAAAAACTCGTACCTGTCCTCATCCGACTTGTCCTCATCTTTGACTGTAACAGTACACAGTAGTTTAAATACCAAGGGCTGCCCGATCCGGTTTGCGATAGATGGAGATCTAACGAAGGAAAAGGTACATCCCGAACGTTGCCACGGACCGGCGCGAGACTCCCGACATGGCATCCCGGACCTGGAATCGGTTCCTCGGCGCCACCCGTCAATCCTACCAACACGCTACATCTCAGGAATACGTCGAACGACTCTGCACATCGTGGCTTCTACCCGGCTGGGCTCTCTTCGCTCTACGAATCATCATCAGCTTCTACGCATTCACAGTGCTCTTCTACGTCATTGGGTATAGAAGTGGAATCGGCGAGACGGAAGCTGTAGAGCAATCGTTTAGCTATTTCACTGTTCTCGGATACTGGGGACTAGCCTTCTACCATGGATTCACGGCTATGCATACCGCTAGTCTGGCCTTCGGGAGTAGTGGAACTGCATGGTTATCAAGATGGCCAGGCTGGATGAGATGGCTGCATAGTGTCTTCTACGCTACTGTTACCGTCTATCCCTATGTTGTTACAGGTGAGCTGATCGACCAGCAGAACTTCCGTCTATGATATACTGACGGGATGTGTAGCCGTCTTTTGGAGCCTTCTTGCTGCCAATGCCTTCGAGTCCACGCTGAGCACCTTCACCAACATTTCGGAGCACGGCTTGAACTCCGTGTTTGCTTTTCTGGAACTTGCTCTGCCCAGATCTGATCCACATCCGTGGATTAATCTACCTGCCTTGATCTTTATCCTGGCTCTCTACCTAAGCCTAGCTTATTTAACGCACGCCACCGAGGGCATCTACGTCTACGACTTTCTTGATCCGTAAGCTACTCAGCTCTTCCCTTATAGATGGGTATTTAGAGACGGTGCTAACGGATTCTAGCGCAAACGGAAGCGGGTCCGTTTTTGGATACTGCATAGCAATTCTAGCCGCCACGATTGTGCTGTTTACAATTGTGAGGTACCTACAGCTGCTGCGACGCTGGCTCACGGAAGATCGTCGTGCTCGCAAGGCTGCCCACCGTATAGCGGACAGCCACCAAACAGACGATTCTACTCTGGAGATGGGCATGACGGAGAAGCACATAGACACGAAGGATAACACAGACCATCAGAACAGCGCCGCGGTGGACTTAGACATGAGCAGCAAAGAGGCTAGGTCGAAAGGCTTTGATTCATAGCGCAGTATATCTCACGTTGGCTGCAGCTCCTTAGCTGTTTCGAATCTTTCAATGGGAGCGGACAGGGTTGCTCGAACTAAGGTAACATTCTTCAGGTCGTTTGACCAAATCATCATCCGCTGCAGGGCTCTTTGCCGGACACAGACAAGCCATTGGAATCCGACGGATAGCACGTCAAATAGCGCAAAGCCACTACGGGAACTTGAGCACTACGGCATTCTTTCGATACATTCGTTGGATATACTGCACTTCAACACATCAATGTATATCCGACCACGGACTTTTAGCCTGCAGCATATCCGGACTGGTGCGTATTGATTATCCGACCAGAGAGCATTACAACCACGTCGTATGGGACGGGAATGCGCATGCCTGGACCCTGTAAAGCTCGCCGGTGGAATAATTCCTCTTTCTGCACCTCGAGGATGCTCTCAGATGCCACTGCTGCATTTCTTCACCATGGCGAGGGGATAGCTCGAGCTCTGAACTCCGTCAGTAGCATCCTTCGGCCAATGAGGGCCCTTCTCGCTCCTGGAATCTGGGATTCCGCCTCCGCAGCGTCCGTCACATGCACTAGCGCCTTGATTTCAAATTAAGTGAATGAGAACCTTAGGGCTCGAGGTTCCCAAAACACAAACTCATCGGACCCGGGCTGTTGCTGCCCCTACAATAATCAGGAGCAACCGGGATTGTCGAGAGGAAGCCCGGAGTGTCTCAAAAACCATGGCACCTTCTTCACCGATGCATTTAGCGGAAGCAAGGCAGATGAGCTCCACACCCTGGTAGACGCAGAGCCGGTAGATCGTTTGTCTGGCGACTATTCTGCTGCTCGCCGTCCCGAGTCCGACTCGTCCACGTCTCAAGCAGCGCCTTATCACTTGGACTCGAGAGCGCCTCACGGGCGCAATTGGAATCGACAGACGGTATCAAGTGTGCCAAACAGATGGAATGGAGAAGGCGTCTGCGTGACACCACCAAAAGATCCCTTAGGCTCCAACAGCGGCTTGCTTGTCACGCCTCCGCTTGCAAGTGCTGCACGGAAGCGTTAGACATCAGCAACGAAGAAGCGTGCCCAGAGAGAGGATCTTCCGTAGCCTCCGAACTTCGTCGTCGGTCAGGACGCCCCCAAAAGAGCACTTTGAGAATGTCGCAACTTCGAACGATGCCGCTGGGCCAAGCTACACAAAGCATGAATACGCCGATCTTCAAGAGGCAATCGAGCGACTCAAACCGAGAGAGCTCGAATACCAATTATCACAGCTTGAAGATTAAGAACGATGACATGCATATGCTCGTTGAAGCAGAAATGGAAGCAGTCGGCCAGACCATGTTCACTGCACTCACCTACCGGCCAGGTGCTCTGAACGAGAAGCAGGCACACGCAGAAGGCGCAAAGCTTCAAAATCTGAACAAAAAGCACGCCAATCGCCACGAGAACGTCAAGAAAATCATGAAGCACCAAGAAAATCAGCTGGTTTTCAGCGCCCGAGCCGATTTTCTCATTAAGAATGTAGACCCTTCACGATGTGGGGAGCCCCAATGACAGATCTGGACCTGTAGCCGTTCACGTAGCAGGAAACTGACACCGACACCTTAAATCCGGGCGAAGGGTTCAGACCTCTACAAAATAGAAAAATCTTCCGTTAGTGAGATCACCTTTCTGGACCGACTCGAGCGGATCCTGCAGGTCATCAAGATGAACAAGTGGATGGCCTACGATATCGTTCATAGCAAGGGCTTGCTTACTGGATCTCGCCGCTGCACCCGACGCCTATCACCGCCTCAAGCTTTCTAAACAGTGGGGGGCAACACCCGAAGATCACCGTTCGTGAAGATCGGTCGTCAGATTTTGAGAGATCAGGTGGAGGATGTAGAGGAGAAATGAGGCCGAGGATGAGTGAGCAGAAGGAGCTCGCGAGGACGAAGCAAACAACGACATTGATTCAAGATCGAAAACAAAAAACCAGACGAAAATTTAGCCGGAGCATGTGGAGAAACTCGAATCATCCTTTGCTGATCAACATTCATCATAGCAGTGCTACTATCTATCTAACTCAAACAAAGAAACCATGCAAAAAGACATCAAACTAGAAAATAATAAGTCTGTCCCGCTAAACTCATAAATTCTCGCTAATAACAACGACTCTGATTAAACTACAAGACAAAAGGCGCAGGGATAGGATATATATGTACACGCCATGCCGTAAAGACCGACCCCATCGCCTTGCCAAGACATAAATAAATCTATTATCGTCGTCCACGTCCACGTCCATGGATCCAACCAATCGTGTTGGATCTGCCGGAACCATACACAGACGGACTGTACTCGTCAACAGGGCCAGGGCGGCCTGCCGTTGGCGGGGATTCTGCGTTTCCAGAAAAAGTGTCCGACCAACTGGAAGACTCGGCGGCCCCATCGTTGTTACCCTGCTGATGATTGCGAGGCGACCTTCGCGTGCGTTTTGATGATGAAGGAGAAGAAGAAGACGCAGCCTCCTCACCGACTTCCACACTCTCCACCACACCACTACCTTGGTCGATTCGCTTCCGCTTCGTGCCACCAGCGGCAGCACCTCGACCGCGTCCTCGTCCCCTTCCACGCCCGCCTCTCTCCGCCGCCATCTTGCCTTTCGCAGGTCCGGCCTGATCCCCTCCACCGTTCCCCTCCCCCTCCCCCTCACCATCACTATCCCCCACCTCCCTCCCCTTATCCAACATATTCTTCTTCTTCTTATTCGCCGAATCATTATTCTCCTTCCGGCGATGGTAATCCCACGGATTCGCCACCAACCCCTGCACTCCCCTCCCTTCCACAACATCCATCACGATCCGCTTATTCAGCACCATGACGGCGCAGATCTGCCGGATGCGCTCGTCGAAATCGTAGTCCTGCTTCTTCGCGTAGCCGGTATTCGTGCCGCCGGTCGGGTAGGCGCTACAGCCGTCGCCGGTGTGGAAGATGACGGTCTCGTGGAACAGGGCGCGCAGACGCGCCGTGACCATTTCCTCGCGGTAGGATGCTTTGAGTTGCGCGTCGGCGTTGAAATTGTGCTGGTGCGTGAAGAGCCAGTCTTTGGGCTGTGCAGGTCGCGCCGTGTTGACGGCGTCGAGGAAGCGCTGGATGTACGCATCTTCGCGGACGGCAGCATTGCGCGCTTCGTCATCACTCCCAGGTGGCCCGCCGACTTCTGGCTGCGGAAAGATGAGACTGAGGGCTTCTTGGTAGTTTCGTACCTGTGGGGACAGGTGATAATGGGGCGGATCGGCGTCGGCTGCTTGACGGATATGTCTCTGTGCGCAACGGTTGCAGTATTTGTCGGAGCGGGAGCGTGTGACATCGAATGGCTTCGCGCAGGGCTCGCCGCTCACTTTGATCCCTTGACAAGTGGGATTGGGTTCGCGGACGGAGGGCGCCTCGCTATCGGCGCGAGATTTACCTCTGGCCTTCGCTGAGGGTCGCGGACGGCGCGTAGAAAGCGCGGGAGATCGCGAGTCCAGCTGAGGCGTAGGAGTTGGCTCAAAGGGCGTTGCATACGGATCTTGGATTTCAAAGTTCCATGGGTCGTACTGTTGCTGTTGCTGTGGCAGGGGCCAGGTGCCCGGTAAGAGCTGCTGATCAACCCAGCTTGCGGTGCTATCAAAGCCCAAGTTCTGGTAAGGTGATGAATGTGCCATTTGCGGGGCTATGAAGTTCGGATGGTTGTTTTGTCGTTTTAGATGACCTGGTATCTGTTGTTGTCGACTGTGAGGATCGGAAAGATCAAGGCAAACATTTTCTTGATCGGATCCGATTTGAGGCTGAGCGCTTGATGCTTGATTGTCCACTGGATTGTGGATTGATCGATCGAAAATCTGTCTCGAGGCTCCGAGGTGATTTGGGTAGCTGACAGTAGGCTTCCGCTGGTGTTGTCTTGATGCAAATGCCCGCGTGCCGTGCGTCTGGGTCGCAGAATGCGGTTTCACGAGGTTATCATTATAGTGCCGTGGCTCATATCCGAACGGACTGCTCAGCGCAGGAACTGGCGTATTATGTCGAGTATCTTCGATTGGGAAACCCGGATGACTGGAGAATAGTCGGCTAGAATTTCGATCTGCGTAGTTTGGCGAGTCGGCTGTTCCTTTGAAGTAGGGAGACATCTCTGAAATTGGTGCTGAAACAGATGCCTCCAAAGTCTCACTCCTTCCGCGAAGACCCCATGCTGATTGCGGGCGCTGCGATTTCAGAGAGTCTTCATTCCAAAACTGAACGTTCTCAGGGCCCGAAACTCCATTGCCTTCCAGGCTTTGATCGTGTGCCTGCACCAATGGCTCTCCGAAGGCTGTATCAAGCAACTGTGGATCGACGTATGAATAATCCCAGGCAGGTGTCTTCACATGCTGCCGAGGAGTAGGCGCCGCAGCAATCGGCGTCTGCTCCTCAGTTGTCTGAACGCAGTCCAGGTCCTGATAATCAAAGTCTTCCTCGACCTTGTTATTATCAAGCGCCGCAAGGAAGTCGTCATCACTGAAAGAGAAGTCACCGTAGTGCCATGTCGCTTCCTCAAATGCCGACATACCAGGTCCCCGGAATAGTTGCTGTGGAGTCCGGTCGTCGCCGCTCATCCAAGGGTGAATATTGCTCAAGATATGCGAAGTCCAGTAACACTGTCAACAGGTAGTGATAGAGTAGCCTGTTCCAGAATTAACGAGCAATATGTTGTTTGCCGTGTGCGGAGGGCGCGTGTCGTGAATGATTGGATACGAGTCTGTGTCGTGGTGCTTGTAGCAGAGAATGTATGTCGAGAGCCCCAGACTTGTATACTCGAAAGCGGGAATGAAGCCATGTTTGCTGTATGGGGGTGACAGTAGTGCATGATGGAATTAACCATTGCCATGGGCGCGACGCCGAAGGCTGGGAGAGGCCCAAGAAGAGCATTTGCAGGATTGAATCACTGCAGCTAAGAGAAAGCCGCTGAGAAGCGTAAGACTTGACGTCGGCTGGCGAGCCTGGTGTAGGTCCTCTGATCCGTCGCCGCGTCTTTCCGCATCACGAGCCGCTGGGTCGCTGCAAAGGCCGCCAGGAGCGTAAGTCGACCTGCCGAAGTCTTGCATTGCTAAGAGCCACGCTGAAGCGACTGGAGGGAGAGAGCAAAGAGTCGGCTCTGAAAATCGACGTCTTCGTGATCACCGCTTGACGTGATCATATGATTTAGAAAAGCCCATGTGAATTGGGACCTGAAGAAAGAGACAAGCTACTCATTCTTGAAAGCGTTCTCTATTGCGTATGTACAAGAAAGTCATTGTATGATATCATTCGCGCTTTTATCATCAGCCACCGGGATGAAGCAAACTTACCGCCCAAACGCCACCGCTATGCAACGCCTCTGTGGAAGCAACTAGGTGCCCTCTATTCATCATCCTCTTCAGCCTCTCCGGTCTGCAATACAAGTCAGCAATCATTTCATCCAATTGGCTTCAGAGCTCTCACTCACGTTCTCGTGGAAATTCGTTCCGTCAGTCGTGGCAGCAATCATGCCAATCCGGACGACGAAGTCGCCAAAGCGCTCGCCATCCTTACGCTCCAGCGCGTACCTCTTGAGGACAGGCTTCATGATTTCAAGGATCTCCTCCTCTTTGATGGATGATCGGTACAGCTTGTTCAGTCTGTTGCCGTGGTATCCACCGCCAAGGTACATATTGTAAGCACCGTAAGCCTTGCCAACGAAGGCGACCTCGGCCAACCAAGGACGAGCACAGCCGTTCGGGCAACCAGTCATACGCATGACAATGCTGTCTTGGCGCATGCCGTTCTCCTCCAACACGCCCTCAAGCTTGGTGACAAGCTCTGGGAGGTAGCGCTCAGACTCCGCCATGGCGAGACCGCAGGTTGGGAAAGCAACACAAGCGGATGATGACAGACGGAGCCCGGAGAAGTTGGTATTGTCCAGCTTGTATTTGGCAAGCATCTCTTTCATCGTTGGCAATTCCTCCTCCTTGACATTCGAGAGGATGAGATGTTGGTTGCCAGTCAAGCGAAACTCTCCCTTGTGCACCTTGGCGATCTCACGAAGTCCCGTCTTCATCTTGAAGTCCGCAGTATCCTCGATGCGACCGTTCTCAATGAACATGGTGAAGTGGTTCATGCCGCGTTCATCCTTCAGCCAGCCAAAGGTGTCGATGTTACTCTCAAACTTGAACGGCTTCGGCTCCTGGAACTTCTCGCCCCACAGCTCTTCAACCTTGCCCTTGAATACATCCACGCCCATGTCATCGATGGTGTACTTTAGACGGGCGTGCTTGCGGTTCTTGCGGTCTCCGTTGTCGCGCTGCACAAGCATGATCTTCTCGCAGACAACGTGGACTTGAGACTTATCGGCGTAGCCAAACATGCGACCGACCTGGGGGTAGGTCTTCTTCATGTTGTGCGTTGCACCCATACCTCCTCCTGCGAGAACGTTAAAGCCAGCAAGCTCTCCCTTGTCGTCCTTGATGGCAATGAGGCCAATGTCGTGTGCATAGACATCGGTGTCGTTGTGCGGTGGTACGGCAATGGTGATCTTGAACTTTCGTGGCAGATACACTGGCCCGTACATGGGCTCGGAATCATCCAGCCTTCCGGCGAGGTTTTGAACAGCATCACCAGCAACCTGGATGTCCTTCTCGCCTTCCATGCCCTTCAACCAGATTTCATGGTAGGCAGTTGTGCTCGGCAGAAGATGGTCGGAGATCTTCTTGGCGGCGGCGTGGGCCTGTTCATGCAGGGCGCTGTGCTGCGGCAACGAAGAGCACATAACATTTCGGTTGACATCACCGCATGCTGCGATGGTAGTCATGAGCGCACGGTTGATGGCCTGCATCGCGGGCTTCAACTTGGCTTTCACGATACCGTGGAACTGGAACGTCTGTCGTGTGGTGAGCTTCATGGTTTCGTTGCCCAAGCTGGTAGAGATGTCGTCCATCTGCACCCATTGCTGTGGGGTTGCAACACCACCGGGCAGTCTGCATCGGATCATGAAGCTGTAGGCTGGCTCCAGACCTTGAGCCTTGCGCTCATCTCGAAGGTCGCGGTCGTCCTGCATATAGGTTCCGTGGAACTTGGTGAGTTGTTGGTCGGCAGCACTGATGGCACCTGTCGACTCGTCTTGAAGCCCCTCCTCGATGGTTCCTCGGAGGTAGTTCGACTGAATCTTGATGTCCTCGTTCGTCATTGGCGGTGGCTCCTCTGGCAGCCCCTCGACATTGCCAACTCCCATGGCATCCCAGAGCTTGGGCTCCCATTCGGCGTAGCCAGTCTGGTATCCATCCGGATCTTGGTCGTCACCGAGACCAATGTCGACAACCTGCTTGGCGCCCAGAGTGATCATGCGAGCGAAAATGTCCTTTCCGGGCTTGTTGTAGTAGTGTTTGTCCTCCTTCCGCGGCCAGTAGTGCGAATCACCCAGTGCAAAGACGGTAAAGTTGACACCGGCGAGATCGAGATCGGTCGAGTTCTTGACGCCTTCCCAGAAGTTGCGCCCATTCTGAGGAAACTCTCCTTGACCGGCAGTAGAAGTTATCAACACCACATTCTCCTCCGTGTTCAAGTCCTCAAGGGGGTAGTCGTCCATGGCCATGGCCAAAGTCTTCAGACCTCGAGCCTTGCCACGATTCGCAAGTCGCTTGGAGAGATTCTCCGCATTCCCGTTGTCCGAAGCGAAGAGGATGGTCATCGGAGCACCCTGAAGACCCTCGAGAAGTGCCTCGTACGCGTCCTTGGCCTTGCGCTTCTGGACCTTGCGAACCTCGGATCCATAGGACTCGGAAAGATTTGCGTGGAATTGGGGATGGCGTCTCATCAACTGCGTCAACCTATTGTCGCGTGCCAAGAATGCCTTGAGCTCTTCCTTGATCCGTACCGAGTCAAGCTTGAAGTTCTCCTCGTTCCTGTCTTCGGCGGTCGGGTCCCAGCGGTACAACGGCCAGTATCCAAGATCGACTGCCTTCTTGGTCTCTTGCAACGCCTTGATCGGACTGTCATTCTCGCTGTCGTAAGGCAAGTAGGCAAGAACGACCGAAGGTCCCTTGAACTGCTCTGCCTCCATCATCGCCTGCAACACTTGAGTGTAGCTGCTGTAGACGGCCGTACTAGCGACATATGCGTTGCCAAAGTTCATGGCATAGAGACCGATGTCCTTCTTTCTCCGCGCAGCGTCGGCTGCAGCACGCTCGCTGTATGGGGTCGAGTCGATGATGAGCATGTTTACATTCTCGCCGCTGGCGAGAACATGATGCACACCGCTGTTTCCAAGATCATAGCTCCACGCGTCACTTCCAACAAGCCACTGCGACTCATTGAAAAAGAGGCCCTTGGAGCTGAGTAGCTTCGAAGCTGCGGGAGATCCGTCATTCGAAAGTCTTGAAATGACTTCTGGAGCGACGTTGTTGACCTTGTCGCCTTCTTCCGCCACCAGAGCCCATTGGGACAACCACTTCTGGGGTGCATCCGTGGTGAAATCGCGGGACTTCGCAAGTGCCTCTACTTCAGTGATGAATCGCTTGCGGTGCTCCTTTCGCGCCAGTAAAGAACCAAACCCGAACTCTGGACTCGACTTGATGGAGTCGCTGATTCCTGCATTGTTCGACTTCAAGGCGTTCGCAATGTATAGCCTCTGTCCAAAAATCTGGTCGAGTATCTTCATGTATGCATTCTCAAGCTCTGGCTGCTTCAGCTCAAATTCCTTCTGGCTGCCTGCAAGCGACAGCCTCGGTCCTTCATGTGCACCAATCTCGAGGTTCTGGATGGGCGACTTCGAAGTCAGGTTCTGGAAGATGCCGCTGAGAGCCTGGGTGATCGTGGTATACTCGATATAGCCCAGCTGGTAGCCCACGATGGCTGGAGATGCACCGCCCTGTGTGCTTGACTTTAGGGACATAAGCACATCGAGCAAGACCGGTCCCCACTTGGTAGTCTTGCGCTTGATCTGCTCTGCCACGGCTATCCGCTTGATGCTCTTGGGAATGCAATCGCTCAGGCGCTCAGTTAGCCACGGGCGGTACAGGACGGGTGTGATCAATCCAACTCGCGAGAAGAAGTCGGCGGGAGTGGCGGCGTCGAACTCTGCACTGAACAGACCAGGATCGCTGCCAAAGAGGAAAAGTGCATTCTCGGCGTTCGGTGGGCCCGTGTAGTTGAAAGCAGTGTATTGCCGACCAGTGTGAGAGTGCAGCTGAGCCCAGATGGCGGTGCAGATGGTGTCCACGTCCTCCGAGCTAGTAGGCTTTGACTGCGATTCGATCGTCGTGGCCGACTCAGCGACGGAGGCCCCCGAGCTGCTCGTCTTGCGGTCCGAGGCCGACGAAGATGCGCTGGAGATGTCGCGAGTGCTAGGGTCTGTGGATGTGCCGTTCTGTAGGGGCAAAGTCGCGTCCGATGTGCTCAGCTCCGCAGCGACGGGTCGTTGCGGCGCATGGCCTTCATTCACGTAAATACCGGATTCCTCGCTCTTGCTGAGCTGGTACTGCCTCGCCAAATCTACAGGAAGCAGATCCTGCACCATCTCACGATTCTCGTGCGCGATTGGCTGATCTTGCAGCGTGTTGGCGGCATCAAAGAAGTGGATGACACCTCGCCCACTTCGAATGGCCAAAGCATGGGCAGTCAAGGATAAGTCTTGCGCCTCTTGTAACGTAGTGCTCTGCAGGAAGGCGAAGCCCGTGTTTCGGATGCTTGTGATATCGCCATAATCGGGGAAACCTGCCGGATGCAGGCTCACGTGGATGACAACGGGGTATTGGGCGAGTCTGTAGAGGTGCGGAATGCTCTTGACCAGGACATCGCTGCTGGTCGTGACGGTCGTGATCTTGCCATTGCGGACGCGACGGTAGACGTCAAGCAAGGGGTCTGCGTTATGTCGCACCGGATGAACCTCTGGCGTGCCCTGTGAGATGATACTCGAGGCCTGTCTGGAGGCATATGAGCGGAGGAACTTGGAAAACTCGGAGTCGGCGGCGAGGGAGGGCTGGACGCTGATGACGGCGTCGGAGGAGAGGTAGGCGATGCGGGCGACTGTGAAGGGACAGACGTTAGTATGTGGTGGTATGGTGGAATATGGAATGCTGTTGTCGCCATCGGCTGCGTCGTCGGGCGGGTTGTCGCAGCAGATCAGATGGTCCAATGGCGGGGCTTAGGATTGTAGTGAAGACGTACCTGCTTCGCCGGCGGTGATGACCTGCGCCATGGCTGCCTCTGTCTGGGTGTTTTGCTCCCAACTCTCTTCTCTGGGGAGGAGTTATTGCATGTCTTCCTCTCCACAACAAGCAGTGGGGAGAGTTGGTGGTGGCGTGTCGGCGGCGAGGAGAGGGTGAAGTGGTAGGGTCATTCACCATGAGCGGGATCGGCACGAGGCAGGTCAGCGAAAAAATGGAGGAAGTTAGCTTACCTTTCGACGCATTTGATTGGCACTTTATCCGAATCTCTGGATTACGCCATTAACCATTAACGGTTATTGTCCTTGGAATGCGTGCCAGACCCCTCCTCTCCGCGTGGCGTTCGCCACATGTGCTCGATCTTTCCGCACACGCTCCGCCATTCACTCACTCTCGCCGCATGTGCAAATCGGCGCGTCGCGACTTCGAGAGATGTGCGTGGTTCCGTGCCGAAAAGGGCTCCGTAGCAGCCAGGCCGGGGATAGCATCTCTAGCATCCTCCTCCGCACCCAGGATGACCAATCCAGTCCGCGGTAACCCTCTAACCCATGTCGAGCCCTACCAGAGATGACCATTCCGATCTCTTACCTCCGAGGGCTCCTGAGACACTAGATCTGTATCCACCTTCGACTCGAGGAGCGCGGCATTGTCTTCCGGCATTCAGACTGTCAGAATGCCATCGATGGTCAAGCACTTATCTGGACTGAAGTAATATCCATACGACGAGACGTGTGTCAATGCTATATCCAATGGCAAGAATCAGCACCTGCAAGCTCATCTCACGTTACATTTGCAAGCCTTGGCCGAGCTGCCGAGGACTCTTGCAACATATGTTTCGCGTTCTGGGCCGACAGAGAGCGATTTGCATGCACAAGCTAAGGCAGCTTCCGATAACGGAGGCATTGCAAGCGGAACGGCCTTGGAATCATTCTTGCAAGGACAAGTCACGTACCATGCCATGCTTTGCCAGCAGAGTCTTACGAACTGTGGCTTTCGACTTTGAATACCTCGCCTCGTTTCACCAAACCTAGGACATTGATAATATTCCGGTCAACCCCGATCGATAATGCGGCTTTCGTCTTCATTGAAGTGCCTATATCAATCAGCACAGACTCCAAAGAGACACGGTCGTTGGGCGATTCGTGAACCAAAAACTGCCTAGAGTGGGACACAGCCTGCAACGAAGTCGACGACCCACGGCGTCCCGCTCGGCTACTAGATATTTCCCAGGAAAAGCAGACGGCGCGCCTCATTAAGACTTCAGAAGAGCCTCTAACCGATTCCTACGCTACCCTAAGCTGTCAATGGAACACGTCGCGGAACATGACACTCAAACCGTGGTTCCGAGGACGGGCTGAAGAAAGAATCTGCCTTCCACGATATGCCACGGACCTTTCAAGACGCACTTGCTGTCTGTCGCCGCTTGCGCATTCGGAGAATCTGGATTGGTGCCTTGTACATGCGCCAAGACCTGGGTATACTAGACTGGCAGACGCGGTCCTTGTTGAGTTGACGGATAAGGTGTATTTGAATGCAATCCTGAACATTTCCGCTGAAGCGGCTGTACATGGCAATTGCACCTATCTCGCGCATTGGAACCCAGACTTACTTCGTGATGCGATTATTAAGGTATAGCCGCTTTATAACAAGATTCAACCACACCGAGACGCTACAGCATTCAGAGCTTGGCTGGACGAGTTTGGTGATGTACCCTACAATCACGGCTACTCGCACAACGGGTCCTGCGTGGACTGACTCGGATCGCTTTTTGGCTGTGTCCAAGACAGCGATTTCCAAGCATTCTAGAGCAAGCAAATCTGCGTCTGAAATCCGCTTCTCCCGGCTCGTGGACGGTATCTACAGTATCTGGATATATAATGTTTCCTTTCCTTCATCGACCCTTCTAGCTCTCAAATCCGAACAGATCAGCCCTCTTCCTCCTAACCACACCTTCCAAAATCACCCAGTCTCGGACTATCAGCAATATGTCTTGACAAGATGCCTCCCCCCAGCTCTCCCTCCAGGTGTTACTGGCTGCCCTGTCCTCGCTAGCCAGAAACGGCAGCAAGGGCCTCGAGTTTCCCTAATACCTTGTAGCTGACTGGACTGTAGACAGTCGCTGAAATGGGTCCTAATCAGCCCCTCGCAAGGACCGCTCGTATTAGCGTAGGATTCTCAATTCTCCTCTTTGGGCAGCTGCTGAACCTTTGGCTTCACATGCTATATTAAGCCCACGTGAGAAGAAGATCGTCATGAGGCGTGGCTTGGCTTGGTGGACCACTTCGTAAAACGCGACATTATTCGCTTCCAAAGGAAAGCGATCTGCGCCTGCCTGCAAGGATGATTATTAGCTGAGGGCCGTTTCCGCATATAACAATCTCTTCTTCACTTACCAAACACTCAAATCTCAAATCTCAAAAAAACACAGACCATCATGCCCTCTTGCCTTTTTTTTTTCCAAGATCCTACTATGCTGTCTGATCCCCCTCACAACCTCAACCTCAACCTCCACCTCCACCCCAACAACAACAAAGCTCCGCATCCTAGACCTAGGCGATTCCATCAACCTACGGCTACGCCAGCCGCATCCGGAAACGGCTGGCTACCTCCTCCAGCTCCGCCAGACCCTCCAATCGTCCGGCCATGAGGCCCATCTACACCGGAAGCGTACACGGCACGGGAACCATGACGGACGACTTACATGGCCGGCTGTCCCGGGAAGACAATCTCCTACATAGCCTCCCTAGCCGCCATCCTCCTTGGCTCAAGAACGCAAACGTTGTCCTGCTCATGGCGGGTTACCAAAGAAATGAATTCCGACCCTAAGATTTCTACATACAGAGGGCAGTGATCCTCAGGCCGCGTGAGCAGGGCGACTGGGTGATCTGTTGGGAAATGTCACGAATGTGTTGCCGGAAAGCGTCGTCCTGCTGGCGAAAATCCCGAATACCACGGATGGAGAGCAGGAAGGAAGGAAGGACGGAGGAGTTCAATGGTTTGATTCCGGGGCTTGTGGAGCAGGCAAAGGGGAAATGGGAAGAAAGTTGCGTTGGCGGATATGAGTGTGATTCAGGCCGTAAGTCTTTTGTTTTGCCGAGAGGAGGGTAGTGGCGAGTTGAGGCTGATTTGCAATGTGCCAGAATCAAACAGTCGATGGCGTTCATCCCGATGGAGAGAGATATAAGCAGATGGGTGATATCTGGGCCAATGGTATCAGTGACCTCCCAGCTGGGTGGATTGAGGCGCCTGTCGGACCCGATCCTGTTCGGAGCTGATCAGGATCTTGCAATCTATTCGTGTTGGAATTACAACTCTTCACGATTGGATGCCTGAGATGGTGAAACAACAGCATAATCGTTCGTATAGCTGTGGTCTGTTCTGGTTTCAGCAGGGCACATGCGGCTGTACAGTACATACGGGTATCTCTCTAGTTCCACCGCCAAAATAACGCCGAGCAAAGCGCACTCCGAGGTATCGGCTCAAAGAAAGTAGTCGGCAACTGGCTTCTTTGCCGGCATGCCTCTGCTGTCCTGTGGCGCTGCATCAAAGACCCGATACCTTCGGCCAGGGCCCATGCGCTGCTCCATTCGATCGCCAATATCACCATTCGTTCGGTTCACGTCACCATTGCCTCTCGGTGTGTAGCCTGCGTTTGAGCCATCTTCGCCCAATTCCAGAATGGCGGCGACGTTGCCACATCTGTAACAATAATTGGGGGCAGACCATACTGTGACAATGGTGCTGTCGAACATCTCTTTGAAACCTTCCATGACAAGCTGATGCGCTCTGCAGATGAGGCTTAGGTCATTCTTATGGTTGAAGCATTTGACGATATCAGCACCGAAAAGGAAGCCAGCTCCACGAGGTGACAGGCCCCATCCATCAATCTCGTCAGGATCGGACCACAGCAGGTCGCACATGGCACCCTCATGAGGTACTTCTTGTTTCCTGTCCAGTAATCGAATCTTGTCGATACTGTCGATTAGGGGCGACAGACCACCATGTACGCATAGCACAGCACCGCCGCTGTTATTGGAGCTACCCCTTGAGGATGAGCTCGCACCAGTGCCGGGTGCGCCATTGCGCGGTTGAGAATGCTCCTGAGTTTGTGACGGGGAAGAAGGTGGATTTGAAAGCTGCGACGCATCGTGAGAGTTCCCCAGTCGAGCGCGTGGGAATCGATTGATAATCTGGCCCTGCGAGTTCAATATTTCAATCTCAATATCATCGGTTGTGTCGTTCTGGGATTGGGTTGGATCCGCGAAACCTGCTTCTGTGGGATCCATATCTGTGGCCGCGCCCATCACCAAGGCGCCCAAGGCGAGGTAGTCGAACACCTCACAGCAATACCGCCAGACGTTTGCGCTCCCGTATTTTCGTAAGCATTCATCGTAAAACCCGTAAACTGTCGTAATTTGTCGAGACTCGTGATTCCCCCGAATAAGAGTTATGCGGTCCGGGTATCGCACTTTCAGGCACAGAAGAAGCAGAAACGATTCCAGAGAGTAGAAGCCGCGATCTACGAAATCACCCATGAAGAGGTAGTTGGTGTCCGGGACGTCGCCTCCTACACGAAAGAGCTCCATCAAGTCGTGGAACTGGCCGTGAATGTCGCCGCATATCTAACGACGTGTCGTCAGCCATCGTGCATGCTAAACGCACTTGAGTATCTCAGTATACCGTCACCGGCGCATCCACGCTGACCACGTTGCCCTCTTCTATTAGAAGCTCGCGCGCCTTGTAACACAGTTCTCGCACTTGAATCTCTGGTATGGGCCTGCATGCCCGAAGCTGCGCTATTGCCCTGCGACTTGGTTAGAGCGGCGTAGCAGCCCAATCAGTCGCGTGCTCTTACTTGTCCAGATCGCTCATCTTGAACGGCGCGCCGCCGGGCGCTCTTAGATCTACCCTTACTCCAAGCTCTGGCTCTCGATTTATCTCCAACGTCTTCTGACCCACTGATCGTTTCAGTCGCGAGTAAGGACTTGCGTTATGTTCGGTTTGCTATGGTGCGAGTGGCAAGTCGGATGCTTTGGTGATGCGGCGGGACGGATGCGCTGAGTATGATTCGACGTAGTCTTCGCAAAAGCAATGTTGAGTGGTATGGCTGATTCTTGGAATGAAGAGAGAAATGCCGCGTCTTTCAATACACGATGGGAGTGCGGTCGTGCTGCTGGGCTGGCTGTTCCAGGTTCCGATGCTCGATCTAACTGAAGTTGGCGGTCTCGGTTTCGGTCGTTCGCTAGCGCCGGGGTCCAAGAATAGCAGGGGTCTTTCTTCACACTTCCACCCGCACCCTCTGCACTCCCATCCGCCACGACTCCTTCATACCCATCCCCGTTAGCATCTTGCGAATCAGTTAACGGATTCAAAATGAGAGACTGGAACGGAAAGGTTTTGCAGCACACCCAGCGCAGGTATTGCAGCAGCTTTCTACTGCTCCCCTCGCTGCACAGCTCGTTTGCTCGACACCACAGAGCAACCAGGTAATGGGAAGACGAATGCGAAGAAAATATCACGCGCCTCTTGTTCCCGAAAATATTCCCATGAATGCAAGCATGTTCGGGTCACAGCATTAGGTACAGTGACCCTATACCAGGCCATCGGATAGGAGGAACTTCATCCTGCATCTCCCAACCCCGCATGAATGCCAGCAGTCGAACAAGGAAAGTGAGCCTGACCAGTCATCCTCCCCAGCGAAGAAGGAATGAGCCGGGCAAACAAGCAGTTTCGCAAGATGGGGTCGCCATGCAGGAGCCTGTTCACTGATCAGCAACGCGTTCACCAATTCGTTGCAAACCCCGCTTGATGGCTGTATTGTGGGCAGCTGTAGCTCCCTTGAGCACCGTCTCCGCAGATGTGTATATAAGTATCTGGAGAGGTAGACATTGCGAGCTGAAAGCGCTGTAGAAGACCTTGAGCCGTTTGCAAAGAAACTGTATTACTCGACATCTGCGGAAGCAAACTCATCATGGCATCCTTCAAAGGCTACGATCTGGTCGTTATCGGCTCTGGCTTCGCCGGAACACTTACTACTCTCAGCTTCTTGGAGACATGCAAGAAAGAAGGCAAGAATGGTCGCGTTGCCCTTATAGAAGTTGGGAAAGAAGGCGAGCGCAGCGGCGCCTCCAAGTGGACAATGGCATATCTGCGCCTGGATAAGAACCTAGACTTCGGTACGCAAGTTTACCTCATTCCGAAGTCGCACGAAGAGCTCACACTCCACAGACAAGGATTGGGTGAAGGAGATGAGGCGAGTCAGCAATGGCTTAGCAGACGAGCAGTACTGCGAGAAGCTCCGCCAAGAGGCGCCTCTCAGCGCTCGCTACCTCCAAGAGCGCGGCGTCAAATTTGTGCACCATGATGAGCCCAATGTACTCCTCGAATTCGACACCGACCAGCACTTCGTCTTTCCGGACGGCGGAGGAAATGCGATTATCCAAAAGGTCTTCGAGCACATTCGATCGTTCGACAATGTTGACGTCCACTACGAGACTGAGGCTATCAAACTCTTGACTGATGACACAGGCTCCATCAGAGGCTTGAAGGTCAGAAAGAGCGATGGCTTGTTGCACGACCTGCTCGCACCAAACGTTATGCTGGCTTGCGGTGGCTTTGAGGGCAACCAAGAGATGCTCGCTCGATACATCGGGCGAGGCTCGCATCATCTTCCTCTGATTGCCCCAGGATTGAAGTACAACAAGGGCGCTGGACTACGCATGGCTCTCGAAGTAGGCGCTGGAACTGCCGGCTCTTTCGACGGCATGCATTGCGAGCTCGTCGACACGAGAGCCACCAAACCAGATGCCGTGCTCTGGGGTAAGTCAAGGCCCTCTTCACCGCAGAATTCCCGCTGATACCTGATACTAGGCCACAACTACGGCATCGTCGTCAACAAAGAATCCCAACGCTTCTACGACGAAGGCCAGCGCCACCTCTTTGCCACTTTCGAAATGATTGCTCTCGCCTGCTGGAAAGATCAGGACATGAAATGCTACTTTGTCACTGATGACCCAATCATGCAACGATTCAAGGGTAGCTGGGTGTATGAGACCACCGACATCCCGCCTGAGAAGGCAGACACCATCGAAGGCTTGGCAGAGAAACTGGGCCTTGACCCGAAGGAGTTGAAGAAGACCGTCGACGGGTACAATGCGGCTGTAAATGACAAGCCATTTGATTTGATGAAGCTCGATGGAAAGGCCACTACTGGCTTGCAGCCAAATAAAACTAATTGGGCCGCGAAGATCGAGAAGGGTCCCTTCTACGGCTACCCGATGACGGCAAACTTGACCTTCACGTAAGTCGGTCCAGTGCTTCGCAGTGTCTTGAGCTAATATGTTGTAGTTATGGTGGTGTCAAGACCGACCTCGATGCCCGTGTTCTCTCGACTAACGACGTCCCGATTCCTGGTCTTTGGGCCGCTGGTGAACTGACCGGCCTGTTCTACAACGAATACCCACCTGCCACTTCATGCCTCCGCTCGATGACCTTTGGACGCCTGGCGGGCGAATCAATTGCCAAGAGTCTGAAGACGGCTCCAAATCAGAAGCAACTTCCTATCATTCAACAGAAGATTTCCAGGTAGATATTCCAAGAGTATGTATTTTAGGTATCAAATTGATGTCGGTGCTGATGTACTAGTATTGCTGTTTACTCCCAACCCAAGGCAGCCTTAGGCTTCGTGATGGTGTCGTTACTGCTGTTGCTGTCGCTGTCTGATCGTCTTCGGTCGGTCTCTTTCGTAGCTGACGGTCGCCACGGCTCTACATCGCCCAAGCGGTCAGCTGTCAGACCTTCGCTGCCAGGATGTCGCATGCCACGTTCCAACTGCCTCTCGTACGAGACCTTTCTCAGCCTTTCCGTCTCCGCCTTCGTCAAGTGCAGGTAGACCTCCACTCCAACGACATGTATCGCAAACGCCAACCAAAGCGACATGGCAAATGTCAACTGAAAGATCGCCGCCACTTCCTCGACGCCTTGCGCGTTAGAAAAGGCCGCATGCACAACGGCCCATCCATCAGCATCGGCTTGGCACGACAGATAACGACTGGCATCGCCGCCGGCACCGGTGATTTGTTGGCAGGGGATCGCGACGTAGTACGACCCAATCATACTGATGACCTGCACGGCGATGATCTGAATAATGCGCTCTGTGACGGTGCACCCAAGCCAGAAAAAACATCGCAACATCCAGGCACGGTGTTGTTCGATCTGCAAGCGTTTGATGTTGATGTATGCCAGTATTGCTGCTGTTGTAGTCCCGATTGCCAGGGTTCCGATGCAGGCTTGTGATGCTGGTGTTCCGCCAAAGGCTCGACGGGCGATCATTAATGCGCCGACGTTGCTGACGAGTAAGAGGAGGACGACGAGGTAGCCGTTGATGCGGTGGAGTAGAAGGAGACGGTAGCGGATGATGGGTATGAATTGGACAATGGCGAGGATAGCAGCCGGGATGATGCAGAGGAGATGAATGCTGATTCCGATGTTGTACCAACTCTGCCGATACCAGTATGCTGTTGAAGAGTAAGCAGTGCACTCGGAAGATGATAGTCCAAACGTCCACGGCCATATCGCGGCGCAAGGTAAAGAAGTAAGCGTACCTTCACCGGGAGCTGCTCTAGGCAGAAAGTTGTCATTGACATTGAGATAAGGTGTTCGAGCAAGGGCGAAACCGAGGAGGGCTCCACCGAAGATAAAGAGGAGGGTGAAGTTGTAGCCTTTGTGGAAACCGATGGGGTTGTAAAGCTTGCGAGCGATACGGACGAAGGCATTGGGCGCCTCGTTGTGTTGGTAGACTGTCATGTCGACGGAGCTGATTCGTTTGGTAGAACGTATATATCGTTGTTGTTGGAGCAGAAGAGCCTGGAGAGATAGAACTTAGCTTGGGTGATCAGAGGCCTTATATGTCCTTCCGCTGGACTCTGGAATATAAAACCGAGCAGAGCGTGCGGCCGTAGAGGATCCGACACCGCCTCATCGCGATGCCTACATCGCGGTTTTCGCAGGTACAGATAACAAGTGCCTGAATCCGCATTCTTCGGGCGGGACAATGATGGCAACGCTAGACCGAATGGAGCGTCGACTGCGAGGTCGATGCAGGAGCGCGAGGATGCAGCTCAATGGGGTTTAGGTCCTAGTAGGTTTAGGTCTAGCCACGGAACCAATCCGAACCCTTACACGCCTTTCTCGCAGCTACACCTCGCAAACCATTCCCAAAGCATACACTCCTCAGCTATCAATCTCGATTCTGCTTTACGGCTGCGAAGTTACTGCGGCTCCAAGGCCTCAGGATGGCGGGAAAGACGATTCCGAGGAATATTGTCTTTGTCCACCCGGACTTAGGCATCGGAGGTGCTGAGCGATTGGTGGTTGATGCGGCAGTTGGATTGCAATCTCTCGGACACAATGTAACCATTCTCACATCTTACTGCAATCCGAATCATTGCTTTGAAGAAGCTCGCGATGGTAAGGCCTCGCAGCAACGTCTTCCTCCGCCCTCAGGATTACACTGCTAAGGTAGACAAGGCTGAGACTTCTCCCAAGGAACGCTCGACGTCCGAGTTCGCGGCGATGCCATCTTCCCTCCTTCGATAGGCGGCCGACTCAGCATTCTCTTCTCCATCCTCCGCCAACTGGCTCTGGTGACCAGCATCGGCATCGTTTCCTCCGAGCTCCGACAGCTAGACCCCGATGTCTTCTTCGTGGATCAACTGAGCGCATGCGTGCCCTTCCTCCGCCTACTGCACCCAAAGGCTAAGATTCTGTTCTACGGTCATTTCCCCGATAGGCTGTTAGTGAAAGAGGCGCACGGACTGCAAAGACATCTGAAGAGGTTATACCGCGTACCCTTCGACGCGTTGGAAGGATGGAGTACAGGCTGCTCGGACACTATCGTTGTGAACAGCAAGTTCACGCGCTCTATGTTCAAGTCCGTCTTCTCGAGTATGCGGTCGCGAGAGCTGAAAGTAATCTACCCTTGTGTGGATACCAACGAGACAAGCAATGGCATGGCCAACGGGACAAACTCCATTTGGCCAGACAAGAAGATCCTCCTCAGCATCAACCGGTTCGAGGGCAAGAAGAACCTAGACCTTGCGATCAAAGCTTACGCGGGGCTTTCGGCGTCAGAACGTAGCAAAGCGAAACTGATTCTGGCCGGCGGCTTTGATCCGCGCAATCATGACAACAACGTCACTCACAAGCATCTGCAGGATCTTTCGGACTCACTCAGTCTCTCACATGCGACATTCCGCAGTAGAGATACGGCTCTTACCGATGCTTCAACTCATGCGGTGGATGTCCTTTTTCTGCTGTCCATCCCGAACGATCTCAAGGTCCGCCTGTTGCAAGCTGCGGGTCTCTTGATCTACACACCCACCAACGAACATTTCGGCATCGTACCTCTAGAAGCAATGCTAGCGGGGATACCTGTCTTGGCAACGAACACTGGCGGCCCGCTCGAGACCATCTACGACGGAAGAACCGGCTGGCTCCGCACTCCTGAAAAGATCGAGGCGTGGACTGATGTCATGCGGAAACCATTGATACCTTCAAGCGCTGATAATTTGAAGGCCATGGGTCAAAAGGGTCGTGAAAGGGTACTAGCCGAGTTCAGCCAGACAAAGATGACGCAGTTGTTCGACCAAGAGATACAGAAAATGGTGCAAAGCAACGCTGCTAGGCCCAGTATCACGCCGCAATGGGTGTTTGTAGCCCTGATCGTCACTATAATTGCTATCATCATTGGCGTCGCCATGACGAAGCGATAAAGCTCGCCTGGTGGGCCTTCGGGCAAGGGGACGGCAAGAATCTTGGCTCGTTGGCGCAAAAGGTAACACACCGCCAGGTCGATCGCCGCGACGGCGACAGCATCCAAAGAGGAGTTATGACAGCATCGCTCTCATACCAGGCGATAGCATTTCGACACCGAGCATGAACCTTACTTCGCACCCCAGGTTTCCAGACCCCACATGCTTGTTGGTCATTTTTGCATTTGATACCCATTGGCGTCTCTGCTCGGCTTGATTGTACATGCTGATGACTACATAGAAAGTGCGGCTAGCTTTGCCATGAATGCCATTCTCCCCAAAAGCTCACTTCGTTCTGAGTGTCGCGCCCGACAAGATACCACCTGAAAGCGATCATGGCTTGCTTCGCGAAACTGCTCCAGCATTAGGAAGCGTTCGGTAGACTCCGGAGAACTCACATGCCCCTAAGCTAGTCTTGCAGATTCCACGTGCGTTTTCAAGCCCAAGGTCAATGGGAGCTGCTGTCGGATCGCTTCCCGTACTTTACGCCTGCCAATGGCAGTTGAACTGCCTCACTTGATCGTACTACACTGCCGGATTATTGGTGGCAAGAGCATTCCGAGCGTGGACAAAGTTTGCCTTTTCGGACCTCCCTGGAGCTGTTCGCCGCATGACCTTGTACCGACATGAACCAAGTCGAGAGAGGACAACCTTGCAAGCTGATATAGGCTATCGAGAAGCTTTACGCCTTCCGACTGCGACTCAAATCATTGGTTTCGAAAATTGCCGAAGCGTGTTGGGCTACTGCATTCGGTGCAGCGAACCACTATGGCTTAAGTTGCTGCTCAGACACTTCGATCTGCCCCAGGCGTATGTTTGCAAAAAAGTTGCTAGGTGCTGGGCACGCGACAGATGCAATGCGCATGGCTCGATGGCCGTTGATACATGGCATCGCAGCGCATCGCTGTTGTCAAGGCTTGTTCTCTGCTCCCCATACATAATCTGCCTGCAGCTCTCAAGGGCGCGGTAACGTTGTTGTTTGGGACACATCGGCTGTATAACAAAGCCTCCTTGGCGCGGATACAAATCCGTGGCGGAAATTTGCGCTTCTGACAGTCACTGGAGATGCGTCGTAGAGCTTTGCTACTATTCACGGTCGTGGGCCTGTACGGCATGAACACCGCTGCCACCATTTTGAATCTGAGACGGGCTAGCGCACAGCCACCTGGTTCTCAGGGTAAGCGATATGGATGTCGCATCGCCACTCGGTGCTGATCTACACCGCAGTTTTAACATATCAGAACACGGGCACTGTCTCGCCTCTACGGCACGTAGGGAGAGGCAAGGGGTATGCCGTTGACATGAAGTTCGGAGGACAGATCTTCACTGCTCTCGTTGACACTGCGTCAAGCGACATGTGGCTGCCAAAGACAAGCTTTCAATGTGTGAATCCGCGGAAGCTCGCAATTCAGTTCACACGGTAAGATCTATCCTTTCCACATTTGCACGGGGAGAGTAACGACTGACGTTCATAGATTGACCGGCGAGCAGGCCACATGCAAGCTTGGGCCTGCATATGCAGGGACTTTCTCGGACGGTCAAATCGCAAACCAGCACTTTAACATCAGCTACGGTTCCGGCGAGTACCTCGTCGGCGAGGCTGGATATCAGGACGTCACGCTCGGTGGCATAACTGTTACGAATCAGGAAGTCGGTCTTGCGGATTACGGCTTCTACGCTGCTGGCGAAGATATCTCCGGAATCATTGGATTTGGCTACCCAGCTATGACCAGCGCCTTCGAAGGCGTGAATCCAGGTGGCGACATGCAAGGTATCAACGGTGCTCCTTATAATCCGTTCTTCTTCAACGCAGCGGAACAAGGCCTATGTGAGCCATATTTCTCTCTCGCGCTCGAGAGGGGCGAATCTGGATACGCGGGACAGCTTGCACTAGGGGCTCTGCCAATGTTCGATACAACGATAACGCGTGGGCAAGCACACCTTTTCGAATTATACCGATTCCAGCGCCCCTTCGGAACCTGGTACCAGAAGCTTTGAGAGATATGTTTACGTTTTATACCATCTTCCCAGAAGGGTTTCTCCTCCAAGGTCGGCATTATCCCTTCTCTACCCAGGGTGATTTCAATTCCGCAGTTGATACAAAGGGCGTAGATGCGCCCATGATCGTTGATAGCGGGACTACATTCACACTGGTTCCAGCTCCGATCATGAAAGGAATAGCAGCTGCGTTTGATCCGCCTGCCCAATACAACCAAGAGGAGGAAATCTATGAGGCCGACTGCCATGCGGCAGCTCCGGAGCTTGCCGTCAGAATCGGAGGACATAATTTCTTGTTGGACAAGAGGGATCTCTTAATACAAGGCGAGAATGGTGGACTGGATACGCAGACGGGACTCTGTGTGCTTGGAGTGCAGAACAAGCCCCCGGACGGACCGAATGTCCTGGGCGATACGTTTTTGAAGAATGTGGTTGCTGTTTTTGATGTTGGGAAGAAGGAGATGAGATTTCGTTCATCGCCACCCCTTGTCAATGTATCATTTAACGTATCGCTTGAACTGCTTTCTTAGGTATATGTCTTGTCGGAGCATATCAGCCGCCGTGCTCGCCGCTAGAATACCTCATGCCTGTCACACCTCGGCGAAATGAAATTCCGAGTCCGCAGCGATCACCGCCCGGCTGTCGATGTCATGCTCATCATCAGATTATCTGCTACCAGTCAGAAGAGGCCTTCTGCCACTCTTGGACCAGGTACCGTCAGATCATCGGACCAACCCCGAGCGGCTCATCAGTCGAGTCTCCGGTGGCACCATGTCTGGCCGGACAATCATCATAATAAGCGGAATAGAATTCTCACGCCCTTCTCTCTTCTGAGCCTTGACTTTGACTCTTTGGACGATAGATAACCTGTCGGAACGCATGATCTGAGTACGACGCACGGTGGTATTTCTGGCAGAAACAACTGAATTATCGTAGCCACTCAAGCCTGGTCTTCCCCCAACACACACGGAAAATTCCAACAACTCCCAATTTCATCACCATATGAGGGGAAATGGCTACCTTCATGAGCCTTCCCGCCGAACTCAGAATCCTCATCTGGCAATACAGCATGCCGGACCCCAGACGTCCTGTACTATCCTGGAGCGGAACACATTTCGCATTCAACACCACGCCACCCAACCTCGTCCACGTCTGCCATGAATCCAGAGAAGAAGCAGCGAAACAGTACGAGCTTACGTTTGCTACACCTGGAAATAACAATCCTCATATCTGGTTTGATTTTACGAGGGATTTTCTGTACGTTACGGATGAAGCCTTGGCGCGGCTCCCCGGGGAGGTCGTGCGGAGGATTCAGAATTTACGACATTTTCGATATACTGGCAAGATGGCGCTGAAATGCTCTTCGTAAAGGATATTTATCCGATTCGGTGATGGATGTGGTATGTGTGGAAACATGTTACCAATGAGAAAATTACTAATGCTCTTTACCTAGTGGTAGCTACTAATCTATCGATTTAGCTTTTGTCCTCACGCGCAGCTAGAGGCGATATAATACCTCTTTCCTGCCGTGATGATTCTTTCCACTTTCCATCACTATTGCAACACGATCCTTCATATCTCTATTTGAAGCACACTCCACGAACGTCTATCGACCTACCTAACGACATAGGAGGTCTTGATCTTTTGAAGATAATCTGGTACATTTTGTAAAGCCAGCTCACCTCACGGCATAATTTCCGAAGCCATTTCACCAGAGCTTATACAAGCTACCGAAATGCACGTCTACGAGTATTTCGACTACCCAACTCGTATCTATGAGGTCGAAAAGCAGCGGGTCAGAGCCCAAGCTAAAGCTATGAAGCTGGCAAAGGAGAAGGAGAGCACAGAGGTCACTGGCCTTCGTCGTCTGGGGATGAAGCTTATCTCCGGCTGCCGGAGAAGATCCAAGTGGTCATTTCTATGCACCCGGAAAGACGACTGGTCCGACGGTTGCTGGTCGGAGGATACTCTCACCGCTCAGGGCGACTGGGACGATAGCACCAGCCCGCCCGAAGAGTCAAATCCGTGGGCGGTGAATGACTCTCCCTCTCCAGGGGAGAGCAGCACGTCTCTCCCAGAAAATACCTCGGACCAAGGCAAGGAGGCTCGTGTCAAGGACATGGTCGCCACCCTCCCCCTCGGAGAACGTACCCGCCTCGGCGATAGATCCTTCTTCACCACGCCAGCAGCATACTGCCGCGTATCCCTGGAGAAGCAAGTCCACTGCCTCGAGAGGGCCTACCGCCTAGCACAAACCATGCTATGGAATGCGCTAGGAACTTACCACCCCGAAGTTCAACAGAGGACATACCCCCAGGGCCCATTACAGGTAGCCTTCGAATGGTCCCTCCTTTCCCCGCTCTTCGGGCACTCAGGAGATCCCTCAGCATTGAACGAAATGTGCGGCCGCGATGCAGATACCATGCACAAAGCCATCACCGACGTGTCCAAGTTGAGGAATGCTTTCTGTCATCCCACGGGGGAGAGAGTGGAATGGCTGGACACGGTCATTGCCTACGCGCAGCGACTGGCTGTCCTTACAGGTGACGAAGGGCGTGCTAGCGAGGTGAGGGCTCTGAGGGATGCATTGCAAGAGGAAGCACGGATATCTCTGGAGGAGATTGAGGCGGATGAGGAAGCGATGGAATGGCGGTCTTGGCATAAGGAGACGTTTCAGGATTTTGCGTTTGGTTCCGAGGAGGAGAAGGCGGAGTGGCCTGTTGCTATTGCAAAAGTTGCGGAGAGATTTTGAGGAGAATCTTTGTGTGAGGGTTCTGGATTGAGATGTATGGACCATGGGATTGGGTTGTGCGGGGGCTTTTGCATGGGGATTTGTGTATGGGAGTTTTTGCTTGGGATTTTGTTGTGTGGAGTCTGTCGTCTGGGGTTTACTGTATGGCATTTGTTGCGAGGGGGAATTTCTGTATGGAATCTGCTGTATGGGGTTCATTGCACGGGCTTATTGTACGGGGACTTGTTGCATGGGATGGATTGTATGGGGTTGATTGTATGGGATTTTTTTCTCTTGATCTGCGTGTTGGAATTGGAACATTGTACAGACATGCAGATGAATGGAACTCGTTGACGTTCAAAGAGGGAGCTTCTTGCGCCGCCCTTCTCCTGTCGACCTTGCCCTTGCCCGTTTAGCATCCATCTCAAGGGTCTCAGGGATGTAACAGCCACTAATTAAGAAGTGACCGACGCACCGCGAGATTGTCCTTCGCGACTTTTCCTTGGCTATTCGTGCGGCTCACTGCCTGCACCTCTATGTCCATCTCATGCCAGACCGTGGGCCCGCGCTTCTCAAGGGCAACCCGACATTGGATCTTGCCGTACCGGCTCACGAGCACTTCCAGAGCTGCGGCTTGTAGCAACATAGCGAGAACACGATAGACGAGTCAGCGCCAACTTCATGAAGAAGAAAGCGGACATTGGGGAGCAACCCACTTTGATACAAGCGGACTTGGTCATTATCTTCAGTGTATCCGAAGATCACGTCGCTTAAACACTGAAGAAGCCGAAATGGCTCGATATCGTTGGTGCAGACCCGGTACAGATCTGTTAGGCCCCAGACGCCAGAGATTCAGGTGCCGCGGAGGAACATCCGGAGCTGAGACCCGTCAAGCGATTTAAAGACCAGGGGAGCTTTGAAACGGAGTGGAGCGGAACAAGAGACGAAGGATCCCACGGCTAGGGACGGATGGTAGCGAGGTAAGGCTAAGAAGCGGAGGACGCCAGCTAGTGACGCCGGAAGGGATATATCAAGATTAAGAATTTTGAGGAAGGGGATGAGACCGAATTGGATATTGTTAGTTTTGAAAGTAGAGTTGAACCCGATTAGAGGCGGACCATACTCCCCTAAGTAAGCACGGACCTCATATTCACGTGCGAGGCAGTAGAAGGAATGGTTGAGATTTCACTGGAGCAATTAATCATCGCATTCAATTGGAACAATTCTTCCGCTGTATAGAAATGACATGCGACAACGCCCCTTTTCCAATGAAGGAGGATAAGGGATCAGCTTTAAGCTAGAGCGAAGTAAGAAGTCAAGCACATTTAGCGGCACCTCAGTTTCGCTAAAACAAGGTTATGGTCTCTTCACTATGAGAGAACTTTCGCTCTTACTTGAGTGGCGACCCATTGTAGCATCGATAGCTGGCGGAGTATTTTAGGCGTCCTTAGGCAATCGACTGTTCGCGCTCCTGTAGTATAAAAGTTACGGTGGCTTGCAGCAGAGTATGAGCGCTCTAAACATTAGTACAATCTTAAGGCGAAACAAGCGTACTCCCGTCGAGCAAGTCACGGAGAGAGGGGAGGGCAGTCGGGTCAGTGGGTCTTCTCGCTCAGTGAACCGTATACGGTTGCGACATGCCATCAGCTTCGCCTCGGTTTGCCAAGTTAAGAATAGGTCGATGGTCATGGGCAAGGATTGGGCCAGGAAACCCGGAATGTCGAGTCGAGAGTGATACCCGCTCGTTGGCGCGGTCGAGGCCACTTGGAGGAGGTGGGCGTGGTGTTCGCCGCCGACTTTCCGCGTGGCCACTGGTTTCTGGACGGCGGCCCGACTCGAATATATTTCCTCATCCATGCCTGGGGCTTCACACCACCTACTATCGCCAAGTTTCGGCGCGTAATGGCCTCGATGCCCAACTTCCCCTCGCAGTTGACAGTGCCCCTCGAAGGGCAAGCCTTAGCGCCGTTTTGTAGAGCGTGGAATCGACAGCTAGACGCTAGACTTCTAAGACATGTTCGAGCTAGGACCGGTAGAAGTACAGTAGAAAGTGGAATTCGAAGATGCTAGATCGAACGAGCAAGATCTCTAGTTGCTTAAGGAGAACATCTCTAAGCTAAGTAACTACCGCTTAGTAACAGAAGTAATGGAAATCAATTCCTCGTAAGGAGCATACATGTCTATTTTGAATTTTCGTTTAAGCGTAGTCTAAAGCGGATGCTAGACAGGAGACAGATTCGAGCAAACACTGTACCGCATGGCCCTTGATTGCTCGGACCTATGTAATTGCTCGGACCCACATACGTAGCCTAGCTAAAGACATTTACAAAAGTTTGTCTATTAAAGTTATTAGACAAAGGACTCTACACACCTCCCCGTATATAGTACTCTTTGGACGACAGAACATAAAAGGAGCCATATACTCTAGTAGATACCTAAGTACCTCTCTAAAACAACAAAAGTATAGCGTCTCTCTACTATGTCCGAGTCTATTATTCGCGCTTTCTCGAGTTACTCGACTGGCTTATTGTTTCCTTTACCTCTTACTACGGCTTTGTTGGATCCAATCTTGTTGTTCAGGCAGAATCTCCGCAACCTGTCGAGGAAGCTCACTTCTTCCAGCCTACTCTAGCGTCTCTTGCTAAGAAGAGAAAGTCCACGAAGGAAAAGTCCACGAAGACAAAAGCCCCGGCGCCAGAGGGTGGGTGGTGTGATGGGTCCGAGCCTTACGACGAAGGAATTTCCCCGGCTGCAGTTCCTGACGAGGGGCACAGCGACAGCAACGAACCCTGCACTTACCAAACGAGCACCACAATCACTGCTGCAGCAACAACAGAGATACCGGAAAGCACCTCTTTGGAAAAACGTTCTCGCCTCCGTTACAACGACTTCTACACTTCCTCGGATCCGGCAGGCTCCACGAGCCTGCCCTTTAACACGCAATATCGCTACCTCCGCCAGGCTCACGCTCTTGCGCAGGATACTCTCTGGCACGCTCTACGTACACACTGGCCAGAGGATCAGCGTCATCATTACCTCGAAGGACCCAGAACGATCCGGTTCGGGCGTGCCGAGCTCGTGGCTTGTTTCGGTTTACCTGAGTTTCCGTCTCAGCAGAATGCTAGTGCAACTTGCCGCCGGGCAATGTCTCCATGAGCATCCTGGAAGTGGTGTATCTGCGGAACGCGATCTGCCATCCGGACGGAGAAAAGAGCCCGAAGAAGCTCGATGAGCTAATGAGCCACGCACAAGGGCTCTGCGTGACACTGCTGGACGAGAATCGCGCGTTTCGAGTCCGAAAATTGAGAGACCAGATGCAAGAGGAGGCCAGAAAAGCAGTCCAGAAAATCATCCAGTACGAGCCACTCTCGCATCTCTGCAAAGCCAGGAATTGGTCCATACCACAGCAGGAAATTCCTTCATGAGGTTTGGTGTGCCGCCGAGATACACGAAGAGCAGGCGATCGAGAAGTATGGAGCAGCAATCGTTCGGGCCTCAACGACTTGGTCCGCTAAATGTCCAAAGGCTGGTGTCATAGGTTTGGAGTATTTGTTCGCCGTGGAGAGGAAAGCGCGCGCAGAGGCAAAGGCCCGAGAAGAAGCAGAGAAGATTGAAGCGGCAAAGGCCCGAGAAGAAGCAGAGAAAATTGAAGCGGACCCAGGGCCTTGCACGGCTCTTGGTGATGGTGCGGTGGAACAATCGGCGAGCCACGCACATTTGACGATCAAAGAGTGCAGCGGAAACGACATGACAGACATCTGGAAGGAAGCAGGTATGCGCAAAGAACCTGAAGGTATTCTCGTCGCCAGAGAGGAGGCTTGCCCGGCCGAGGAAGTCGATCTCGTCTGGTAGTTTCTATTAGCCAGCTTCGCCAACAGAACGGAAATAGTGGATATACATGCAGAATGAAGTATGCCATTGAGGAACAGAATTTCAGACCTGGTATCATCGCATGCTCGTATCAAAACAATGTCTTACTTTCCCATTCACCACCCACGACGCTTATTCCTTCCTCTACCGCCACCTCCGCCTCCACCGTAGCCTTGCTGCTCTTGTTGCATAATCGCAATCTGTTGCGGGCTGAACCCTTCCATGGGTCCACTCGGAAAGCCGCCCTGTTGGCCTCCGCCGCTCGGTCCTTGAGGCGGCTGGAATACTTGGCCAGCCTGAGGATGCGGAGAGACACTGTTTTGTCCAGACCCAAACCCTCCGGCGCCTTGTTGCCCGCCCATGCCCTGCTGTCCCATCCCGGGCATCCCACCTCCACCCATCATCATCTGCATGAACTCAGGAGGCATTCCACTCTGCTGCATGAAATCGTCCATGTTCGGCATCCCTGGTGGCATTCCTCCACCGCCGCCTCCTCCAAAGAACGACTTCATCTGTGCGTCCTGCTGTCTCTGCTCATTCAGGGTGTTCGTCATCGCCTGCTGCCGCACGCAGTATTGTGTCCATGTATACTCGTCAAAGCCGTAGTTGAAGTAATCCGTAATGTCCGTTCCGGGCAATCGCCACGGCTTCGAGTTCTCGGCGAGATCGGCATCGATATCGATTTCGGTAATGGGCTTGCCATTTCCTGGCCAATTCGGGATCGCGTTGATGTCGAGTTTGGAGGTACGTACTTCGGGGAAGTCTTTACCTTCCTTGCCGTTATGGGTGAGGGTTCCCTTGATTGCGACTGGGGGCGCCGCGGAGGCTGCTCGTTGCGATTCGGTTTTGATGGGGGTACCGCTCTTGGCTGATTTCGACTCGGAGATCATGCGATCCGGTTGACCGGACTTTTGTTTTGAAGTAGGCCTAGTGCAGCATTAGAGCGCGGAAATATGCGAAACGAAAGTAGAGCAACGTACGGTGGGTCTACTTTTGCGCCTTCTGGCTTCTCGAGGGTGAATTGAACGTCCTACAGGACAGCAGATCAGTGCAATGTTCCATCGATATCGATATCCCGTAGAGCGTGTCCTACATCGTCACTATCGGTATCATCCTCTTCCTCCTCGCTCATGTCCATCTTCTCCGCCCGGTCGTCGCCATTGGCAGCTGCTTCTTGCTCTTGCTTGACCCCAGCACCGCCGCCGTAGAAATCGTCCTCTTCCTCCTCCATGTTGTAGAGACTCTGAGCTGATTCAGGTGGTGGAGGTTGGAATTGATGTTCAGGTTGAAGAGCACGCGAGGTCTCGAGGAGCGCCACGTGATCGTGAACAGCTCCGTGACAGAAGTGTTGCGCGCGTGACAAAGGTCGTGTCGCCTCCGCTGGCCACAGCAGGCGCCGCTTTCCTGAACATTCACTTAGACTCGCTATGGCTCGATAGTATGGCGTTGACATCGGTAGGGCTCTGTCACATGTTCAGTTGTAGATTGATGCTAATGTATAAAAGTGGAAAGCATTCCGCTTCTTCGATGTCTCCCAGGTCCGATTTCCGGACGGCGACGGCGCGGTGTCGCTGGACGTATGCAACGCAATGAATACTCCCCTACATCCGAGCAGAGACTGATTCTCGCAGCAAACAAGCACTAGTTGCGTGAGCTCTGGATCCGACCGGATCTTCGTTGGAACTCCAAGCAGCGTGGTCCACATCTTGGATCAGAGCTTCAAATCCACGCGCTCGTGGAAGGCACACGATGCCGGGAGCATCACACACATCGTTCAGCTTCCCGACACGGCCTACCTGCTCACGCTTGCCGAGACGCTCCAGCACGAGCCCGAGTTGAAAGTCTGGACGCTGGAACACAACGACAAAAAGACCGGTAATCCGCGGTGTTTGTGCCAACTGACCGTCCAGAACGGCAGGAAGAACTTCCCGGTCAGCGCTGTTTCCGTCACCAGCGATCTTGCGCAGCTGGCTGTCGGCTTCGCAAACGGTGCTGTTACAGTCGTCCGTGGCGACCTGATCCACGATCGTGGCACCCGACAGCGTACTGTCTTCGAATCCGAAGAGCCCATCACTGGTCTGGAATTTCGAGAAGCAAACACGACAGCCCTATACATCGCAACCACTTCACGAATCTTGGCACTTGCCATTACCGGCAAGGCGCAGGGTACACCTGCACGGTCTCTGGATGAATCCGGCTGTGCTGTTGGTTGCATGAAGCTCGACCCGCACTCCAATGAGCTGGTCGTTGCCAGAGACGATGCCATCTACACATATGGCCCGCGCGGCAAGACGGGTTCCAATGCTTATGAGGGCGTCAAGAAGCTTGTGGATGTGCACAAAGACTACGTGCTGGTAGTCTCGCCACCGGCAAGCAACCTCGGACGAGCTACTGGGCTACGTGCCTTTGCTGGTACCCGAGCCGACGAGATCTTCAATACCAGCACATTTTCTATCCTGAACACTGATCTGAAATTCATTGCCCATTCCGAAGCAGTGTCGAGCCAAATCAGCAGCATATTCACCATCTGGGGTGATATCTTCTTATTGACAATCGACGGAAAGCTCTACCGATACCACGAGAAGTCCTTCCAGCAGAAGCTCGAGGATCTGTATCGGCGCGACCTTTACGTCCTGGCAATCAACATGGCACAGAAATACAAAGTGGACGCCGTCCAGCAAAATGTCATCTTCCGCAGATATGGTGACTATCTCTACCAAAGAGGTGATTACGATACTGCGATGCAGCAATATCTGCGGGCAATCGACAACACAGAGCCGTCTCAGATCATCCGCAGATTCTTGGACAATCAGCGAATACGGAACTTGATTGATTATCTGGAGGAGCTCCACGAGCACAACAAAGCAACATCAGACCACACAACGCTTTTGCTAAACTGCTACGCGAAGCTGAAAGACGTGGACAAGCTGGAAGAGTTCATTAAACAGCCTGGAGATCTCAAATTCGATCTCGATACTGCTATCCTAATGTGTAGGCAAGGAGGCTACTACGACCAAGCTGCCTTCTTGGCAAGACGACATGAGGAACATGGTCTGGTAGTTGACATCTTGATCGAGGATCTCAAGAAGTATGCCGAAGCACTTGCGTACATCGTCCGTTTGGAACCGAAAGAAGCGTATCCCAACTTTATGAAGTACGGGACGGTGTTGCTGGAGCATTGTCCGGGAGAAGCAACTCAGCTGTTCATCGACTACTTCACCGGGAACTTCAATCCCAAAAAGGACGCTGTCATTGTCCAAGAAGCGCCGGCTACACCACAGCAGAGCGGCGGTCTCGGTAACATGGCCACGTCAGCAGCGCAGAATCTTGCCTCTTTGATTCCGCTCCCGTACATGAGCACCAGCGCCCTTCAAACCCCAGCGGCCAAAGACGGCGGCAACCAAACGACAGTCAGCCAAGCCCAAGTGGTCGAAACACTCACCGAAGGCGAATACGTTCCCTACGAAGTCCCCAAACCTCGAACAGCCTTCTCCGCCTTCATCGACCACCCCGACTCCTTCATCACCTTTCTCGAAGCCTGTGTCAGCAGCAACGGCGTCCAAGAATCCAACAAAGAAGACCTCCAGACAACGCTCTTCGAAATGTATCTCCATGAAGCCAACGTTGCATCCAACTCGGAGGAAAAAGCACACTGGGAGGCCAGCGCCAAGAAACTCATCGAGCAACAAGACGGATCGATCGACACATCCAACATCCTCCTCCTCTCCGACCTCGAGAAATTCCGCCAGGGCACCATCCTCGTCTCGGAAAAGCAAGGTCTTCGCTTCGACGTCTTCCGATCATATACCGCCGCGAAGGATACCCAAGGCGCCATCAAAGCCCTCCGCAAATACGGCCCCGAAGAACCCCAACTCTACCCCACCGCCTTGGCATACTTCACCTCCTCGCCGTCCATCCTCGCCGAAGCGAGCGCCGAGGTGGAAAACATCCTCCAGAAGATCGACGCCGACGGCCTCATGGCCCCCTTGCAGGTCATCCAGACCCTCTCCACCAACCCCGTCGCCACCATGGGTCTGGTCAAGACGTACCTCTCCCGCACCCTGTCCAGGGAAAGAGGCGAGATCGCCGCGAACCGCAAACTCATCGACTCGTATCGCGGCGATACCCAGACCCAAGCCGCGGAGTTGCAGGACCTGGCCACGAAGCCGCAGTCTTTCAGCGCGACGCGGTGTTCCGCGTGCGGCCGGACGCTGGAATTGCCCACGGTGCATTTCATGTGTAAGCATTCGTTCCACCAGTCGTGCCTGGGGCTGGGGGAGCAGCGGCGTGATGGCGGGGATGATGATGATGATGATGATGATGATGATGGGGGCGAGTGTCCGATCTGTGCTCCAAGGAATCTCATCGCGAGACAGATGCGCGAGGCGCAGATTGAGAGTGCGGGGAGGCATGATTTGTTCGAGGAGAGTTTGAGGGGTGCGGCGAAGAGTGAGACGGGCAGGTTTGGCGTGATTGGGGATTGGTTTGGACGGGGGGTGATGAGTGTCAAGGGGCCGGCGGGTACTACTGTGGCGGAATGAATGAATGAATGGATGGATGAATGGAATGGAATCGAGGAGTGGTTCAGTAGGTAGGTAGTAATCAGATGCTATTCGTATCTAAGGTACCTTAGGCACACTGCCCGTCGCATACTCAGGTAAGGTAAACCTAGCAAATTATTCCAGTCGTAGTGGGTATCTCTCTATGAACCGAATCACCAACCCAACCAACCAACCCCCAACCCCCAACACCTCCTCCTCCTCCGAATCCCATCCCATCCCATCCCATCCCATCACCTCCTCCAAAACTCTCCTATTTATTTATTAGCAGCAGCACTCAACCCCGCCGCCGCCCCGCCCCTCTTCTTCCCAGCCCTCAACCCAGCCAGCGTCCCCTCCCTGCCCCCCTCCCTTCCAATCTCCACAACCACCATGCGGATGAAATCCTTCAACCCCCAATACGCACTATGCGCGCCCAACATGGTCAGGTACTGAATCTCAAACGTCCCGCCGCCATACTTGACGAAATAGTCAATCTGTCCGTTATCGTTCAACAGCGTCATGCGCTTCTCGGCGAGCTCTTCGCGCGTGAAATTGTGCGTTTCCAGTTCGACGTTGCTCGGGAGACGCGGCATGGACGGCACGTTGAGGTTCGTCGCTGCGGACGTGGCGGGGCCGCCGATGCCGCCGAACCAGCGTGCGGTGTTCGAGGTACCGGGTGGGAACCAGAAGGAAGGCGTGTTGGACGGGATGAAGGCTTTCTTGAGAGCCGCCGAGTAGGACGTGTCGACGGCGGCGTTCATGCGGTACGCGACGGGGTCGTAGCCGTTGATGATGTTGTAGATGTTGTGCACGGAGATACACCCGTACTCTCCGCGTTCGCCACAGATGGCGGCGATGTTGCTCGTGGGATCCGCAATGGCCTGTGCCGAAGGATGATCGATCCGAGGTCTCAGTTGCGCTCTCCGCAGTAAGAGGAAGAAGCCTGCCGGTGAGCCTGCAAGGAAAAGATTATGGGTGTTGAAGAGGAAGTGATCGACCTCTTCAGCGTCTAGGTCGATTTGCGTCGGGTCGGACAGGTGCTTCGGAACGGTGGTAGGTTGTTTGGAGAGAATGTCAATCGACATGACACTCCCCAGAGAGTGAGCGATGATGTGTACGTTGCCGTGCTCTGCAAAGCCGGGATTGTTGTGGCACCAGATTCTGTAAACCCTGTTTGCCTCTCTGATGACAGCCGCAATCATCTTGGGTTGGTGATGGGACATATAATAAGGGATATCGAGCATGACATCGCTCACGATGCCGCGGACGGAGGGCAATGTGTCGGGCGTGATGTCGTTCAGAGTGAACTCGTTGATAGTCGAATCTGGCTGCGCTCCGGCTGGGTCGTCTGGCCGGTATCCTCCTTCTTCGAAGGAAAGCGAATGTCGCCAATTGATCGGTAGCACCATGATACCGCCCATGTCGCCGCGAAAACGATGCTTGACCTCCTTGTTGCCGCACTCCACCATGATCTCTCTCCTGAACGCATTGATTGCGTGCGTGAAGTGGAAGCTCTCCATACGCTGGCTCAATTTCTGTCCAATGCCGTGAATCACAAACACCAAATCAGTGACCTTGGGGCGGTCGGCTTTGGCAAGGTCCGGGTCTTGCTTGCGTCGCCGGTCTGCGTCTGGGCCTGCTGCAGCAACGCCGCGCTCAGCCTTCTCTTGCATGGCACCGCCTTTCTTGGGAGGATAAAGCTTGTCCCATTTCGACTGATCGAAACCTCGAACAACAGGGATGCCGATCTTGTGGTTCTTGCGAACGTAGTTTGCTAGAGGCCGCCTTCCATAATAGGCTGATGGGAGAAGAGTTGGTTTCAGAATCTTCGCTTCTCGTTCGTTTGCATATATCACACCACACGTCCCATACGTCCGCACAGCACCCGCTCGGCCGTATGTTGCCTCGCCATAAGCTTTGTTATCAACACCGCCAGCACCAGTCGACACGTCGATGATATCACACGCAGCTTCGACCGCTCTGTGTCGCTGTTGTTCAATACTTTCCGGCTCATCCTCGAAGAGATTTGTGGTAGCAGCACGCAGCAAGTTGTCGTCTCTAATCGTACCTCGCCTACTGCCACTCTCGCTCCCCCTGCTATTAACAGACTTGCGAGGCTTGTCTGGCCACAGCTTATGTACGATCTTCATCTCGCCTAGCGCTCCGACTTCCACAGCACTGTTCAGCTCGTCTTGCCAGGTCTCCGTCCAACATTGCAAATCGATGTAGCCAGCCTCCAGCATGTTCGCGACAGGCGTCTCCACCGGCAGCATGGTGTCTTCGTAGAACCATGTCCCTCGCATGACCTGAGCTGTGTCGTGGACCGGCGCCCAGTATATAGGAGTCATATGTAGCTCCGGCATCTCCACCTGATGCAACCTCGAGATCCCCACGGCAACTTTTGCAGTTGGACTTGGGTCGACCTTTTTCTTCCTCTTCTCCGGAGCGGGACTATGTTCCGCAAGATGGGAGGGGTCATCCCATGTATACGAGTCGAGTGTTCTATGCATGGGTCTCGCTGGCCGATCTTCGAATCGTTGTGCTGAAGACGGATCTAGCTTTTGCTTCGATGGCAATCTGGTAAAAGGGTTTCCTGTAGTATCTGTCCCCGCTGCAAGATCACTCGCGCTCTCGGGCACTTCTGCCGTCGATGCATCATCCTCTTGCCATGTATCTACCTGACTGAGTCCGGAAGCTGGTTGCTTTGCATGTCTTGACCTTGACAGGGCACCCTTCGATCCGGAGCCACTTCTGCCCCTCGCTGTTGAAGCGCTCGTACGCGATCTGACCCGACTGTCCTCGTGCGAACCGTCCTTCTCCCCTCTCTCTTCATCGTACCGCAAGATCTGATGGCGCAGTTGATTCCATGCTTTGTCGAGAGCGGTGTTATCGTACTCGGAGAAAGGCTTGGGAGGCTGCCTCACCCACGTGCTGTCACTGCTAGCGGGAGGCGGTAGAGGCGACAGAGGGTCGTCGATGGGTATGGTAGAAGTATAGAAGAAGCGGGCTTTGATTGGCGGAGGCGGGTCCGTCTGGTGGAGGACCTGGCGAAGGTACTGGTGGGTGGTCGAGCTGGCCGGTGTGGTGCTCATGGTTGCTGCTGGTGTTCGGCTCTTCCTATAAGCAGACGGGAAGACGATTCAACGACCAGCCTGTGCCTGTCATGGGCCAGTCGAACTGGGACGAGTGGCTTTGAGGGAGTAGGGAGGGCTCTCGGGCTGGGCAGCAGCGCATACGCATAGCACCAGACTCAAGCCAGCGAGCGGGCGGAGAAATGGCGAGGCGCGCTGGCGTGCTATGTACAGCGCGACGCAGAGAGCGAGGCTTTCGCGGGATGGGCGTGGTATGGGGTGGATGTCGTCCCGATGCCTGCCTGCCTGTTCTTGACGTGGCACTGCAAGGAACCAACGAATCTCTCGTGTTGGATGCGACGGCAATGTGCCTACCAACAGCCCCTCCTCATCCTCATGCACCTCGACGCTGGCCAACGAGGGGAAGTCGTCGTCGTGGTCGTCGTCGAGGTCGTGTTTCTGCCGTCCATATCCTCGACGTGCAATGTCGCGGGGACGATATCCTCAAACACTCTTGGGGAAAATGCAGGACGCGAAGGGACGTGCACTGCATGTGGGCATGACCATGACGTGCCCGCGCCGCTGACTGCGCATGTGAATAAGGTATGTATGAAACTTAATGCACGCTTGATCGGACCATGATAGCGCGAAAATTTTGTAACGGCACACCTCATCAGCTTCGAGATCTGGTCCGTGGGGTTGGTGCTTTGGTATCTATATCGCTACAGTCCTGCTCCACATCCGGAAGAGGAGCCCCCTGTCTGTGAATGCCTTTCCATCGCATCCCTCATTCCTTCCTCCTATATGCACCCTTTGAATTCCCACGATCCGTGACTCCATTGCGTGCATCGTGCATCGTGCATCGTGCATCGTGCATCGTGCATCATGAACAAGAAACAATTGAAGACGCCGTTTTATCATCCCATCGACAAAAGCCACGCTCTTACTTGACATTAACCTCAACACGACCCTCGTTGCCCGGAGCACCCTTGCCCAACTCGGGGAGCAAGTAGGTGATGTCGTCCCAGGGATGTCTGTACAGACCAGTGCGCAGTCTCTTCTGGTCGAGGTAGTGAGCAATGAGACCAATTGATCGTCCGAGCACGAAGAGGCCGTTGAGCACGCCCATCTTGAGGTAGTCTTCCGCTTCCTCGGGGGAGAAAGCGCCGGAGTTGCGGAGGAGATCGACGAAGCAGACGGCGATACAGCCGTCGACGTTGAGGATGAGGTTGTCCTTCTTCGAGGTCGTGACGGTCTCGACGGCGAGCGCGTAGTCGAGGAGCTTGCTGGATGGGAAATTCTTCTGCACGTACTCCTTGACGAGGGAGACACGGAGATCGGGGTTGTTGCGCGACTTGACACGGTGACCAATACCAGGAACTGCACGCGGTTAGTGTTCGGAATCTCGCAAATGGTTCATCGCACTTACTGAGCTTGTTCTCCTTCCTCATGGTGTCAACGAAGTCACGCGGGCTCAGACCCTTGTCGAAAGCACGGGTGAACTCCTCCGCAGCGCCGTCAAGGGCACCACCGAAACGGGAACCGATGGTGAGCAGACCAGCGACCAGTGAAGAGATCAGGTCCTTGCCGGCACGGGTAGTAATGATGGTGTTCATGGCACCAGACACGGCAGGACCGTGGTCAGCAGTAAGCATGAGAACCATCTCCAAGAATCGGCTGGCGTAGTCGGGCAGTCTGCGGCGGAACCACAGGAGAGCCATGACACCACCAATACCGATCTCCTCCCTGAAGACGTCGGAGATGGGCAGGCCAGCGTAGAGAAGTTCCTGACCACGGTCGTCGGAAATGGTGGAGATGAAAGCAGCTGGCTTACGGATGAGGCCGAGCTCCTGGGCCCACGAGTAGTCAATCGGGATCTTTGGAACAGCTGGTTCGGGGGAAGGCTTGACCTCGCCCTTGTTGAGCATGTCCTTGTAGACGGCAGCGAGCGTTGCCGGGAGGTCCTCGAAGGTCTCTGGGACGTGGAAACCAGCATCACGCATGCTCTTGTTCTTCATGGCAGCAGTCTCGAGCTGAGAGTTGGCGAGAGCACCAGCGTGACCGAATTGCACCTCTGTCTTCAGCATGGATGCAACGGTACCAATTGCCCAGGCGACGATTGGCTTGGTGATGACGCCCCTCTTGACAGCCTCAATCACACGGTACTCCTCGACACCACCGACCTCACCGAGCAGGAGCAGAATCTTGCAGTCCGGGTCGGCCTGGTATCGGAGCATGTGATCGATGAAGGTGGTTCCAGGATATCTGTCACCACCAATGGCAATACCCTCGTATACACCGTCTGTTGTCTGCGAGACAATGTTGTTCAACTCGTTGGACATACCGCCCGACTTGGAGACGTATCCAACGGATCCCTTGCGGTAGAGCTTGGAGGCCACGATGTTGTCCATCATACCACCCGTGTTTCCGATCTTGAAGGCACCAGGCTTGATACCACCGACCGTCGCCGGACCGATGATGGTGATGCCCTTCTTCTTGGCGACATGGAGGATCTCACGAGCTCGTCGCTCCGGCACACCTTCGGCAATGATGGCAATCGACTTGATCTGAGGGTACTCCATGAGCTCCATGGTGGAGCTGTAGACGGATCGGGAGGAAGCGAAGTTCACGACGCAGTCCACGTCAGCGTGCTTTGCCATGGCAGTGTCGACGGATTCGTAGACGGGGAGGAGTGTCTCGGAGGTGCCCCAGTACCTAGATTGCGGTCAGTTCTGCGGCCTCAGGATGGTGCGGTGCTGCTCTTGCTCGGCAAGCTCACATCTTGCTCACGAATTGGCCTCCGAATGTGTAGATGATGCCGGCGACGGACGGGGTCTTGCGCTTGCAGATGAAGTCGAAGTCGAGCATACCCTGGACGGCCTTGGTTTGCATACCGCTGAATGGTTGTCAGAATCGCCGTGCCTGCGTGGTCTGGACTCGGAGGGCGAGACTTACTAGACGAAACATCTTGTCTTGGGGTGGAAGAGCTGGTGGCCGGGCTGGGGGCTCAGAGGCCTACTGGGAGCTGCAAAGCGCTGGATGTTGTCGTTGGCGGAGAGGCTGTCGGTGCGGCCATTGACGCCGTTGGCAGTGCCGTTTGGCACCGCAGATGGAGCCATTGTGGTGAAGTTCTCGAGAGGTGGAGGGGCTGTTTCTTGGCTCGAGACTGCGGTCTTGCTCCAGTCAGTCTTACGGAGGGAGGTGTGGATTTCTTCGTTTCTGCAGCAGAAAGAAGGTTGCCGTGCAAAGTGGATTCAAGTGTCGCTGACGCGCAGAGAGGCGGTGGGAATAGATGATGCTAAGTTTGGAGCTTCCTCTCTTCTCTGCTGCTGCTGCTGCAGCGGCGGAGTTGCTGGCTCGCGCGCGGGGAAATGTTGCGAGGGAGATGTCGTGCGGCTGCGCTGTTGCTGAGGGGATGTGATGTGTTGGTGGAGAGGACTTACAGGTGAGCTCTCTGAGGAATTGTGGGCGGGAGGAGGGGGATCAAGAGGTGGTGATGTGAGGAGTGCTGGATTGAGGGAGAGAAGAGGGAAGAAAGGTAAGGTAGAAGGTCGCGTCGGTGATGGATGTTGAGAGGGCCTGAGCTGCAGGTGGATGGCCCCTGCACTTCCCAGTTCCTAGCGCGGAACGCTTTTCGGGGACAGACGACTCTCTTTCCCGAATCCTGCAGATGGGAGCTGGAGGGGACCCGTGGGCTCATGTACCTTTTACCGGACCGCGAAACGGAGTTGAGATGAGCTGATGGGGGGCGTTGGGTGTGTGTGCCAGGGCAACGCCCCAATCCCGATGCGCCCATTGACATGACCTGACATTGCCTGTACCATTGCCGTGCGTGGGGAGGGCTGCAAACGAGAACGACGGAGCGGAGGTTACATACATGTACGGAGGAGAAATGTGTTGAAATCGTGCCATGGCGGTGCGGGCACAGTGCTACGGGGACGGCACGCGAGCAACGCATGGGATGGGATGTGTAACTAGTGGTGCCTGTGCCTGGCGGGTATCGCTCGTTTTCGCTTTCCATCTTTTCTGCCCTCCCAATGTCTCACACCGCCTGCCCTTCTCCGCCATCCTGCAAGCCCGTACGATGCATACCTTAGATACTGTAAGCGTCGGCTTCGGTTTTTGGACGTAACATTACGGGGGCCCGCTCCGAGGGACCCCGCGCCGGTTCTCCCAGCGCCAGTGAAAGCCGCGGTCGCGATTCCATGTTCCTCGCGACCCGACCAACAAGCACAAGCAGACCTCTGGTAGGGAAACGCAAACGCAATAGTTGGGGCAGAGTTGGGGTTGGAGGGCCACAGCCGTTCCCAAACTTCCCGCTCGGAGATCGACCCGCATGTGCTAGCGCGTTCATCGTCAGGGAGCACCTTCAACGATCCGCCGGACTCACTCACTCACTGTGCACTGGACACTGACAGCTGTGGCCTGAGACGAAACCCCGAGAGCTCTTCCTCTTCCTCTTCCCGCCCGCCATCCTTCACCTTTCTCCCTCCATCATCCACCCGACAACACCTTCCCTCCCATCTCACGTCTCCTCCTCGCCCTCCTCCGGCACCTGCAGCTCGTCTGTCAGCGCCGCAGACCCCATCACATCGAGGTAAGCCAGTGTCCTGCACGATTTTATTTTAAGCTCCGTCGGTGAGGTGGTGGCCCCTCGAAAAGAGTGCCCGCAATCCACTCCCAGGGACCACGCGCCAATCCGTGCAGCCTCCTTCGGACTTCAACTTTTCGTGACACCTGCCACCTCCCACCATTCTCCGAGCCGCGACGAGAACCAAACCGCCCAACATCTCTGCCAAATTCTGCCAAAGGAGACGCTCCCATTCACCAACAACAACCACATCAACAAAGCCCGCCTTTGCGCCTGCCATTAACCTTCAGAAGTCACCTCTTCTCTCCCGGCGCCCTCTCCCCGCTGAATCCGCCCATTGCAACTGTTCTGCACTCCCGCCCGCACTTCTACTCCCCCTTCCGCCCTCGAGCGGGGAACTCGCGAGCTGCAATTGCTTACACACACTCCTCTTGACACAGGCAACAGCTCCAGGGAAACGCCAGCAACATGTCTGCAAAGTCCATCCTCGAGGCCGACGGCAAGGCCATCCTCAACTACCATCTCACTCGCGCTCCCGTCATCAAGCCAACCCCGCTTCCTCCTTCCCAAACCCACAACCCACCCGCCAAGCTCGCAACCATCACCTTCGAGGACGGCGACGACGTCAACGGTGTGCTCGATGCTGCCGAGGCCAAATACCCCTTCCTCCTGCAGCCCGGTGCGAAATTCGTTGCGAAGCCCGACCAGCTGATCAAGCGGAGAGGCAAGTCTGGCCTCCTGAAGCTCAACGCGACATGGCCCGAGGCGAAGGAGTGGGTCGCGGCCCGTGCAAACAAGGTGCAGAAGGTCGAGCACGTCGAGGGTGCTCTGAGGACGTTCCTCGTCGAGCCTTTCGTGCCACACCCGCAAGACACGGAATACTACATCAACATCAACTCCGTTCGTGAGGTAAGTCGAGTGCCTGCGAGCCAAGTGGGAAAGCTCTAATCTCGAGATTCAAGGGTGACTGGATTCTCTTCTACCACGAGGGCGGTATTGACGTGGGAGATGTCGACTCCAAGGCCGAGAAGCTCTTGATCCCCATTGACCTCAAGGAATACCCGAGCAACGAGCAGATCGCAGCTGGTCTCCTCTCCCAGGTCCCCAAGGGCGTTCACCCCGTGCTCATCGACTTCATCTCGCGACTATACGCCGTCTACGTCGACTGCCAGTTCACCTACCTCGAGATCAACCCGCTGGTCGTCATTCCCAACGCAGACGTCACATCAGCCGATGTGCACTTCCTGGATCTGGCAGCGAAGCTCGACCAGACCGCTGAGTTTGAGTGCGGTGTCAAGTGGGCCATTGCACGTGCGCCAGCTGCTCTCGGCATCCCCGTCCTTTCCAGCAAGGACACCAAGGTCACAATCGACGCCGGCCCGCCAATGGAGTTCCCGGCTCCATTCGGTCGTGAGCTGAGCAAGGAGGAGTCCTACATTGCCGAGATGGACGCCAAGACTGGTGCTTCGCTCAAGCTCACAATCCTCAACTCGCAGGGTCGCATCTGGACTCTTGTTGCTGGCGGTGGTGCTTCCGTCGTGTACGCCGATGCCATTGCATCCGCTGGCTTTGCATCCGAACTGGCAAACTACGGTGAATACTCTGGTGCACCAACGGAGACTCAGACCTTCCACTACGCACGAACTGTTCTAGATCTGATGCTCCGCGCTCCTCAACACCCGGACGGCAAGGTCTTGTTCATCGGTGGCGGTATTGCCAACTTCACCAACGTAAGTCCAACAGCAATGTTCCTCGTTGAGAAGCAGCTAATCATCCCCGTAGGTCGCCTCCACGTTCAAGGGTGTCATCCGTGCCCTTCGCGAAGTCGCCCCTCTCCTGAACGAGCACAAGGTCCAGATCTGGGTCCGCCGTGCCGGTCCCAACTACCAGGAAGGTCTCAAGAACATCAAGGCCGTCAGCAAGGAGCTCGACCTCGACATGCACGTTTTCGGCCCCGAGATGCACGTGTCCGGCATCGTACCACTCGCACTTGTTCCAGGCAAGTACCACGACGGGGTCAAGGAGTTTGAGGGATAAATGACATACACATGCTCTGCTGTATGATGCGCAGAGGAATAGAGGTGTTTTGTAGTTTTCGACTAAAAGAGGCGCGAACGGTCACGAGCGCAAATGGATGACGCAGTCCTCGGAATAGGCATTTGCATGGGCAGGCTGGCGGAGGAGCGAGGCAAATGGTATATAGATGATGTTTGCGGATATCCAGTTGCTTGTCTCTGCTTGTGGCGTGACGGCGATGGAGTTGTCTTGATTCAAATTGTTCAAATTACCATTTCACGAGACCCTGCTGTCCAAAAGTAGTCGCGCGAGGCACGGGGAGGTTTGTGAAATTCCCAGTCACGTGCCTTTGTCACCTGAAGCTTTCGCGGACTTGAACTCGGACTCCAGACTTCGCGACAGCAACCACCCTGAAGCACACGCAAACAATCACCCAACTCACCCAACCCAACCCACACCCACCACCTCTCTCTCTCACAACAACAACAAACATGAGCGTACGTCCCTCCACCCCCTCCTCCCCCCCTCCTCTCCTCCCCACCTACTTTCAAACAAAACACCAACAAACAACTGACCATACCATACCACACACACACAGGCCTTCGTACCCCTCAACCCGCGCCCCTTCCTGCAGAACCTCATCAACGAGGACGTGCGCATCAAGATCAAATGGGGCCAGGAATACACCGGTCGGCTGGTGTCCGTGGACTCGTACATGAACGTGCAGCTGGCGAATACGCTGGAGTGGAGCGGGAGCGGGAAGGAGAAGAGCGATAGTCTGGGGCAGGTTTTGATAAGGTATGTTTTATTTGTTATTTGAGGATGGTATGGGAGGGGGATGAGAGGGGAGGGGTGGGATGGAGAGATGGGCTAATATGTGATGCATAGGTGTAATAATGTGCTTTGGATTTCCAAGGCGGAGGAGGGGGAGGGGGGGAAGCAGCAGGGGAATGGGGATGCGGAGATGCAGGGTTGAACAGGCAGGAGATGGAGCACAAGAACGAGAATGAAGGAGAAATGAGAAAGGCGCGTTTGGTGGGACGCTTTTTTTCCGCCCGGAAGACATGCGCGAGACGGAATGCTGAGTGAGACTGGTGGGTTGCTTGGGCTTGGGCTCTGGAGGGAGCAGCATCCGAGTACTCCGTCGAGAGCGCACCACCACCACCAAAAAGACGACAAGGTACGAGCATGCAGTGAACAGCGCGGCCTGCACCAACCGAGTCCAGAGCTCGACTTTGCCTGCTGGATAGACGGGAAGGCAAGGCAAGGCAAGGCAAGGCAAGGAAAGGATACTACTAGAGGTCAGTACCTAGTAGTTTCCTTTTCAAAACACTCACTCACGAAGCTTTTTATTTTCTTCACGTGTACATGTACTGAAAACGCGCTTCCAAGTTCTTTGCGCAGCAGCCTATCTATCTATCCGTTTACATCGTCGTCGTCGTTGTCGTCGTCAAAAACCAAAAATCGTACTACTGGGAGGCTTGGCTTGGCCTGCCCTTCGGCCAGCGATGAAGAAGCCGATTTATTCAGCTGTGTTTTTTTGGGGGGGGGGGGGGGGGGGGGAGACAGTCGTTCGTTTCGTTGTGTGAACTATCTACTGTGTACCTTACGCGCAAAGGGTATCATCGTCAAAAAGGTATATATATATATATATATATATATATACACACACAAAGCGGCAGGCAGGGCTGTGCTGCTGCGCGCGATATGCCAGTGCAGTGCAGTGCAGTCCAGTGCAGAGAATCAGAATCAGAACATGAACGTGAAACCCCAAGACAAACAAACAATGGAACCATCATCATCATCATCATCATCATCAAATCATCAATCATGAGACTCGTCTCGTAAACCCCCCTTCCTCCCCTTCTGTTGTCAAATCATCGCCTCTCACTCTCACTCACTCACTCACTCAAACCCTCTCATGAGGCTGCACAGCCTTCAGTCCAAAAACATCCTGCTCATGCCCCTCCTGCTGTTGTTGTTGTTGTTGTTGTTGTTCCATGCTAGGCCTCATACTCCTCTCCCCACCAGCACCACCACCATCCTCCTCCTCCTTCTTCCCATCCCCATCCCCCGCAGGTTTCAATTCCCAACTCCCCACCCTCTCCTCCTGCGTCACACTCGCGCCACCTTTCGGCGGCAGAGCCAGATCCACATCACTTCGCATCTTGCGCCCGCCTTTGAACCCACCGCCGAAGTCACCGCTCCCGCTCCCCCCCTTCCAATTCTTCGGCCTCTGCTTCCTACGATGAACCCTCCACCCGCCCAACCAAACCCCGACCACACCGACAATCAACCCGGCAAGCGCAAGGGAGACCACAGCGCCAATCACGCCCGCCACGACAGGCGTGACCGGATCCTTTTTTGTGATGATTCCAGAGCTTCCATCATCGTCACCGTCACTGTCATTCCAGACCCTCGCCAGCGTCGCGTTGAAAGCCGAACAGAAGAGATTCGTAGCATGGCACTCCCGACACCAAGCCGCCATGCCATCGTCTGCCATTTGCAAATTCTCCATCGCGTAGCGGAAGTCGCGCCATGGCATGTCCGTGGCGTCCGGGCCGCGGTTGAAGAGCGGGTAGCTCCTCATCTTCATATTGCCATTCCCATCTTCTCCTTGCCCTTCCCCGGCAGTGCCGTTGACGAAGTAAAACCTCACCCAGAGATCCCTCGTCGAAGGGGGGAAATTCGGTACGGCGGCGGCGGCGGAGGAGGTGTTGGAGGAGGAAGAATTGGTGTAGGACCACAACTCAAAAACAGCAGCCGAGGCGAAGTCCGGCAAGCCGTAGAAATTCGCATCCTGCGCCGGCAGGCCGACGAGGGCGAAGAGGGACACGAGGGGCGCGAAATCGGCAAACAGCAGCGTGAGTTTGTCCCGCGCGCCGCGGGCGAGGAGGGCGTTGGTGAAAGCCTCCAGAACGCGGGCGACGAGCAGGTTGCCCGCGATGGTGGAGATGGAGCCCAGCGCGGCGCCGGGGAGGGCGTCGTGGCCGTTGAGCGGATTGACGGCGCTGAGATTGCCGAGTTGGGCGTACTGCTGCTCGTTGGCGAGGGTTTGCAGGAGGCGCATGTAGGACGTGTTCGTCGCGACGTCTCGGTAGCGGTCCATGGCCGCTTGCACGGTGCTGTTGTGCGCGTATTCGTATTGCAGCCAGTCGTAGATGGCGTAGGCGTTGGTGTAGTCCCACGCCTGAGGCCCGAGGATGCCGCTGAACACGGCCGGCCCGATGGTATCGTAGATCCCGTCAAACTGCTTCCACGTTACGCTGAATTGTTGCGAGTCTCGATACTGTGCCGCGGCGAGGTCGAAGGCGGGGCAATCGAGGTTTCCGGAGAGGTAGATGAAGTTGGGATCCAGGCCTCCGGCCGTGTGGATTTGAGCGTATTGGTAGCCGGAGAGCGGCGCGTCGATCTAGATGGAACAAACATGACGCCTGTCGTTAGCTCTCGAATTTCCTCTACTAATGCGCCTTGCCCGGGCTCGAAAGAGAGAGGGAGAGGGAAAACTCACGAACGTGGAATTGGCCAACAAACTCGTCGGATCCAACACCGCTCTCGTACTGCTATTCCCACCAGGCGAGAAGGGCGGGTACAATCCTTGGAGGAAAGCCTGCGCGGTCGCGAAGTTCCACTGCTGATCTAGCGCCAGCGCAGAGACTTCCAGATTGCTGTAGACGTCCGCATTCAGACCGACCAAGGGGGCTCCATACCCACCGAGTCCATCGCCGTTGCCGAGCAACGATGCATTGAACGCGGATTCGATGTAGCGGTTGCGGAAGAACTGGCCAGAGGCATAGGCTTGGTTGGCACCGACGGAGGTGAGCGTGGTGGGGAGATTTCCGATGATTTCGGGAGTTCGTTCGCCGGTTCGCTGGAAGACGACGCTGGACCACACGGTGTATTGCTGGCCGTTCTGCTGAGCAAGGCTGCTGGGTGGGAGGAGGAGGAGGAGGAGGAGGAGGGTTGCGGCTAGCGCAGCGATGAATGAGAACATCTCAAGGTGGGCACTGCTTCAGGCAGCTTCTTCTGGATGATCTGAACAAGCTCTTCTTCGCGCACAGCGCAACCACTGGAAGAACAGAGACCAAAAAGCTCGTCGTCTTCCCTACCTAGTAGGGAGAGAAGCTTCACCGCATGGTCATCGGCCGGGGGAGCTGTTATCGTTAATAAGATGGAGGCACAGCTGCAGCTAGAGCCCAGCCAGAGACTCACAGGCCTCCGCTACCATCTCTCCAGCCGTTCCCATCTGCATGTCGTGAGCCTTGCAGTCTTGATATCCTCGATACGGTCAAGCGACTGCTACATCCAGAGGTGGGGTGCCACTCGAGCGCGGTTAAACTTCCGCTTAAAGCTCCGGCTAGCGGGCGAGGCTGGTCGTCAGTGCAAGGCGATTGGGTTGGGCATGTTCCGATGATGGCGCTGTCCATGAAGTTGTCAATGTGTGGCTGGGCGTATAAACCGGCTTCTGTCCTGCCGTAATCAGCGTCGCATTCGTTGCAACATCGGCGCAAAGCACTTCGACGTCCAGTCTAACAGGATACATCCGTAGCAGACACCACATCCTGTCCAGACGAAAAGCCAGGTACAATCTCGACGGGGCTATAACCTTGCTACCAAAGACCGAATCAAAAGCTACAATCATTCGTCATGTCCACTGTCTCATTCAGCAGTAAGTACAGCAACACCCCGATGTCTTCTTCAACGCATACTTACGCATCCGCCCAGTTCCGATCCTGAGCATCCCGCTCTACTACATCCTCGCCGCCTTCCCTCATGGCTGGGCCGTCGTCAAGGCCAGCAAAGGCGACTTGAAGCAGCACGATAACCGCAACCCCAAAGCGACATCCTATACCGAGAATCTCAAGAAGCGCCTGTCAGCCAGAGAATTTGCCGCCTTTGAGCGTGCCGAATCATGCCATCGCAACCATCTTGAGAACATGCCGCTCTTCGTCGCCACCATCTTTGCTGGTATTCTTGCCGAGTCCAGAGTTGGTGAAGATGGCATTGGTCTCAGCAATTTCGCCGTCGGTTGGATGTTCATTCGAATCTTGTATACGGCCAACTACTTGACCACCGAAACCCGGGCATGGAGTCACGCGCGCAGTGTTCTGTACTTCGCTGGCACCATCTGGTCGTTCGTCATCTTGGGCAGGGCAGCTTGGGTTCTGGGCAACTAAAGCAGGTAGAGCACAGCGTCGGGTATATGGGCAGCATCGGTGGATCCGCGACTCGCAACTCCTAGGACATAGTTAGCTCTTCTCTTCACTCAATTCCGAAGAGAGTGGAGGGACTTATTAAAAATCAAGAGGCCGTCTCTCTTCCCAGATCCCAGAGGATCAAAGTCGAGAGACGGCTCTGGCGTCCATTCACGCCTCTACGCAATCCCGCGTCCATCTTCAGATTTGCGCCTTCCCTTCAACACCCGTCCACGAAGCCTTCAAGCCGCATTGACAACCCCTATCCTTGCTGGTTGCAATGAGAAGCCGACTTGGCCACATTCCGCAAACTCGACACAGCAACACGTCCCAACCGACCTGGCAGGGAAAGAAAGACAGACAAGCACAAAGCTTTGATCCTCACTCAAGAGAGGTCCCGCTTCTCGTCCCCGTTCCCCAGGCCAGCGGCATGTATCGTCAAATGTCCAACTCGCTCGATACGGCCTCCGTCGATTCTCAAGCCTGCAACCAACTCAAGGAGTGCCGTTCAGCATGAAGTTGTGGTGCCCACTTCAGAGTGCTGTAGGAAAAGGCGTTCATCTTCGGGCATCAGCAGAATCGCTACTCCCACAAAAGTTGCAATCTTCTCCAGAACCACCCAAACTCGGCCGTCTTCCCTCTTTCGACACCAGAGCACTCGTAGAACACCACGTCCTTTCGCCAGCAACATCCAGGCCAGACTTTCCCATTTCGAACATCATATACTCTCGGTATGTGTTGAGCGCTCCCACTCAGAGACCGTCTTTGATTCCATCTCATCCGTCTACCACGAGAGCAGACTTCGAGAGGCAATTCGCCTGATCAGGGCGCAAACGGACAAAGTACATCTACAAAAGCCGCTCGCCATCTCACAGATGTGAGGAACGCAACTGCAGATCCCTTGGGAGGAAAGCAGCGCAAATGATGGTTCGGCGCTCATCGATCGGCCTCCACTCTCCAGAGCTCTGAGCGAATGGTATGTGGAAGGAGATGATTGACGCGGCTGATCGGACAATCTCACTAGGAGAACCACATCTGTAGCTTGTGCAGTGAAGTGGGCTCTGATGGTTCTTCGCCGAGAATGGTCGGAAGTGGAGAGCGGGTGGCTTTCTGCCGGAGCAGCGTAGCGGATTTGAGAAGCGGACAGGGTGACTTCGTTGATGTAGCAGGCAGTGGAGCTGGTCGAGGAGCATTGCAATGTCGTTTGGTGCGTACCGGATTCGAGTCGTGCGTGAGGGATCTGGGTTGAACCACAAGAGCCGCAACACCTGCTGGGTCAGAGTAAATCGAGGCCTTTAGCATGACGAGGCAGGAACCACTGGGTTGCTGGAGCTAAAGCATGCCTTTGAGTGGGCCGTGCAAGAAAGAAAGCCTCTGTGTGTAAGCATGATCACCTTGCTACGTGACGCGCTTGTAGCTGACACGATTCGGACAAGTGTGATGCGATGCTAGCAGAGGAGGCAATCGGACTGCACAGCCTGTGTGTAGGCGAATTCTTCAAAGGAAGAAGCTGCCATGCTCTGCCAGTGTCCATGCAAGCCAGCCACAAGGCCATCGACCCTCTGACGCCAACAGACACCACCGAAGGTGCTAATGAAGTCGACCCATGCAGAACCCATACCCGACGACTGCGAGATCCAGCGTTGCCGACACTCACAACGCGCCGTAACCTTACTTTCTGGCGTCCACCAATTTGTGAGGACCCTGAAGACACTTCCCGAATGGAGACGTGCCCGCCGCATTCTCGCCCAGCTCTCTTTCGAACCTCACCGCGACGTCTTCCGCACAAAGCTGTCCATTTTTGATCAGAGCAAGAGTCCAGCCGGCAATCTCGACGCGCGCTTCCTGCGGAAGTCTTGCCAAACCGACGCATGAGTTCACCGTATTACACGCTTCTCCAAAAGGATCAGCACCGAACATGACCATCAGCTCTTTCATCCCTCCTTTGGCCTTTGTCCGTGTAGATCAGTTTCACCCGATCTTACCAGAGTTCGAGCCGCGGGAGAGACTTAGTCGAAGAAGATGGCTGCTTGTTACTGCCGTAGAGAGCAGTAGACACCGCGAGACTTGTTGATAAACCGAGAAATCGCTTAGGGTTAAGCACTCCGAGATACCGCATCCACCTCGCCGTCAAGCTTCGCTGGGTACAGCAAAGCTGCAGTTCCAGGTCCGCAAGACGAAGAAGCGCAGCGCGAGCCGTTGCCCAAGTGCACTGTTGAAGGCGGCGAAGCGATCAGACAGCGCATTGGACGATGGGCACAAGGAGGACTGTGGGGAGGGTATGTGCTCTTGGTCTGTTGATAGAGAGTAGCGAGTGTTCGAGGGAGGAGTCGGTTGAATGTACCGGGTACATGACGCGTAAATGGTGGGTCTGAGTGTTAGACGGTCGAGTCGAGGTCGGGCAAAGCTGATCGTGGTTCGGGGGAAAGGTGCTGAACAGTTGTTGATGTTGTGGGAGAGCTCGAGCGAGCCCCGAGAAGTCGTGGCTGGGAGCTTCGCCGAAAGCGCGCTAGAGACGCGTGTCACGTGCTCACGCGCTGATCTTGACCATGCCCGAGTAGCAACATCTTCCATGATTAAGTACTGGAATTTCGAGAAACGTGTGGCTGACCTCTTGAAGTTTCTCTCCTCTGAGACGCTTCAGTCAATGCTCCCGTCCGATACGATGTGAGACCAAGTCGCGCTTGCCAAGCACGATTCACGCTTTTGGTAGGCACGCGTGGTGGGGCTACGCGTCTACCTGGCGATAAGGTATCTCAAGCTTGACTTCGACATTGCTAGAATAAACCACGAACAACAATGTCCCCATCGGTTTGCCCCGACTCGGAGGAAGACGACGAAGACGAGCTGCTTCAAGGCGACGAGGATACCAGTCAGCAAAGCCTACAGTCCTGGGTTGCAGGTCATGCCGAGAAATACGACGAGCTGTCAGTGCCATTGAACGGACAGCGGTCTCCGGGAGGCACCAACTCATCTGGTAGGAGACTCATCAACTTGGAATTATTGCATGCGACTGACGGAGACAGAATTGCGCCGACAGATCGGGGCTGCAGGGCGTGCCCTCTTCGATCCAGCGTCGCAGCAGGCATTCAGGAGCGCTCCGGCAATGCCTTCGTCAACTTCACCGGTGCTGAGGAGAGACAAGCGACGCCGAGCCACAGAAGTGGCATCTGAACCCGTTGCTAGTCCATCAAGAAGCGTAAAGCGCACCAAGACTATGAATCAGAAGACTTACGGATCTACGAGCTCGAGAACTCCACGGCCAGCTGATGATGAAAACTGGAAAGCCTTTCGGAACGGTGACGAGCCCGTGGCCAAGACATCTCAATCTGCTGGATTCTCCGATCATTCCTCTGGGCCAAATCCATCTGGCGGACTTCCAGCAGGGACGATTCGGCAAGATTTCATGGACCATGAGCCGAATTTGATGTTTCGTGACACTGGAAGTACGAATGCCTTCAACGAATCTTCGGAGCAGAGGATTATGGAGACCGTTCTGACGACGGGCGACGCAAGACCGACAAATGACGAGCCATCTGCGAATGTCACGGCGTCCGACAAGCAACAAGATTCCTCCTTCCCCTGGTCGGAGTCTGCGGGAGCCACGCAGTCGCAAAGTGCAAACAACACCAACCCTCCGCCAGGCGAACCCGACATTTGCAATGCCGGGGAGGCCAAACGAGATGCTGAACGCGAGATGAGCGCGACCAAACCGACTGTAGAAAATGAGATGGTCGCTGCGCTGGAGGAAGACTCACATCGCGCCGAGGAACCAGAAGTCGAGGCAAGAGACGATGAAATACACGTCAGTCTGTCAGAAAGGAACGAGCAGCAGCACAAGGTCCCGCCAAAATCAAGCCCCATTGTGGAAATCCCTCGTCATCGTGCTGCATCAGCCACTTCATCGAAAGACACGCCAGTGAGCTCACGAAAAGAATCAACCCCCAAAAAGACTCGCGGCCGTCGTCGAAAGACTGTTGGCGGTGACGACCAGGAACGAAAGCCCGAATTGGATCCTCTTAACTCGGACGACAAGCTAATCGGGTTGCCAAAAGAGCGTTACATGCCACGACCAAGCCGTCGACGAGCAACAGACATCGTAGAGCCGGTAGACTTTTCTGCGGTGCCAGAACGAGCGGCAAAGAAGCGTCGAAAGACAGCAACTACCAATGTCAATGATAACAAAGCAGACGCCGTCTCAGCAACTACGAAGCAAGCTGAAAGCCAAACAATCACTCCAAGCATTGAAGAAGATGACTCGAGGACGGAAGTACCTCAAGGTCAAAGTGCGAATCCTACCTTTGCAGCCGACGACAAGCAAGCACCTCCATTACACAGACGCCATACACCCATACAGCCATCCGTGGAACCGCTCAGTCCGCCACCGCCGGCTGAATTTGAAATGCCGTCACCGAAAAAGAGAGATCAATCTGGTAGATCCAATCCTTCATCTACTAGCCGAGTGGTAATGGGTCCGCCGCCTCTACCTCCGTCTTCCAAGAAAAAGCTCTCCAGATCGAAGACCACTATCTTCGAGGATCACGTAGCCTTTGGCGGGTTTCGCAAGTCTCCTACTCTAAGCCAACAGCAGGCGGAGAGAGCTCAATCGGTTCTCAGTGAGACACCAAACAGTGCATCACGGGCAAGACGCTATAGAACGAGACCAGTCGTAGAGGACGACGACGACGAGGAAGACGAGCTCGCTCAGGACCACACTGTCGATGAGGAGGATCCTCCGCCAAAAGAACGAGGTCGCTCGACCAAAGCCGCCGCCGCAAATAAAGCTGCAAAGTCAAGGGTACTTGCAGACTCCGAAGATGAAGTGGATGATCTCAATGCCGAGCAGGACGGCTCTGTCGACGGGGACGACTCTCCGCCCAGGAAACGCGGCCGTCGAGCCAAAGCCGCTGTTACGAAGAAGGGAAAACAGATAGGGAACATTCTTCCTGACTCAGAAGACCAAGAAGAAGAAGAAGAAGGCGACTTCAACGACAACAAAGTAGAAGCCGAAGAGATCAAAGGACCGCCCAAGAAGAAGCGACCCGGGCGACCTCCCGAAGCGAAACCTCAGGAAGAACCCAAAGGCAATAGCGCCGATGGCGGAGAAGACACAACAGCGCCAGGGCCGGATCCAGACAAAGTCAACGTTCCATCCAGCGACACGGCCGCCGTCAGTCAAGGTGAGAGCAGCAGCAGTCCATCCAGAGCAGCTCTCGAGCGCAAAGACCCGAATCGACAAATTGAAAACGCAGCCGCAAAATCCGACGAGGCTCCCACAGCAAAGCCCAGCTCGACTCCCACCAAGCCCGCCGACGCGAAAACGGTCCATTCTCCGATCAAAAGCTCTTCGGGCTCAGGCACGCAGTATCGCGTTGGACTGAGCAGGAAGAGGAAGATCCCGTCTCTGCTGAAAAGTATTCGGCCGCCGAAGCCTTCGACTACACGATGATGTACATCTCTGCGTGCAGCGGATGTGTCTACATGCTCATTACGAAGAAAACCTGGCATTTCAGCAACAACCATTGGAAGTGAAGCGAACGAGAGAGACACAGAGAGAGAAGAAGCATCTGTACTCCGGAGAAAAATGATACCCCAAATGCATTTATTTGTATTTAATATGCTGCCGCTGCGTCTCTGCTATCTGTCTGCCTGTCGTACTCCTCTGGCCACGAGCTATTAGGCCGGTCAGCCAGCCTGCCTGCGTGCTGTACAGGAATGGAGGTAGTAGCTAGCTAGCTATCTATGTTTGTCTGGTGCATACACATGAAGCAGAATCTAAAAAACCGAAAAACTTTTCTAGCCAACAACCCAAGAAAGCTCCAGCAGTCCGATTGCAGATTGCGAGCTCCTCCAGCGCCAACCAAATACCAGAAATGCTCTCTCTCTCTCTCTCATAGGAATGCCCGCGCCAGACAAGTGTCCCGAAAAGAAGCGTAGATTTCGTGGCATGTTGAATGTCGGGCGTTCAATAATCGTCCAGCCACCCTCTACTCCACTCCACTCCCCTCCCTCTCTGCATTCTCGCACCACATCTCCTCCAAGTTCTAGTTTAGCGTCAGATCCTCGCCGACGTGCTTCGCAAGGCCCGTGTTCGCATCTTCCACGTCGGCGACTCCTTCCTGGCCACCTTCCTTTTCCTTTTCCTTCTCCTTCTCCGTCAACCCCTTGCGCACTCGCGCCACGCTATCGACAATCACCGCATCGATGCCAGCTCGAGCTTGAAGATTGCTGTTGTGCGGATCGTTGTTCAGGGTGCCGTAGCTCACGCAGACGAGACCACTCGACTGCACCACGTTGATCAAGCGAGGACAGAGCACAAAGGGCTCCGCGGCGCTGACGATGCCCAGCAGACTCCATCGGCTGGCGAATCGAATGGCCTCCTGTAGCGATGAGGCCCTGATATCCCCAACGGGCGAGACGCCCGCATCCGTGAGGAAGAGCACCGGGATGCTAGGCTGCTTGAACGTCAACAGCAGGCAGATGTCCGGATGAAAGGACGAAAACACAATGTTCCTCTTCTTGCGCCTCTCATAGACCAGCTTCAGCACCGTATCGAGGAAAGAATTCATCTCCACAGCGTACGTGTCCATGTCTTCCTGCACGGTTTCGAACAGCATCGGATACTTCATCTCGATGTTGAAGCCGACTTCATCGGGAATCGTGCGGAACATTTCCTCCAGAGTGGTGAAAGGCTGCTGGATGAAGTTGCGGCTGTTGCCTTTGAAGCCTTTGATCTTGTAGTCGCGAGTGTGCTTGATGCGCTCGTTGAGATTGTCGACGCCAGGAGTGGGGGCGCCGACGGAGTACGATCGTTGTAGACGACCTCGGTCGCCGTTCTCGCCTTTGCGAGGCTTCGCTTCATTGTTTTGAGGCGAAGAGGGTCGTGTTGGCTTGGGTGTCTCGCTGAGTGCTAGGAATTGCTCGAGTGTAAGGGTGTGCACCGGAACGTCTGCGCCGGTTTCGCTGACCAAGAAGTCGTGATAGATCACTGGCACATGATCCTTGGTCATTTGCACGTCGAACTCAACATAGGAAGCGCCCAGGTTAGCAGCCGTGATAAATGACTGAATGGTATTCTCTCCAAGTTGAAGGGACGTGTTGTTGGCCATATTCTTGCCCAGCCCGCGATGGCCAATAACCATGGTGGAAGACTTGGTCCAGTATGTCTTCTCTTCGCTGATGTCCAAGTTCGGATGTGTGAACGGCGTGATCACGAGGAAATTGAAGTTGACAGATCCGATAATGTCGAAATCAGATCCTGCTAAGAGAGGGACACTCAGGTCTGTCTGCAAGCTAGAACGCTTGTTGCCAACGCCTGGTTTGATGCTCGAGAGCAGCGCGACTGCTCGAGCGATGCGCTTTTGCGTGGATCCAGAGTAAGTAGGGACCAAATCGAACATGATCTTGACCTTGGAGATGTCCTTGGTCATGAAGGTCATTGGCGAGGTACTGATCTCCTCCTGGATTGGCAGATCAATCACGGTTGGCTCTCCACTCGCGCCCTGGGCCGAGACCACCAAGGACAGAGCAGTATCCAGCTGTGTGGCATGTGCATCATTGATGGAAATATTCTCGAGACTGATCGGCGCAAGGTCCTTTCCTTCGTCAAGGGTGCCCAGACTGACCAAGACCATGGACTCATCAGTGAGATATCGATGGCCAAAAGACTTGACCGGCTCGGGCACACGAGCCCTGAGCTCTTCTTTGGGCACACCATTCGACCGTCGGTCTTCCAACGACGACAAAGGCGGTGACCCAGCTGCCTGGGCAGCGATGTCCGGACTAGTGTGAACACTAGGTGGAGGTGTGAAACGTGCAAGGTACCTGGCAACCTCGATATGCCCTCGCAGAGCTGCGTGTTCCTGTGGTGTCCACTGAGAGGAATCGAGCTTGTTAATCTGTGCTCCCGCATCGACCAAGAGCTTCACGATTGGCTCGTGTCCGTTGACAGAAGCAATGAACAGCGGCGTCCATCCGTATGTCTTCTCGGCAATTTCGATGTCGATCCGGTGCTCGCCATCCTTGCCCGCTAGCAGCGCCTGAGCACACTCTACGTGACCGAATCTTGCGGCCACGTGTAGCGCAGTCTCGCGTTGCTCATCCGGGAAGTTGACATCGACGCCAGCATCGACGAGAAGCTTGACAATCTTGTGGTAGTTCGACTTGGTGGCCAATGCGAGAGACAGCCCACTCTTCTCAACATGCTTGCTGGTCAAGCGATGGTCAGTGAAGTTATGCCAGTCGTCGACAAGCAGCAGAGCCTTCGAAGTACGATAATGTCCAGCAATGACAGCCAGATGAAGTGGAGCGTAGCCCTCATCGTCCTGCCAAGCAGCCGAATCAATCCCATCCGAGACGTCAAAAAGGTGCCACATCTGCATGTGTTTCATGAGCATTTGACTCGCAAAGACGAGTCCATACTGAGCAGCATAGTGAAGCGGTATCCGCCCGTATATGTCCTTACTGAGGATGCCCTGTCGCTGACTGGGCTCCAGATGATCCAGAACAAAGCTGAGGAGGTTCTCAGCGTCGACGTCTCGACCAACATCATGATCGGGGTCCCGCTCCTCGACTTTGAAGGCTCCAGGTGCGCGGACTGGTGGCTCGGCTGCATTAATGAACGCCGTAGACTTTGAGAATTCTTGCACTCCACCGGAATGTCGTGAAGCTCTTGAACGTCCGGTACCAATGATGAGCTTGTGCAAGCAGTTGCGCTTGTTGAGATCATCGTCCGGATCGATCGACGGCACTTTGTTCAGGATAGCTTTAGTCGACTTGAATGCCTTGAACGCAATGGCTCGCTGAAGCAAGTCCAACAAGAGGCCTTTTTGCGCGCTCTCCTTTGGTACAGCAGCTGTCACCTGCTCAAAGAGCTTCGCTGTGTCCTCTTCCTTCACACACTGTTCCATGGCCTCCAATGCCGCGGAGGAGATCTTCAACGTGGTCCTTGACCCCATACGATGTATCGATCCGGAGCTGCCAGAATGCACCGAGCTGGCATCGTCGACGACCTTGACTTCGCTCAGCTGTGAGAGCCAATCGTTGATGGCTCGCATGTCCAATGACAGCTTGTTGTTGGTTGCGAAGGGTTTTGGATCGACCTTGGTCGCGAGATATCTGCTCTGCGTTGTCGAGGAAGCGATCTTCTTGTCCAACTTCTTTGTAATCTTGACGAAGCCCCTCCTGTTGACCTCTCCGTACCATTGGAGCTTGCGATACAGCCCTCGGAGCTCGAGCAGGGCGCCCATGAGGTCGTCCATGTCGTCTCGGTCCATGCCATCTTTGAGCTTCGAGGCCAGGCCATAGCGATCGAACAGGAGTCGCAAGCGACGGGAGAACTCGGCGTACTTGCGGCTGTAGAAGGTGTCGACATCCTCGAGCTGGCGATCAAGAGTGTAGAAGAACTCTGCAGGACGGTTAGGTTATCGAATGTGCCCTGAAGGCAGGCTCACCGTACCGGCCAGATCTGGCTCGTCTCCATCCCTCTCGCTCTCGGCTGCGGCGGCTTTGATCAATTTCTTCAAAGCTTTGTAGTCGATGTACGAGGCGGCCCATTCGGGGACCTGATTGCGCGGGAGATTCTGGCCGAACTTCATCGTCGACGGACCAGCGCTCCCAATTGGAGGTTGTGCCCGCTAGTGTTGAACAGCTGTTGAGCTGCACAGAGGTGGCAGTGGACACGAGCAGCGAGCGACGAGTGAGGTGCAGCTGCGACGGAAGCAATAATGTCGATGGGTGGCTTCGCCTCGGACCGCTCGCAGCAATGCAGTTGGGCGACATCAGCAGCAGCAGCCAGGGCGACGGCGACCCGCGAAACTACCGTGAAGCCATCATTTGGATCACTCACGAGGCGCGCGCGCACGATTGCCACCGTTTGCTATCGCTTGTGACGGTGATGAATGCTGTGAGTGATGCTGTGATACCTCGTCGTCGCGTGCGACGTGTGGCAGAGTGTGGAGGACATGGAGCACTACCGAGAGCGCTCCGAGCACCTGCTTCCAAGCACGTTGCTCCTTTCCTGAAGCTCACTGGCGGCGCCAGGGACTCGATGCGGCCCGCCACCATCTGCCAGACATGGCATCACAGCCGCTGGGCGGTCAGCACCTCCCCTTTTCTTCCAGAAACCCCCAATAGTAATGTCAACATCACGCACAGTCAACTGCTGAGCATGTCCAGGCACTCGAGGAACGCTGCAGTCTGTCCGCAGGATGGCTTTGCACGGCGCGAGTTATTCGCTCGTCAAACTTTTCCACGGCATGCTGTCATCATCTTGATTTCACTACCAGCACTGGTACCACCAACACTGGCACTGGCACTTCCACTGCCTCGTCGACGACCGGCCAGGTGGCCAACACCAGCGCCAGTCGCCTGGATTCCGCGACAGCTGAGCTGCTCCGAAGCACGGGCAAGGCCGCTAGGGAACGTCGCGGCTACTAGAAGGCGCTGAGCAAGACAAGACGGGATGAGTGAACGCGATGAGGTTTTGTTTTGTCGTTCTTGTTTGTTGGCAAGGATGTCCGTCAATCAAATAATGCTGTGATAGGCGAAGCAGAGGTGGCACAGTCCAGTACGGGAAGGCGGCAAGGATGCCGCGCGGGAACAGAGTCAACAGATTGGAGGACCTCGACAACCCACTGTACTTTGGTTTTACATACAAACACGCTCGCTTTCCCTCTCCAAAATATCACACCAACTCTCTTGGTAACATCTTTGTGCATTTTCGTCTTTCTCTCGCCGCCAGTCTCTGACATAACGGAGAACAAGCTTGATATTCAGGCGCACACCTCTGTGCTGGAGCACGGTTCTACAATGGAAGACATGGAGTCTAATTTGGAGACGAATTAGTCTGATATACAAGAAGACAAGTCTCATATACAAGAGAACAAGCCTGATGACCAAGAAAACACGTCTGTTATCCAAGAGAACAAATCCGACTTAGAAGAGAGCAAGCCCGGTATCGAGGCGGGAGACTCCACCACCGACCGCAATACTATCACCAAGGAGAACCTCACCATCGACGGCAAGGCTGCCGAGCCGCTGCCCAAAGTCTATGCGTCGAAGGAATGGCAGACTCTGGATGAGATTCTGGAAAAAGAGTCGGACTACCGCTATGAGCTCTCAGCAAGCAAGCAGAATGTGACTCTTCGTATGGACCTTGAGTCGCGTCGTCAGCAGCTCGAAGACCTTATTTCACGCCAGCTCAATATCCCGCCATCGCAATTTGTTTCGAGTGACCAGCAGACCTGGTTGTGGGGTAGTTTCAATTTCGTCATCAATATCGAGATCCTGAAAACACGCGGTGGCAGACTTCCTCGCAAAGCGCTTCTGCGTATTGCATTACCGCATGCAATTGGTGAGACGCAGACTTCTGGCAACGTGGATGAGAAAATACGCACAGAAGCAGCAACCTACTTATGGCTAGAACGGAACTGTCCTTCCATTCCAATTCCTCGTTTGTTAGGCATTGAATTGCCGGGCTCTAAGACGGTATCCAACCCTTACCTTGTGCTAGCTTGCTTTCATCTAACAGATAACCTCTAGTTCTCGAACATCAACACGGAGTCATGGTGGAATTGGTCCATTTGGCACATACGATACGCCAAAGCATGGCTTCAAGGCAATACGCTCCCGAGATATTTCGCGTACGATCGGACCTATTTGCAAGATCATGGTTACTTACTACTTGAATTTGTAGAAGATGGCGAAATGCTCTCGAAGACCTTTGAGGAACATCGCAATGACCCGATAAAGCGGAATCATCTTTACACTAGCATCGCGAACATCATGCTGGACCTTGGCAAGATTCCACAGCCCCAAATCGGCTCATTCACAATCAGTAACGAAGGCATCATCTCTCTTACCAATCGCCCATTGGCCAACCCAAGCGCATTTTGGATGAGACACAACTGGCCTCTGCCTATGTCAAGGGTGAGTCGCGTGGCCTGATTGATGATTTTTAACCGTCATTGCGAAGCTGACACTCGTGGGCTAGAATCTAACCTATTCTTCCACTGAAACATACGCTCAAGACTTATTGGCCCTTCAAGATCTACGCATCCAGCACCAAGTAAATTCAATCCAGAGCAGGGATGATGGCCTCGTTCAGCTTAGTATTCTAGTTGGATTTCGAGCGCTACTCCCTCAGCTCTTCAATCCCCGCCTGAGTCGTGGCAATTTCGTCATGAGTGTCACCGACATGCACCAGAGCAATATTCTTGTGGATGAGAATTGGAAAATCACACGGCTTATCGATCTGGAATTCGCATGCTCTCGCCCTATTGAGTTTGTCGAAGTCCCACATTGGTTCGCCGCCGGCGACCTCGATTCGAAAGCGGAACACCTTCAGGAGCTCGAAACCGAATACCACAAGTTTGTGGACGTGGTCGCCCATCGGGAGAAAGCGACTAAGCAGAACGATGCTTTCAGCCGGGCTCTACTTCAAAGTTGGACGTCTGGGAGATATTGGTTCATACAGGCCATGGAAAGTATCGACTGCTTCTACTTTGTCTACAGGGACCATTTCCGGAAGAAGTTCTTCAAGGACTACGATCATGAATCTCATGCATGGCCGATTGCCCAGCTGTGGACGGAGGATGTTAACAAATTCATTAATTTGAAAGTCGATGGCTTGGAGCAATACCAGAAAGACGTCAGAGAGATGTTCAGCGAGGTTGAGGCCTGGCAGCGTCATGTTGGAGCGAGTTCTCAAAGGTCTGATTCAATCGAAGAATCCCATGCTAATAAAGATACTGCGAGAGAGACATGTCAATTAAGCCAGTCCTTGGGGCCAACGTCGAGCGCACTTCCCTCGTCAGACAAAGGTTAGTAGTGGAAAGAAGAGAGTCTGTAGTGGAAAGAAGAGAGTTTGTAGTGATAGGACCTGACACCTGGATCTTATGACGTTGCACAGCCGCGCCAGAGTCAGCTTCCACATAGTCGGTCTTAATCGCACATTAGTCTATAACAAACATACATTTCTGTATAGGAAAAACATCTTGAGCTACTAGTAGGTATAGTTCATTTATCTAGCATTTATATAAATCTAAAGACAGAGAAGAAGTAAGCTAGTAATATATTAATAATACTATCTATTATAGCTTATTCTTAGCCCGAGATTAGTAGATCTACTAGCTATAGTAACCGGCTTTATAACCTTTATAAAACTCCCTTTTATACGGCTCTTCGCTTCGTCTAGAGTAGAATAGAGATATAATATCTATTCTACTCTACTTTCGTAGATAGTAGAAGATATACGTTACGGAACCGTATAAGTAATCGCCTCTAACTACGTAACTACCTAGCCGCTCGCTAGCTACCTACTAGCTACCCGCTAATCCTACTACGCTAGCTACTTATCTAGCGATTAGCGGAGCTAGATTAGCTAATATATTACTACGTTAATTATAGCTTAATACCTCTATATAGAAGAGTTAGGTTATAGTTACTTCCTTTAGTAGATAGAGTCTAGTAGTAGTCTAAATATAGTAAGATAGTTAATTAGTAGAATATACTATTTTAGATACGACGATATAAGAGAGTCTAGTTATAAAGATAGATAAGCCGCTCTAAACGATATTCTAGACGACTAAATCTATAGAGAGAAACTATATCTATATTTTAACTTTATAAATAAAGTACCTATCCTAACTACTTAGTAGCCTAGAAGGCCTACTCTTATTATAACTAGGTATAGCCTCTAGTAAAAATTATATAAACCTCTACTAGCGTAAATCCTTCTACTATATAGTAAGAATAGAGACTATAGAGGATATAGTAGTAAAGCGCGTTTATTAATTAGTTAGTAGAAGGATTCACGCTAGTAGGGGTTAATATGATTTTTGCTAGAGGCTGTAGGCAGAATTCGGCAAAGAGCTTGGCGTGTACGCGCACAGACCGCATCTATATAGACGGGAGGCTTTATGCGTTGGTCTTCTGCCTGTTCATAAGACTAAGACTAGCCGCAGGAGCCATGATATACCACGCACATGGCCGGCGAGCGTTCCGGTCCCGCAGCTTCGTTCATGACAGGCGAAGTGCATACTACTGTGTCCGGAGTCTGGAACACAGAAGGTCCGACCGGTCCTTGTGCGCTGTTGATGATGATAATGATGAGCCACGCGAAGTCACTACTGCGCGCCCGGCAGTCGTAGGAAAGACATCCCAGCATTGCTCTCCACAATTCATCTCCATCAACACGGGCGGGACGCTCTGCCGCGCAAACGAGTTGTTAAAATGGACCCACCGAGACCCCGGGCAGGGCAGCTCCTCTTCCATTTCGTCTTCCAACACCTTGTAGATTCGGATCGGGAATTGGAGCTCTAGCGAGGCGCGATACTCCTCTAATAACCATTCGGTCATCAGAGCAGACCCAGAACACGGGAGTCTTCAATAGTAGGAGGATCTCGCAAGGGTCACCCGGAACGCGAAGAGAGTATACTTCATTTGAACGGAAATTGATTCCATCGCCCTCAAATTTTGAAAGAGACCAACACACAAGCTTATTAGCAGCTGCCCGGAGAAGCGGACCGAGGAGATCCGATTCCAGGGTGGTACCCAACCATTCAACCCAACCCAGCGAAACGAAACACCCGGACCCCGGTGTGCCGGAGAAGCAGAGCACACCGGAAGACTCAGAAAAATTGCAAACGGGCCGGAGGCGGAGGGAAACAGAGAACCCTCCAATTGGGACTTCCCGAACCCTCCCGAACCCTCCCGTCTGTGCCGTCCCGTCCTGTTGTCCAGCCCGGGCCTCTCATTCTCACTCCAACCACCGGTAAGACAAAGACAAAGACAAAAGAACAATAATCACGATCTCGTGGCATTCATTCGGCGGGCGGACCACGACTTGTGGCTCTCCGTCGGCGTTTTTGGATCTCGTCAAGAAACTTCGCCGCCAACCGTGAACTTTCCATTAGGTTGCCTTCATCACGAGGCCGCCGCCCACGCGTGCAGCATGCACGCATGTGGCACGTGTTCGTTCCATACCATGCGCCATGATGGTCGTCGGCCCATGGTACCAATGCGCAAAAGCATGTGAAAGAAGATCCCCCCATATTTTCGCATCCTACAACAAAGGCACTTCGCTTCTCGGTACCGCGGAGACGGAGATGGAGGCATAGGAAAAGGTGTTGTTGTCCCTTCGGCACAGAGACGCGGCAAGTAGTAGTTACCCTCCCCCCGAGTGAACAAATCCCCAGACCCAGCTTGCCAGACCCAGCGCGAGGGAAATTTCCCGACCGACCGACCGACCGAACATCCGAGTCCCCGTGCATAAAAACCATGTTACACCAGAGGCACCAGAAGGAAGACGTTGCCGAAGGGGAGTGGAGTGGGGGCGGGCTTTGGAGGGGTCGCCCGCGGCATCGGTATTTATGAATTGATTGATGGATTCCCACCCAACAAGACCCGACGTTTGTGTTTTGTAGAGATGTAGATAGATAGTGAAACAGCTAGCTACGTAAAGAGTTACCGTGTCGGCGGTAATAATGCGCAGGGCACGCACGCATCTGATGAAAGTCGAACCCCTCGTGCCGTGCCGGTGAAGGGGAAGGGGAAACGATATGATGAACCGAAGAGAATTGCTACAAGGTACAGCGCAGGCTGATGGCTGATGGCTGATGGATGGATGCTCGATTTGAGCAACCGCATGAATAATAATCAATTTGAAAGTTGAGACGGTATAGAGCCGAGCCGAACTGAGCTTCGCGGAACTGAACTTCGCGGTGCATGCTATCTGATTTCATCCCCTCTTTCTCCTTTTCTCTCATGCAAAGTAGCTGGTGAATTCTCTCCGCGCGCGCTCTCTCTCTCACATGCGAAAAGAAAGAAGAAAAAAAAGATTTGGTATCCTGGAACGGAAAAAAGCGAACTTGCAAGGAAGGGGGGCTGTCGTTAAGATAAGATAGGATGATGGATGGGCGAACCGAAGAAAAATCATCAAGAACAAAAAAATCATCAAGAACAAAAAAACCATCTTCCAGCAGCGAAGAACAAGACACCATCGTGTCACAGGTCTCATCAACCGGCCGAAGCCGTAATGCTTCGAGGAGGCTGTCCGAAATTCCCTCCTCCATAGGCTGCGAGTCGATTGGCGACGGCGCGGACGACTTCGGGATCGTGGCGTGCGGGCTCGCGTTTGGCTCTGGAGAGAGACAACAAGTGGTCAAGTCAGTAAAGATTGTCATCTCTGGGCAATTTGAAGGGGAGACAACGTACGGCTCCCGCAGACAACTCCTGCACCTCTCGTGCCCGCAGTCCACACACCGGTCCGAATCCATAAAGAGCGTCCTGCACCTCTCACAGGTATACCGCACCCGCTGTCGCGGTTTCCGATAGACCCTCTGCACAGCCTTCACCATGGGCGGGTGATGCTCCTTCACGACAGTCGCAGAGCCTGAAAGCGGTATCTTGTCCTTCGACTCCGGAAAGCGTGGACAGAGCTTACATCGCGTGTGCCCGCAAAGCTGGCATTCATTCCTCGAGGGAGGCGAGATTGGCGTGTCGCATTTATGACAGGTCCGTCGAACTATTTGCGCCCTAGGCTTGACGACCGCGTGCATTCCTGTGCGTGGGCGTGTGAAGATGGAATATTCGACTTCGGGCATGGTGGCTTCTTGTTCGTCGTCGGCATCGACTTCGGGCGATTCGTCCATTTCGAGAGGTCGACCCAGAAGACTACCTGATACAGACGGGGCCTGCGTCCTCGCGCTTTCTTTTGGGTGCGATGTCTCGGTCCATGGTAAAGTTCCCGGTTGCTGACGTGGTCGTGAAGGTTCCGGGGCCGCAGTGCTTGCGACCGTTTCAGCTTCCACCGCCAATGCTGCCGTCGCTCCTTTCGCCTGCGACGCAGTAGCCTGTTCCTCCTCCATAGCCTGCCGTGCGTTCTCCAGAATCTCCCTCACCCTCTTCGGCGGATGCCTCGCACAATCCCGGCACCTCCGATGCCCGCATGCCGTACACGTCTTTTCGATGCCAAACTGTCTCGAACACTCATGGCACGTCCAATGCACCCTCAACCGCACCGGCTTCTCTACCCTTCTGATCTTGTTCGGCGGCTCCTGCTCCGGTCGCTTTCCCCTCGCATCATACTGCAGTCCGTGCTTCGCAAAGAGATTCCGGGCCCTGTCCTCGGTGATGCCAGTTCGGCTCGATAGCATTGGCAGCAAAGGTTCGTCCGACTCGCCGTCCGTCTGATCGGCCTCGACGGCGGTGTCTGCCGCAAGCAGTACTTCGGTCGGAGCTGCTGTCGGCACAGCGGGGATGGAAGAAGCAGCAGCAGCAGGTGGTGGCTCGGCAGGTGTCGTAGCAAGAGCCTCTCCTACAGCAGAAACCTCGAGCTCCGCGGTGGCGGTAGTGGGGATATTATCATTATTCGAGGTAAGCAGTTGTTCGCTCTCCTGACTCGGCTGCTGAGGATCGTTGGCACGGGTTGGAGGCGCGTGGGAAACCGTTGGAAGTGCACCACGGACGTCCGGAGTTTGCAGCGGCCGAGTGTAGGAAGGGCGTCGCTTCACAGCAGCCTTCACCTTGTCGAGAGCCCTCGCCCAGCTCCCCCTGCGGGGGGCCCGATCCATGGCGGCAGCGTGTCGATAGATGGGAGACTGGAGAGCGAGTTGACGACCAGACCAGCTCCAGATCAGTGGGAGGAAGAAGCAAAGCAAAGCAAAGCAGGACAGCCGGCCGCGGCCAGAGCGCAGGTGTCAGAAGCAGTAGAGAGAAGTGTGGGTGTGGAGCCAGACGGCGTGAGGGCTCGGACGTGGGGCTCGAAACGGTTCGATCGACCAGCAGCTAATAGTCCATCTTTGGATGACAAGCTCGAGCCGGGGTCCCGATCGACGGCGAGCGTGTCCGATGGTGCGATGGTGATGATGAGCGGAGGGATGGACTGTGAGGGAGGGAGGTGTCCGCAGCAGCAGCAGCGGCAGCAGGTGTGTGATGTTATTGATGAGGAGTTGTGTATGTAATAATTCTTGGGGGTCGAGTCGCGCACCGCACCGCACCGCACACCACACACTACCTTACCTAGCTTACGGTGCGGTGCGGTGCAAGGCAGGCAGGCAGGCAGGCAGGGAGGGAGCTGTGGGAGGGAAAGTCTCGGGAATGCCGTTGTGCACCACTGCAACGGTCGGGACGCGGGACGGGAGGGCATGCGGTGGCTTCGCCTAGCGCGTGACGCCAGTAAACTCTGTCCCACCCGAGCGGGACGGGAGCGCCACACACGACTGAGAGCGGAACTCACCAACAACCGTGGACATCGCCTACTCCTCGCCTACACCCCCTGACCACACTACCACTCTACACCTGGCGCGATCCTGGTCTGGCACATACAGTATCTCACGACGAACTCCTGTCACACCCGTCTTCCTACCCACTGATGAACCTGCTCTACAGTATCTACCATTGTGCTTGATAATGGACTTTCCGGTGGCAACCAACGCCATCCCAAGCACCGGAATGCTGGCAACCATCATGCCATCCGTCCGGGTCGCCTGGCAGGGGCGCAATGTGCAGCGGATATCCCTGTCGACTGTGTCAGGCCGTCGGTGTCGGTCGCGACACCCACAAAAATCTCTCCAGACACGAGGGGAAGGGCGCTTCTCGACGCTGTTGTGCTTGTCAGGTGGTGCTGTGACATCTCACGCGTCTCATTATTGCTTTCTCCCATCCCTCCCGCTCTTCTCCCGCTGCTTCGATTCACCCTGTGTGCCCATGAAACGCGAACAGCATTCGGCCCGAAGACCTGGTTCCGGCCCCCAACTCAGAGTCAAGACTTGAGATTCATCAAAGCGGTGCTGCAGACGACAACATCATGACATACAGCGGCAAGAGCGGAGCCTGGAGCCAACAACAAGATGCTGAACCACATTCACACCCTCCCATTATCTCACACCTGTCAAAGTACCTTGCCCCAGAACACCGCCGCTAAACCCCAACGTTCTAGAACTGCCGAACAGGGCCCTCTCCCGTCGTCCATGCATATATACACTTTCTCATTTCCCCCAGAGGACCTGCAGATCCTATAATACAATCCTTTTAATCTTTTTTCTCTTGCAGCGGAAACGTCAGTGGAAGAAGTATCGACTCTCCCGGAGCCTCTTGACATCAAACTCTCCCTTCTTGGGCACTTCCGGGAACGTCAGTGGCAGCCAGACGTAAAGCTTCCGCGCCTGCCTGGCTGGCTTCTTTGCAGCCGTAGAAGTTTGTGCCGCCTCGCGCGTTTCACCACCACCCACCTCCACGGAGTTGTCCCGTTCAGACGCCTCCATTTCAGCCTCCGAAGCCTTGGCCGACTCAGCATCGGATACATCCTCGATGAAGCTCTCTGACAGTCCAGGGCCATTGCCCTCATCGATCGACGAGTCGTGGTATCCAAAATCAGCGTCCGCGTCCGCGTCCGCGCTCGTAGCCTCTACCTTCCCCTTGCTTCCTGGCATTTCGCCCAGCTTTTGCCCTTGGAACTCATTGGGAATCGCAAAGGCTGTTTCGTCCGCTTCAGAGGCGACAATGCTACCCGGAGTGACCATCGCCTCGCCCTTGGCGCGCTCCTCGGGGTCTTCACTCTTCACAAGCCGAATGCGCTCCTCCTCGATCATCAGTTCGCTGCGCCGGGCGCTGTCCTGCTTCATCCGCGCCCGCTGCGCGAGGACCTTCTTGCCGACCGGACTATGCGCGAAGACCGACGCGAGGTACATGTAGCCTTGGTATCTAGTCTGGAACTCTTCGCGCAGTCGGGAGACGACGTCTTCCTCATGCATTGCAACAAAAGCATCTCGCAGGACAACACCCATGCGGTTGACATCGCAGGCATGCGTCCAGAACGAATCGTGTACACTCGCGAAATGCATTCCATTCTCGGTGCACTTCAACGCGCTCAGGAGCATGTGAGTTGCGTCGAGGGAGTGGATGAAGTTCGGCGGAAACGCCTGCAACTGCTTGCGCTTGCTGACCGGATCCCAGACTTGCGGCTCGACAAGGCTGATGTTCTGCATGCTGGTGCTCACGATGCGAGCTTTGCTTGTTCGGTAAGGCTGCACCACAGGCAACCGCAGCGGTGTCGTCCACACCACGGTGGTTCGGAACAGAGCCTTCATGGCGGTGAATTGCGCGCTGTCTCTGGTGCCAGGTGCCTTCGCGGGAGCCTCCGTGGGTGTCTTGGGAACTTCGGCATCCTGATCTTCCTTGGCTTCCTTGTCCTTCTTCGACTTCGCCTTGGATTTCAGTGGTGTCTTCTTGACGGATTCGGCTTCCTTCTTCAGCTCTTCGATCTGCTCAGGAGTCAAAGCAGTGGAGATGCGATCAGCACATTTGCTAAGCCATGTTTGGATGGCCTGTGCGCCAGAGAACATCGTGCCTAGCGACTTGAAGATCTTGACCGCGACGTAATGTGCCATTTTGCCCAGGTTGACTGCGTCGGTCTTTTGGACTTCTGGAAAGAGCACTTCCAGTTGTTTCTCGACTTGCAGACGGGCGCCGTAAAATGTCACTCCATAGACGTTGGTCATCACCGGCTGCTTTACACATTTCCGGGTAATGCGTCCGTGCAGCTTTTGGGCGATGGCGTTGCCTTGTTCGGCATCCGTCTTGACCTCCTCCTTGACGGCCTCGGCGACGGCAGTGTAAACGTCTGCAGGTCTGTCACTGGGCTCTAAGTTGACTTGTGCAGCACCAACCTTGTCACCGCCGAGTGCTGCGTAATGTTGAAGGCCGTTGCATGTCCCGTCCTGTTGCACTGGTAAATGAGAGACGAAGCTATGTGGATCTGGCGAGTCCAAAGCTTTGGTGAGTTCAAAGCAGGCTGCCAACAACTGCCATGCGTCCTCTGCTTGGAGCCACCACCGTCGTCCATCTAGCGGGTTTCGAACAGAGTCGTAAATGTCGTCTAAGTGTGCTTCTGTGAACTCCACGCGTTCCTCTATGCTGGCCTTGTCATGCCCCGCAACCGTAGCTAGGTGTATCTTGAGCCACCGCAGCCCGGTCTCGCCGAGAGGCTTCCCTACACCAAAGGTGAGGAGACCTCGGACGTTGTCTGCGCCCATGTGATTCAGATACGGTGGAATAGGATAAGCGCGGCCTCGGAAGTCCATGTTGTGCGGGAAGTACAATGTCTCATTCAACATTGCCCTCGCAACTTCCATCTGAAAATTTTGGAAACAGCGTTTGGAATGGAGACCAGCCCGTTTGTTCTCAATCTCTTGGACTTGCATAAGCCATCTGCGTCTGTCGTTTGGATCTGCCAACGAGTTCGGTTCGGGTGGATGGTGATACCCGGGGTTCAGAGGAGCGAAGTTGGCGATGGCCTCGCCAGAGTTCCATGCCTCGAGCTGCACCTTGAAGACGTCTTGATTCACCTTCCACGGCACCTTTCCCAATGCCGTCAGGCCACGGTAGACAGTGTCAAGCTCGTTGTTCGAGTCGGCCGCCTGAAAGTAATCCTTGCCGCTCTTGTCTCCTTTTGGAAGACGAAGAATGTTTGCAGGGTAGTACATGAACCCACCATCGCTCCAGCCCTTCCACGGTCTGGGTTCCACGACCATTGGCATACGCTTCGCAAGCAAGCTTCCAACAGGCTCGCTTTGTATCTTCTCAATCAGTGCAGGGTTCGCAACGATGACGCCTGATCTCCTGCCTCGTTGGTACTTGACGCGGTGCAAAAAGGCCGGCTGCATTTGCGTGATGTGCTCCTTCGTTCGTGGGTGTACTTTCGTGACAGGCAGTTGAGCTGTCTCAAGCAGCTTGGCTATTAGCATTGCGCCAAGCTTTACTCTCGTGGGTCCCGGCCATTCCATTTGAGCGAGTAGGGATTCATTGCTCTCCTTTTTCTTGCCTGTCTTTGTCGCAGCTGTGGAACCGCCGTCAAGCTCTGGCTTCCTCTTTGGTTTCCTTGATGCGGCCTTTGATTTCGGTCTGCGCTTCGACTTCGCTGCGTGTTCAACGGTGCACTCCTCATGAAGGGCCGCTCCCAGGCTTGTAGAGAGCTGACCCAATTTCATGTCTTGCACCTCGTACGATCTTGTGGATCTGTTTTTGCCGGCTGCCAGCCTACTCATGATGTGTAGAATGGTAGTCGCAGCGACCGTTCGGATCGGAAGCAGCTCCAGATACGGGCCGTACTCGTGTCTGTCGCTATGTGCTCTGGCATTCCAATGGGTGGGATTAGCAAGCACTTGCTCTACTTCGGCCAATTCCTTGTCCAAAGCTGGAAGCAGGGCCTGGTACCATTGCCACATCAGAGCGGCCACTGGCTTGCTTTGCAGGGAAGTATGGATGCCGATTTTCCTCAACTCATCGTCAGCCTTGCGCCAACGGTCAATGGCGACATCGTTGGAAGTTTCCTCCAGAGCCTTCTGCCTCGCTTCAGCTAGTTTACGTTGCGAATCGGGTGAGGCCTTTGCAGACTGGGACTGCAAAGCCCTAAACGCCTCCATGGTGCGCTTAATGCCCGAAAGACCCGTGCCTTTCTGTCCAGTTTCGCGTACCTCCGGCATGACATCTGTTCCAGTTGCAGTCTCCGTTGATCCGTCCATGGGCTCCACGTCAAAACTTTCCGCCATCTGCTGTCTTTCGGCTTTCTCTTGATACTCTTCTGTAGCTTGCCTCAAGACAACATATTCGTTGTCATCGTATTCTTCGGATTCCAGTACGTCTTCCATGCCGTCCTCGCCGAGCTGCCGTGAAAGATCGACATATCTCCGTATTGAGCGCTCCCTCCTCGAGCCGGTCAAAGACCTGATGGTACCACGAATGACAGTGATGAGCATTCGTGCATCAAAACTGACTCCTTTGCTGTGTATTTCGACCTCAAACCACCTCGACATCTCCTTCAGCATCTCTTGCGACTTCGGAGAGTCTCTCCCATGGCTTGCTAGGCTCTTGAATAGGTCGTCCAAGTAGACGTTGTGCGCGAGGATGGCTTCGCGCGAGTCTGATCCACATTCTTCCGTCAATCGCTGTACAATGTTCGCAGCCCTATCGCGACGGCCAACACTGAGACTTGTGTACAATTGCGACAACAGCTGGCGGACGGGCCCCACAAGGCCCCTCGACGGAACTTGGATGACCGTTTCGGGTCTGGCAATGTCCGGTTGTAACATAACGGGGCCGGCATTGTATCTATGCAAGCTGTTGAAATCGTAGGGCGATTTCTGGAGATGTTCCCAAGGAATATTCTTATCCTGCGAAGAATTGCGGAAGCCGATGCTATAGCCTGTGGGTGGCAATGATGTGTGATGGCTCAAGGCCTGGGGATCGGTCGTTGTGGCAAGGTTCCGAACTTGTGGCGCGCTTGTCGAGGGATTGGATCTTCGAGGTCGTTGAGAAGCTGTAGCAGCGTGCGAAGCACTCCATCGTAGCTGTGCAGGAGCCAGCCATGGCAGATTGAGCTGGGCGAAGGAGGCGGCGAGGGCGTGTGAGGTCCGTCGTTGGTGTCTCCGTCCAGCAGAGCGTACAAGCATCTTCGAAGCGCGGTGTTGGCCCACGTGTGCGCTTCATTAACCACACCTCTGCCGACACCCAAACTCCGTCGCGGAGGCACAAACGATGGCGAAAGAGGAAGTGAAAGATGGAATGTCCGGCGAGATGAGACGTGCGAAATCTTTCCTGTCAAGGGCACGCGAGCCACAGGGTTAGCTCCGGGTGCTTCCAGAGCCCGTCATGGATCCGGCCGATTCTGCCGGCCAATCGTGTTCTCCACCGACTTTCCTTTCCGCTGCACCTCACCTTGCTCCTGCTGCTCACGTGCATGGCATATACGCCCCCTCTGCCTCTCACTGCAGACAGCGGAGTGTTGGAAGATCTGGCGCAGAATCTGGAACAGCCGAGCGTGAGGAGACGTATCAGATAGGGTAGGTCTGAGTCGCTGGGTCTGAATGGATCAACTGCAAGAGATACTGGTATGTTGGAGCTTTTTCATATGTTGCTTAGCAGAGTAGTTCGGCATGTTGAAGTCGTCAAGGAAGAAGGTCAGGTAGGTCGACAGCCCGAGCTTCAAGCCAGACTTCCATTATCTTAGGTTGCTGCCTCCGTGAAGTGGCCCCTCTCCAACTTTCTTCCGACTTCACCTTCTCACGACAACCTTAAAGCTGATGCTTCCAAACCCGCCATTGCCATTCCGTGCTGCAAAATGGCCAGACAGTCGTGATTATGGATCTATTGCATGCCGTCGCGCCACCGACAAGCTCAGAAGACGCTCCTGTCGCTGCAGTCACCGGCCGGTCAACTGCAAACCGCCGCTGCGTTCCCCGATCAGGTCAAGACGACACGGATCTTGAGGTGCACGACAGCGGCATGGAGTTCTTCGACTTTGATGCGTATCGCGATGAGTCTGTTGCTGCGAAATTGGTGGACATCCGCAACAGCTGGGCTCCTGACCTCGGGACAACTGCCACATCATCAGAACACTCGCCAAATGCCCATGCTGCAGGGGGCTCATATGGCCACGCGTTCGACGTGCAGCCTTCCGAACCCGCCGGCGAACTTCCTCACTCGCAAGACTACGAGTTGCATGATGCGCCCAACGCCCTTGAAAATGACCCAGCGAACGTCGAATATGGCCAACAACGTGACTCACAAGATGTAGAAAACGATTGTGAGCGAGGACCCGAAGAAGCAGCCCGCGACGCCTATCAGAGCGACAACCCTCTCCGGCTTGACCTCGTCCCTCCGCTGTCGCCGACTTGCGATGGATCGCCCGCAGGTCTTGATGGCCTTGTGACGTTACGAGACTTAGTCGACTTGCCAGCACTCGATGGGCGCGAGAAATGGGACATTGACCGGGAAGCAATGCAATTCTTAGCCACGGTGCACTCGTTGTCAAAGTCAGACGAGGTTACACCCGCGTCTCATGGTCTTCGGCCTACTTTCAGGGACCTCAAGACGGAAGAGCCGGCACTCAGGACAGACCCACAGATTGATCTCTTTCGACTAATTGAACGCAACCAAGTCAAGCTATCCACTGACGACATCGACCCTGTGCCGCTTGATGATGACAAAGATGAAAGCCTTAAGTGGTCCAGAGAGAGCTTGAAACTGCCGAAGAAACTCAATGACGAGATTACAAAGGAGAGGCTCGATGTGGAATGGGAAACTGCAGAATACCTCCGTGAAATCTTCCGTGGGCCTTCCATTGATTTGGGCAACGAACAAGCAAACGAACGCGAGAGAAAGGTATGCAAGGAGCTTCATTTTCCTACACGGAGTTGCTAACGTAGTGTAGACCCGACCGAAGTCTCTCACTCCGCCACTGCTTCTTCTTTCACCGCCGTACAGCCCTGCTGTCATTCAGAATCCAGCTGGACAGATTGAGTTGACGTCCACTCCAGACGATCCGACCATGCAAGAAGTCACTGAGCTCGAGCAAAAGCTCCTGGGCCGCGATGACATAAAGATGCAAACCCGTGCCAATTCCTTAGCGGGTTCAGAAATAAGCACTTCAGAGGTCGAGCGAAGTCTTGGAAGAGGCGTACGGCAGCTACTATCTTCTCCGATGCGCGCAAAAACTAAGAGGACGTATGAACTGAAGATTTCGGATCCTCTCCTGTCGGAGGAGTCCTCGGAACCACACTCGAAGAAGGCCAAGACCGTCTCGTTCCAGGAGGAGGTGCGATCGCTGGTGCCGCAATCGGATTCCAGCATGGACTCACACGACACCTACGTGATGATCAACGATGTAATGACGGCGGTGACGGAGCTGGTCTCCCCACTAGCTCAACCAGCCCTCGCAGGTGCGAACAACGAACAGCTTGACGAAAGAGACACGGTGCTCAGGGTGCCTGTTCCGGATGTTGATGAAATCAAGCCCGCACGCCCGTGGGACATCCCGTCCCATGAGATGACAGATGCACAACCTCTGAGTCGTCAGAAGTACTTCCTAACGGAGATTTTAAACGACCTCACCAAAGACGAGAAGAAATGGGGCGGCTTCAACAATGAGAAACAGATGGAATGGAACGCCTTCCCCACGCAGCTCGGGAAGGTAAAGTCAGAAGGAGACTTTGATGATGGTTCTCTCGCGCGTTACTTGGCAGAACTCGACTTGGAAGCCGACTTCGACGTCAAGCTCCTTACGTGGAAACCAGATGGAATCCGAATAATGGATTCTGACGAATGGGACGAGGACGATGTGAAAATTCACGACTTTGAGAGCGAAGACGAGGGTCCAACCGTGGCACCTCAGAGCACAACGCGACTGCAGTCTGAGATCTCTCACCACTTTGCTCCAACTGCAGGCGATATACCATGCATGGCGACTGGCTCAAGGGAGAGGTTCCAGAACGACACTTCAAGCCTTTCGTCTTTACTTGAGAAGCGAAAGAAACAACTAGGAGAGAGCAAGAAGAGAATCGCTGAACAGACACGGGCTACCCCATTTTCACTTGCTCCTGTGCAGAATTTGCGACAACCAGAGATTAGCATCCAAGCCAGTGGTCTCGAAGGCCCCTCTGTACGATTGGGCCAGACCGACCTTAGCACCTTCTCAACTCTCCAAGGTTGGTTTGGCAAACCACGCGACGAGCCTGTAAAGCAAGTTATCTCGAAACGGTTACAAGAGAAGCCATCTCAGCTCCCGGTCAATGCCCAGCCGACGGTCACGGCACCACCAGCTCCCGCCATCTCGCTACCCACACCGCAAATCTACACCTCGTCCAAGCCTCTCTCAATCATCATCTCCTCCACACTGCTGACAAACCACAAACTCATCTGCAACCTCGAAAGACTCCTCCCGGGCCTCACTATGATCGAACGCTCCTACACCCCAACCAACATCCACGATCAAGAAGCAGACATCACCCTCTCCCCCAGCACGGGCCTGCTAATCACGAACCTCCAAAAACTCAAACAACGCCCCTTACCAGGCCAACAACCCTCCACCTCTTCCTCCTCGTCCTTTTCCTCCAGCAACATCCGCACCCAAATCTCCACCATCGCCCTCCGCTACGAAACCCTCCTCCTCCTCGTCCCGGACGACCGGAATTCCACCTCCTTCGACGACTCCGACGCTTCCGCCCTGCAATCCCTCCACCACATCCCCGGCTGCCAACCCATCTATCTCCCCTCCCACGAACCCGTATTCCTCGCCAGATGGATTGCTTCCCTCATCATCTCTGCTTCTCCATCCCTCAACGACAGTCCACCCCTGCCCCTCCTCCCCGAAGAAACTCTCTGGGAATCCTTCCTGCGCAAAGCAGGCTTGAATGCCTTTGCGGCACAGACGGTCCTCGGTATCATCATCGGCAGCCGCGGCGAATCCACAACCACCGCCACCACCTCAGACAATCATCATGACGCTGGTGGCGCTGGTGGTGGTAATGGACTAGCTACCTTCGTAATGATGCATCCCGACGAGCGAATCCGCATCTTCGCCCCGAAGATGATGATGGGGGGAGGAGGAGGAGGAGGAGGAGGAGAGCAAGTTTTGAAGCGAGTGAATGCGAATCTGGAGGCCGGGTGGATGTCCCTTGCGAATGTGCTTTGAATTTTGGAATTCGAAGAAAACCCCCCCAAGAGGAAAACGGGGGACGTGGAAGAGATGTGATGATGGGAATTTTGCCCAAATGCCTCTTTCAAGGGACTGGAAGTAAGTAATGCTGATGCTAATGATCATGTACGATGCCTTTTCGGTTTCATCGCGCGGAGATACCCACATGTTTAGTTCAGTCAATATAGATAGCCAAAATCAGCCGAACATCACTGATGAAACCCCCCTGAGAGCAAACAAAGAACGATGGGATTGCACGTGAGAAAACTTTTTCCTGATAATTTATACTCGTGTCTCATCTCATACGCATAGTGTGCGTGAGTGTGTTTATTACCCTTTCCCTTCCGTTTCACTCCTCGCTAAAACTAGACGAATTTTCACAACACACGAGTGTCGTACTTCCTTCAATTCCTTTCCCAAAGAGTGTCGCGGCAATAGCAAAAAAGCGAAGTGGGTATCTTTCGGGCCAAGCTGCGCCCGTAGCTGGCTCTCTGCTCCAGGGCAATCGAAAAGAGAGCGCGTGCGACAAGAGTCTCGAGAAGTCTAGTAATATACCTTCTCCTCATAGATCGGCGGTCGGCCATCTTCGGCATCCCAGCAGACATTATTCTTCTCATCCAGGTAAGCGCCCTCGTCCGTAATCGGAATCACCTTGCCGGTATCATGGACTTCCTGTCTGCTCATACCAACAGGGTCGCGCGGAATCCAGAGCAGTGGTGTCTGGCTGGTGATGGCAGGGTTGTAGAAAGCATTCTCTTCCGTCGCCGGGGTATAGTGGATCGCGATCTCCTTCGGGACGAGTTGGCGCATGGTCTTGTAATCCGTGTAGATGTCCGGACGCAGCCACTTGATGATGAAATTGGGCTTCTTCCGAGGAGCGGCGCCGACTTCGTGACTGCTGTTGGCGACTTTGCCTTCTTTTCCAGCGCCGTCTGCGTACTTGTCTCCCTCGGCCACCTGACCATCCTGAGCACCGTTTTCGATCTCCAAGAGGTGGCGTTCCTCGGCATCGAGAGTCTTGGGCAGATATTGGAGTAGCGGTGCCATGGCGTCGTTCAGGCTGATCTGATAGAGAGCTGTAAAGATGAGCATGATGATCATCAAGATCAGTGGTCCCAAAGCTCCGATGCTGGATGCCGTCGCGATGGCGAAGAGACCAATCAAGCAAACCTGTACCTTGTCAGTAAGTGAGGCCTCGACAACAGGAGACTGACTTTACGCACCTCGGCAACATACAGCCCAACGAACAGCTGCTGGAGAGCACGTGGGTAGACCAGACCCTTTGTGTCAATAACGGCATTCGACACGAAGAGCAGGTTGTACTTGTAGGCGAAGTAGAACAGGAACATGCCAATGCATGCGAATCCCAGGACCAATGGCGCGATTGCGGCATAGCAGATGGCGATGACAAACAAGTTAGTGTAGACGGGGAAGAGCGTTCCCCATCCAATGCCAGAAAGGGAGATCCAGCGCTTGTACATCTTTCTGGGCGTCTTGTCCAAGACCTTTCCGAGAACCATGAAAAGAACCAGACCGACGAGGCCCACCAGCAGACCGGAGACAATTCCAAGACCCTGGAGAATGAAGTATGACAGGTAGAAGTTGCTCGCCAGAGGAAGCTGCTGGGCCAAGACTGTCGTTACGGAAGCTGGGTTCTTGATCGCAGACTGAATGACGGAGGACGCAGCCGAGCCCAAGGTAGCAACCAGGAAGACTTGAATGATCTGAAAGGCGAAGTAGTAGTTTTGCACGGTGAGCTCGACCGCACTCAGTGTAGGAGCGCCACCAATCTTGGCCATGAGACGCAAGATGATGGGCAAAAGCGCCATCAGCACAGCCAGAAGAATGGTTGGAAGCAGACCAGTAACGACACCCAAGATGACGCTCGGAATGCTGTTGATGAAGTCCAGCCAGGGCAAACAGCTCGTGAGGTAGTTGATGTTGGAGATGGAACCAACAACGGCGACCGGGATCGACCAGAAAACGACGAGCGCAACGACGAAGGAGATGGTCGCAAGTCGACGAATGACTCGCTCCCACCACTTGATCTTGAGATTGGACCAGATGACTTCCTCCGGACTCATTCCGACAAAGCGTGGCGACATCTGAAGGATCTGGTGGTGCGTCAGACTTTGGAAAGCGGCCTGTGCTGTGGAAAGCGTGTCGAATTCCACGAAGACGGAGTTCAACAGTTTGGCGTCGCCAGCCTTGTGTTTGGCCTGGGCAGCGTCAACCTCCGGAATGAGCTTCTTAAGCTCAGCACGGCACCAATCGATCGTGTCGACCTTCTTGCCAATGAGGGGCTTCAGGCGGTGGGTTGGACGCTCCTTGGGCTTGAGGTATTGCGCGGCAGTCGAGTTGGCTTCTCCGATGGCCGCCTCTTCAGAATTCGATCTTCCGCCTTTCTTCTCCGCCTTCAACCGATTGCCGTTCGCAGTCTTGATGAGCTTGGTCTCAGCGGCCTCCAGCTTCATCGCAGCATTGTCACGCTCTTCAACCTTGTCCTGTAACTCTTCGCAATCCGAAGCGGGCCAGATTCGGCGTACACCAGGATCGAGCACGCGTCGAAGCTTGGCTTCGTCCATGTAGTCTTCGGGGACGGAGGTGAAGAGGACGGTTCGAGAAGAGAGGCGGCTGGCGTACAATGGCGACATGAGGTAGGCCTGGCGCAGGTTGATGTAGAAGATGGATTCACGAGTGATTGTGTAGATGATGAAGCCGAAGAAGATGATGGCGCATCCTGCAGTAGCGAAGTGCTTGTAGTAGTTGTTGGTAACGTTGGCGAATGTGAGGAGATCGAACTGCTTCTTCCCACCGCCACCGGTCGCATTGATGGGGAACAAGACTTCAGCACATGTCAGCAGATGGTACAACTATAACGTGAGAGCAAGCACTACTCGTGGTCCATGCTCCGTCAGTTTCAGTGGTGGGAACGACTTACCCGGCCAAGTGATGATGCAGCCAACAAAACAGCTCACGGAAGCGACCTTGAGGAGTCGAAGGAAGAGATAGCCGTCCAGAGTGTGGTGATTGAGGATGTAAGTGTCGGGGATGGACCAGAATTCTCCCAGCCAGTTGAACAGGCCATCTTTGAGGCGAGGAGAGCGCGATTCTTCTCGTAGACTGCCGACGAAAGTACGAGGTCTGTAATAGCGGGGGAATTTGTTTCTTAGAATCAAGAACAGAATGGCCCAGATGATGGCGTAGACGCCGACTGTTGAGTGAATCAGGTGAAGTTGTTGTTAGGGTTGGGTGTAGGACAAGACATACCAACGACGATGGTGGTTCCCACTGACGAAGCTGAGTTGGAGTTGTTCTTGGAGCTCTGCGAAGCGCCGACATTCGCATCGCCGCTGGGACTCGTGCTCTATTGCGAGAGGCTTTCGGTCAGCGCATATTCTCGTAAGACGTGAGGCCGCGGAGGGTCAGCATTGAGTTTGGGTAGCCCATACCACACTGCAGGAATTGCCCATCTTGGCCCGTTTGGCCCCCGATGGGAGCGCGCAGGCTGGTTGAGCGGCGGAATGGGACTCAGGCTACCTCAGATATGGATGCGAGGGAAGGATTGGTGCTTCTGAGGAGCCGAGTTGGGTGGTGAGGATGTTGTTATTGTTGTTGTTGTTGGGGGGGAGCAGAGTGGCAGTGGTCGGAGGCAGTTTGTGGGTTGGTGGTGGAATGGGATGGGGATTGGCGCCTTCCCGCTTCGAGACGCGCAGAACCTGAAGCACAGAGAGGTGAAATTACGTATGGGCGGCAGTCAGTGGCAGTGCTGCTGCAGTGCTCCTGCAGAGCAGACGCGCAGAGACACGACAGCAGCGAGGCGTGTACGTCGTCGTAACCAGAAACCCGATGACAGCAGAGGTGCAGATGTGGGTGGTAAGTGGTATGATGAATGGTATCACGTCGTTCACCTCATCACCTGCACACCTGTTCTCCGTTGTGCCTTGTGCCTTGTGTGCCTCATACTCAAGCTCCCTGTGAGGCCTCAACGACAGCGAAGCGCCCTTGTTCCAGGCCAGATAAGGTAGCTTGTCTTACTGCTGGAGATGATACATGCACAGCTTCACCAACGTTTTAGTTTATTAGCCACCCCCCAGCCACATCCCATCCAACTTTTTTTTCCTCCCACAGACTCCCTCCTGGTTTCCCCCCAGACATCCCCAAGCCAGTCCCACAGGGGATACCCACACTACACAATCCTATGCTACCTTATGATCCGTCGTCCACCGTTCCACTGCTTCTACTCTCCTGGTCGTCACCATACCATCTCCCATCACGCTGAGATGCGGTGTGCCGTGTTCGCCTTCACCGATGACCGTCAAAATGCCCCGGCAATTTGAGCCGGCTAAGTCTCGGTGAGTACAGAAAAGGTTCGCTGCAGAACTGCGGGTAACACCCTTGCTGGTGGGAGGCTGGTGCACAATCTGACCAGGCCTGGACCGGGGGCCTCTGGTCATAAAGCAACTTCACCTCACTCACCACCAGTTCCAGCTGCTAAGCTCGACGAGGCGATGCAAACACTATCAACGAGCGTGTTCTGCGTATTGGAAACTTTCCCAAGCGTCTCAGGCGACCCAAGCGAGACGCGAAGATAAAGGGCGCGTACAGATACCCTCTGGTTGCTTCCCGCAGCCTCTGCGACCAACGCTTCCGAAACGAATGTTTCTGCTGCAGTGCGCTAGCCAGCCACACCACTCGTACTCACGAACGCTTCGCCATTATTGACGATGCCAATTCGATGCTTCTGCAGATGCCGACCCTCCAACATACGACATCTAATGCGTCATGGGCGTTCATGCTGCATGGTCAAAGAGGATTGCGCGTCGCGGTTCATGAGCGGTCCACGTCGACTTGCCAGCACTGTTGACCCGGCTCCGTAGAGAGCTCTTCGGATGCGTGCCGCAGGTCACTGCGAAAAAGCAATGCCACCACTGAACCTCATCACGATATCTGCGGCTACAAGCTCCGTGTCGCCGCCTTCTGGTCCTTTTGCATGCTCATGAAAGAGTCAAGCGAAGACCACAGCCACGCACGTGGCACAGGAATAACAAATCTTCTATGACCAGTTCAGAGAATGAATACTCTCGCCCAACGCGATCATTGCCCTGCACATCGCCACAATGGACCGATTGAGAGCAGAGTGATTCCAATCAGGACCTGCAGAATCCGTTCAGGACAGGTCGATTGGCGATGCATGCCAAGGTACAATGGCACCTGTCTTTTGCGCTTGATGGCTGCGGCTCTCCAGTCCAAGACAGAGGTTGTGATGATTGTACTTGCCACTGTCCCTCCCTTAATGTTGGCAGGGATTCTCTTGATGCGAGAATAACACATCCGAATCAGCCGTGACCTGGCATCCGAGAAGCCGATAAAACCCCATCAGAGGAAGAAATACATTAACGAGAACTCTTGCCGTCGCGTGAGAACATGCATTTTCACATGTAAGCTAGGCGCTCGGACCCCATTGCCCCACCTGCCTTCAGTTCCTCCTGCAACAGTATCCTGTTGCGACAATGTACTTGATCTTACACCGCAGCCGACAAGTTCGACAAAGCATATGCTCTTGAACGCAGCTGAGGGCGAGCCTGTGAGGTATCTCCAAACCAGGAGACCCGGCAAGCGCGTAGAGGGGTACGCATCTTTTATGCCTTAGGCAAGAGGAGAATCAATGGCGGCCGGAATAAAGCCCTCGACCCCACTGACTAAGAAGAGATGGGAAACTCCCGATTCGCTTCACTAATTCGACGTTTCGGCTTTGAGGGAAAGGTACATCAAGAACTACCTTATTCGGCGGGCAGTACCACCCAGTCTCAGACATACAGTAGCGACGACGCCATTGCGAAGACAAGAAAGCATGCACGCAACGGCGCCCATTCGCGCCTCCCGACACCATGGCGGCCGCACGAGTCACCCCTGCGGTCGATGCAGCACCGAAAACCACAGAAGCGATACTCGGCCAGACAGACAAGAAATGGCGATGCTGGTCTGCGCGCGACAAGGCAACGGCAGATGACGCGATGTTCTCCAAGATTCCCCAGAGGCTGCTTTGGCAATATGCAGCCCGACGAGTCTTTACAGGCTCCGGAAAGGTTTACATTAGTCCGCTCCCCTTTTAACAGGTGCTATTGGACTGGCGCCTTTCAAGCTCTCCTGGTAGAGCGCGGTATCGATGACCAGCAGTAGTTCTGCCTACAATGCAACGCAACGCTTCTCACTTAGGTGCTCTCAGAAACAGCTTTCTTCCAGAACTCAAAACGCGAGGATGCGTAGTCACACACCTGGAGAGCATTTTGCAAAGCCCATAACAATGTGATGCATCAATGAACACCTCATGGACAGAGGCTCCTCAGCCCATATTGCATGTGACGGCGTTGGAATATACATGTACCTTCCGATTACTTCCTGACTGCTCTTTCTATTCTGGTTTCTATTCGCGTTCCCACTGCCACTTCTGCTCGTTCTCTGTTTGCGTTTCGTCACCACAACACAACACAGCACTACATGTACTATATGTAAAACCATCTCAACACCAGCATCACGCTCGTACCTAGCCGTCATCAATACCATCAATACCACGATGGGCTCAAATCAGAGTGCTCAGGGTAAGACTCGTTTCGCAAAAGACGCGCACAGGCGCTAATTAGCTCGCAGCACGAGGCCAAGTCCTTGGGGTCGGGGCGAAGCTATGGCAAGCCATCAAAGCCATCGTTAATTCCAACCAGCAAGGATCAGCAGCAGGAAATAGCTCCAATCAGCAAGAAGGAGAAGAAGAAGAAGAAGAAGCCCCGCAGATGGGACCGGCCGCCGAGAAGGTCCTCAACATGACGGAACTGCTCGTGATGGTTCTCCTCCACTGCGACGAGGAAACGATCCTGCACGCTCAACGGGTGAATTGCAAGTTTCGAGACGTGATTTCCGAGACGCTCAAACTTCAGCAGAGGCTCTGGTTGCAGCCGGACGACTCTTTACGGCCGGAGGAGGGGACGAAGACGGTCTTTATCAATCCCATACTTTTCAATCACCGGAGGGCTACCGGGGCCATTCGCCGATTACTCCGACCAGTCCGATTGTCGGGCGGAGATCAATTCTTGCTGGACGGCGTACCACCTCGCTACTACGGGCTCCTCGAATTCTTTCTCGAAGACAGAGTCATGGCGGACAAGGTGGATGAGCAGCTGGCGCGAGCGGCAAGACGCCATGAGCTCCCCAGCTATACAAGCGGTATTTCTCGCAGGCGAAAGTCCCTGTCCGATCGAGAGCCCATCATCATCACCGCCGACGAGGCGTCTGAGCATAGCTCGCTCTTCTTGGCGCACAACCAAGTCCCCATCACAGATATCGACATCATCTTTTCCCGCGTCCCGGAGATTCGCAGGGTCTTGAAGAAGGCGCCAGGTGCGTGGAAGAAGATGATACTGTTTCAGCCGAACCCGTAGGAGGGGCGAAGTGCTACGTTGGGCTATGAAGTTCTGGAACGCATGGAGGATTTCCACACGAGATACGCACCCATCTTACGAATCCACCGAGTCAAGGGCGATCAGTGGCCTCGCCCACCGACTGTCGAGGAGCTTCTGCGGCTTGTGGTGGAGCGCAATCGGGACATCTACTCGAAATAGGCGAGCTCCCGAGACCGAAATGTGATCGAGGCGAGGAATGAGGTGTAAGGTGGACATAGGTTCCAGGTGGCAAGGACGGCGTCGCTCGCGAAAACTTGAAGGGTTCAGCATATGTCTCGGGCTTATTTTCTTGTGATAAGTCCCTGTCGAGGGGTCCGGTCCAGTCCTGTCGTTGTATACAGTCGTCGTTGTATACGATTGTTCGTCCCAGCTAGTGAGAGTCTGTCATTGTTTCTTTCTGTCGCTTGTGCTTTCTTCACTCCCACTCTGTATCTTTTAGCCTCTGCATCAAATAGTCCACCTCCACAATTTTTGTCAAAGGTATAACATGATCCCGATACATATCCACCACAGCATCCACAGGAATCTTCCTCGGAGCATCCTTCTCCATACCGGAATCAATGCCATAAGTCTCCGCTTTCAACCTCAACCTCTCCAACACCTTCTTCTCCACCTTCGAATCCGTAATAGCCTCATCTATCCCCTTCGTATCCCCAGCCTTGATCAACTTCACGTACTTCTCCGGATCCTGCCGGAACTTGGACTCGGCCACAAACTTCCCAAAATGCACCCTCCTGGAAAGCGATTGCAAACAATTGACATCCGCCGTCGCCGCACTCCCATAGTTCTCCTGTGCCTCTACGCTCCTCTCCTCCCTCTCGCGTCGCATACACACTTCCGGTAGGATACTCTGCACATACCGCCTCCTCAACTCCCCATTCACATTGACATCGTTCTCCCAGAGAATCTTGGGATACTGCAACGGCGGCAGGATCAACTCTTCCATCGCATCGGGGAAGAAGGGATATTCGTCGGGGGATTGGAAGCGGCGGATGCGGGATTGCAGACGTTCCTGCTCGCGGAGGACCCAGTCGCTGAAGGAGAGGTGGGAGTGCGGGATGGGGATGGCGCCCGCGGTGTAGATGGTGTTGTTGAGGGGGAACTGGGCGCGTTCGATCAGGTGGAAGAGGACGGTGTCTTCGAGGCGGATGAGTTGGTAGCGGATGTGGGCGAGGGAGAGGGCCTTTTCGGGGTTCGAGAGGTCGATTGCGGAGTCCATGATCGTGATTTTCCTTGTATTGTTGTCTATATGTATTCGTTCGTTTGGGTTGGTAAGGACTGTTTGGTGCGTAATCACATGAAGTGAGTCTTGATTTACGGCAGCGAATGGAAAGTGGGGTGTTTCAGGTTGCCAAGCGGGCAGCGGGCATTGGGGGCCGAGAGATGGACGAGGGATGTGCGAAGCTTGTGACGATGCTTTTGGTTTGGACAGAAACAGGGCCTCTCGTGACCGCGAACAACGCCTCATACGACACTCTATTCGACTCGGGCTGATACTGGAATTCGAAACAGAGCCCTCTAACAACATGCGCTTGCCGTAATACCGTACGAATCTACTCGCGATGGACAGCCAACGAGGCCGCAGCCGTTCGCCCCAACGAACGACTCGAGCTACGCGCCATCAACACACCTATTCCGAAGATGACTCGATATTAAACGTTCGTTTTCTCTTCCTCCGTATCAGTATATACAGTGATATTGACATGACGTGCACAGTCGCGCCAGATCGAAGCCTTCGGCCGCACAGTACATGCCACAGCCTCCCAACTCATCGGTGCCAACTTCCACGATGCATCCGGGCAAGACCACTACCGCAATGCCCTCTCTTCCGTCCATCGCCTCTCCCAACGACCTCTGATTCAACATTCCGTCTTTTCGTTCGCCAAGGCCAACCCGCGACAGTTGATCCGGAGCAATTTCAATACGTCTGAAATCGAACATCGAGCGTTGACGTATCTGCCTGATGAACTGTTGAAGAACATCCCCGTGTCGAACAGCCCGTTCAGTCTGTTGGACGGCTTCCGGGCGAGCCTGCCGGAAGACAGCGAAGAAGAGAGTGGGAAGCAGGGTAAGAGACGGAAACATGGGAGTCGAGGGCAGAAGCTGTTGGAAGGTCGCGAGGAGGCGGGACCGCCGAAGTTGCATGCGTTGCGACGGGAGAAAGGCAAGCTGGAACACAGACTGGAGATGATGGGGATCAGGAAGACGGTGGCTTCTAGCGAGATCAGGGAGATTGACAGCAAGATCGCAAACCTCAATACTATGCGGAAAGTCGTACTGGAACGCATGGCTGGTCTGGAAGACGAAGAGCGCGACTTGGAGCAGGAACTCAGCGATGCGGTGGAAAAGTTGGAAGTTGCGCAGGAAGAGTGGGATGATGAGCAAGCGACAGCAGCGAGGACAGATCCAGCACTGGCAGCTCAAAGGCAAGAGAAATTGACGCAAGAAGAGGAAGAGGAGGCTCAAGACACCCCTGGCTTCATGTCGGAGAGCATATACGACAAGTTGCCGAAGACGAGAGAATCACCAAAGACGAAACGGAAGAAGGTGAACAGACGGATATCGATGCCAGTGTTGCACGAGCACATGGAGCCTGGAAGTCGAATACGAGAAGTGCAGGCGCATAATGACATTGTCACTGCCCTGGATTTTGATGCGCCGTTTGGAACGCTGGTCACAGCAGCGCTGGACGATACTGTGCGGGTATGGGATCTCAACGCAGGACGCTGTATGGGCATGTTGGAAGGGCATCTTTCGAGTGTCAGGTGTCTCCAGGTGGAAGAGAACCTTGTTGCGACGGGTTCTATGGACGCCAGTATCCGGTTATGGGACCTCAATCAAGCAGACTACAATCCCCAAGCGCCGCCCCCAGGGAGGAATATCAGTGCAAAATCCTTATCTTCAGAAGACGCAGAGGCTGAGCATTCGTCGACTGGCGAAGACCTTTTCACACCTCCTTCCTCAGAAGAAGCTTTCTCGGCAACAGAATACCATGGCAACGCAATGGCAGATTGCCACATGTTCACCCTCTCCGCACACGTCGCCGAAATCACGGCTCTCAATTTCCGCGGCAACACACTCGTCTCTGGATCTGCGGATAAGACACTCCGCCAGTGGGATCTGGAAAAGGGACGCTGCGTCCAGACCTTGGATGTGCTATGGGCAGCAGCGCAAGCATCAACTCTCAATGCTCCCACGAATACACCGACTCCGGAAGCAGGAACGTGGTGGCGACCTACCGGCGGCAGACTTCAAGGCGCGGAAGCCGACTTCATCGGTGCGATACAAGTGTTTGAGACGGCACTGGCCTGCGGAACTGCGGACGGGATGGTGAGATTATGGGATTTACGATCCGGGATGGTACACCGGAGTCTGGTGGGACATACCGGCCCCGTGACTGCGCTGCAATTTGATGATGTGTATCTCGTGACCGGGAGTCAGGATCGGAGTATACGGGTAAGTCCTCTCACCTATCATGAGAACAGTGGAAACAAAGCGACGGGTACTAACTGGATTTCCTAACAGATCTGGGATCTCCGAACCGGCAATATCCACGACGCATTCGCGTACGATAATCCCATTACGTCTATGCAATTCGATGCGAGGAGGATTATTGCCGCTGCTGGCGAGGATGTCGTCAAAGTCTACGATAAAACGGATGGTAGGCAGTGGGATTGCGGTGCTGGGGCTAGTGCTCCGGAAGATGGCACGCAGCCGAGCGTTGTTGAGAGAGTGAGGATACGGGACGGGTATATGGTTGAGGGAAGAAGAGATGGCGTGGTTGGGGTATGGAGTTGTTGATGATGCGACTTCCCACTGCCGTGCTCACTAGCTTCACGTTGTATGTATGATAGAGCGAAGGCGCCTGTAGGCGGCTGCTGTGTATATACTGTATGCTCTCTGGAAGAGCCAGGGGGCGGCGACTCTAGATTCTCTACTACGACCTCCAGCATGTATTCATTCACTCTCCTTTTTCCCTGCTCCAAAGAGTCCCACCAATCTCTCATCGGCTTCGACCAGCATTTCGCTCTCCGCGCGCCAGTCCACATCTTCTTCCTGTTGCGCTTCCACCACCACCTCGAGTAACTTCACCGTCTCTCTCAATTTCTCCCTCCAATCTTCTACCCCCTCCTCCGAACTCGCCGCCGCCGCCGCCGTCCACTGAAGACAAATCCCGTTGCAAATCTCCCCTCGCCAACGCGCGATCCTCGGCCAGCAATTCCTCATCAGCGCCTGCAGAGCGTCCGCAGCACGGAACAGCATTTCTCTATTGTCGGGATTATACGGGCGACCGAGGACGTCAGCGATGAGGGGGAGGACATCTATGATGTGTTTCACGGAGTTTAGGTCGAGGAGATCGAGGAGGGTGGTGAGGTGGGCGAGGAGCGTGGCTCGGATGGAGGGGACGTGTGGGGGGAGGAGGGAGTATGATTGGAGAGGGCCGCGGCGGAGGATGCTGTCGAGGGCTTTGATGCGTTGTGGGTTGGAAGTTGGTGGTGGTGGATGGCGGAGGTTGGTTAGAGTGAGGAGAGTTGGGTAGGCTTGGTTGAGGAGGGCCAAGGATTCGGGTTCTGGTGTTAGGGTGGGGAGGCAGCTGAGGCAAGGCATGAGGGCTTCTTCGAAGACCTCGCCGAGACCGGTTCGTCGGAGGAGTTCGTGAGGCGTGGCCTTTAGAAGTCCATGGAGGAATTCGGCCCCGACGGTTTTGTATTTCGCTTCCCAGTCATCTATCAGAGTGAGAATGGGTGGCACAATCAAAGGCCAGAACTGCGCGGCCAGCTTCGCATCCAGCCTTCTCACAACCCATCTCAGTAGGTCCAGAGAGAATGCGTCTTTGGTAGACTTCCACGGCTTCGTGATACTCTCATCTTCCGTCTGCATACCCAGCTTCTTCGGCAGTGACGCTGTAGCGGCCTTCCTTCCCTGTCCGGTGACATTATCGGGCTTGGCCTTGATGAAGAGGGGACGAATCGTCAGCTTGAGAAAGTGACGAATGAGGTCCGATGCGAGCTCACCATTTCCATTGGAAGTGTTGCTTTGATGGGCTTTGACTTCTTCAATCGCTTGTTGAGGGTCTTTCGCGTCGGGATTGCGGAGTTGCCAGGCCATGACGACGTCCAAGGCGTCTTTCATCCATGGACCGGGTGGTGTGCCGATTGCTTTGGCGAGAGCTTTTCCGTCGAGGAGAGGTTTGAGCGTACAGACTTCGAGGAGGTCAAGGGCCTGGAGTTGGTCGAGAAAAGTAGTGTATTTGCGTTGGATTGCTGCAATCATATTAGCGGTGAAATGAAACGATAACTTCAAAAACTCACTTTCAAGCTGATCCGGGCTGTTGGCAGTGTCGACCAGCATTGAATAGAGTACTTGACTTCGCCAGCTAGAGCCCCATCTCCGAACAGCCATGCCCAGTACATCCCGTGCAGCCGGGTCCTCGCTTTCCCACTTCTTGTCTGGTCTTCGTTGCTTCTGATATAGCTGATCCACCAGATTCGAGATTTCTTCTTGATGACGAACAGCGGCTAGTATGACGTCGCTCGTCTTGTTCGTCGCCTTCACCCCCTCTCTTGCGACGGTGACTGAAATTGGTGGCGGTGGCTTCCTACCTGGCTCCGAAGGCTCAGGCTGTGGCGCATCTCTGTATGGGACTACAGCCGCCAGCATCCAAGCGAGATACTGCTCGTCTTTGTCCCGAGCCAAATGCTGCTGTAGCACGTCGCCGTTGTTGATGATCTCATTCAGAGCGTCGATAATGGTCTGCCATCCTTCTTCGTCGGGCGTGTAGTGGTCAACGGCAATGACAGCAGGGTCTGAGAATATTGTCTCGTAGAGATTGAGGGAGAATATCAGTCGCATCGCTTCATGTGGATCAGGACCCTGGAGTGCCTTGTCGAGCTCTACACCAACCCGCTCTCTACTGATCTTTCGTCGCAGCGCATCTTTGATGTCGGCGTTACCCATCGCATCTAGTGCTTCTGGAACTATGGTGTAGCCCAGTCTGCTCGCAAAGCGAATCAACCTCAGAACCCGTAGCGGATCGTCTTTGAAGGTCTGGTATGGCTCGAGTGGCGTTCTTATGACCTTCATGCGCATGTCTTCGTGGCCACGCTTCGTATAATCTTCAATCTCGCCAGTGTTAATGTTGTAGAACATGGCATTGACTGTAGCGTCTCTGCGGAGAGCATCCTCTTCGGGCGTCCCGAACTCCATCTGAGGATTTCTGCTGTCATCGGAGTAAGTCTCCTTCCGAAGATTCACAAAGTCTACATCCAAGCCCAAAATGCGAACGGTGGTCGTCTCGAGATGCTTCGACTTTTCCGGATTGGCTTCAATTTTGTGCAGGCCTCCAACAGTTTTCGACTTGTCAGTAGCGCCGGCTTTCTGACTTTGCCCGTCATCTCGCGCGACAGAGTCCAGTCCATACTTCTCGAGGTTGCCCGAAATCTCGAGGTATTCCTTCATCCTGAGGCCGAACTGGTAGCCCGTCATCTTGTTAATGGCAACATCGATATCGTGACTCTGCACTCCCAGAAGCTTGTCCCGTACCCAACCTCCTGTCCACCGCAATACTAGCGGCTGCTTGGCGAGATCCTCTGGGAGTGCGACTTGACCCTCGACATGGACTGCGGCTGGAGTCTCATCAATGTATTTGGCCACATCGAGTAACAAGTTCTTGAAGGTCGTTTCGACCTCGGTCAGATGGAGTTCCGTGGGAGGTGCAGCTTCATCCTCGACCTCCTGCACCAGCAAGCGCGACATACTGGAGTACGACCGGACTCTCACAGGAGACGGAGTGTTGAGCCGCCGGCGCTTGGATCGCTCAGGTGACGTGACGAGTCGCGCCGGAGACATGCAAGATCGAGGTTTGCATTGAAGATGTTGTGGTGTGGAGCGGGAATTTCTCAGGCTAGTCGCCAGTCGGGAGTGAGTGAATGTTTTAGATGCAGGTACGGCCAAGTGAGTCAGTCTTTGACGAGCGGGAAGCATTCACCAGGCTGTGTCGAGACTTGGGCCAGATTTGGTGAGCAGTATGGTCTTGTGTGGTGTTTCACCTGAGTCCAGTGTGTCTGTTACTTGTGTGTTGGTGTATTGTGCAGCCTTCACTCGACCTTTCAGATGTTTCCCGTCAGATCGACTTCAGGTGGCTGCCGAGTGATGGCGGAAGAAAGTCGTGGCACAGTCTGGCCAATCGAATGGCAACGGGCTGCAGTCCGAGGCCGATGACATGACCTCCTGGCCTCTTGTGATGCTCCTCGGACGAACACCTAACGCTCTACATAACCCTGCAACCTACGACCTGGCAGAAGGCAGGCAAGAAGCAAGCAATCCGAACGTCCTCATATACCGCTCATGCTCCACGCACTCGACATCTCCACGCCCTCGCGCCGGATAGCAGGCAGCGCTGATGCCCGCCGACAGGACAGATGATCCGCTGCAGTCGCCGCAGGAATCTGATTCCGAGCAACAGCAACACCAGCAACCCATATCTGTCCACAAGAAGCGCTTCGGAAGGTCCCCGCTCTCATCCATCTCGACCTTGCCATACCGGCGTTCAAATGCCTCGCTCTCGAATCTCTTCGCCTCGACTTCATCCCTGCCCACGCTTCCCAATGCGGGATCTCCCAGTGCCTCGGGGACGGTGACACCCATTGCGGGACCCATCAACGGCTCCGTCTTCTCTCCCACTGGGTCCACAGTACGATCGCCCTCTCCTACGCCGTCGGGAAAGCAAAGCAGCAATCATGTTAGAGACTTGATCTTGCGCGCGTTCTCTCCACACGTCTCCGTACTGGCCTCTTCGGATACAGAAGAGTTGGTCAGGCACAAGGGCGTTAATGGCGGCTTGGTGGACCTTCTGCGACCGTTTGGCGAGCACGTACAGGGTAAAGTAACAATAAGAGACAGCACTGGAGTCAGCAGATCATGGGAGGATTACGCTGTGCGCTTCACTGGTGTCCAGGATGGATTGGAAAGCCCAAGGGTGCAGGACCGCAGAAGTACAGATTCAGCTGGAAACACGACGGGGCAGAGAACGTCTTTGTTGGAGTTCAAGCCTGCCAGATTACGGACAGGAGGCGACGTGCCACAGATAGAAGACTTGGTCGAGCGACACCTGACATTTGCGGAGGAGCATTCGGGCCCTGTCGAGGACTACATCACCAAAGACTTCGGCATTGCCGATCCCAATGCGACATCACCATTCTACAACCTCTACCTTCGTCGAATATTATCCGGACTTCCCATGGCTCCATCTGAGACGTTCTCCCACCCCGTGGCTCTTGTGATAGCCATCTCTTCACGATCTGCGTCCCCAATCGAGGAACTTCGCAGCCTCTACGATTCCTCAAACACAGGCGAGCACCGGTTGCCGCAATGGGTCCATAACGAGTTTTTACGCTATTACGTTCTGATACATGACGAGGATTACGACGATATCAAGAAGTCGATGGCCTTGTACGACCAGATGAAACGCCATTTCGGCCTGCATTGTCATCTTCTGCGGCTCAGAAGCACGCAGTGCGTGCCCTCGGACGATGATAGTGTCAAGCTGCAGCACTGCGAATGGACTTCTGCAGCCGAGGAGCTCGCAGAGATCGTCCGTCGCGAAACCTTTGAGGACGAAGAAGACCCAACTCCCTACATTTTTGAAACAGACGCCACCGCAATACGAGCCTTCATACGTGAGATGGTGACGCAGTCCATCATACCTTCGATGGAGCGAGCGTCAGCGACGTGGAACGATCAGGTGGCATCTCGGAGGAGAGGGTTGAGTGGCAGATTCATGTCCTTATCGAAGCGCTTCACGACCTTCGGCAACCGGAACTCTTCGGGACCGACACTTGGTGGATCTGGAAGCAACTACGACTCCTTGCAAGGCTGTTACAGACCAGACGCTCCCGAGGCCGTCATGCGCAAGCTGGGTGACTACGCGATAATGCTTCGCGACTTTAGGCTAGCGCACGGCATTTATGAAATCTTATGCCAGGATTTCAAGAACGACAAAGCTTGGCGACACTATGCGGGAGCAAACGAGATGGCCGCAGTCAGCTTGTTGCTTGCAACGGGGGCCTCCAACAAGATCCGTATTGAGGGCATTGACCAGTATTTAGAGACCGCCTATTATTCCTATGTCACCCGGGCCGGAGCTCCGTACTACGCGCTACGTACACTCATGCTTGGAGCAGAGCTTCTTAAGATGCGAACCGGAAACGCTCTTGACGATGCTGCTCGATGGTGCAGTCGGATCCTCGACGATCGTCTTGTCGGCCCTGTCGGCCGTGTTCTACTCATGGAGCGCATCGGCACCTGCTTCAACGAGCGCCGCAAGATCGGCGGCTTGGAGGGGGTTGACCGACATCGCAAAGCCGCATTTTGGTATACGCTGGCCACCGACGCCTGGGTACGACTGGAAAAGGCTTCACAAGCCGAGAGATGCCTATCCGAAGCTATGGGCCTGTATGGCTATGATGGCCACAACCGCAACGGGTCCGTGGCCTTTGACGGAATGTCCATGTTCCTCCTTGCGCTCCAAGAGGCCGTCTCTGACAACCGCGCGGGCGTACACCACATCGACGGCGAAGATGTGGTGGGCGATGAAGAGCCTGAAGAAATGCAGCAGGAAAAGAACGAAGCACTCGGGCCAGCTCTTGCACCCGGGCATGGACATCGGAAGAGTCTGAGCACGAACGTTGTGCCGCGCATTCGGCCCATCGATCCGCTAGGTGCGATGCCGAGTGCGTACGACGGCACCGGAGGCTCGACGGCAGCACCGCTCAGTCCGCTTGCTGATTCGCAGCCGCCGCCGCCGCCTCTCAGTCCAAGCGTGGAGCGGAAAGAGAGAAGTCGAGACGATGGCTTCGAGTGAGAAGCGCTGGCATTGAGGTAGATATTCGATTTTGTATTTAGCGAAGGCGTGAGGCGTTCTGCGGTATTGGATGTGGCATTGCATGGTGACTGCATCCAAGGCACGGTCAACAAGCACTATTCTCTACGGATTCAAAACTCTTGAGCGAGACCTTTCTCGACATACGTGAGAGCGCACGCACAGACTTAGCCACCACATGCCGCATCTGATTCGTCGAGAATGAGAGTGAGAGTGAGAGTCGATGCGACCATCGTGTGTGATAGGGCGAAGTGAGTGAGGTGGTGAATTGTCAAGCATAGAATTCTCGGGCTGATAGATCAATTGATTGTGTCTGTCGTGGAAGCCACCGCCGCCGAAACCGTCTGCCCGGGGTTCATGTCGGAACAGGCCACGCGGATGCCGCGTGGGTTGATGTATTCAGCGAGGCGAGGATTTGCATACTTCCTTCTGTGGCGTTCTTGGCTTGCTCTGCTTGTTGTACAAGTCTCTTTCGCCATGTTTTTGTCGTGAAGTCAGGACATGAGGTCGGATCGAATGGTGCGCAGGGCTGGCAGGGAGAAGCGGCGAGCCTCGGCGAGACGTGTGGGAAGGGATTGGTCTTTTTCTTCAACGAAACGAGGGAGGGTCGGGTGAGATGAGGATTGCGGAGTTCTAGACTCGGGCTTGGCGGGGATGGGGGGTGTGATGGGATACGATACGATACGGGTTCATGGGTCTTTTTTTTTTTTTTCGCTTTTTCGATCTCGGTGTGATGGGCAATGACCGATGACAGCTGCCCAGCAACTGCCGTGATGACTGACGGACGGCAGTGTGCAGGTTTCAGCTTTGCGTCTTTGTTGCAGTCGTGTCAGGGATGGAGGTGGACGCGGTGTCGATTGATTTGGTGAGGAGGGGAGGGGAGAGGAGAGGAAGGGAGACTTTCGAAGATGTGTGGAAGGGAAATTTGGTCGGGTGCGGGTCACATGCTTGATGCTGGCAAGGGAGCCAGTCGAGCCAATGGGAGGCAAGCACAGGAAGTTGGGAGAGACGAGTCGACTCTCTCTCTCTCATACGATTCGTGATTCTGGCGCGACGGTTTCCTATCACTCTGCCGTCCTCTGCACCTGCCGGGCACTGCCGGGCCCGGCCGTCCGTGTGTGGTGTGTCGTGTCGGTGGTGTGGCTCTCTCTCGGCTGAGCGCCACAGGAATAGACGGCGGCGGCGGCGGCTAAAAAGGTAAGGTGAGGTGAGCTAAGGTAAGGTGTCGATGCGATGCGATGCGATGTGATGCATGTCGATGCTACACAGATGGCGGCACGACAGCTCGTCCTCACTCCTCCTCAACACACAAACACATGGACTCATCGTGGTACAGTAAGGTGGTAAGGTAGAATGTGAGGAATAGTATGTACCGAGCCGACCGACCAAACGGGAAAGGTGCCTCTTCCGCTCACTGGGGGCGCGATGATCTCGTGTCTTTTCTTGGAGCGAGCGCCGAACTCTACATGACGAGCGCAGACGGCGAACGGCGAACCCAGCCCAGGCCCGTCTACTACTGTGTACGAGTCTTGTTGTCCTGTTGTCCTGTCCTTCTCGTCTCTTCCCAATCCTACCTACTCCTCCCGTCTTGCCGTCGACCTTCCTTCCCTTCACACTCTGCTGCCCTTGCGCTGCGCTGCGCTGCGCTGCCATCTCATCTCACTCCTCACTCCGGGTACTTTCCCTCCTGCACCTCCTCATCGAATCGCCGCCCGCGCGCCTACACCTTCGTCCTCGCTCATTTCCCTGCCCGCCGTCATCATCTGCTGCCTGCAAACCTCCCCCAACCAATCGCGCTCTCAGGCCCGCCCGTTGCGACTAGTCCACGCCATGCCCTTCCTGCCGTCCAGGTGAAAAGCTACAAACCCCTTCACCCAGCATCCGCATCCGCAGCATCAACCTTGGCATCCGCCACCGCGTCCGCGTCCGCGACCGCGACCGCGACCGCGACGACGGAGCCTTGCCGGTGCGCCACGCCGCAACCCACCCGCGACCGCCACCCGCCTGTACCAACATCTTCAAGCTGTGAGGGCACGCACACTTCCTCTCCTCTCCCTCCTCCTCCCTCCCTCGCTCCATCCATCCATTCATCCATCCATCCAGCCATCCAGCCATCCGCCCATCCGCCCATCCGCCCATCCATCCTCCACCCACACCAATAGCCCCGACGTCCGCGTGTGAGAGGCCTGCTACAGGGATGCGAGAGAGGCAGTCACCGAGACCTTCGAGCTGCCATATCGGACATGCGCATCTGGCCCTTCAGACGGCGCCGGAGGGCAAGTGCGGCTCACGATCAACCGCACGAGCCATCGCGTGAACAGCCTCCGCGATCTGACGTGCCGAAACCTGCTGCCGCTGCGCCTTCCAACCCGAAACGCACAAACACCAACAACTCCAACACCCGTCCTTCCACCAAACCACCTCCATCACCGCCACCACCGCCTCGCCGCAGCAGTCGCAAAGGCAGCCAGCGCCGCAAACGTCGAGCGTCACAGCACGACAACGACATCCCCGCAGAGAGGCCCGAGGCTGCGAACCCACCGTTACCTCCTGTCACGGCACAGGTCAAGGAAGCCAAGAACAAACAGAACCTGCCTGCGCCTCCAGCACACGCCCGCAATGTCAGCCGAGAGGACATCACCGCTCTGCCGTTTCAGGCCAGGCTCGACCAGAGCCCCCATCTACGCCCCGTCGATCTCGAGAACCGCCCACACATCCCATACAACTTTCGCCCACAGTCCATCTCCCAGATCAGCGTCCAGAATCAGGAAGCCACATCCACAAAACCGCGGAGACCAAACACCTTGCGCTCCAAGCGAAGCACCCAGGACTACAGTTCGCCCGCCCGAAGAACGTCGAGCAGGAATTCGAGAAGACGAGATGATGCGTTGCGTGAGGAGGAAATCCGTCTCATGTCCCAGCCAATTCCCATCCCCAAGAGATCTGGTGGCGATGGGCCCTTGAGAAGGGATAGCAAGAAGTTCCGGGGCCTGCTTCCCAAGGATTCAGAAGTCTCCCTGCCGCCCGAGGGCTCCTTTCACTCGGGCATGTCGGGCCTCCTCGAGCAGCGAGGTTGGGAGATTGGCAGCCTGGCCGTGTTCAATCCCCGTCCTGCCGTGCGACTATCGGGCACTCCCCAGTATGTTTCATCTCAGAGCGTGCCGGGTCAGACATCTGGCATGATATACCGCATCGATTCAACGCGAGGCCAAGAGCAGAAGCCGGCTACAGAAGGCGGACGGAAACGACGAATCGTGGGCGACGAAGCAGATGAGCTGGATGCGAGCGACATCCGAGCTATCATGGAACGTGATGCAAAACGGAGAGAGCAGCGCCACAGGGACAGGCAGGAGAAGCTTGACCGGAAACTGAAGAGTAGAGAGGGAAGAAAACGGGGAGACAGCGACGGTAGAGGGCAACGTGACGTGGAGGAGCAGAGGCGGATTGATGAAGGAAGAGCTCGCGCGCAGCAGCAACTCCAGGCACAGGGGCCCCTGACGCCTCCGGCTGCCATCCATCCTGCCTTGAGAAGCCAAGAATCTGAAATACAGCCGATCGGTCTGGGAATTGGGCAGGCACGAGCACCCTCGCCAGATGCCATGGACATCGATTCTGCTCGACCGGCGTCTTTTCCAGCACACGAGCATGCCCCGCAAGGACTCGAAACTCATCAAGAGGAGGACGATCAACAGCATCCTTTCAGTGATGCTCAGGAGCATCTCCCGTCTTCACCTGTCGCTCAGCATCCGCAGACCATGTCTCACGCCTCCCATACCGTCGAGTCGCCCATGGAAGAACCCGAGGTCCGCACTGCACAGGCTGTACGGATGTCTCTCGCAAACACTCCACCGCTGTCACCAGTCTATGGAGGAAGTTCTTCGACTCTTCCCGAGGCCTTGCGCCAACAGAGCATTTCAGCAACAAGTGCATCTGATCTTCCTCCACCTCCACCCATCCCAGTGGAACGACGGAGCTCGGATCCACCCAGGGAACGAAGATCTGGCGCCTGGGCTGCTTTCTTCAGACGCGGCGGTACTACAAAGACTCGACGCGAAGGTGCTGTCTCGCCCGCCGAGACTGGCTTCTCCAACACTTCCCGCGAGTCGATGCGGAATCAGCCACTACCAGCGCACCTTGTTGGCACTGATCGACCTCCGGCTGTACGCTCCAGGTCTGGTACGCCCGTCCGCACTCAGAGCAAGTTCCGAGAGGATCTGCCAGAGATGCCCATCTCGCCTCCGGAGTCAAGGCAACAGTCTCCCGATGTTCCAACTTCTGCTGCAGCAGTCGCAGCGGCCAGGAGGGCCGGCAGGTCGACGCCGCAACCGATCGATATCCCGGGCAGACTTCGAGATTCCGATCGAAATGATACACCGGTGAGTCGTAGTCATACTGCCATGGCGAGCTCTCTCGCCTCCATCGACTCGGAAGGATCGTGGCTTGCTAGTGGAGAGAAACGGCAGTCCAAGCAATCGGCCCTGGGCCGGTCATACAGCCAGAGAAATGCCAATTTCAGCGCCAGCTTTGAGGAGCTTGGCGGTGACAAGGACGCCGAGTACCTCACTCGAAACAGAGAATCACGCTTGCGCAAGCTGAGCAACCCGGTCTTGATCGGCGGCTATCCGGAGGAGGCGAGCGATGAAGAGGACCCCCTCGAGCAAATCGATCCCGAGGCGAGCGAGGAGCCATTTGCTGTACACGGAAGCGTCAGGAGGAAGCCCACACTGGTGCAGCGTGGCCCACGACTCAAGTCTCGCGAAGGACTGGTCCAGGAGTATGCATCTGGCGAGGCGGGAGACACTTTCAAAACACCGCCGGAAGGCAGCCCGGATGAGGAGTACGAGCCTGAGTCTCCAATCGCTCAGGAAGACGTCCACCTGGAACACGCGCGAAGCGTACAGTACGGCAGCCGTCACACTCGCCAGTTCTCCGCCGGCAGTGCCAAATTACTAGACGTCGCCCCAAGACGAGTGTCTACGGACCAAGGTGGTCCGAGCAAGTCGCCAACCCCCGAACCTCGGTCGACTGCGCAATCACCAACCCTCGAATGATGGATGATCATCACAGTATCAATGTTCTCTCTATGTCTTACCACCACCACCACCACCATCCTAGAAACAACTCACGACGCATTGGAGCAAGACTCGAAGCAAGCGACACCAACTGCATTCTACACGTACACGCATAACGATCCCATGATCAACGACACTCCTTGAATAATACACCCCGTCGCCGCCTCGTCTCCAATGCGTCTCCCGTCCGCCTGGAGCGCACCGGCCTGCCGAGACAGGTCCTGCACATTATATCCGCTTGGATTTCTCTTAGCTGTATTGATTTGAAGTGTTGAATAGCCATTTTTGGATCTGCTTTTCCGTTCGAGCTTGATACCCCCTGTCGTTTGGGCCGCTGCGAAACCGCGTGTTAGAGGATGGGCACGTTCAGGGCTGGGCTGGAAAATCGGTTTTTGGAAGAAGAACAAGTGTGATTTCTTGGATTGCAAAAAGGGCAAGCAAGCTCTCAGGAGAGCTGCGAAAGAGGAGATGTGCATAGTGGCCGGCCCAGGAATGGCCACAAGGCCGGAAGAAGGACGGGAGAAGAAAAGAAGAGAGAACTTGTATAGAAGCCGCATCGAGTGGATAGTTGTATGAAGAGAGAGAGAGAGAGAGAGAGAGAGAGAGAGAGAGAGAGAGAAAGCAATGGGAGATCCGAGTCTGCTGTCCCGTTCTCAATAATGCTGTAATTTCTTCTCCGCAGTCAGTCCACGCGTAGGTTGCGCAGAGTGGTGCTGCTGCGTTGAAGAGAGGCGCCACGTGATTCTCTTTCCGGGGATGATGGGTTTGGCGGCTTACATCCATCGTCTACCGAAGTAGTGGTGCCTCAGTACGGATGCCTCGGGGTGATAAAGATGTCATTTGGTGTTGATGGAGTCAATAATTCGAATGGTTCAACACCGGTCGATCGCTTCTTGATGATGATGATGACGACGACGCGATGCCGGCGACGTGGCGGATACGACATGAGACTCTTCTGGTAGAATTGAATGATTAAATGAAGAAGTGTCCTGTCCGCGTGACCTCAGCGTAGTCGCGCGCGATTCCAGACGTTTCCGCCGAACCTCGGCCCAACCTAGTACACCTCAGTAAGGTAAGGCTGCTCGACCCTGACGCCGGACTTCACGTGTCATCGTCCCCAGGTACCTTCCCATTCTCCATCTCACACTCCGGGGTCCGGTTGATAGCAGAGATACAATCATACCACCTCCTCCTCCTCCTCCATCTACAAGTGATGTAATCTTCCTCACACTTGTATCATCTCCTTCGATCTCCATCTCCATCTCCATCTCCATCTCCATCTCCATCTCCATCTCCATCTCCATCTCCATCTCCATCTCAATCCAGGATGGCACCCGCACAGTACCAACAACGCACCCTCCCCATCGTCCCGCTCCCTACCCACCTCGTCCTCCTCCCGGGTGTCACCACGCGCGTCCCGCTGCAGAACCGAGCTGACATCGCCGCTATCCTCGCACACATCTACAGTAAAGCCTCGACCCCGCGGCCGGAAGCGAACAGTGTCACCGTCGGTTGTATCCCGCTCAACAGCCCCTTCCTGTCCCCGGATGGGAACCGGCTCATCGAAGAGGGCGGCGACGCCAACGACAACAACAACAACAACAACAACAACAGGAAGAAGAATGCGAAATCCGTCGTCGAAGTGGATCCGGCTCAGGCGAGGAAGGCGGATCTGTTCCAATACGGTACCATGGCGCGCGTCACGGGCGTGCAAGGCCGGAGACCGGGGGAATTGATGCTGGTCGTCGAGGGCGTGCAGCGGTTCAAGGTGGACAAGGTCGTCCGCGAACGACCGTACTTCGAAGCGAACGTGGTCCTACACCAGGAGGAAAGAGTGCGGGAAGACGACGAAAAGACCACGACCCTCTTCGCGAACCTGAAACAATACAGTCGGGAATTGATCGCTCTGATTCGACTCTCTGCGCTCTTGCCCCGGGGAGGCCCGCAGATGAATCTCTCCCCGATCCTCGCGCGGAGGCTGGAATTGTACATTGTCCGCAAGGATGTGCAGGAAGCGGGCGTGCTGGCGGATTTCATGACCAACATCATCGATTGCTCGCACGAGGATAAGCTGCGCATCCTCTCCGCGCTGCCGATCCACGAGCGTCTGACGCGCATCACGGAGATTCTGCAGAGGCAGATTTCGACCATCCAGGGGAACAGCCGGATTCTGTCCGTGACGACGTCGCCGAATGCGAGTCAGAGTGCGGTCATTGATCTGGAGACGTTGAATAAGTTGAGGCAGGATCCGAGATTGAGGCGAATGGGCAGTGGGCAAGGGCAGGGGAATGGGATGCCGCCTGGGTTTGGGTCGAATGTCGGGGCGCAGGAGGAGGAGGTGAATGAGGTGGAGGAGCTGAAGAAGAAATTGGACGAGGCGGGACTCTCCCCCGAGGCACAGAAGGTGGCAGACCGCGAGCTGAAGAGGTTGTCGAAGATGAACCCGGCTCAGGCGGAGCATCAGGTGTGCCGGAATTACCTGGAGAACTTGGCCGAGATTCCGTGGACAAAGATGACGGAGGACAATCTGGATGCTGCCACTTTGAGCAAAGCGCGGAAGCAGTTGGATGATGATCATTATGGATTGGAGAAGATCAAGAAGCGATTACTGGAGTATCTGGCGGTTCTGAAGCTGAAGCAGGCCGTGAACATGGATCTGGACAAGCAGATTCAGGCCATCACGCAGGCTACGCAGCCCACAGAGCAGGCGCAGGAGGCACGCATCGAGGGCGAGGAGGATGTTGCTCCTTCAACGCAGGTTACGAAGAAGGGAGAGAAGACGGAAGAGAAGGAAGAGTCGGCCGGGGAGACCAACCTGCTCAATAACAAGAAGTTGGTCCTGCTCACTCACAAGAAGTTGGTCGACAAGTCGCCGATTCTGTTGCTTGTCGGGCCGCCGGGCGTGGGCAAAACGTCTCTAGCCAAGTCTGTTGCTACTGCTCTCGGTCGACAGTTCCATCGCATTTCCCTGGGTGGTGTGCGCGATGAGGCGGAGATTCGTGGACACCGCAGGACATACGTCGCGGCCATGCCTGGTCTCATCGTCAATGGTCTGAAGAAGGTCGGTGTGGCGAATCCCGTCTTCCTGCTAGATGAGATTGACAAGGTTGGCTCGGCTTCGATTCATGGGGATCCATCGGCCGCGATGTTGGAAGTTCTGGATCCGGAGCAGAATTCGACGTTTGTGGATCACTATGTCAACATCCCCATCGATCTGAGCAAGGTTCTGTTCATCGCGACTGCGAACACCCTCGACACGATCCCGCCGCCTCTCCTCGATCGTATGGAGACTATCCAGCTTTCCGGATACACCACGCTGGAGAAGAGACATATCGCCACACGGCATCTCATTCCCAAGCAAATCACCACCAATGGTCTGAAGCCGGATAATGTTCAGATGAACGATGAAGTCATCGATAGGGTCATCACTGCTTACACTCGAGAATCTGGCGTTCGAAATCTGGAACGCGAGATTGGAAGTGTGTGTCGATCTAAAGCCGTCCAGTACGCCGAGGCGCGAGATACCAATACTCTCCCCGCGTATACTCCTATCGTTACTGCCGAGGATCTCGAAGACATTCTCGGCATTGAACGGTTCGAAGAAGAACTCGCCGCTCGCACTTCCCAGCCCGGCGTCGTCACTGGCCTGGTGGCGTACAGCACCGGCGCCCAAGGCAGCATCCTCTTCATCGAAATCGCCGACATGCCCGGCGCGGGACGCGTCCAACTGACCGGCAAACTGGGCGACGTGCTCAAGGAGAGCGTCGAAGTGGCCCTCTCGTGGGTGAAATCGCACGCCTACGAACTCGCCCTCACACACGACCCGGCCGAAGACATCATGAAAGCGCGCGCCATCCACGTGCACTGCCCCTCGGGCGCCATCCCCAAGGACGGCCCCTCGGCCGGCCTCGCGCACACCATCGCCCTCGTCTCCCTCTTCTCCGGCAAGCGCGTCCCGCCCACCCTCGCCATGACGGGCGAAGTCTCCCTGCGCGGCAAAATCCTACCCGTCGGCGGTATCAAGGAGAAGCTGATCGGCGCTCTGCGCGCCGGCGTCAAGAAGATCCTCCTGCCGCAGGGCAATCGGAAGGATGTGAAAGATTTGCCCCAGGAGGTTAAAGACGGTTTGGAGATTCTGCTCGTCGGCCATTTATGGGAGGCGCTGCCGCTCGTGTGGCCTGAGAGCGAGTGGCCTGGTCTGAGGGGTTGGGGTGGGGGGTTGGAGAGTCGATTGTAAAGAAGGAGGTTGTGAAGGGTTGATTAAGGCATGAGTGGGTTCATGAATCCCCCCGCTTGTTTTGCTTGTTTAGCGTTTTGTTGTTGTAGATATGTTGTGTTGTATAGACAATGTGATGTGATGTGGTATTTTCTCTGCTCTTGCTCCTGATGATCTTCTGCTACATATATTTTTTTTTTGACGAGAAGCTACGATAGCTACCTTATGATAGATAGCTGCGCGGCTGTATCTACATGTATCTACCTTAGCTAGCTGTCGTGATGGCGACATGATGATATGATGGCTCATGCCTTATACTCATTCATACCTCATACCTCACCATACCTTCCATTTCTGCTTTGTTCCCGAAAAGAAAAGAAAAAAACCCCCCTCGCTCGCTCTTGCGAATATGAAATGAGATGAAAATGAAATGAAATGTAAATTCCTAGTGTATGTACATCTTCCTACTGCCTGCCTGCCTGCTTTCCCTTTTAACTTAATCTATGATTTCCGCCAGAAAAAAAAAAAACCACGCCACCCACGAACCATCGAAAATCAAAAGTCGTTTTCATTATTCTTACCAAACATTACAAAACAACAAGTTTCATTCATTCATTCACTCTTCTTCTTCTTCTTCTTCTTCTTCTTCTTCTTCTTCTTCTTCTTCTTCTTCTTCTTCTTCTTCTTCTTCTTCTTCTTCTTCTTCTTCTTCTTCTTCTTCTTCTTCTTCTTCTTCTTCTTCTTCTTCTTCCAGTCGCTCTGTACTACTAGATCGTCTGACTAAGCTGCCAACGTGACTCTTTTAAGACCAATCAATCGTCTCTCCCTCTCTTTCTCTCTCTCTCCCTCTCTCGTTCCTAATCCTTCCATCCCACCAAAGTTTCCAAAACCCCCCTAAACTAAGAAGCTTCGCGTGTTCGTGGTGTGTTCCGCGAAAAAAAAAAGGCTAGCTAGCTAGTATTTTCGATACTGCGGCTATTCAGAAAGGTTAGACCGGAAAGTAGAAGAGACCTTGGTCTTATTAGTAGAGCTGGGGGGGACTTGGATGCGGTATAGGTACACTAGTACCACACTACACCAGCAGCAGCAGCAGCAGCGGTCTTCGATCTCTCCTCTCCGGCGGACGATATCTCGACTGACTATCGATAATATATACGTTCGGTCGGAGGGTTTGCCTCGGCCTCGGCTAACATTTATTAGTTACAGTCACAGTTACAGTTAGTTACAATCAGTTCAAAAGTCGATTCAGATCCTCGAAATTGTTTTCTTTTTTCTCCCTCCCCCTCTCACACACAGTCTTTGACGTACGTACGTCCGTCTTCTGTTCTACCTTACTCTATTGCACGAGATGAGATGAAGACATTACATTCCATTCCATTCCATTCCACTCTTACCCTCGAACATTGTACATTTCCCGCCACGACACGACACGAGACGAGACGAGACGAGACGAGACGAGACGACACAGCCCTACTGACCTGGACCTGACCTGACCTGACGAGACTCGGCCGGGCAGTTTGCAAGATTGGTATCTTGGTATCTTGCTTCAGTGTAGCTCTGAGTGACCGAAGTTAGAATAGTAATTTATCCATACTTTCCTCCTCTACTATCTCTCTCTCCTTCTTGTTTGGTAGGTGTGTAGAGAAGATGTTTTTTTTTTTTTTGAATGTCGACGGTCGGGGAACGTGTGCGCCAGTCAGTGTCCATCGATCGAATAAATGTGCGAGGTCCGTCCGGGTCGTGATGAAAAACCTGTACGTGAAGTCGTACATGTAGCTAAGACACACACACACATCGATACTCAAGTGAGCGTATATGACATGATCGGCCGACTTGCACGTGCTTCCCGCATATACCGTAGTCAGTCCCAAAAAGGGAAGGAGCGATCAATTGCGCCAAGACAGAATCTCGATTTCAAGACGAGCAACACTCAGACAAAGGGAGACGGAATGGAATGAGTTGGAAGAATTGTATATATGTAGAGAAAGGCAAAAAAGGGCTCTTACCGAGCTAATACGTACAACGCTATCAACGACATGGTATCTCTCGAATAAGGAAAAACACGCGCAAAGCCCGCTCATTCCCATCCGGACGTCCTCCTTACGAACGGTTCGATTCAATCTTAGCAAGCAAATAACTCCACCGGCACCGATGCTAAAAAGTGTAGAGTGAGGCAGTGTGCAACTGCCCAGCGAAAGTTCAAAAGACCCGATGGCGCCCTTTGTTCCGGTTGTTGACGCTTTGCAGCGCTCACCGCCTCTTATAACAGTCCAATCTTACAGTCGTCCTCGCTCTGGTCTTAATTTCTTTACACTCCTTAAAAGCTCACCTCGCCAGGGTCGTCGATGACGCTGTCAGTCCAACCCTTGTGAGTCGTGGCGTTACTAATCCCGCGCTGGTCGATGGCCATGCCTTCACCCTCGCCACGCTCCACGTAGCGCTGACTGAGGAGTTCTTGGTAGATTTTCTGAAAGTAGGCTTTCAGGCTTCTCAGCCCGCGGAGGTAGCCTTTGTCGATGGCATCTGGATGGGCGGGTGGGCAAGGCTTGCGCATCACTCGCTCTCTGTCTTCTGCAGTGACGCAATTGGCAAAGTCGACAATCTTCAACTTGATATCGCCGTATTGCGCGGGTCGTCCATGCTCATCCTTCTCCGCTACGACTTTCCCGTTCTCGTCGGCGTCGCCTCGATCGTAGATCATGAGCAGGCTGCTGGCATAAAGGCGATAGCCGGGCAGCTTCCGAATGATGCTATCAAGGTTATTGATCTTGTCCAGCACAGAGGAGATGTGCTTCAAAGCCTGCGCATAGCCAATACCGTCGAAGAAAAAGCGCTTCAGGGCTTCCTCAAACTGCGATCCAGCTTGAAGGTCGCGGCCAAAGTACTTGTCCTCGAAATCGTATTTCTGTTTCCTGACATTATAGACCTGCATGCCGCACACACGCACGCCGAGTTTCCTAGAAGTCGTCGTCTTGCACTTCATACGTTGCGAATCTTGTTTCTTCTTGGTTGCTTCTACGCCGTATTGCCGGGTCCCCATCTTCAGATCGAGCACACAGGGCTTTTGCATGCCAGATGTCAGATCCTCAAGCAGCAAGAAGCGCTCAACACGTTCATCATGCTGTACCAGAGACGTCTCGGGGTTTCGCGGCTCCAACTTGGTCAGGTCGATGGCAGGTTCCAAGCGAGGCGCAAGGTGACTTTGAGCACGGACGACTGATTCCGGCAGCTCGGTACCTCTTGCATGAGCCGCACTGGATCCTAGCTTTCTCTGCCGTCCTGGCTGGTCTCTGTTCACATCGTCCATTGCGAAGACATCTTCCTCGGCATCTGCACTGTATGCTTCGTCTTCATTCTCATGAAACTCGAGGTCCCCACGATTGCCCTCGATGTCTGTTGGCTTGCGCGTGAGACCGCCTCCCGAATGCCTCCTGCGGTGGTGAGGCCGACCTGCCGGTACGTTCAATCCAGGATCGTTTCCGTTCTCGGCGCTCTTACTAAGCCCTGGCTTTTCACGCACAAGTCTTCCCATGTCAGCATTGGGCGGGTCGTCAGGCAAGTCGCTTTGGGTCTGCTGCACCCGTCTTCGCGAGGACACTGGCGAATTCTGGGTGGTAGCCGAGGGTTGTAATCGCTGGAGAGAAGACAAGTCAATCGAGTTCTGTCTTCGCTGAGATTCGGTGTCATTCTCGAGGTGTCTCGGAAGCTTGCGCAGTGTCCGGGAATGATACGCTCGCTCCCGCCTATCTGACTTGTGGATCACAGGTGGAGCGAAGACTTCGCGCAAGACGTGATCTCGGAGCTGTGAATTGCGTGTAGTGAAGCCCCAGCTTTGGGCAGATTTCATTGGAGGCCGGGGGACAGCTTCGTTCCAAGCCTCATCGTCACTGTGGCCTTCCCGTGTAGGTGGCAGACAGTGGGTCCTCTCCAGATCTGGAGTTACCGGACGAGGCGGTATGCCAAACAGACTGTCCGGAATGAGATGCCGATTATTCTCGAATATGACCTGCGGAATGGCGGCGGGTGTCTGCATGGAATGGCTGATCATCCGTGGCTCCTCGGCATCCTGATCTTTTTGCTTATCCGCAGTGGCTTGCTCACTTGGCCCAGGATTAGTATCCATGTCCTCATGTGGCTTTGATTCCTCTGAAACCGTTTGTTTCCGCCTTCTCTGCTCCTTACGGTACGTGACGTTGAGCACGCCAATGTAACGAGGCATGAAACCGAGAAGTTCTGGGTGACTACGCTCTACGGTCTCGTAGAACTTGTTTTCTTTGCTATTGAGCTGCTTGCATACTGCCCGCCGCGAAAAGCGATAGACCGGTGTATGCCCACCGACTTGGTGCTTGAAGGGCTTCAACTCGACCGCACCAACTGGCGCCGGCGCTGGAAGACTTCTATCATGCGGCCGGGTCCCGGGAGTGGCGGTCGGGGTAGTCACTTCCGTCTCGTCGTCTTCGGTATAGAACCCATCGGTTTCGTATTCGCTTTCGAACGCCGGCGACGGCAAGGCCGGTAGAGTGGTTTGCGACTTTTCCTTCAATTGAGTGTCTGAGGCCTCGCGAGAAATGCCTTGCAGGTAGTCGCGGGAACCGTCCCCTTCCAAAGACACCTGTACATCGTTGCTTGGGGCCTGTTGAGGCGCTGCGGTTGTGTCGGCCGTCTTCTTCGTCTGTGTGGTGATGAGCTCATCCTCGGTCGGTGAGTCTGGAAGGACAGCGTGAGGATAGTAGATTGCCGAGGTAATCTGCTCGGGGCCAAAACCATCTTCCTCAGATTTGGCTGAGTCCCGTGCGTGGTCCTGTGCTCTACGTTCCGATTCTCGAGAGGAAACGTGGTCTCGATAGGAAATTTGGCGACCCGGTCTTGGGGCGAGGTTGCCATGATTGCGAATCTCGTCCAGCAATGCCAATGGCAACTGGCGAGCCATTCGCTCCTTGGAAATGGTGACGTCGTCACCATCCTCCACAGACTCCACGTCCTCTGAGATGGTAGCCTCTGTTGCCTGAGCTCTGATATCCTTTGACAACTGCGACTCCAGCTCCTTCTGTCCGTCTCTGTTCTTGGTTGCCTTCTTCTTCGCATTGTCCCTCCGCTCCTCTGCCTCATTCTCTCGGAACAGGCCGAGATAGTGACTGGTCTTCCGGCTACGTGCGTTTGCCGTCGGCTCAGGCTGTGGCAGCTGGGCGTCAATGACCCGGTCCACGCCAACGGTGCCCTTGCTGACCGGGCGCTGCGATTCCTTGATCGACATGCCGTTCATCTTGGCCTGACCTTTTCTCCAGGATCGATATTGCTCCCTCTCTGCGCTTCGATCCAGATCCTGCGCGTAATCCATCGCCTTCAAGTTTGGGCTGGGCGTCGTTGGTAGGTAGTCTGGTATGAGAGGAGTGTCGGGCAGCGACGGTTCGGGAAGAGCTCCAGTCTGGAGAAGGCTTGCGATTGGCAGCGAAGCAAACTCGTGGACGTCGTACAATGATCGGCGGTGATATTTGGTAGGCAAACTTGTGCGGCTTGGCCGGGCGCGGTGTGTGATTTGCTGTGGTGGTGATTTGGTGTAGTGATATGACGGTGCAATGTCCTTGCGGAGGGCAGGACAGTGGAAGTCCATCATGGGATTGTTCGGCCGCAGCGGGGATGCTGCCATTGCCGCGTCGCTCTTTCCGTCTCTGATGTTGTTGCTGTGTTTGTCGTCGCCGCTCCTGCACTCCGCGCTCCTGCCCTTTCTGGCGGGAATATTGGGCGTCACGGGGCTAGCGTAGGGCAGGTAATGGGTAGCGAAAATGCTATCGCGCTCTGAGAGCTGTGGCTGTACGGCATCGCTGATGTCAAGGGCAGTGGTCGTCGGTCGGGCACAAGTGCTCTCTGCGGACGGAAGTGAAGGGGCAGTAGGGGTAATAGAAGAGGCCGTTCGCCGGTGAGAGTGAAAGGATTTGGGAGGACGGACAGGACTCGTGGGCTCGGGGCCAGGGTTGGACTGGGATGCGAGTGGTAGAGTTATCTCACCACGCGAGTGCAAGTCCAGCAACTCCCGGCGTCCCTGGTCAGAGCTGCGGTCGGCTGGACGAGCTTCGTTGGCATCGTGCGAGTACGGCGAGATCTGCTTGGATCTCGCAGCATTCAAGTGGTGAGGCGCGTCCCTATCTGCCGTCGGGTCCTGCGCTCCAAAAGCCGGTGCCATGCGAGGCTGACCATTGAGCCCGGCTGCACGCTGCCGCGCAATTGGGAGAGAGTGGTCGCTGAGGGCGTCGGGGAATTCGCGAGGAAGGTTGGAGAGCGGCCTAGTGCAGACCGCCACGTTGGCCTGCTGTTGATCGCAGGCGAATTGGGAGGAAACGGGATGGATGCTGGGTAGGTAGTAGAGCACAAGCACGACTCGCAGCGTCGAATCGGTGGTGCTGTGTTCAGTGAATGGCGTGCTGCGGTTTCAGCAGCGACAGCGAGGAGGCAGCGCAAAGCACCATTGGCAGAGTGATAGGAGAAGTGACGGACGTGTGCAGACGAGGGCACGTTTTGGGGCAGCAGCGCTGGTTGGGTGGTGGTGATGACAACACCTGCTGCTTGAGATGACAGTGGAAGGAAGGCTTGGCTCCGGGCGGATGATCCCTGCACCCGTCGCTCCCGGGTCCCGCGATCCCGCACGGCTCTTGTGCCGAGCGCCCGCCAACGCGCCAGCGCCAGTGAGCCGGTCGACTCGTAGGAAATGGGAAATTATTGATGATATTGATGATGATGATGATGATGGAATTGCATCCCCCTGGAGACGTGTCCACGCCCATAGAAACCTATCAAACAAGCCCCTTCGCCCGCGTGGGCGTGCACGACTCTCCCCCTTTCTCGTCACGACCAACACCACACTCGTCGCATCAAGATCCGGCTCACAAGCGCCGTCCATGCTCGCGGCGGTGTGCCTGCAAACACCTCCTCGGACCTGTCATCTCTGGCTCTGGTGCCACGATCCCATACCAATCATTCTGCAACGTGACCGGAGCAGTACCACGGGATTACGCCCTTCACAGCGTTCACATAGGACCGCAAGCAGCACGCAGAGCACACATCTCAAGGTTGCCCAGCATTATCGAGTCTTACACACATCGCCGGCGATTGCCAGCAGTCATGCGGTCAGCGATGGACGGCGGAGGTGCATTGTGCATTCCCCTCCGGCTCCTTCAGTCTTCACGTAACGAGCCCCTCAAGCGCGGCCCCTCGCAGAGTCTGGCTCTCATCATGTGAACAATATCCGCTTCAGCCATTGGCGCCACCTCCACAGCAATGGAGATCTGACTCCGCCGCCAGCGCCGGACCTTCCATCCGCGCAACGCTTATTTCTGCCGCGCCTGCATCTTCAGTGTTCATCAGCTCGACATCCTTGACATCCCGGCCACCCTGGCCTACATGTATCTCTGCCGAGCCGTCTGGTGACGCGCCCAATCTGGCTGCTCCCGAACGAATTTGACTGTCTCCCGACAATTGCGCGGCGACGACGTCGACGAACGTGGCATTGCACGCGTACGCCCTTATCCTCCCAAGCAACGCATCCTTACTGTTCCTGCAGCCACGAGGAACTGGTTATTTGCCGGCAATCCTTGGATCGGCGCCTTTCACAACGCATGCCACCCCGTTCCTGACATGCCCTCCCACACCTGCCTCAAGACGACGACAGTTTGTTAGCAGCGCCTATACTCTCGGCTATAATAGTAGGCAACACATTAAAGAACACTCGATACAAAGAAGCCTTACTATTTAAAGCATAGTCTCACTCTCGAGCTATACCTGAAAAGATAGGTCCACAACCTGTTCAGAGAGTGCCATGGCTTTGCTCTCTTTCTTGATAGGCTTCACGCTTTGTCTCAACCAACAAGTCTGCGTCACCACTCCAGGCTACAACGTGCTCTGCTCCAGTGGCATATGGTAAACCCGCTCAAGTCCGGTAGGGCTGAGCACTTGTTTCATGTGTTTGTTTCGCCTGATCAATCATCTGAGGCAGCATCCGACTCACGAAACGAGAAACGGACAGCGGCGCCCACAGGATGCGACTCGGACTCCGTTGACTGGCAGGAGCCTTCCTACAGGACGTGGCTATCGTTGCTGACAACCCAGTATCTGCTCATGCTCCGGGTCGATTGTTACTTTTGCATGCTGGTATCCCGATTGCCAGGCATGATTCGGGACTGACGACGAGGCGATGCCGACTGCCTTTCCGTACGCTCTCCTGACCGTAGTCCGTGTGCGTGCGGAAGATGGTGCCCCAGAACAATTCCATTCTTGTGCTTCTCCAACTTCCAACGCTTCCTTCTTGCCAAACAAAGCAAAGTCCTCAAAGTGCAGTTGGCAGTCGTCCCTCACGATTGCCTTGACTGCTTTCGACGAGTTACCAAAGGGCAGTATTGATTCCAGGCAGCAGCGGTCTCTCTGCTCATCCTTGTTGAGTCACTCCCTCTCTGAATTCACTGAAGACTTACCCTGGCAGGTCTTACACCACGGAAGTCCTCGCCGTTCGACCGACAGACTCAGTGGGAAACCTATCACCAGAGTTGCACTAGCGATGTCTTCACAGCAGACATGAAATCGCCTTGACGATATCTCGACACCCTTTCAAGCCCATTTGCAGCGCAAGACGGACTCGCATCAAGCATTCGGTAATACTTACCAACGAGAAGCTTGCCGACCTGGCCGATGAGGGACGTTCGATGTTCTTGAACACGGCTTGCAGTACAGTCCAATCAGAGCAAACAATTGTCAACGCCGACAAAGACACCGTATCGAGACTTCTGTCTGGCCGCTCTACGCTTTACGAGAATACGATCCATTCCCATCGCACTAACTCTCCGCGATACGGGAGAGCAAGGAAGAAGACATTGAGTGTCAGCCGCCGCCGGCCGCCGACGCAAAGGTCAAAAGGAGACTGCAATCTCTCCTCCGCCGCATCCTAAAGCTTGAAAAACGGTGCTTCGAGAATTGGGCAGGCCGAGCAGGTGAGTGACGTGGTTTGTTCTCTTGCTCTCGAATTCTGGTCGAGTTCATACGAGCCTTCAATTCTTGGCAATTCAAAATCAATTTCTGGGATATTTCCATCACTAAGCCCAAGTTCTTCACCCCACACTCTCCATCCGCATCAACCTGCGATCTCACAATCATCAAGCGCATCCCTTATGGTGCCAAATATCGCCACGACGAACTGCTAGCCACAACATTTCTGATGGAGCCCAGCGGTAAAACGCGTGGCCTGCGGTCCACCCATCCCCCAGCTAGCGCCAAGAGAAGAAGCCTGAGCCTATCGTCCAAGCTCGTGCGCTAACGAACCAGGCACACAAAACCTGCTGCCCTACAACACACATGTGCACAGCCTATCTTTCAGACACTGTGGACAGTCTTGTTTAAGATATAGTAACGATCCGCCCGCCCCCATGACGTTGGATGGCGTTCGAGCTCCCCACGTAGTAAGTGTAGCATTCAAATAAGAAAACGCGGTAGGCACCCTTGTGATTCCCATTCATTCCACCTCCTCCAAATCCTTCCCCCGGTTCAATCCGACCAAGAAGAAAAGATGGCCAGCAAGAAATACGGCGTCTGGGCCGCCAAACCCACCTCCTACGACGCGCAAACCCCCAAACAAGACCCCAAAACCCCACACATCACCCTGCAGCTCTCCGGCGGCGGCAGCGCCGAAATCAACGTCAAATCCACCTCCTCCGACGACCGCCTCGTCTTCTGGGTCAACAAATCCTTCTTGCACCCCATCACGTCCGCCCTCTCCCAACTGGCCCCGGGCCTCACCGAGAACCCCTCCGAATCCACATCCCTCGATTTCCAGCGCACCACCCCGGCTCTCTTGGACGTAAATGCCGGAACGCTGCTGGACCCTTACGAAAAGGGGCCCGATAATGATATCTTGGATGAACTGGAGCCGATCCTGGATCAGGCGATTCATGAGGGGGCTATGGTTTATCTTTTTGGGCAGTTCTATCATGATCGCGATGGGGCGAGTGGGATTCATGATTGTCATATGAATCAGGGGAATTCGGGGGGGGGTATGAGAATAATATCTGGAGTGAGTTTTTAACCCACATTCGAGTCTGTTGATTTGAGTTGGTATGCTAACGTTTTGCTTTTCTTTTCTCTTTCTGTGTAGGCGACGGGAGTTTCATGGTACAGTTCAATGACGGACATTGGGAGGCTGTGTTTCTGGCTTTCGCCACGCAGAGTTTGCCTACGGATGACGAGGGCAAGCCGACGAGTGACGCGGAGGCTTTTGATCAGAGGTTGGGAGGAAGCAGCAGTTCGTCTTAGAAGGAAGAGAGAAAGAAAGAAAGGAAGAAAGAATCGCTGTACTCAGTCAGAGTAGACTAGGTAGGTAAGCCAGCCCCTGGCAATAAAACTTCCGGCGATATTTTGATAGGCATCATCCATCATCACCGCTTGCTTGCTTGCTTGCAGATTGCACATAAGAATTCCAAGCGTCGGGTCGAATTCCCACATGAAGCCTTCATCAGTCAGTCAGTCAGTCAGTCACATGCCGGCATTTTGGCGCTAGCGGCCAAAACACACTCGCTTATTACTTACCCAACGGAACTTCTTTGCGAGCTTGCGAGTTGGAAGCGCATCTACAAATTAATCTACAGATAAGCATGCAAGTACACCTCTTTTTTTTTTTTTTTTTTTTTTTTTTTCCTTTAGATGAAATTCCGCCAATACCATCAAGACGACACAACATAACAGATCTATCTCCTACAATCTTTAATCTTTTCTGCCTCGCGCTCGCGCAATTCCCGAACGAACGAACATTGAAGCACGCACGCACGCACGCACGCACGCACGCACGCACGCACGCACGCACGCACGCGCGCACGACAAGGAACTGAACGAGAACGCAGACCGCAGACTTTGATCGAGGCCCATCAGACACGTTTCTCGTACAGTGAAGTACTTGTCCATTGCAATCATCGTGCGTACGAGTCTGTCTGCATGTATCAAACACCAGTTGAACAGATCCCGGAATGAGAGCGAAAGACGAAATTTTCACAAAAAGTTCATCATGATCGCAGAGGCAGGCGGACGGACGGACCCTTCTTCTTCTTCTTCTTCTTCTTCTTCTTCTTCTTCTTCTTCTTCTTCTTCGTTCGTTCACCAGACCGGGCCTCCACCATGCCATGGAAAGTGACCAGATGCCAACGTCGACGACGGAGCCAAGAAGACGAGACGGGGAGACGAGACGCACTTACTTTGAAGCTCTACTACCTACCTCCTATCCCATCCCATCCCATCAGAAAAGAACTCCTCCTCCTCCTCCTCCTCCTCCTCCCCAAGAACAAAGAACCAGAAAAAAGCAGCAAAAAAAAAAATCCCCAAACTCAAAAAATCCATCCATCTAGCTAGGTAGGCTAGCTAGCTTTTAACTTGGCGATTGACTTAAAACAATAAGAGACAGAGCAACCTTTCCAGAATAAACAGGGCCCAATCGATCCGCCTCACGAGGAAAATGGAAATGCTCGATGGCAAGCTCGGGAGATGCGCAGAAGCAGAAGCAGAAGCAGAAGTAGAAGGTTCGGTTCAACTTCCAGTCGTTCGTGAAGATGGATGGATATGGATTCCCTAATGGATATGGTAACAGAACGGAAAGTGTCTCTATTGGAAGCTGTGGGGGTGGGGTTGTTGACATACCTTATGGCTAGATAGAAGATAGGAAGCGTTCCGATCGATGCTGGAGAGGAGAGGAGAGGAGAGGAGAGGAGAGGAGTAGGGAGAGGAGGAGATAGATAGATAGTGGAGTAGAGGGCGTACGTACATGGTCAGCGAGGCGAGGATGGGGAAAGGCTGGGAGCGTTCGCGGGAACTGGATGAGGGACATACCAGTAAAAAGCCAGAAAGGCATCGACGGCTCTTTTTATTTCCCATTCCCAAAGAAGGCTGAACTACTAGCGCATTGTGTCTCATATCAGCATGGGCGCTGGTAGATTCGACGTACTGTAGAGACAGATAGATAGAGCTTCATGCAATAGGCCTTCTATACGCACCATGGCAAAAGTTTCTCTCACACTCATAAAATGACCAGAAGAGAAATCTCTACTTTCATTTTCGCTGGATGCTATGCTGCTAGAAACTCGTCCATACTCACATCCATCTTCACCTCTCCCCCAAAAGCGGCGACCCCGCCGCGGCCAGATCCCGATTGACTTCCTCCAGATGATCCAAGAAATGCCCCTTGACGTCCTCCCACTGCCGCGGATTGCTCGTGTGGAGACATCCGGTGCCGTTCAACGCATACTTGGTCAAGAGGAGCGGGACAGACATATGCCACATCCACGCCATAGTCCCCTCCGCCACCCGCTCCGGCTTCAGCTCTCTGGTCGTGGCATCCCGCCAGGTTTGATAGCTTTCCCCATGAGGCATATAGCTTGCTTCGTAAGAGAGACCGCCCGGCTCCAGTGCATGCGAGGAGCCGCCGTATTGGCCGTAAATCAGGCCCATGACTTCGGTGGACATGTTGCGGTGGTAATAAGGGGGTCGAAAGGTATTGGTCGTGGTATTCCATCGGGGAGTGAAAGCCAGGAAATCCGTGAGGGAGACACCGGGGATCTTGGATTTCGCCGTGAGAACCGTGTATATTGTCGGATCTGCTTGATCTTTCTCCACATTGGCCATGCTTGTGAACTTCTCGATCGCGTATTTGTAGGGTGCGTAGTTTCCGTGCCATGCCACAACGTCGAAAGGTGTATGAGGTTGGTTGCACGTGTGCAGTTCTCCCGCTAGTTTATAGAGAATGGTCCACTCGGATGAATCGATGTCGAAGGATGCGACAGGCGTTTCAAAGTCTCTTGGATATGCCATTCCATTCGAGCCAAAAGGTCCGAGCTCGGGAAGTTCGTAGTGTGTACCGTAGATTTCCTGAACGTAGCCTCGTGAAGGCCCGTAAGGAAGGGATACCTTGAAACGGATGCCTGCTTGGATCACAACGAGTTCGCCTGGCCGGACCATCATTCTCCCCATCTCGGTTTGGATGTCGAGAAGGCCGACTTGAGGGAGGATCAGAAAGTCTCCATCGTTATTGCAGAATGCCGTGTTCTCCATCGAGGTGTTTGCTGCGTAGATGTGCACTGCAAGGCCTTCTCGGAGGGTTGGATCGCCATTGCCGCCTATTGTCTTCAGGCCACCGATGAAGTCGATGGTATCCGGAGACTTGGGGATGGGAAAGGGGTCCCAGGCTAGTTGTGACGCCACTGGTTCGATGTTGAAGTTGGAGGAGAGGAAGCAGGACTCCAGCTGGAAGAGTCAGGAACGCTCTCGTCTCCGAGTGGTGCAGTACACTCACCGAGTACTCGGATGCACATGCTCGTCGCAATTGACCATGTGCTACCGAAGGACGTATCCGATACATCCATCTGGCGTTTTTTTCTCCGTTATATTTCCGGGCTGCAGATAGGGGTAGTGGACGTACGTGTTGTGTATCCCCGCACGAGGCGATATGAAGGCGGAGCCATTGAGCTACACATGCTAACCATAAGCATAAGGTAGTATATCGAACCAAGTCGCCTGCGTGAGCTTACCTGTTCCGAGTAGAGGTCATACTTCACCCTCTGAGGCGCATTCCGGGCATCGGGCAGAACGCCTGGACTGGCAGGAGATCAGCGCAGCCTGCAGCCCGCAGCGCGTTCGCGGCATCATCATCATCATCATCATCAGCATCATTCACTTACATGGCTTCAGAAGCAAAACGGTTGCCAAAACCTTGTTGATAGCGGTAGGGATCCTGCGGAGTGGCGTCGGTCAGGTAGGCCGCTCGAGCAGAGGTGCCGGAACAAGCCGCCATGTTCTTGCGCTTTCCGTGTGCTCTGCTCTCTCGACTGTTCAGTTCAATCCGATATTACTAGTACTGCGGGCAGGCAAGTGGGATGTTGGAAGGGCAGGTGCGGATTGGCGCCCAAAGTCTGGACTCTTGGACCGCTCCTGCCGCTTGTGCTGCGCTTGCTCGGATGCCGGCCGCGGGACAGGGGTTCCCGGTCCTGGGAATACGGCCCGGGCCCGGTCGCCCTTGCCTGATTTAGATCCGGCCAACTCGGTCCATCGGCTTCGCTTAAATACAGAGCTCCCGTCTCCATCATTGCTATCGGAGAGGAGAGCATCTTCATGGCTGCTATCGGAGAGCTTCATTGCTATCGTGGAGTCGGCAGATATGGACCTCGCCTATGCTATGCACGGCGTGTGCTGTTCCACCGCAGAAGATGCTGCTGTTCTTCCATGGAGCTTCCAAGTCACCTGCACACCCCTCCGCTCGGCCATCGTCCGAGTAGTAGTCAACCATAATGGCGGCGTCTTGGATGTTGTTATGGTTTGTCGCAGCAGTGGCATGCACAGGATATCTCTGCTCGCTGCTCCTCTCCAAGCGACCGAGACACCGGCTGCCTCTCCCACCGGCTCCACCAGGCGAACCCATCCTCGGCCATCTGCGCGTAGTCCCCGTCGACAATCCAGAATACGCATACGCAAAATGGTCCCAAGAATACGACTCCGACATCATCTACGTCTCCATGCTAGGCCAGCCCGTCATCGTCCTCAACAGCCTCCAGGCAGCCATCGAACTTCTCGACAAGCGAGGTGCAAACTACTGCGATCGCCCTCGCTTCGTCCTCTTTGAGGTCATGGGATGGCAGGCCACTCTGACCTTCCTGCGCTGGGGCCCGAAATTCAAATTGCACCGCAAGGTCCTGCAGAGGGCTTTCACGCCGACGAGCTGTGTCAAGTATCGGAGCCTCCAGGAACAGGAAGCGAAGACCTTGCTGAGAGGCATCTTGAACCGCCCCGAGGAGTGGGAGACGATCCTGAGGCGCTTTGCGACGGCAATCGTGCTAGGTATTGGCTTCGGTGTTCCAGTGAAGACGGACGATGATCCGTACATCAAGATTGCCACCGATGCCTCATACGCTCTGGGCCATGGAGGCGCTCCGGCCGGTACTCCCGTGGACTTCTTCCCGATCCTGAAATACGTACCCGACATCTTCGCCAGGTGCAGATCCCTGAAATTCGCTCGAGACTGGCGCTGGTCCATACGCGCAATCCACGACGTGCCATTTGCAGCTGTCCAAGCAGACTTCCGAGCAGGCCGCGCCCAGCCCTCCTTTCTCAGCACTTTGCTACAACAGCAAGCACTCCAAGCCGATTCCGACGTCAACTGCTTCACGACCGAGGACATCAAAGGCGCTGCAGGGGCCATCTTCGCTGCGGGTCAGGACACCACATGGTCGACCTTGGTGGTTTTCATCCTCAACATGGTCTTGCATCCCGAAATCCAGACCAAAGCCCAAGAGCTGCTGGACCAAGTCGTCGGCCCACATCGACTGCCGACGTTCGAAGACCGCAGCGCACTGCCTTATATCGATTACATTGTCCAGGAAACGCTCCGATGGGGTCCCGTCTCTCCCATCGGCGTTCCGCATCGCTCGCTGGAAGACGATGAATACGAGGGCATGTTCATCCCCAAGGGGTCCTTCGTCTACGCAAATGCCAGGGCAATGACGCACGATAGACGGGTATACTCTCAACCAGAAGAATTCAACCCTGATCGTTTCCTTCCTCGCTCCGAGGGTGGCGCGGGCGAACCGTTTCCCGTCGGTCAATTTGGTTTTGGGAGGCGAGTCTGTGTCGGAAGGCATCTGGCCGAGGCGAGCGTTTGGATCGTGATTGCCACGTTATTGGCCACGAGCAGGATGGACAAGGCTTTGGATGCCGATGGCAAGGCTATTGTGCCTGGTGTAGAGCTGACGAATGGCTTGACGAGCCATCCGAAGCCGTTCAAGTGCAGCATCGTCCCGAGGAGCGAGGCAGCGCGAGCGCTCATCCTCAGCAGCAGCACTCATTAATGAAATTTAAAAATCTCACTTCCTCACTGGTGGTGGTGATACCCTTTTGTAAAGACAAACAGACAGACCCGGCTCACTCACTCACTTCCCGCCCTGTATCCGTCGCTCCACCGCCCGCAACGGGAGATAAAGCACCACCGTGACCGCAAACCCCATCTCAAACCCCACATCACCCGTCCGCACCGCGATGGGCCCCGTATACCACACCTGTGCCATGCAAGGCACGACGAGGCCAAACGACAGCGCCGCAGCGGCAATCGCAGCCACACCCCTCGGCAACGCCCCGGGCCGGTCCCACGTGTCGGGCGCGTAGCTCGCGGTTTCAGCCCGGCGGAAGACGACATGCTCCGTGCCCACGACGGCCACGAACGCCGCGGCCCAGTATCCGATGACGCCGATGAAGTTTTCGAGATTGGCGAAGAAGCTCGTCGCCGCGCGGATGGAGACGGGGATCACGATGGCGGTGATGACGAGGGAGAAGAGGGCGCGGGGGATGAGGAGGAGGAGGCGGCGGACGAGCCGCCGCGGGATGAGGGAGAGGAGGAGGAGTTGGAAATTCAGCGTGATGCTGTACATGGTCGCGGCGTTGTTGCCGACGACGGAAAGCGAGAGGAGGACGACGAGGAATTTCCCAAAGCCGCCGGCGGGCGCGAGCATCGCGGCGAAGACGCCGCCCACGGACGTCGCGTCGTAGCCGGCTTGCCAGGCGGGCACGTTGGAGACGGCGCCGCCGATCGCCGCGCCCAAAATCATCAGGGGCACGTTGGGCAGGAAGAGGCCGGCGTAGGTGTAGAGGAAGACTTTGTAGCTCGGCGTCCGGGGCTCGAGGTACGTGGCGAAGTCCGACGCCAGAGCGGACCAGGGGATGAGGAAGCCGGCGACGAGGGCGGCGAAGGAGATGACGGTGGCGGGCTCCGCGGGGGGTGCGACGGTCTGGTGGGCGAGATGTTTGCCTCCGCAGCCGGTCGCGACGACGAGGGCGATGGCGGCGGGGATCCAGGCGTAGCGGTCGTAGTAGTGCAGTACCCTGAGTCCGCAGAAGGACACCAGCAGCGACAGGATGTCTATGATGACGATTCCCACGGTGGGCGTCAGGCCGTGGTCCGCGAGCGACGAGAGCGTCAGGCCTCCCACGACGCTGTCGATCACGCAGAACCCCGTCAGAGTCGCGAGGTTCAACAGCACCGGTATCGAAACCAAGTAGTAACTGAGCACAGCAAACACGTCAGTATACCCGTGAACCTCCTCGGAAAGATGTGCTCTCCCTCCGAACTACGACTGACCCAAAGCTGTAGCGCGCCTGTATCATCTGCCGCATCCCCGTCTTGGGCCCCAGAGTCGCCAGATAGCTCGTTGGGACGCAACACAGCATACTGAAGAACAGGATGACGAGCGAAGCGTTCCGCAAACTCAAGCCATAGCTGAGCGTCCCCACCATGCCCGTAACAACTCTATCGGCTTGGGATTAGCACATATCTTTTTTTTCTTTCAAAAACCCTAAGGTCCGGATGGAAGTTCTCCTAGGGACACGCACGGCAGCAGGTTGGTGTTCAACGTGAACCACAGCGTGAATATCTCGAAAGTCTTCCGGCTCGTTCGCTCTTCGATCGGCACGGGTTGGACACCTTTAAGTTCGATGTTGGCCGTTTTCGTGAGCCTGTCCCAGAATTTCGAATTTCCATCTCGAGGCCGGTATGACTCGCCACCACCAACGAAGCCCACGGGCGGCTGTCCGTCGAGCGTACCCTCCTCCGCGGCTGTGATATCTGTCTTTGCTTCTTTGGGTTCCACAGATTCCATCACGGAGAGTATCGATGTCCGAAGAAACGACGTCCATTGCTTCCGCATTATTCTTTTGACCGGGTTTTCAGGGCGCACAGAGGCGCCACAACCCTCCCTTCCACGACAGGTGTAGCGCTATCGTACGGCGCTGCGCGAGCATATCCGAAGCCACCGCCCCCTCAAAGCTCTGGCCCTTGCATGATGTATCTTTGTTGCGGCGGCGTGCTGGCTGCCCGATCTCTGCAAAGAAATGTGGAGGGTAGATAAGAGCTTCGGCTGCCGCTAATGGCCGATCGAACCGGTCCGGATATTTGCCTGGAGCATTCACTCCGGTAGATCTGGACATTTGCATGTGATCTTCAGGTCCCGGAGCAATGCTAGGCATTGATCCAGTGTTGGAGACCAAACTTTGACGGGCAGGTGATGGTCTTTTGGAAACGCCTGATAAGACCTTTGGGGAGCTCTCAGACACAGGGACCAGCAACAACCCGCTCACACCATGTCTAATAGACAACGTTGCAGTGAGATAAGTCTTGTCTCGGTCTTTCCAGAGTAGGTGTCGCCTTCAAGCATCGGAGTGTAAAACACACGGGACTAGTGTCAGAATGGACTTACGTAATGGCCCGCACATTCGTCTTGGCATACGTGCACACCAGCTGTTCGATATGTCATTAGAACTTATCCAGAACAATGAAACTTGAGAGCAAAAATAACATTCATGAGGTCGTGCCCTATTGTTCTGTTAGCACAAGCACCGATCCAGAGGTGGAATGTTTACATACCGGATTCGAACCGGGGTTGCCGGAAGTTTGAAGCGATCAAAATCCGGAATGATACTGCGAAGGTTGTTAGATGCGCACATTGTACAGGAGGCGTGGCCGAATACATACACCACTACATCACACAACCGCCTGATTGGTGGACCATTGCAAGAGAAAGATATATATAATAGTAAACCAAATCGATTATGTCATCATATCTATCTCCGCTCCGGAAGTGTCATTTCAACGCATATGGGTATTCCAGTACAGTCCTCATCCATATCAAAGACCATAGCATGCCTTCATCGAGCAGACAGACCAGAAATCGAAGCGTAGTCGTTCCCAAAGACCAACATGAATCCCATCTCGACGACATGCCAACCAGCTTCCCCTGCCCTTCTCTAACCAACCCCTCCCTCCGCTTCTCCTACACCATCGCCCGCGGCGAACAAGGCGTCCTGACCTTCGAGCCCTACAAATCCATCCTCCTCCCCCACTGGCGCTTCCGCACCGTCCCCATCGCCCAGACCTCCTCGGAAACGCTCAAATCCGCCTTCGACCGCTATGTCGAACGGGGAGATTTCGTGGGGGCGGATATGGCTCGCAAGTTCATCCAGATGGGGATGACGCGGGCGAAACGATATGCGAATCACAAGGGTGGGAGGAAATATGATCGGACTGCGAGGGAGGTGGACGCGGAAGGGGGGAAGAGGGTGGAATTGCCGAAGAGTCAGGGACATGATGGGAGGGAGGAGAAGTTGGCGGCTAGTGAGGTGTTCAAGGAGGTGTGGAAGAGGTGCACGAGCGATGAAGGGTATGGGGCTCTGCGAGAGCGATGGCAGGCTGAGAAGAAGGCTTGGGAGAAGAGCGGGAAGAAGGTCAAGGAGGAGGAGGGGGAGGAGGACGTGAAGTCTCGGATCAAAGAGGAAAGCGACGATACCGGATGATTGTCCTCGAATGCATGCTGTCAATTGCCAACGAGCTGTCGTGGGTACCTTATCGTCTTCCTCTGCAGCCACGCCGGGGCTCTATTGCGAGCGTCATTCACCTGCATCGATATGGAAGCTGCGAACTCGTCACACGATCCTCCATTCGTCAATCCGCGCCCGGCCGACACAATTCCTCTCGACTCGACTTCAACATTTCCACGACCAGAGTCTCGATGGCCAGAATGTCCAGCCAGGCTCAAATCAAGCCAACGCAGAGAAGCGAACATACACCAGACCGTTGAACCATCTGAAACATCAATCAGCGATGGCGACTCTTGCATCGTCTTCTCCCGCTGTTCCCTTGTCTGCTCGAGAGCATCCGATACACCAGGCAAGATTCCACGTCCCCAGCAGGAGAAACATCACGAAGATGCATCCACTCAGCTCCCAGATATCGCCCCAGCCCGGTTCTTGAACCACCTCACCCGGTTGCCACGCGCGGTCGGCTGTGTTGAAGCAAAGATACAAATCGATCTCGCGTGCACGGCCAGCGATTTGGATCTTCCAGCATTTCCGTACAGGTATCGGGCGGTACTTTGGGAATCAGAGGTCTCGCTGCATCCCTCTCCGTCAGCGTATCCAAGGGGAAAATCGATATTCCTGGAAACTAGGTCAGATGAGGCGAGGCAACGCACTCGCGTATACTTTCCGTGTGCGTGGTCTCTCGCTGGAGAAGAGCGACTGCCGAGCCTGTAAAGACAGCAATTCCGACAATTCTGGCGAACACGTGTGGTTGCTACTCTTGCGATGCGAAGCGCATGCAGAGGTTCCATAGCCGTGTCCATCAGGGCCTGGAGGTATCCGAACGCCAGATCCCCGGTTTGCGAACTTGATAAAGTATACACGTCCTGACTGCTTTCCGTCGGCGCGCGAGTAATTCCCCGGCAGAAGAAAAGATCCTGATCCGCGCCCGAGGTCATTTCCCAGCACTCCGTACACCTCCGCAGCGCTTCTCCGTTAGAAAATACCTTATTGCTATCGGGACTAAGCTAAGCTAGTCAAGTAGGAGAGAAAACATGTGACGACTACTTCGTGAACTAGCTAGGTCCCGCATTTTCCTCATCAAGCAACTGAACTGAATCGAATCGCCTCATCAAGAGCTCTCTCACGGTCCCGACAGGGGGAACTTGCCAATAATAACCAACAACAGACCACCAACCACCACCAACCATCAATCATGGTTTCCCTCCATATCCATACAAACGAACGAACGAACGAACGAACATCATTCGCAAAACTCTCCGAGCCCCACCCACACCCATCGTCGCATGCGGACTGATCTGATCTGCGACGTGACATGACATGAGGTGGTCTTCTTTCGCCGCGGCCCACCTTGCGAATGGCACGTCTGTCCGTCAAGCAAGCAAGCCGAGATGCGCCCGCTGCGGAGAAGTAAGTATTCCAGTCCATCCATCCATCCATCCATTTGGTGAAAGGAAATGAACATGTCGACAGCAGTTCATGGCAGTCAAGTCAAGTCAAGTCAAGTCAAGTCAAAGGTTCTAGCGTCGTCGTCGTCGTCGTCGTTGGCTAACTCAACTGAAGGCACTTCTTACCTGCTTGTCTCCCTCCCTCCCGCTGAGCCTCTCCGCCCTAAAATGGAGGCCGTTCTCCAACGACAAGGACAGGGAAGGAAATTTCCAGCTGGCTGGGGAGAAGTTTACGGGGAGTATATACATATATACATACATGCAAGCAAGCAAGCAAGCAACCGAGAGGAGAATGAGAAAGAATGGCGAGTTGAGATATTTCAATTCAATTCAATTCCAAAAAAGCTGTGGACTCTAAACAATGTCCAACCAAAAAAAAAAAAAAAAAAAAAAAAAAGCAAGGCCGCCGTGGGTATCGTTGTCCGTTGTCTCTACCAATCAATGCGCCCAGAACTCCCATTCCATTCCATTCCATTCCATTCAATCCATCCATACAATACCGTGCCTATTCGAAATACCGCGCAGACGCTCTCGTCGTCCTAATCGCCCGTCGAGTCCGCTCCACCCCCAGAGGATGCCACGGTGAATCCTGCCACACCTGCAAGAAGAACAACACCCCATCAGCACATCTGCAGAGAGACGGAAAATTCCCCTACCAATTCCATGTCCTTGCACTGGCCGCGAAGACGGGGGGTTTCCAGACCAGCTTCTCCGGATCGATGACCCTCTTGCCCTTGATCCGTTCCTTTTCCTTGCGCTTCTCGCGCGCCTTCAGCGCGGCGTCCGTCAGGACCATCACGTGGTTTTTGTTCTGATACCGGACCATGTTCAGATTCTGCAGGGTGTGCAGGATGTCCGGCGTGGTCATTGCGAGGAGACTGCCGATGTCTTCGACCGAGATCATGGTCGGCCCGTTGCCGGTGTTGGCGACGTCCTTTTCGAGGAGGAGGTCGACGATGACTTCCTGCCAGTAGGCACGGTAGCCGAGCAGGCCCAGATCTGAAAGTGGCTTTTCGGGTGAGCCGAGTTTGCCCTCGATCTTGCTGAGCTCGTAGGAGAACTGGATGAGCAGACCACCATACCCTTTCCGCTGGTATTGCGGGAGTGTGAGGATACAGGCAACGTTGTAGCCTTCGGCTGATTCTTTCTCCTTGGAGAAGTAGCCGACGAGATGATGCCCATGCTCAGATCTGACGGTCATGCAGTAGAACAAGAAGGGGTCGACGTCGTAGTACAGGGTCTTGTGGTCCAGGAAGAGCTTGGAGAGCAGACAAAGATTTCGGCACCACGTCCGCTGACGCCGACCATCGATCTCGAAGAAGGAGACATTCTCGTCCCGATAGATCTCGTTGCCAGGTGGATGAAGTAGGTGGCACTTCTTTCGATGTCGGCCAAACTGAAAGCTGCTGCCAAAATAGCATAGACAGAACTCGCAGATGTAGACCATGTCACAATCGGTGAATTCCGCCGGGTAAGGCGAGAAATACCACGGTTCTATCTCGTGCTCGCCCATCTGTATGCGCTCCAGATTCCGGACCCTGCTAATTTCCGTCTGGTTTTGAGTCATGCTGCCTCCAGTGCGGAGCTTCTCGATCTCTTCCTCGCGAGAGTACGGCACGTTGTCAGGAACGGCCTTTGCCTTGACGGCCTGCTCCTGCACGTCGACGAGATCGACAGTTCCATCGTCCGGCTGCGGCGTGGCATCGAGATCCTCCGCGGCAATCGTCGTCGTCGACGGATCCAGGTTCTCTTTGCCTCCCGTCTGCGAGGGCTGTCTGGTGAGTTTGTCGGAGAGATCGGGCACAGCAGAACCTTCCCTGGTGGTAGTACCACTCGTCCCGCTGCGAGGCCGCTTCAGGCCGGTCTTCGTTTGCGCCTTGGAGTCAGCTTTGGAAACCTGTTGATTCTTGGACTGTGCATTCTTCTGTTTATTCTTGTTGTCCGGCTTCTCCGGAATGGGCCACTCGACTTCCTGGCTGAGATCGAGCCGTTCTGCGGAGATCCACTCGTCGAGACGCTTGTTGAACTCGACGTAGTGGACGTAGAAGCGGGGCTGGCCTTTGCGAGTCACTATGGACAATATCTCGGCTTTGCGCACTCCGCCATCCTGTATGAAAGTGTTAGCTGGCTGAAACTTGATTAGTGTCGTCGGGGACCTGGCCTTGGCCTCAGCCAAGCCAGCACGATACCACTCACCTTCTGGACCATAGCCTTGGTGCCGATTCTGTCCAGGATATCAGCGCGAGTCCACGAATACCATCAAGAGCATATGCGCTTTCATGTGACCGGGATGCATACCTTAGCGCCGACAACGTCGCGATGCCCCTCTCGGGCTTGACCTCATCACCGCCGTTTGCGCCACTCTTCCCATCATCGCGAGGCGCCATGATGGGCGCTGAGGTATTCGTGTTATTTGTGCGTTTTGTGCGATTTGTCTGATGGATCGTGGAGGCTCGTGCGGTCGCGATGTGGACGGGTGAAGTTGCGCCCGGAAGTGCGGAGGGAAGCCGCAGCGCTGCCCCAAAAAGTTCAACTCAGCCCTGTGTGCTGTATCCCGACTTGAAGCTTTCACGCCAACACCAACACCTTCCACGCCATGTTGCGGTAGGAAAAAGATGAGCGGTCCGGATTTGAGTCAGGTCTCGAGTAACTGGAAGAGATTGCAGGAGAAGCTGAGGACGGAGAAGAAAGAAAAGCAGAAGCGGGAAGGGGATACTGCGAACAATGGCCTAAAGCGCAAGAGAGTGCCCGAGAAGAGCAGCGCAGCATCGAACGGGCTGAAGAAGGCGAGAGCATCGGGCACGGCGTCGGCAAGGATCGAGAAGAAGCGCAAGATGGGCGGCTATCTCTCCACCTCCACCGCCAGCGAGGATGCCAAGGCGCAGAAAGCATCCAGATTAATCCACGACCACGACATCGATCCCGCCGCAGTCTCAGCAGCATATGGCACTTCGAACGGCAGCACGAAATCTTACAGAGACGATATCAACGGCGGTCTTCACCCAACGAATAAAGTCGGGAAATACATCTCCCTCGACTGCGAAATGGTCGGCACCGGCCCACCACCACACTCGGACAACGTCCTCGCCCGCGCCTCCCTCGTCAATTTCCACGGCGAACAAATCTACGACTCCTACGTCCTGCCCCCGCCGGGAATCAAAGTCGAAGACTACCGCACCTTCGTCTCCGGCATCAAACCCCACCACCTCCGACCCGGCTACGCGAGGCCTTTCGCCCAAGTCCAGAAAGACGTCGCGAACTTGTTGGATGGGAGGATTTTGGTGGGGCATGCTCTGAAGAACGATCTGAACACCCTCCTGCTTTCGCATCCGAAGCGGGATCTGAGGGACACGAGTCGACATCCCAAATTCCGGATCGAGAGTCGGGGCAAACCGCCTGCGTTGAGGAATCTGGTCCAGGCGGAATTGGGGCTGCAGATTCAGACGGGAGAGCATTCTTCGGTGGAAGATGCCCGCGCGGCAATGCTGTTGTTTCAGAAAGAAAAGGCCGGGTTCGAGGAAGAGAACCGGAAGCATTTCGGACAGAGGACGAGGCCTGGGCCTGGGAGAGCTGGCGGGAAGAGCAGGGACATCACTCCCAGTATCGACGATGAAGACGAGGACGAGGAAGAGGATGCGGACGACGATCTGGATCTTCTGCACGGCGAAGATGAAGCGGGACTCGCAGACGAGCTCCCTTCCGCAAGCAGATCCACGCAACCCAAGGCCAAGAAGCGCAAGAAGAAGAAGCGAACGAAGCGGACGTGAGGTTCGAACTATAGGTAGATCCGGTCGCACGAAATTTCTAGTACTCCCTATCCAGGGGTGCTGCCACCCACAATGCGTCTATATCTTCTTTCCTTTCTTTCTTTCGTACTTTCCTGCCGCTCACGACATTCGCGAAAGGTAATATGTGCTACCGCCGAGAGAAGGGTATCTCCAAAAGACCTCGACCTCTATATCCCAATCCCAATCCCAATCCCCCAACACCAAAGCTAACGCTGCCTTTTTCGTTTCATGTCGTGACTTTCTCTTCTCTTCTCTTTTCTTCTCCTCTCTCCCTCTTTCTCTCTTCATCCCCATCCCCCCCCCCTCTATCCCATCACCTACCTTACAAGTTACAACGGCACATCCTCCATCATCTCCACGGCCCCCTCCCTGCCCACCGTAACAATCACATCCCCCAGCGTCTTGGTCTGAAACCCGGCCTCGCAATACGCAAAATAATACTCCCATTTCCGCCGGAACACCTCCACCTCCTCCTCGGACATGCGCTTCCCCTCGCGCTTGCGGAACTCGCTCAGCAGCGCCGGCTTGATCTTGAGCGCGAAATGCTGCATGAAACTCTGCCGCCATAGTCTCAAAGTCTTGGAATAGTGGGGTCCGATGTTTTCGACGCTTTCGGGGATGAGGCGCGGTTCGATGTGCTTTTTGGGATCCGAGGAGCCGGAGCGGATGGCGGCGAGGAGTTGCGTGGTGGTGGGCAGGTGGCCGCCGGGGAAGATGTAGCGGCGGATGAAGTCGTCCGTGGTGGCGTAGACGGCATACCGACTCTCGGGGATGGTGATGCATTGGAAAACGGCAATGCCGCCCTCGCGCTTCAGCAGCCGGTCGACGCAGCGGAAGTACGTTTCCAGAAATTCCGCCCCGACCGCCTCGAGCATTTCGATCGAGACGATCTTGTCGTATTTCTCGCCTTCTTCGCTGGGGATCGGGAGGCTGCGGTAGTCGCAGAGGAGGACTCGGATCTTGTCCTGGTAGCCCGCGGCGGCGATGCGGTCTTCGGCCAGTTTCTTCTGCTCCGCGGACAGGGTGAGGGAGGTGACGCGACAGCCCGTCTTTTCCACCGCCAAAATGGCGAAACTGCCCCAGCCCGTGCCGATCTCGAGGACGTGATCTGTGCCCTTGATGTGTGCGTTCTGGATGAAGCGGTTCAGCTTGCGGGATTGTGCGCCCTCCAACGTCTCCTGCGAGGCCTGCGGGTCGGATTTGGGGAGCCAGATGGGACAGCTGTAGGTCATGTCGGGGCTGAGGAAGGCGGCGAACATGTCGTTGGAGATGTCGTAGTGCGCGGAGATGTTGAGGCGAGCGTTCTGGAGGGTGTTTGTCTTGCGGAGGAGGTACGAGACCTTGCCGGCCACGTTGGAGGAAGCGGTGGTGCCGTTGCTCAGGTGCGCTTTGTTGACGATGAAGAGCTTGAAGAAGGCTGTGAGGTCGGGACAAGAGACTTCTCCCAGCATGTACGATTCTGCGAAGCCCATGTCTGCGAAGAGGAGCAGGCGGACCCAGAAGAGATCATTGAGAACTTTGAGCTCGGCGTGTGGTACGGAGTAGACGGATTTCTCGCTTTCGCCATTGTCGAGATGGTCCGCTACGCGATTCACACTCCCACATATCGTGATCGATCCGTCGGTGTCTGTGATGTGGAGCGATCCCACTTGGATGTTGCGAAGCAAGGTAAGAATGGCTCCTCGGGAAAACGAGAGCAGTGGCGGCCATGCGAACGATCCAGCATAGGACGCGAGCGCGTAGGCTCGCCCAGTCAAGGTCATGATGAGCAGCGTGGGCCCAAGATACCTCGAGTATGTACAGCGAAAGAAGAGACGCGCTGGGAGGTGTGTGCGGGGACGCAGAGAAAGAGAGAGGAGGCCATAATTAATTTGGCGGTCGGGAGAGCAAAGGAAGAAGTGCGAGAGTGGATGATCTCACCTTAGCTCTTGGGTCACTCTAACCAGTTGCGGCGGAGAGTGCGAAGAATGGGCGGAGGGGCCTCCGAGCTATCGACGGTGTATCCATGGATTGGAGGCGCCGAGCGAAACGTGGTGGCATTCGGTGGAGGATTTACTTGGAGAGCGTCATCGATTTGGTGCTACGGCCATCCGGGTCCCACTTGAGACGGTGGCACAGTGGTGAGCCCCACCCGTTGAAGGCGGCTCGTTGTCTGGCACTGCAGGCACCGAACGGCCCGACGGGTTCCTGCTTTGCTGCGAAATTCTATCTTGCGCAAGTTCATTCACTCGCATTGGCCTTTAGCCTCTCGCTCATCTTGCATGTGACTGCGCACGGATTATTGTCTTGCTGACGTTGTGAGTATCGGTGACCGGCAGCTCCAGGACCAGGACCGGGACCAGGATCAGGGGTCTCCGATCTTGTGTCACTATCGCTATCTTGGCGCGGAGATCCGAGATTGGCGGTCAACTCCCGTCCTTCTCTTGGCAGGCACATCCGAGCATCTTCGACTTCACCTCTGTGACCTCTTCGCTTGTCTGTCTCGTGCTTCGGATTGTTGGTCACATCTGGGCTCTATTGGCGATGAAGTGGTCTGCTGGGCGACGTCGACTGTTCTCATCACCTCGTGATCCCGTGCTGCCCACCAAATCCAGTTGCCTCGATTCAGGGCTGGGAGAATGAGAAAGGATCAGTGCCGAATCGCTACAGACGATAGGGAAGACTGTGCGCCCAAGATGAGAAGTTTTCGAATTCCAGAGCGATGATCGCGCTGACGAATTTCTCTCGCTCGCTGGAATTCGAAGACCGAGAAGATACCAAAGCTCGACGGGCCTCGATCACGGAGGCTGCACAAGAAGTTCCGTCCAGCATCTCGACTGGATCTTGCAACATTGTTTGGAGTACTGTTAACACGCGCTGGCAGTATCGTCGATTCTCGCTCGCGGCGCGCAGACGTTGGGCGGAGTGAAAATCAAACGCGGTGACGAGTTCGTAAGACAGTGGCGTGCAGATGGAGAGAACAACTGTTCCATGGCTTTGATTCGGCTGACGGCCCACAAGTGCCCTCTATCGCCAAAACAAAGGTAGTCCTCACGAATGGAGGGAATGGACACGATGAAGTTTATATCTGTCTGCGCAGACGCCAAGCCACCAGCTCTGACACACAAAACGCAACGCCATCGCGAGGACGCCAAGACCCATCTCGAGCAAATCCAGAAAGACGACATTCAATCAAACCCATCATCAGATCGAAAAACAAAACGAAACATCAGGAGAGGAAAGCACGAATGCTCTAATCGTACAACCTTGCGCAACGAGATCTGCTCGTCTTCAACAACCAAGAGATCAACGCCGGTCTAACAAGCTGGCATTGGAATACCTTGCAATAGAACAATTTGCTTGTCCGATACATGCGACCGTCTCAAAAATCATGTCTAAAGCTTCAAACGCACGCGAGCCGAGCTGACCTTGTGCCGAGCATTGACCAACCCTGCCCTGTCCGACAGCGACGATGCGGCACACATGACATTCTCTATAGCTCGTCATCTCCGCCAACAGCGTGGCAAGATGATTCGATCACCCTCATCATGTCCGCAGACAAGTCTGGTATGCGCAGCGCTTCTTCGATGATTCAAAAGGCCGTGAAAAGCGGCTCGAGGCCTGGCATTTCTAGAGATACCCTTGGGAAGAGAGAACGTGGGCTGGAAGACTCAAGGCCATCGCAGACAATGGCCATGCTGTATGGAGTCGCTGGGCAGCGGATTACGAGGAAATACTGACAACCTCAGATTTGGTAAAGCTGGGGTTGGCGAGGGCTATGGGGAGAAGGATCATGCAGCTTGCTTCGCTTGTGAGTGTGTACCGTAGCACCCCACGAATGAGTGTAGTGCTTCTTTCCTTCTTAGCAGTCTACAAGTCCTATCTTCAAATCTGTCGACTGTTGTACGCTGCCAACACACACCCGTCTCCAAAGCACTTCTCGATCCCATTCAGTCGGACTGGAGATTCAGCATCGGGCGAAACCCAGAGATTTGCGACGAAGCGAAGACAGGTAAAGATGGGCCTGTCGGTGGAGATCTAGCCATGGTGTCTTCTGAACAGACGGGAGCTTGATGGTTGGTATTCTGCCGCCACGCCATGAACAGCGCACGCTCCCTCGAGGAGGCGCAGAAAGAAGTGAAGGATAGGCCAGGATCTGCACCGCATGGGTGCTCTGCCTCTTGAGGTGTTATTTGGATCCATGAGATGGGACACTATGCTCGAAACAGTACGTCGGCTCGCTGCCAGTTGGGCACGGGATCAGACGCTCACATGTGAGGCAATGGACGATCCAAACGCGAGCACTGAGATTGGGGAACTCTAGAAGGAGGACGAAGGCAATGTATTACCAGTTTTGAATACGTTGGCTGCGGTCCACTCTGCACGCTTTCGGCTAAAAGTGGCTTTTAAGTCGCCTGGAAATTATGCTCTGTCTTGCTGCTGTAATAAGCACTGCACTCCGTAGTAGTTCTAGGGAACTAGCAAGGCGAGGACTTAGCCGGCGTCGAAGTCTGTGATTGATGACATGGAGCGATTTGAATCTAGTCTTAAGTGATGCAGTGCTACGATTTTGAACTCTGGTGGCGTGTATATTATCACTTACGAGGATAACGAATAGGGAATACTAATCTTTAAAGTCGAAGAGTGATTGAATACTCACCTGTTCAATTATCGATTCGAAACAGAGTGGACAGAGCATTTACTATACACCAGAATGTGTCAGAATCGCTCATCAGTATAGCATCACGATTGTATATTGCAATTACTAATCATTCCAGCCTGGCTCTTCGACACGAAGCATGTAATGCAACACTTGTATTCAATCCCATCACTTTATGCTAAGGTACCCCAGAACCCTAAGCAAGCAACAACCCTAAACCCGCCCCACCACTCACAGCCATCACGCATCACGACGGGACGCGCCTCCCCCAACTTCAACGCGTCCCACACCTCCCCAACACTCCAACCAACCAACCAACCAACCAAGCAACCAACCCAATCCTTTCCGATTGACAGAGAAAAAAAAAATGCTCTCCCTCCCAACTCCCACCACCTCCTCCAAACCCCTCAAGGTCAAACCAAACCTCCTCCCCTGCACAATCCACCATTCCGGCCCCATCAAAATCTCAAAACGCCATTGGAACCCTTCTTCTTCCCAACAAACCTCCTCCTCCTCCTCCTACCTCCGAGGCCGCGCACTCCTCGGCCAAGAAATCCACCTGCCAAAAGGCTACACGGGCGCCATCCTCCGAAAAACGGGCGAGGTTGACAAACTACAGCAAAACGAGCAAGAAGAGGAGGAAGAAGAAGAAGAAGAAGCAGAGGAGACGGTGGAAGTCAAGAAACTGGAACAAGTGGGCAGATTCGAAGAGATCGTGGTCTGGGGCCATGAGACGGCGCCGGGAGGGGAGGATGTGTATATCAAGGGGATACGGGAATGGATTGGGTTTGCGGAAGCGGTGAGTTTGGGGGAAACATCCAACACCTCACTCAACTGTTTCTCCCATAGAAACTGATAGATGCAGATGAATACCCACGACGAGCAACCACGCGAAGACACTACGACGTGAGCAAGTGAATAGAAGAAGAAGAAGAAGGAGGAGGAGAAGAAGACGACACGGAAACGGTGATGAATGGAGCACGCCATCGCATTGCCATTGCCGCACTACTACCAGCAACATCGACCGCCGAAATCGCAGCCCTCGCGCCCATCCTCATATCTTCGATCTGGTCTAAAACGCAGGGGAAGAACTCGAGTTCTGTATATGATACAGGCCTGATGAAGAAGAAGAAGAAGAAGAAGAAGAAGAAGAAGCAGACAAGAACGAGCACCTCTTCTTTCTATGCCATCCCACCACCCTACCGCCGTCTCGCCGGAGAAAATGCGTAAAGCCATGATCCGTGTGCTCAAGGGGGGAAAGTCCAACGTTTCGACCTGCTCGTCCGCTGCTACTGCTTCTGCTGCTGCCGCTCCTCGCTGCAATGCAAGATATCCGTAGACCTGTCTGTTTTCGCTTACCACTACTGCTCTTGGGTCGTTACAAGAAGTAATCTGGCGTTCGACGGGAGACCATTGGTTCACCGGCGCGTGGGCAGGGATCGAATTGGAGGCTATGAACAGTGTCAGCATAACGTGCAGCAAAACGTCAAAGGCGAGCACGGCGCTCGGATAGTCGTACAAGGTGTATTTCAGGTGCTCATCAATCTCCATGATGGCGGCTTGGTTTCCGCAGCGGTAACAGTAGTTCGGTGCTGTCAATAACGTTAGCCAGACAAGATTGTGAAAAGTCCCGCGCTTCACTTTACCTGAGAATATCGTCACCACGTTCCTGTCCTGGCTCCAGTTGTATCCTTCCATCACCAACTGATGCGCACGCGCAACAAGCGTGAGTCCGTTGTTGTGGTTAAACGCCTCGCTGATGTCCTGGCCGAACGTGTACCCAGCTCCTCTTGGACTGATTCCCCATCCACATCTGTCGTCCGGATCCGACCAGAGCAGGTCGCACATGGGACCTTCGTGCGGCACCTCCTGGATGCGGTCGAGGGCACGGATGTTGTCAAGCGTGTCGATGCTGGGCGAAAGACCTCCGTGCAAGCAGAAGATCTGGTTGTCAATGAGTGCCGTCAGGGGCAGGTAGTCGAAGAGATCGGTGAAGAACTTCCAGACATTCGCATTGCCGTATTTGCGCAGGCACTCGTCGTAGAAGCCGTAGACCTGGGTGATCTGTCTACTCTCGTGATTGCCGCGGAGGATGGTGATACGCTGCGGGTAGCGGATCTTCAGCGCGACGAGCAGCGTTACCGTCTCGACCGAGAAGTATCCACGGTCCACATAGTCGCCCATGAAGAGGTAGTTGGTGTCCGGATTGGGGCCACCAATCTTGAAGAGCTCCATCAGGTCGTGAAACTGGCCGTGGATGTCGCCGCAGACGGTGACGGGGCACTTGACGGGCTGCACGTTGGACTCGTCCTGGAGGACCTCGCGCGCCTTCTCGCACAGCCGCCGCACGTCGTCCTCGGCCAATTGCTTGCAGGCCATGAGCGACTCGATCCAGCCGTCGAGGGTGGGTATTGAGGGCGGGTCGACGACGGCGCCCAAGCTGTGCTCCACCTTCCCAGCGTCCTCCATGTTCGTATCCACGGGCTGCCTCAGCGCGGCAGCCTCCATCTCCGCGTGTTCAACGTGATTGTTTTGGTATGAGTTGCTTCGGCGACGTCGCGGCTCTGCGAGCGCGATTGTACGGGTGTTGCGAGAGCGGCGAGTGAGGCGGGAGGTGCGCAGGAGATTAGCCCTGTCTCAGTGGAGCAGATCAGATGCAATGGCGTGCGCGGGTGTCGGGTGGTCTGGGTATCAAGAATGGCACTAGAGTCACGTGTATCGCGGAGTCGAGTGTAGAGCAGGTGCTGGCGGCGAGAAGTTGTTGTGTGGTGGTGTTGTAGTCGACTTGTTTCTCCGCTGGGAGGTTTCTGTTGTTGTAGGGCAGGAGCTGCGTCACAGAATCTCCAAAGGCTTGGCGTCCAACCCTGGCACGCGACAGGTACCATGCAGCGACATTCTTCAGATACACAGGAGACGGGAATATGGTAGTGCTTTGATTTGGGATTCATCCACGAAAACATGTATATCGCTCTAATAAGTCTAGCGAGGCGCAGACGGGAATCGAAAGAAGTACTCGCATCCCAAAGCAAACATTCGCCAAACAGCAGGGAAAGCTCGGACCAGCGTCTCACCCACCCCTCCCCTTTCCCTTCGCATTCGTGCCGCGCGACGCTGGCAGACTGGGGAAAGCATCTGCTCCTGCACTCTGCTTGCTCTGCTCCTCAGCCAGGCTCAGTTGCAGTGCAAAGTCGAGATCAGCCATCTCATTGTTCGGCTTGCTGGACCCGGCGAGGAACGGCGAGACACGGGGCGAAGCTCGGGCAGACGAACCCTTCCGGTGCTTTGGCTTTGCATGACGAATGGGAATGTCGTATCCCGTAGCAGGTGAAGTAGCGAGACTTTGACGAATCGCTTCTGCAATGTCTGCATCCAGCTCGTCATCGGTCTTCGGAGTCGGCAGTCGAGGCGATGGAGAGTCCGCGGGGGTAGGGTCCACGCTGCTGGCCACAGTGCCGGTACCAGCACTCACGTCTGACTGACGGCGCATGTTCTCTTGCTCTAGAGTCTCTTGACTCAGCATAGCAGCATACGCCATCATCTCTTCCTCGCTACCTCCGAGTAGCTCTGTTCCAAATCGCCCTGCAAAGCGCTGAGACTCTTTCTTGCGTTGCTCCTTTTCGCGGTCCAGCTCAAAGCGCTCGTTGGCTATGTAGTCTTTGAGGTTGCTTCTTACAGCGCCAGAAAAGCGTTCGCCGCCGTTGTTGCTACCTCTCTCGGAGCGACGCAGCTTGCGCTTCGACGACTTGTACTGATCAGCAGCAGAAGAGCTGTAAGACCAGTAGCGAAGGTGGGTGCCGAGAGATACCATCCCACGCAGGACGGTGGAGTCTGGGTCCAGACATATTGCACCGGCAGCGAACAGATTGATGCCAACGCCCTGCGGGGAAGCCTGAGCTTGGACAAGTCTCCGCCTGGCTCGAGATGAGAAGCGCGAGTTGAGGGTTCGGATGGGCGAAGTGTCGGAAGCCAATGGATCCCAGGCTTGAACAAGACCATCATTGCCGCCGTGGACAAGGTATAGTGAGGACAAAGCCAGACAGGAGATCTGTGGAGAATCGGTGTGGATGATGCGGACCGGCTCAACGGTATTCACGCTCTCAACTGAGCGTGAGACGGGTGCGCGGATATCCCACAGAAGCACAGATCCAAGCATTGTGCCAGCCGCGAAAAGTCGTGCTCTCTGCCCGGGGACATCGCTAGGGCTCATGCTAGAATTTTTTCCAGGCAAGGGAGTGAGCGATGGCGAGGAACTGGCTGACTGCCCAGTAAAGCCGAGTAAGGGGTCTTCCGAGGTTGTCAAGGTGGCAAATGCCGACTTATCAATGGCAGTAGCCATGATCTGGACCTGCTTGAGACCACCAAGCGAATAGACGGACGTGCGCCACTCCTCTGTCATCGGGCGTGGGGTAATAGATCCGGTCAAGTCATCCTGGGCCAGCGAGTCTTCCAGTCTCTCGAACGATGGACCAGATGCTGGCGATAGCGCGGGAGAAGCTGCAGCGCCGAAAAGGGATGGTGGGCTCGCGGGTTCCGTGCTGCCAGTGGTCAACGGAGGCGTGGAAGTGGAGTCTGCTGCAGCTTTCTCGTGGAAGCGAGTACGGCTGTATCGCTTGACGGCAGACATGCCATCTTCCTCTAGACCACATTCAAATACAACCAGATTCTCGCCAGCATTGCTGCCATCGTCCCCCGCAAAGTCGACTTCGAGCTTCCGCCGCATGTCCCATCCAGAGCATGTCTTCTGGAAGTCTTTTGGCTTGCGCTGGGCAAATGCTTCGACTTCACGCGTCTCTGCCTGGATTTGGTCTTTGCTGAGGCACATGCCATTCCAGGAAGAGCGAGGAGAGTAACTCCCGTCGACAGTTGCATCTGCGTAAGGGTCGAGTTTCGCAACACGCCTGCTAGGTTCGATGGCGTTCCAGTAGACAGTTCTGCCCGTGAGCCATGCAGTCCGTTCTAGCGACTCGTCGTCAAGACGAGTGCCGCGTTCCACATGTGGGCGCTTTGGAAACTTTGTCAAGTAAAAAACCTCACCCAATGCGTTGAGGGCGACGGCCCATATACGGTTCTGCGCCTGACGTTTGAGGCTGTACTCATTGTCAACAGCAAGTGCGATTATCGGCACACCCGGACTCAGCACCCAGCGAGCAGTCATCTCACCGCGGCCGAAGCGCTGATCGCGATTGTTGCCACCGTTGATCGAGCCGAGACTGTACGCTGTGAGAACGCCCGCGGATGATCCAGAAAGAATGCCGATGAGTCCTTCGGTGAGTGATGGAATCGCAGCAGACTTGGCAATCCACACCGCAGTGATAGCCTCAGTACTGGACAGGATCTTGGGGATACCAAGCTCAGGTACAGACATCACGGAGGAGAAAGGCAAAAAGCGACCACGCATCTCTTCAGTTGACCGGTAGTAAGTCATGCCTTCGGGAGATCCTTCACCTATTACCATACCGAAGGGTTGGCTGACGTCCATGGGATTTGGGACACCAACTAGTTCGCCAGGGCCAAGTCCGTACTGGTCATCGCCTGGGAACCTCTCCGCGAATTGGAGGAAGAAATGAGGATCAGACAGTCCCCAGGAGTCGACTTTTGCGAGATTTGGGTCGCTGCTAGTGGCTGCACCTGTGTCATCCGCGCCATGAATGAAGCGAGGAAGGCGCTTATTCAACCCGGTCCCGAACGTGGCATGAATGTGGTTGATGGTGGTGAAAAGCTGTGAGTTGTACATGACAATGGGAGCCGGATTGCTGGCGTGTCCAGAACGCGGCGACTGGGGCGTCGGTGGAGCCTGGACCGGCTTACCACGGGAAAGAGACCGCAAAAGGCGAGTACGCATGATGTACTCGCTCCTCCACGACGCAAGTGCCGTGAGCCGTGCGAAAGCACGCCTGTCCGACTTGACGACAGTCTGAGTCTCCTCATCAGGGTCTTCGTGGGCTGGATTGATCGAGTTTGGACCTGGAAAGTAACGAGCGAATGCGGTTCGCCATGCATGCGGCCCAGTGACAAGCCCATGGAGGCGCTTGGAGACGAGGGATACAGAGGCCAGATCTGAAGGAGCAAGATGCGCCAACGCATGTGTCAAGACCTCTGCTGAATGTTAGCGACCATGTTGTCCTCCATATGTGCACTTGTGTAGGAACCGACCATTCGGCAATTCCAATACAGGCGAGCGCTTATCATTCGGATTCCGTTGCTTCTTGATGACTTCGAACGCAGGCCCTTCTCTTCTCCTCACGGGAGGTGTAGACGCCTTCTCGTATTCGTCGATTCGGTTTCGCGCCGGCGGCGAGGGGGTGTTGCGCGAGCTCAGTCTCCGGTCTTGATTCGGTTGAGCAGGGCCGTCCGATTCCTGCAGCGATGCAGCGAGGGCCGCGTCGAGCGCAAGCTGGTCGGTGGACGTTGCGGTTGTCGTCCCTGCATCAGCGCTGCCTGCTGATGACAGGGAGACGAGAGGATGGTGGTCGTGAAGGCCATGCTGGGGAGACGGATCGCGTTGAGTCAAGTTCTCGGTATCTTCTTGTTCGGAAATCGCAGGATACTCGGGGTGCATAAAACGTCTGGTGGAGGTTTGAAGGGCTCTGTGGGACTGAACCAGAATTTGCTGGATCAGTCAATTTGCGCGTCGGGGGCTTGCGAGAGCGTGTGGCGTGTTCGTGTTGTCGTGAGGAAGAAAGTCCGAGTGACGTGTTGGTTGGTGCAAGCCGGAGCAATTTCCGGGCACGATCGGAGCTCGGAATCAACCGGATGTGCGATGTGGAGTCACTCACTTGATTATGTGCTAGCTTCTTGGCGTTTGCATGTGTTTGACAAGTCGAAATGTCTCCAGAAGCAATCACAATACTCTCGGAGCAGCTCCTTTGATTCATTCAGAATCAACGCAAAGAAGAAGATCAATTGGCGTAACGTTTCAGATCGTGGTTTTGGACTGTGAAGGTGACGGTATTTGGAAGCGGTCGTTTTTCGGTTTGCAAGACATGCGTGGCGCTCGTCATTAATTTCTTGCTACTCTTCATGATATCAGGAATGGCCAGAGCGGAATGACTTCGTTGCAAGCTTTTGACCAGAGCGGTACCAAGCTCGACATCTACTCAGTCGGAGATCCCTATCCAACTACCACACACAGAAGTTTCAAAGGATCGTCATTCCAAGACATTGAATCTAGTACAGCCACAAGCAGATCTGAGAACACCTTTGTCCGTGCGGTCTTCCAGAAACTCCACGCAAGCCAGCGACATCGAAGCCTACGGAAGCCGCATATCACATGCTGAGGGAGTGACGTGTAATCGCACCTGACACTCGTTCACCCGTCCACAAGTAGCCGCGACAACACAGTTCCCAGCCGCAGGATATGGTTGCAGCCTGTCCATATCATGCGACTGCCATACCCCGCGCTCATCTTCCGAGTCTCGGCTCACCTTTCTCAAACATTTGACCCGCTAAGTCCACTCTCCGGAAACTGCGATTGGAGGCAACAGAACACCAACAACACCGAGTCGAAATCGATCTGCGCCCTCGAACTACCTGGAGCGAGCAGCCACGGTTCGCCCGCAATGGCGGCAGAGTCAACCGCGGAAGCCTTCATGCGCCTGGATCGTCAGCTTGCGGAGGAAGAAGAAGAGCTGCAGCGAATTAAGGATTTTGCGGCAGCGACAGCTGAAGCGGCAGAGCAGGCCAGAATCTATGCAGCCAGGACAAATGATGTTGTGGGAAAGAACCGGAAGTCGATAGGCCAGAGGAAGAGACGACTGGTAGAGCTGGAGGATGCGCGAGATGCTCGCAAAGTGGCAGAGTTCCAACGCTTGTTGAATCCCTTGGGTGAGTTGTTGTATGCTTGCGCGCAGTACTTGAACCAACATGAGTATACAGAGCTCGAGACACTGGATTCAACAGCCGGACGCACGAGAAAAGCTACTAGCACTGTGGCGGCTTCCAGTATGTCATACCCAAATGGTCGTCTCTCACCGGCGCGAAATGTGGGTGGGGGAGCCGCACGAGCTATGAAAGGACAGAAGGCCTTGCCTGCCGTTGTCAACAATGGCACAGGGAATGGTGAAGACGAGGACGTTGAAGAAGAAGTGCAAGTGGGGCCGCCCAAGAAGAGACGTAGGAAAATCTCCTTGTCTACTCACAGCGAGATTGTAGTAGCTTTAGGACCTACTCGTCCTTCGCCTGAGCGGGAGACAACGAGCAAGCGGAAAGACACGATATCGACTGAACAGCTACCGCGTATACCCGAGGCTCCGCTTTCTTCGGCGTCCGTCGCTGAAGCTCAAGTCCAAGCTGCCAATACGGAACGAACGCAACCCAGAGCAGATGAGTCTCAACAAGCACAGATAAAGTCAGCGCAGGCTACAGTCAGTCAGCTCGGAATCATCGGCGCCACCTCCCCTCAGCCAAATATCATCCCTCCTGACCCCATTCCGGCTCGCTCAATGGCGACATCGAGCAGCGGCCTTTTCGTTCGGGAACAATGGGTGCGTAAATCGCAGTCTGACTCGGAGAAATCGTTGTTTGAAGACACTCGTCCTGTATATGTTTCAGGACCACGAAAGGTCGAGAATAAGATGGCCCAGGTGTCCGAGGAGAATATAGCGGCCAGCGGTGAGCAGACCTCTCCACTTCGAGATTCAGGTGAGCCTTGTCAATAGCTGCGAGGTCTTGAGAACACTGCTGACTTACTTCGATGTTGGTAGGCTACGGTCGTACGCCCTCCAATCCTATGACAGCGGCGCCCCCTCCTGACGCGGTGGTTATGGCCGACGAGCCTGCGGCGGAAGATCACAGCGTGGACTCCAGCCTGTTTGGAGAGGGCAAGAGCGTTTCCCTGCCAGCAGAGACGGGCAGAAGCCAAGAGGACGCACCAATGCTGATGCAGGGCCATTCACGCCAACGTCACCGCCGGTCGAGGAGCAGCACTGGCCTGTTCGTTAGTGAGCGGAGCCCAACTCCATCACCACATCGGCAGTCAGGCACGAATGACTCCCAGTCATTCATGAAGGGGCCAGCATCGAGGCAAGATACCACTAGCACGTCCGAGAAGCCAGCCCGAGGGAGGGAGCGAAAGTCTCGCCGCAAGAAGGTCCCAGGCGCACAAGTGAATTCCATGGTGTCGGATGCTCTTCTGGAGAAGTATAGATGACAGCAGCTTGTATTGTTCTGGCGAAGACGGATCTGGGCGAGATTGATGATGTTTGATGTTTGTTGTCATTGTTGAAGTTCCATGGGAGACAGGGTGAAGTTAACCTTGTAGCTGGCCCAAGCACCACGCTAGTGATCTTGTACACCGTTCTATACTGATCCAGCATCCTTTCACCACGTCAATGGACCCGGCAGTGGCCCTGGAACACTATCATCTCATCTAGAATCTCCATGTAGACGCCGATGGTCATGCTCACGACGGTTCTCTTCGCTTAGCACAACTCTGCAGTAGCATCAGAGATCAGGCTTGGCCCGCTCATGCAAAGACAACGAAGCAGTATGCCATGGACAAGACACTGCTGAAATCATCGCGATACATGTTTGCTTGATGGGCCCCTTCAATCTCTGACGAGACGACGGCCATCGATGAGATGGAAGGTGCTTCCAGCCATCCCAGGAAACCACATTTGTGTCGCTCTTTGACCATTGAAAATCAGATGACCCTCGGTCACAATAGATAAGTGTCTTAATCGCCGCAAAAGCCCGTCCACAAACACCCTTTACCCGCAATGTGCGTGGGACTAGTCGTCCTCAACCAGGTTCACGAAGGCTCATAAGCCTCGCTACGATCCCTGAAATCCGACATAAATATCCTCCAAAGTGCTCAATCAATATGCTCTTTCTCCCTAGATACATATACATCAAAAGACAATCTTGCACTCCTCTCGAGCCTGCAGAACCACTTGAGTTGGAGTGAAGCTGGAGAAATTGCTGGGTGATTCTTCGAGGCAGATCGAAAGATGTTCGCTCAACAACAGACCTATCAGTCCGAACAAAACCAACCATTCTATGATTATGGACCGTTGTGTCAAGATCTTCAATTTAGTCCGTCTTCATAGAGAGATAGTCCGTGGGAAGTGAAGGTATATTCGAGCTGTGGAACCTGAGAATTTGATATGCCCTGGGACAAAGTCGCTCGTACACCTTTCATACTTTGATTCTCAGCGAAGAGCTTCTGTGGTTAGATAATGTATGTGCGCCGTTTTCAATTGACACTGTAAGGTACGTTCGCAAGTTCCCGCAACTTGTAAGGCAACAAGGCCGAAATGCGAGCGGCTGAACTTTCTTCCGAGCATAGTTGATTTCTCAGGTATGACTAGAAGAACAAAGCCCTCCCGAATGACTCGCTCGACTCACTCATACCACAACCGCCAAGCTGAAGCTCTTTCGCTCTCGGACAAAGCTCGTCCGAGCTGCACACTCGAGTCATCGAATCCAATACCAAGCCGCGTGGCCTCAATTCCGTATTACTGGACCTGCTAGGACGTTTCGATATTCAAGACCGTTCGCGATCATGGCAGCGACTCAACTGGACGACAAGGCCAAGAACCTGATCGAGAAATCCTACCCACAAGCAAAAGATGCCGGCGAGGATCCAGCGAAGCTCTCTTCCGCCATCTTTTCTGCTGTCGAGGTAGGCACACGAGCTTTTCAATACCTTCACATGCATCTACTGACAGTTCCAAGTACTCGCCCACTGAAAAGACTGAGATTGAGCAATGGCTCATCACTTCATCTCACATTGCGTCTCCCTCCGAAGACAGCGCCAAGACCGCCGAGCGCCTCTCGAACCTCAACACCCACCTCTCCACTCGCACCACCCTTCTTGGCTCGAAGCCCAGCGTAGCTGATGTTGCCATGTACTCCCGTCTGGCTCCGGTGGTGAAGGGTTGGAGCGCAGAGCAGCGAACTGGAGAGCAAGGATACCACCATATTGTGCGACATCTCGACTTTGTTCAAAACGCGCCTCTATTCGACTTGAAGGTCGCAGATGGAGAAAATGTGGACATTGATCCGAACAACGTAGTCACCAAGATCAAGCCGATTGATGCCAAGGCTGAGAAGGAGCGCAAGAAGAAGGAGAAGGCTGCTGCGGCTGCAGCGGGAGCGGATGGTGCAGCAGCTGCAGGAGGAACAGTCACATCGGCAGCGAGCGAGGACGCGAAGAAAGCTGAGAATCAGAAGCCTAAGAAGGAGAAGGTGAAGGATCTGGGCGAGAAGGTCGCCAGTGCTGTCGGTGCTGAAGTTGGCGGTGTTGAGAAGAAGGAGAAGCCAAAGAAGGAAAAGCAGCCCAAGCAGCCCAAGAATGCTCCCGCGCCGGACAAGCCCTTCTCCCCTGCACTCATCGATCTACGAGTAGGACACATTCTCAAGGCCGTCAACCACCCAAACGCGGACTCCTTATACGTCAGCACCATCGCAGTGGGCGATCCACCAGGCACGGACAACACCTCGGAATACGAGGGCAAGATCGTCCGAACCGTCTGCTCAGGTCTTAATGGACTCGTTCCTCTGGAAGAAATGCAAGGCCGCAAGATCGTCGCTGTCTGCAACCTCAAGCCTGTAACTATGCGAGGCATCAAGTCTGCAGCGATGGTGCTGGCCGCATCACCGCGTGTAGCACCGGGAGAGGATGACCACCACGCAGGCCCAGTCGAACTCGTAAACCCACCAGCCGATGCTGAGGCAGGTGAGAGGGTATACTTCGAGGGATTCGAGGGCGAGCCGGACCCTGTGCTGAACCCCAAGAAGAAAGTATGGGAGGACAACCAGGTTGGCTTCACGACCACGGCGGATAAGGTCGTTGCCTTTGAACCGACGAAGGTGGAGAAGTTGAAGGACAGCGGGAAGACGGACGTTGCGTTGCTGAAGACGAAACAGGGTACTTGCACTGTCAAGACCCTGACTAATGCTACTGTGCGATGAGCGTTCACGATGAAGCTGAGGCTGAAGCATGTCAGAGGAGAGAACGGTGGTCACAACAGGCCCCAACGTGCCCGTGGCGATGAGAAGCACGAAGATGCAAGATTTGTTGAGGCAAACGGTCAATTGAAGCTAAAAAAAATTGGCGATAAAGCTAAGTACAGCGAAAAGCCCACTTCGGCAAATGATCAAGAACTCCCGGATAAATGAACCGAGAGACAGAGCAAATAAGCCATCACGCTCCGACCCATCTCTCTTGTCATCACTTCATCTCGCTTTCGTCGGCGACCGGAACGGTATGCTCGGCCGCCTCCTGACAGCCTGACTCAACGTTCCATGCTCTCGACTGACAGTCCTCGTCAACGTCTTCAGATCTCTCGGGATCCTTAGCGAGCTCTCGCTCGACGTCCACGTTGCTTCTGAGCTGCGTTTCAAGATATCGAGCTGCGGCTCATCTCCGTAGTGGAGTCGTGCCTGCGAGGTTTCGGGGACGGCGCTGTCGCTGTCGGGTACCTGGACTTCTTTGGGGAAGTATTGTGAACGAGCATAGTGACGGTCGCTGGTTCGTTGCTTGATGATGATGGGTTTCGTGGTGCCATCAGCAGCTTGAAGTCTGTCTGCAGCCGTGGTGGAGTAGCGGCTGTCTTCCAGATTGACCATGCTGTTGCGGCGGGTGTTGGCAAAGGTGTCTTCTGGTCTTGTGTTGGCTTCACTACTGTGGCTGTACCGCGGCTTGGGGTTTCGAAGTATGGAGCGTGGTCGCGATAGGGGCAGCGGTGGAGCAGGCTCGCTGTCGAGCATCTCGTCCGGGTCCTCCTCATCCATGATCATTTCGTTGACTTCCATCATTCTCCGCTTGTTGAACGGAGTTCTTGGCATGGCCATCCCCTGGATGTCTGATTTGCGGAAGTTGAGGGTCATGCCCTTGTTGTTCACTGGTGGATGCAATCCTGTCGAGCTTGATGTAGGTTGCCAGTATATCCTGCTCTGTCTTGCTCGTTGATTGCTGGGAGGCGTTCTGGCCTGCAATTCCTCCATAACTCCTTCGTCATCGCTCTCAACGTGGGATTCATTGTCACTATCATGATCCTCATATATAAGTCCCTCATCCTCATCTGGGTTGGCAGAAATTTCGCTCTCATCGTCATCTGGCTCGACCTCTGAGCTCTCCCCGTCATCTGACGAGATGCTGTATGCTCGCTTCGGTGCCGACACAGAAGATAGACGAGCCCAAGTTTTGTCGTCCAGTATACGATCACTGAAACTGACTTTGCGCTTGGCTTTCTGGCAGGAGGTGCTTGCTGCTGTAGTCGCGCACCGGTAGCCATACTCGTCGTCCGGATTTCGGATGCCAGCTTGATCAGTGCCCATCGAGTTGGGTCTCTCTTGTTCGTGAGCCGAAACAAGCTGGAGTTCAGAACAACTTTGTTCAAACTTCACGTCTGGCAGTGGGCCTGATTTGATCTCCAACTCGCCAAAGCCCCACATAAGCGACTTTGGCACATTCTGTCGCCTCCTTGGCGTGAATCTTCGATGGTCGACTTTGCGTTCAGAAACGTCGAATCCGTCCCCAAGCTTGCTCTGCACTCCAAAGGCCCGAGCGAGTTTCGCCCGGCTCCCTTTTTTCTTGAGAAGGTCAAATTTCGACTTGTGATTTTGGAGTGGTATCTTTAGTCGCTTTCTGTGTGGAGTCAACAACGCTCGGGGCTTTTCAAGCTCATCCTCAATTGAAGGTATTCTGCCCTTTCGACCAGAGCTGGAAGGATCTGCGATAGGATCTTGCGTTTCAACGCCAGCGAAGCTGCTTTGCGTATCACGGAAAATGTCACGGTGGGCAGGAGGTGAGTCAGTAAGTGGAAGTTCGTTTACTGGAAGTCTTCTCTTCAACTGACGATGCCGCTGTTTCGTCTCCGTTTTCTTCGAAAAACTTGGCCTCGAGCGGGCATTGTTTGGATATCTGCGATTTGCACTTGAAGCACCTTGCTGCGCTTGCTGGTACCGAGGTTTCGTCGCAAGCTTTGACACGGGCTCTGCGAGCCTCTCCTTGTCGCTTGGCACTCGGGTTGGCGTGACGAATAAGCTTTTCTCGCGTGGCTCAGTACTCGTCTTGCTGCCGGAAGTCGGCAGCCTTGGGCTACTTGACGGCGAGAGCACCGGGCTGGCATCTCTCCCGTAGACGTACTCCAGCTCACCCTCCGAGAGTGGAGAGTCCTCTGGATCTGGTTCCCGGCGCCGTTGTCGTGCATGCGCTTCGAGGTCCTGGTAAATGGCCTCCTCCTCGTCATCTTGAGGTAGTTCTTCTGCATCTGATCGGATGAAATGGATCCCTTGTAGAGGGAGCGGTTTCGGCTGCTTGCCATACGTCTTGGGTGCGATTCTGGCGGACGCGTTCGCATTTGGCTTGTTCTGCCCGTGCGAGCTATCAGGATGCGCCATCATGAATGCTGTGCTTCCGTCTTAACGAGCGTGAAACAATTTGCGTTGAATATTGCATTGGCTCAAGAGGTGAGGTTGAAATAGGGTTCAGGCTTCTAGCAGCATGAGAGGAAGGAGCGACCACATCGAACCTACCGTCAAAGCGGCAGGAGCCATAGTAACTCTTGGGATGGAACAGTGACATGAAGCAAAAGCGAACATACTGGCGAGTCCCGTTTTGTCGCTGTGGTATATCAATCCTCAATCCTACACACCAACGCCTGCTGCGTCTGAGCATCGCGCTCTATGTTCTATTCGCCTCTCACATGCGCCTCAGAAGGGTGTCGTTCTTGTACTTGTCCAATCCACTGTCGAGATGTTCCCACCACTCAAATAACATGCTATTGCAGATGAGCTTGAACCACGGAGTGAAGCTCAGCTTGCCTTCCTCGAACATCTCCTTTAATTCATCAGGCTTGACGTATCTCGTGGCCTGAACCTCGTTGGGGTTCGCGTTCAGGTCGACGTCGGCCTTGATGAAGAGAATGTAGTCAATCTCGTGCTCTCCCCACTTGCCGTCACTAGGAGCCTTGTAGTGGATGCGCGTGAGGAAGTCGAACTTCTCCAGTGGAACCTGGTGTGCCTTGATGCCCAGCTCTTGATCAAGTTTGCGCTGAGCCGCTCGCTTGACACCCATGATGGCCGCATCCAGTGTTGCGCCTGTCTCACCTGGGATGCCGAGAGGGTGCGAGCAGCATGTGTTCGTCCACAGATCGGGGAATGTGATCTTCTCAGATGCTCGTTGTTGCAGTAGTAATTTGTTCTCCGAGTTGAACAGGAAGACTGAGAAGGCACGGTGAAGCAGTCCCTTGTCAATGTTGTCCATGAGATGGCAGACCTTCTTGCTCGCACTGCCGATCGGGATGTCATTGTTGTCCAGAACAATGCAAACCTCATCCATCAGTCGAATCTGCTCTTCGTCGTAACCTGCAAGGTCTGCATCTTGCGTAGCGGACTGTTGTGTCTGGGAGGCGAGTTGGGTGTTGATCTCGGGGAACAATCGTAGGATATTCTGCGCGGATGACTGCGCGGGCTCGGCCTCGGTAACCGTCATGGTGGCGCTCATCGTGATAGCCGTCGGTCGAGGCGAGGTATGTGGTTCGTGGCAATGTCTGTGTAGTCGCGACTGTTTGGTCTCGTTGCGTTGTTGGGGGAGGATTGAAATGGGCCGACTTTGTTGTTCGGCTCCTGCATCCGTTGCTCGGAGCGAAGATCGCCCCGGAGATGGCAGGTCCCTCTTTTTAGCGCGTTTTGACGGCCGGCATTTGCTTGCCGACTGCACCTATCCGGAGCTTCCAAGCAACCGCACCCCCTCGTACCTCATTGCGTTATGTCTTCGGCATCGGTCTTGCTACCTCGAACCCTTACATCGCGAATTGATCTATGCGGTCACGGAGACGAAACGACGCTTGCGAAAAAGATGGCTCATTTGGAAACCGAGGAAGCACGATCCAGGAGTTGAACGTCTGCTGCAGACCGTAAGGATTGGACATACACCCAGCTTGGCCAAGAGCAATGGAAAGCTGCGCAGCAGGAGTGTCGCCCGAAAAAGAGAGAGTTCCTCCGCCGGGAGGTATCAGAGGGCGAAAGCAGCAAGAGACGTGGGACGTGGAAAAAGCGAGACGATTTGCTCAAGGTTGATATTGGAAACTTGTGGATTTTCCCCCCTCGAATCGCAAGGACTGTAGATCACGATTATGTCCTCAAGGCCGATTGGAAGCTCAACTTCGATCAGAACGTATACGTCTAGGAAGTTTCTCCGACGGGCGCCGTGCTGTTCATCTCGACTTTCAACATCTCCGTTGGCTTCTTATGGCCCATCACTGCAATGTCACCCTCCGACCACTGCTTCGTCATCGCGAATCTGGTGAACTTCCACAGACCCGAGCTACCATCCTTCACAACATCAAAAAAGTAATTGCCGCCTGATGTGAAGCGGTGCGAGTCGACGTGCATTCCAGTACCGAGCGGCCAGTGCCATGCAACAAAGAGGCAGGTCAGTTGTGCCGCGTTCCCCGATGGAGAGATGTCGATGCGGAGGTTGCTGACCATGTGTGTGGTATCGAGTTTGACGATGTTGTGGAAGTAGCATTCCTTGTGAATGTTTTCCAACCCAGAGACTTTCTTGCCACTCAGGTCCCAGAAGGCGTCTGCAGTGAACGCAGAGTCGAAGAGCTCAACGTCGTTGGTGTCCATACCCATGCAGAAGCGAGCCAACGTGTCAGCAATGGCCTCTCTTGGAGTGGGAGTCGGTGAGAGTAAGGGTGGCAGAGCCTTGCGGCTTGAAATCGGTGCTTCGACGGAACCCATGATGAATGTTAGGATCTGGAGGAGTCGCTTCGAGAGATGTCTGAGGCTCAGTCTCGTGCGCTTACTGGCTTATATGAATCCGGGGCGCCCGAAATGACATCCCCAAATCATGAACGGAGAGCAGTGGTACGACTCAATGCTTACCAGCCGAACAACACGGGGGAGAATTCATCGGGCCGTGGACTAGCATACATAAGCTAGTCTGCGCACAGACCCCCTTCCATTCTACAACATTCACGATGATTCGGCCGTAATGATATGAATCTGGCTTGCCGCATCAATTTCTCGACCACGACTCTCCAGATTGCTATCGATGCCATTCTTGCCAATTGCTACGACTGCCAATCCATCATCCTGCCACGTCGGAGTCGAGAGTGTCATAGCTCGATCGATTCGACTAGGCCTTTGCAGCACTACAAGCACGTCCTATTGTTCAATCACCGCGCAGTGCCGGCGGGTTGCACGGGTCAACATGCTCCCTGCTCCGTGAATACGTGCTGCTGTCTATCGACAAATGGCGAGGCGGGTGGGTTTACGAACGAGCTCCACCTATAGTGCCGGTTTATTAGAAGGATGCTTCGTGAGTAGCTGAAGTGAAGTGGAGATGTAAGCTAGCCTGTGCACAGACCAACGACCGCGTATATCTGTCTCGGGTCTTCGAAACGGTAGCACCGGTAGGATCCGCTACGCTTAGGGTGGGTCCCCCAGTGATCTCACGGACCCTAGCAACCCCGGCTGGACCCCAGTTACTAATCGTAGGTAATGCTCATCCCTACCTTCTTCGTATATAAACATACGCTTTTTATTAACTAGAATTAAGGAGCGCTTAGAATCGTACGGTTCTATACGCTATATTAGATATCTATTATATATACTATTCTATAGTATTAATATTACTAATTACTATATAATAATAGTTAATATTTACGTCTAGTCTTTACGGTAGCGTTCGACTTATTATGTCTACGTAGATTTTATTAGTATATATAATCTTTAAAAATTAGACTCTCTCTAGATATCTTTATTAGCTAATCTTATATATAATTAGTATATTATATCTAAAGAGAAAATATCCTTAATAGAGAAGTAATAGTAATATATTATAGTAAATAGGTAGTACTTACCTATTTTACTCATTCCTACGTAGATATTAAAGGTAGTATATACTTCTATATAAAGAAGGTAGGGGTAAGCATTATCTACGGTTAGTAACTATCGTCCGGCCGGGTCATTACGGCCGAAGTACTAGGGAAGATAGCCAGGTTAGAGAAAAGGGTCGCTCTAGTCGGTAGTATGAGCCCGGCTGAATTGGGCACAGGCCGTCTGTGGGCCTCTAAGGTGCGCAGAGCACCCCAAGAGCGTCCGTGGCCCCCATCCCCTGCCTTGTCCGCGGCATTGCGAATAGTGCACAGACCTGATGCTGCTCAGGGCAGATCATGTTCGGGTAACGCTTCTCGACATCCCATGAACGCCTCTGATTCTGTTGTGAAAGCCCTTGAAGATTGCTCAATTCCTTGAACGTCACCTGCTTATTCACCAGGGCTCCTTGCCCTTTTCGCTAAACACATGGCCGTGAACTTCGTCCTTGCTCCCAAGGAGCGCTTTCACAAGCATCTTGGCCCCGTCCCTTGGATCCTTCTTGCCAGAGAAGTTGTTGAGATTGGTGGCGCAATGTCCAGGAGCGGCGGCAGCTACAACAAAGCCCTCCGGCTCCAGGATGCGGACGTAATTAAGCATCACCATGCTAAGAGCGGTCTTCGAAGCGCGATAAACGGGCCATTTGTCGGCCGGCTGTGTGCCATTCGCAGCTTTTGCAAGGGAGCTCAAGCCTGTTGAGGTGAAGGCAAGACGCTTGCCCGAGCTTTTGCGAAGTAGCTGCAAACGAATGATGCGATCAGCACGGTTTCGAGACATGTCTCATGTTCTACTCATCGAACTTACTGGTAGAAAGGCCTCCGTCACAGCGGCCGCACCAAACACGTTCGTATCGAAGTGGCTCTGATAAAATTGCCTCAGCGACATTTTCGAAGCATCCGAGGGACTCATGGCGATTCCGGCATTGTTCAAGAGCATGTCCAAATGGCCAAATTGTTCCTGGACTTGCTTCGCAGCGGCGTCGATAGAGCTGTCGGACGAAACATTGATCTGGAGCGCGGAAAGATCCCTCTTGTCGACCTCGTACGTTTTGTCGGCGGCGAGAGACTCAATTGCCGCGAAGGCCTTCTGAACATCTCGTGATCCTACAAGGACGTGATATTTTCCGGTAGCCGCCAGCTGCTGCGTTGCATAATAGCCTAGTCCTTGATTCGCACCCGTTATGAGGATGACAGGTTTGGACGCCATAACGCTGTGTTCGAGGTTGCCGATCTGCGGCGCGAGGAGGTTGGTGATCGAGGTGATATTGGCAATCGCGAACAGAAATGTGCCCAGTGGTGCGACGAGAGCAAAGATGCTGGAAGCCATCCACTTCGTAATCTCCTGCAGACTCCGTCCCTTGCATCGTTCTGCTCCCGCCCAAGAACAAGTAGTATCACCAGCTGCAGAATACTAGAATGGCTTGTTGAGCCAATCGGGGATTGGAGAGTTCTCCGACAACCCCGAGGCTAATGTGAGACCACATTAGCAGCACAGCAGGGGCTCCTCTCGGGTTTGAGGATCATGACGCTTTGACACATTTTCACATGCAACCAAAGCTCGAGGCTAAAAGCTGAGGCGCAGTCTCGTCGGATAGCCTTCTCACCGCTGCCCGGAAAACAGTCCGAACGAGCTTCTCATGCAAGATGGCCAAGTATCTTGCGATTCTTACCATTACCAGAAATATCGTACGGCTGTATATCCTATTATCTTTTGTACGTCATCAACAGACAAACAGCCCTCTCATATTCGACAGCTCGATGCAGCTCGAGCGCGTTATTTTTGTCCACCGCACATTTCCCAGGCCACAACTTGGGACTCTTCTTATTGTCCTCCAGGTTTCGGTTGGTTCATCTTCTTGTCCATCTTCTCTCGCCACTGTGCTACATTCAGTTTCAGGGCAAGTACCGCCAGATTGCCCGTAACAAGTGCAATCAAAGCAATGATAGTGCACAGCCAACCAACCCCTATAGCATCAATGGCCGGCTGAGTCGTGGCGCACATGATAGTTGCAAGAATCTGGCGCATGAAGTTGTTCAACGCCACACCACTAGCGGAACGCTTCGGTGTAAACTCTGTCAGCATTGTTGTCACGCAGCTGAAGACCAACATCGAGGCTACGCCAAAGAAGACGTTTGCGATGCTGGGAACGATCCAGTGGACGCCATACCGCGCCGTCCATCCGAACCAGATCAGGGCAAGCGGATACATGAAACCTGCGAGCCAGATGTTCTCCTGCATGCGGTCTTCCGGCAGGAAGATTGGCTTCCCATTCTCGTCATAACGGCCAGCTTTGCGTGCTCCTCGTTGGAGTAGGTGATCGGTCCATCTTCCGCCGACCTGCGATGCGACGAAATATCCTAGGCAGGGTGGAATATACATGAGGCCGACGATAATGATGCTGTAGTTGTAGGGAGCGGTTTCAAATGTGGCTTGGATAGCAATCACCAGCACGTAGAGTACTGCGAAGCCGAGTCCTCCAGCCCAGACCGTAATAAAGATGGGCGGGTGCTGCAGAAACTTGAGCGTTTTGAGGGGATCAATGAAGCGCTTCTTCATGACATGGCCAAAGGTTTCTCCCTCATCGGCGGCGGGCTTTCGTTGCACCACAGTCTCCGGCAGGAAGAGGGTGATGAGGATCAGAAGCACTCCGCCGAAGACTACCAGAGCCCATAAGGTGGATCTCCAGCCCAGAGTTTGGGCTAGTGCTCCTCCAATGATTGGTGCGACTCCGGGTCCGAAAAGGGGTCCCAGATAGAAGATAGACATTGCACGTCCTCGCACCTTCGACTCCCAAAGATCCGCACAGCTGCCTGCTCCAACAGCTTGTACTGCAGCCGCGGCACCTCCAGAAAGAACTCGGAAAACAATCAGCATCGCGACGTTGACGCTGACAGCACTGATGACCGAGAAAATGACGAAGAAGAGGAATGAAGAAATGTAGACGGTCCGTCTTCCGAGCACCTCAGACCAAGACGACCTGCCGCAGTCGTTAGCTTTATAGGCATGGGACGCATTTCAACAATAGACTTACCACCAGAGGGGAGTAAAAGCCATGATCAATAGGTAGAAAGCAATCGACAGATTTGCCGTGCTTTTGGAGCAGTTTAAGTCGGCCGCCATCTCCGCGAGAGCAGCTACAGACGCACTCAGTACAATGATAGACCTCGATTCAGATCATGTACTCACGATAAAACATAGCCGAGCCAGTGGATGATGTGCCAGCTGTCAAGGCAAGAATGATGGTCATCTTCCATTTTGTTGAACTTTTGTAGGCAAGAGGATTCCGGAGCTCAGGGATGATAGCAAGTCCTGCCAGTAGTCCGCGCCTTTCAGATCTAGGCACAACTTCGTACTTTGGTCCGTCCTCAGTATCATTGCCCTGGGGTTGTCTTTCCTGCTTCTCCGTCTGATCCATTTTAGACGTGCTTAACTCCTCTCCTGACGAGCCATCCTGGCTTCCCTCTTGACTTTGCGAGACTTCTGTCGCTATGTGCTCCTGGTTCTTCTTCTCTTCCCCTCCAAGCGGCTGACCATGCTGGGGAGGATCTTGTCCTGGATTCTGCGACATCTTGGAATAAGTGAAAGGGGCTTGTGGTGTCTTGTTCCGAGCGTGAAAACACACCGCCTCCCGGTCAGATCAACAACGATCATATGTATCCGTAGAATGCCCGACCAACTCACGATACGTCAGGTGAGCTTTGCGAGCTAGAACAGTTTATATATTCTTTTCAATGTGATCTTTCCCGATGCAAAAGGACCTTACCCCCATTTTTTCTTCAAAGCTCAGGCCCCGTCTACTGCGATATCTCCGTAAAGACCGCTCGCAAGCTTGTACTATCTCCTTAGTAGGGGTGTCGCGGATGCTCGCCAATACTGTCGTGATACTAACGGTCGCTTTTGGGATAGTATGAATCTAGTACCGGAGTTAGGGCGACTCTATATGTTTTCATTCTATGGATTCCCTCTATAGTCTTTATATACTATATAGATTAAGAAATAGAGTACTTTTAACTAAATTATAGATAGATAGCTAATATAATAGTACTCTATTAGTACTATTAGCGTTTATAAGAAGGTCTAGTAGATCTATATAAGTATATCTATTAAATAGAGCTCTAATAACTTAAAGAGGTCTATACTCTTACTTTATATAAGAAAAGTAAATAAGCTTTCTAGTAAGCTATTTAAGTTATAGTTAGTACTAAAGACTACATTTTCTAATAAATAACTAGTATTAGATTAGACAATCTAATATAAGATCTAGAGAGGTTTCTAGATTCTTTATATATAAATATATATTATTCTAGTAATTTAATATTTTAGAGTCTAAAGGCCGAGAGTAGTAGTAGCTTATATAGTAGACGATTAGATTTTAATTTCTAATACATCCAATTGTGTAGGAAAGAACGGTGTAATGACCTAATTACCTAACAATCTCTACGAAATAGACGGGGCCCTAGGGACGCCTGGCTGGTCGGGCTTTCGGACAACGCTATACGGATCTCTCCCGCTTCGACGGCTTCAACAACCCCGAACCCTACTAGTCCGATAGTGCGAGACGGCGCAAGGGAACGCGTGGGTAAGCATTGTGGCCCGCTGAACGCATTATCTTGTTCGATGCCAAGCTTCATAGCCAAGACCATAGCGCGTATCACTACGCGCTTAAAGATAACGGCACCACAGCACCGTCTCCTCCATCCTTACTCTCTAAGCCAGTCGAGCCAGATCAAGATATCTCGATCTCCAGGCCAGACTGCCCCTCCGCAGATAGCGAGGGGATGTTTAGTCGGTCTGTGCACAAGGGCTAAATCCCGGCACCGCCCTCTTATAGCATCTTATCATCCTTCACTCCACTCAGTAAGGGATTAATTGCTTGACATGGGGTCACATTAGTGCGTATCAGCCAGGCACGTGGCTAGCCGATGCTCCAGTGATCGGAAGCTGATAGGTCGTGTTACCAGTGCGGCTGAGAAAGCAGCCGGCCCGAACTGCGCCTACTGCTTTGATAGGACATCCTCAACATAGCAGGATTTTGGGTCGAAGGAGGCTATTGTTGGTTTCGGCATGCTCGTTATGGCCATCCGAGCCGTAAGCAGTAAAACGTGCTGAATTTGCTATTTGCTAGGGTAAGCAGAGGAAGGAGAGAGACACAAGTTGATCAGTCTGTGCCAACACCACCCTCTATACTGTCCCAACTTAGCGCCCTTCACTTATCGTGATCTGTCTCACACGATGCGATGTAATCTCGTCCCATTGAGTGGCTACCATCACGCAAGCGCCAGTAGCTTCAGGGCTCTCGGCTAGAATATGTAGCAAGCGTGGAGTGCAACTCGTAATAGCCCGAGTGGAGATTAGCAAATGGACCTTCCGTATGACGAACAGGCCATCTCTACATGTACCTTCCAAGCCTATCCGGCGGCGGCCGGTACACTGCTAAGGACGTAGCGAATGCGGGCCCCCGGAAAGGTTGCTCCGACGCCGCCTCCCAGCCGACTTTTCGGATTCGCTCAACTCTTGAACTTAACATTCTGTGGCCTACTCTTCAGCGGACAACATGAGGGAATCAACACCAAGACAACCAAAGCTACGAGCCAGCTGCGACAGATGCGGCGCAACAAAATTGAAGTGTGACCGCCAACAGCCTAAATGCGGTCGCTGCATCTCTCTTGGTGCCGACTGTGTCTACGGCATCTCAAAGAAGTCGAATAGAAAGCCTGCTAGAGCCAAGCATACAGAGCTACCAAAGACCGGAGACGCCCTCTTCAGCAGCATCGGTTTCGTGGACGAACGCAACGGCTCAGACTCCGGACCATGTCAAAGTCTTCCTCATATGCTGGCCGACGTTACAATGGACGACTACAATGCGAAATTTACGAGCTCCGTAACAGCCACTGAGATGCACGACGCTGCGGCCGTGATCTTATCTCCATCACTCACAAACTTTGGCGACATGTTTGATGACTGGATATTCCAGGACGATTCTGTCGGAGATCAGTACATGAACAGAATTCAAATGCAGATGCCAATATCTCCGACGGGATCACCAAAAAGACAACAGAGCAATGCTCAGATTCCCACCAATTACGCTGCGCAAGTTTCGAAGCCTCCGGATTCGTCTATGGCCCCGGAAAGCGCTATACCCCCTGGGATGTCTAGCCACAATTGTCCACGAGAGGCATGTTCCATTTGGGCCAGTCTATCTTTCGACCTCCCGCTTCTGGCCAATGCACCGACATTATCCTCACCGGCTACAGCCAACAATGTTCCCCTGGACCACGTCTTGCGTATCACTAAGGAAGCTTGCGGTCGATTAAGTGCCCTGTTAGTGTGTCCTTGCGCACGCTCGCCTCACTTGGCTCTTCTCTATTTATCTATATTCTCCCGCGTGCTTCTATGGTATCAGCAAGCGGCTGGCTGCGCGCAGTCTCGGCCTCGGAGCCCTCTCCTCGAGAACGTCGACCTGAAATCTCCCTGCTCTTCTGAGTCCTCGTCGCCCGGGGTCGCTTCTCCGCAAATGGCAGTGGGCTCTTTCGCAATTGACGACCAAACAGTGCAATCTGCGCTGAAGATCCAGCTGGTTGCGAGCGAGATGCGGAGGGCTGCGACCGTCATCGACCTATTTGCCTCGCAGGCTTCCAATGAAATAAGTACGTCCGATTCTTGCTCGTTTGGCGGAGTGGGCAGTCTGTACAGGAGTGTCAGCGTGTGGCTACGGGAGGAACACGCCCGCACAGCTGGTATCTTGAAGTCCAAGCTCAGCGACCTCATCGAACAACAACATCCTCTTAGATAATCATGACAGTGTAGTGGAGTTTATAGATTACATGTATTGAATGACAACAGATGGCGATCACCGGGGCTACAACGGGCGTTGACTACGCTAGATGATTAATGAAGCTGTTCCCAGTCCGAAGTAGGAGCTTGGCGGTCGTGTTTCATGCGTGCAAGGTTGCCACGTGTATCAATCTCCCCTGCGGGGACAGCAACCCCAGACAAGGAACATGTATCTTTGCAACTAAGATCAAGAAATGTCGTATACACGTCCTCCCCTGGAAATTCTCCATGCCTCGAATGCTGGAGCAATCATTCTCTCTCCATGCATTATCAAGTACGAGCGGAGCTCCGCTCAGTATTGTACCATACCATCCACATCAACGGGCACGCCACGCAGTTCGTAACCCTCCTTGCGGGCCGTTTCCCATTGTTCCTTCACAATGCTCAACCGCTTGTCGTCCCAGGGAATGAATCGCACCGAGAATGGCCCAGGCGTTGTGAAACCCGGATTAGGATAAGCAGAAGGAGACAGATCGATCTTGTCATCATCTTTTGGCGGCTTGATCTCAAACGCCCAGAGGATGCCCGCCAAAGCAATGTCGAGACTGTTCTCGGCTACTCGAGCGCCGGGGCAGGTTCTCCGGCCGATATTAAATGTGAAGTGATCTCGCTTGTAGGGATCACCCATAGCTGCGTATTCGCTGGAGTATTTGTCGTGATTCAGGTAGCGTTCTGGCATGAACTCGTAAGGATTCTCGAATCGACTTGGATCGTAGTGCAGGAAAGCCGTGTTGGCCAGCAAGACTGTCCCTTTGGGGATTACATGATTCTGCACCGAAGGACGACAGATTAGTCTATGTTTTACACCAGTCTCGCGAGATACGCAGACGATAGGCGCGTGAGAGTTTTCAGACTGGAGAGGCTGTGTGACTCGTTTCTCCGCCTTGGTAACGTACCTTGTAGACGACGTCTTGATCTGTATAGTGGCGTATTCCAGGTTGCAGGATGGGATTCATGCGCAGCATCTCCTTTACGCATGCGCGAACGTATGGAAGATTCTGGATATCTTCAAACATAGGGCACCTATCCGGCCCAACAACTCTCATTAGCTCTTTTTGGGCAGCAGCCTGTACGCGAGGGTAGGCTGCGAGATGCAGGATCAGACTGTTCAAGGTAGCAGCACTAGTCTCGAAGCCGGCTTCCACCAATCCACCAGCGACCCATGCGAGGTCGACGTCTGTCAAGCCTTGCTTATACCAGTGGTCTTTGCTCTCTAGGATCTCACGACCGTAGCAAGCGGGAGCCTTCCCAGCTTCGTGTTGCCGCTCCAGTCGGCGCCATAGGTTCATTTTGATTTTGAGTACTTCTTTCGCACATTCTTCTGCTTCCTTGCGACCAGGTTGGAGCCATTCTGGGAGTTTCTGGAGCGGCGGTAGCTCGTCCACGATGAAATAGGGAGGGAGCGTCTTGCGAAGGATTGCCTGACTTCGCATGGCATTGTGGACGTCCGGATGATCGATATGCTTGACTCGTGTGCCGAAGGTGTTGGTCAGGATAATGCTGAATGCGAATCGGCGCATGTGCATGTAAAAGCTCTTCATGTTTTCGTTGTCGGTCGCCAGATCATGCAGCAGCTGCTTCATCTCGAATTCTTGGCTCGGAACAAATGTGTTCGTCATTGGGACGGAAGTAATCTGCCGCACCACGCTTCTTTGTGCTTTCCAGCGAGGTCCATATTCCATCGTTGGCATACGCATGCCGCCAGTCACGACATCGTGACCGAGTGGTGAGGGAGCCTTTGAAGAGGTGGCCACTGCTTGCTTCTCCAGCAGCTCTCGTACCGCCTCGGGCGAGTTGATTACTACCCAGTTGTACCTGTAGAGCGAAGGCGAGAAGTCAGTGTCTGTCTTTTGCTAGTGGAAGGACTTCAGAGATGATGTGGTCCGGCTCCATTGCAGAAACGAGTGCTCCGGCGAGCACCAAAGCACCAACCTCAAGACAACTCCACGACTGCCGTCTAGATATGACTTACCAGCCCAGTCGAACTTTGAAGATCTCGCCATACTCATCCGCCCACTCCCGGAAGAGTGTAGTCGCGTTTGGCGGGAGCTTGAAACCGAGTCCGATCAGTGGGTTAAGTTTTGGTCCTGGAACATTGTCCAGCCTCCGATCTCGTCGAAGAAAGACAGCAACGATAGCGATCAGAGGCAGTACGACGACCAGGAGCAATGTCCGATGGTTTTGATAGATAGCGAGCGTGTCCATGATATTGATGTTGCGATCGCAAAGGAGAGCGCAAATGACCTCTTCTGTAGATACAATCCTTGGATGTCAGACCATTTCAATGAAGAACTCTAATCGAGCGAGCGCTTCACTCTGCAAGAGCAGCCCCATGACCCTGCCGGGCTTTGGATGTGCAGGTCTTAGCATAAGACTCGGGAGATCGTATGCTTTGATAGGAAGATCTGCTGGGGCGTTGTTGCTTGACATGTGCCCGAATGCCCGACCCCCTACCTCCAATCAGGCGCTCTGCCGGAGAAACCTTTCTCCGCTAGCGTGGGTTTATGCGAAGCGCCTGAGGTGAAGTTGGGCCGAGTCGCTATTTTTAAATTGCGATAGAATACGACTTTATCGTATATCTCTACGACTATAACGGAATTACAGAACTAGCTACGGCCAAGTCATAGATAAAGGCTTTCTATTTATTCTTATACGTATCTATTAGATATAATAACTTCTATTAATCTAGATTATAACCGGACGTAATGTTTTAGAAAATTTACACTTACTAGGACTATACCGTAACGATATATACCTGTAATAAAATTTAAATAAGATTTATCTTCTTAATAATATATAGAGCTCTAGATATTATACTAATCTATTATATCTACTAATTAAATAGTAGATTTTAGTAGTAAATAATAAGTTAACTTAGACTTATATTTAAATTTAGTCTAACTTCTCCCTAAGACTCTTATAAGCTTAAAGTAAGAAAGCTTATAAGTAGTCTATATAGAGACAGCTAACTCTCTATAAATAGTCTACTAGAGTAAGTAGGTAAAAGCTAATAACTACGTATAGTTTACTATTAATTAAGTATAATTAGAAGTAGAGAGGTAGATACTAAAATATATAGGTATTAAACTTTAGATTATCGAATAAAGTATCCTTATAAGTCTTGGGCGTTGAGCGTAGGGAGCTGGATATTTTTCCTACGTATAGCATCCCTACGAACAGCATAAGGTAAGTATGTTTCTTCGGGTATAGAAATCAAACATTTTTCAAAATCGACTGCTGAATATCAAAATTATTGCTTGATCCAGTGTACTGGAATTGTGCAAACCCGGAGAGAGAGCACGCGATGTCTAAGGTTGCCATTGACAACGGACACACGTGCGCGACATGTGAGAGCGGGCAAGCTGATCCCGTGTGCCGGAGTCTATGATGGACCACTCCGTTCCCCAGAACTTGGAGGCCGTGGCCGGTATGCCTTACTTACTACACGGTTAGACTGCCGGGGTTTCAGCGCATCTCTTATCGCACAGTGGTATCAAATGGTCGGGACAAAGCCTCGCCAGAGCTTACGGACGCAGGAGGTCGAACCAGACGTGCTGCGAGGTCGTAAGTCGCTACCTCCGATCACAGGCGCTCCGCTCGAAGAACTCCCTCGCAAGCTCGGGTCTCAACAAGCCGAGCTAGAGGTGGTCTGTACGGAAATAGGTAAGGTAGGTCGGCCGTTCGGGGTCGTCTAGAACGCCACGCTCTGCTCTGCGATCTCAAGACTGCTCGGAGGATGAAGGCGGACCTCGGACTCATATCGCTGGAAGATTGTCGGGGCATCCGGTGTTGTATGCCCCAACCCCTGGATGCCCCACCCTCTACCCTAAGGGGCGGTTCAATGCCTCTCCAGCTTGGTGGACGTGCGCGAGGCGTATATACGCTGGAGTTGCACGAACTCAACCTGTTCAATCATCAACGTTTCCATCGCTATGCCCATCCTCTCTTGTTGCATTTCTTTCCTTGGACATATCCTTAATTGAGCATTCTGACCAGGCTCAAACCACGTCAACAACGAACGAAGCAGGACATCATCGACAGATTGTCCTCTCCCATATTCAGACCCTCTAACATCATCGACTCCTGAACAAGACCTTTCCACCCTCACAACATCGACAACATGGCCAGTCAACAGAAGCTTTACCTTTTTGGAGACCAGACCTTCGACATCCGGCCACACTTCAAGGGGCTCCTTCATTACCGGCAGAATCCAGTACTGGAGGACTTCCTGAACAAGTCATACGATGTCATCCGTCATCAAATCTACACATTGCCGACGGCAATTTTGGAGGATCTGCCTCGCTTTACTGCGGTTGACGACCTTCTCCTCTGGGACCAGTCCGGCAAACGATGCGTCCCTCTTGATATGGCCATTACCTGCATGTATCAGCTCGGCATTTTCATCGCTCAATCAGACCTAGAGTATCCTAGTGCGAGCAACGCACGCATTCTCGGTCTTTGCACGGGAAGTCTTACTGCTTCAGCAGTCAGCTGTAGCCGCAGCACACTCGACCTCGTATCGCTGGCCGTTGAGACCGTCAAGATTGCGTTCAAGACAGGCCAGCGCGTAACAGACGCTGCCCAGCGTCTTGAGCCAGCAAGCGAGGCGAAATTAGACCAGAGCTGGTCGATGATAGTCGGAGGATCCCAGGAAGCGGCACTCGCAGTCAACAAGTTCTGCGAACAGACAAAGATGCCGAAGACTGATCGTCCGTACATTAGTGCGTTTGTACCAAGCGGCATCACCGTTTCCGGACCACCGGCTTCGTTGGCAGAGCTCAAGGCTTCCGAATACTTCAAGGGCCTCAAATCTAGCAGTATTCCAATCTACGGTCCATACCACTGCCCTCATCTCTTCTCCGAAGAGGACGTTGAGGAGATCGTCGCCGGAATACCTCGCGAGGTCGCGGCGCATCGCAACGAGACCCCAATCCTCTCTAGCATTGGTGGAATCGTCCAAGCCGAGGATTTCGAGGCGTCCATTAAGGCTGCAGTTGGGCAGATTCTTTTCGAGCCCATCCGCTGGAGTCCAATTCTCGAGGAAGTGCAGAGCTGGCTCGGCGGCCTCAAGGATAACACGGCTGCAGTGTCGTTCAAGGTCGAACCAATTGGCACCACTGCCGATCGCGTCGTCTACAACGCACTAAAGCAGACTCCACTGGACTCATTGGTTCCGTCGGCGCCATCATCCAGCAAGTCGGACGCAGCGAAGCCAGGACCGACGGATTCCAACCCCAAGAAGCCAAAGCTAGCCATCATCGGTCTATCGGGAAGGTATCCCGGCGCTCAAGACAACGAAGCCTTCTGGAATCTCCTTCACGAGGGCTTGGATGTAGTCAAGGAAGTGCCAGCGCTTCACTGGGACGCGAAGACGCACGTGGATCCAACTGGAAAGACCAAAAACACGAGCGCGTAAGTCAGATCCATGGCAAAGGGAGGATAGAAACTTGTCCGCGCGAAGACATGCTAACATTCTGCCTCTCACTTCAGAACGCCGTGGGGTTGCTGGCTCGATAGACCGCAAGACTTCGACGCCAGATTCTTCAACATCTCACCAAGAGAAGCGGCTCAGATCGACCCTGCGCAGCGCATCGCATTGATGACTGCGTACGAAGCGATCGAGCAAGCGGGTAAGCCTTACCATTAATATCCCTGTTTCATTATCAATCTTCTTATACTTACCACGCCTCCAGGTATCGTTCCCGACGCTACTCCCTCCACTCGTCGTGACCGCGTCGGAGTATTCTACGGCGTGACAAGCAACGACTGGATGGAGACGAACTCAGCCCAGAACATCGACACGTACTTCATTCCCGGAGGCAACCGCGCCTTCATCCCGGGGCGTATTAACTACTGCTTCAAGTTCTCCGGACCTTCGTATGCAGTCGACACGGCCTGCTCATCCAGCTTAGCAGGCATTCACATCGCATGCAATGCACTGTGGCGTGGCGACATTGATACTGCAATTGCCGGCGGCACCAACGTGCTTACAAACCCAGACTTCACGGCTGGGTTGGACCGTGGCCACTTCCTCTCCCGGACCGGTAACTGCAAGACCTTCGACGACGAGGCAGATGGCTACTGCAGAGGCGAAGGTGTCGGCACCGTGATCATCAAACGGTATGAAGATGCGATTGCTGATAAGGATCCAATCCACGGCGTGATCCTGGGAGCGTACACGAACCATAGCGCCGAGAGCGAGTCCATTACTCGCCCACACGTCGGTGCCCAGCGTGCCATCTTCAAGAAGATCCTCAACCAGGCAGCTGTGGATCCGTACGATGTCGGGTATGTCGAGATGCACGGAACGGGAACGCAAGCCGGAGACGCTGGCGAGATGTCGTCGGTGCTCGAGACCTTCGCACCACCCCTTGACACGGTCAAGGAAGCCCGCAACCAGTCTCAAGCCCTCTTCCTAGGGTCGGCCAAAGCCAACATCGGCCACGGCGAGGCTGTATCCGGCGTCACAGCTCTGATCAAGGCTCTTTTGATGATGAAGAAGAACACCATCGTGCCCCACGCCGGAATCAAGACCAAAATCAACTCCCGCTTCCCCACCGATCTTGACAAGCGAAATGTCAACATCGCCAGGAAGCCTACCTCTTGGGAGCGCGAGGGCGCCAAGCCTCGACGTGTATTCGTGAACAACTTCTCGGCAGCAGGTGGTAACACTGCCCTGTTGATCGAAGATGCTCCGCTGGAGCAAGGACCTCCTGAGGATGCGGTTGACCCACGCACTGTGCACGTGGTCGCGGTCTCGGCAAAGAATGGCAACTCCCTCCAAGGCAATCTGAAGACCATCCGTGCCTTCTTGCAAGCGAACCCGGAGATCGACCTCGGCCAGCTCTCTTACACAACCACAGCTCGCCGTCTGCACCACCAGCACCGTGTCCTGCTGACCGGAAGCAGTGTTCGTGACCTCTCCAAAGCTATTGAGAAGGCGACCGAGGAGCAGATCGGCATGACTAGGCCGAAATCCGCCCCGAGAGTCCTCTTCACTTTCACTGGCAATGGCGCGCAATACCCTGGCATGGGTAAGCAGCTGTACGAGAACTTTGGTGTCTTCCGAAACGAGATGCGTCGTCTCGACAAGATCGGTCAGAGCCTTGGGTTCCCATCGGTCTTGCCTTTGATCCAGTCCACGGAGCAGGACATTGGCGGCTTCGCACCAACCGTGGTTCAAGTCGCAACGACAATCCTGCAGATATCCTTGGTCAGACTCTGGCGCGCCCTGGGCGTTAGCCCCGCGGCCGTGGTCGGTCACTCCCTTGGCGAATATGCTGCGCTCAACGTCGCTGGTGTGCTGACCGACGCCGATACGATCTACCTCGTCGGCGAGCGCGCTCGACTGCTCGAGGAGAAGTGCACCCGTAACACGCACTCCATGTTGGTCGTTAAAGGCACTGTGAAGGCTATCGCAGCCGCCTTGAAGGACAACAGCTACGAAGTCGCGTGTATCAACTCTCCGGTCGAGACGGTTCTCGCAGGACCTAACGAGGACATCAACAGCTTCCAACCTCTGCTCGAGGAAGCTGGCATGAAGTCGACGCTCTTAAAGGTGCCCTACGCCTTCCACTCCTCTCAGGTCGACCCGGTGCTCGAGAGCTTCACCGAGATTGCTCGTGGCGTCAAATTCTCGAAGGCCCAGCTGCCTATCCTCTGCCCTCTCGACGGCCACGTTATCACGGACAAGGACGCTGGTTTCGTCCCTGAATACTTCTCCCGCCATTGCCGTGAGCCAGTCAACATGATCCTGGCTCTTAAGACGGCCCATTGCGATAATGTCATCACGGATGCCAGCACGACGATCGAAATCGGTTCGCACCCTGCTTGCTCAGGAATGGTCAAGGCGAACTTGCCAAAGATTACCAATCTGCCCTCGCTTCAGCGCGCCCGTAGCGCTGAGCAGACTATCACTGCTGCTCTCAAGACCCTGTACCAAGGCGGTGCCGATATCAAGTGGGCTGAGTACCATAGAGACGTCGCGGCAAGCCACAAGGTGCTACCTCTTCCCGCATACTCTTGGGACCTCAAAGAGTTCTGGATGCAATACGTCAATGACTGGTCTCTTCGCAAAGGTGATCCGCCGCTCGTGATCGAATCCAAGAGGTCGAAACTCGAGAGCACCACCATCCACAACATTGTTGAGGAAAGTGGAGATGACAAGAAAGCACATATCGTCGTCGAAGCCGATATCAACCGCAAAGACACGGCGCCACTAGTGCAAGGTCATGAGGTCGATGGCATCCCCCTCTGCACGCCTTCGGTCTACTGTGATATTGCCCTGTCCGTGGGTACCTACATGGTCGACAAGTATCGGCCGAACCAGCCAAACAGACTCGTCGACGTCTCTGAGATGACGATTTCGAAGGCTCTCATCCTGAACTCCAGAGGCGAGAAGCAGCTTCTTCAGGCGCACGTAGACATCGACTGGACCAACAACAGCTCCCTTGTTCGCTTCATGTCCTTCAACAGCAAGGGCAAGCTGCAGGAGCACTCTCGCTGCAATGTTACCTGGGCAGACGGCAAGCTTCAGAAGGAGCTCCAGGGTAAGAAGTCCGAGATCAAGAAGAAGATGCAAGCTTTACGCGAGGGTATCGCCAAAGAGACCGCCGCCCGCTTCAATCGTCCCATGGTCTACCGGGCAATTCGTCCCCTTGCCCGCTTCCACGACGACTACCGAGCGATTGACGAGGTTGTTCTCGACAGCAACACCCTTGAAGCCACTAGCAAGCTCAGTTTCGGTACTGTCAAGAAAGATGGTGACTACCACACACATCCTGCCATCATTGACGCCCTCACCCAGTCATGTGGCTTCACCATGAACTGCAATGACTCCGTGGACCTTGATGTCGAGGTGGCGATGAATCACGGGTAAAGTCTTCCCTTAACCATTGAGACAGGTTTTGTAGCCGTACTGATTGTGGTATGAAACATAGATGGGGCGGGTTTCAGATCTTCGAGCCGATCGACTTCAACAAGAAGTATACCACCTACACGCAGATGCATGAAGGCCAGGACAAGCTATGGCATGGTGACGTAGCCGTCTTTGATGAGAACGACAAGATCGTTGCCAGCTTCAAGGAGATCGCGGTAAGCTCAAGTATTGATACGTGACTTGGACGATTCTGACAGTGTCTTCAGATTCAAAAAGTCCCACGCCGGGTCCTCAAGACCATTCTGTCCATCGAAGCCGGTCAAAAGAGTGGTCAGAAAGCTGCTCCAGTCGCCCAGAAGCCACAGCCTGCTCAGAAGGCTGCTCCAGCTGCTCACAAGGAGGAGTCTTCGTCCAAGAAGACGGCCGCTACTCCCGCCTCGGCTTTTGCTGGTAAAATCGGTGGGGCGCTGACTATCATTGCAGAGGAAAGTGGAATTGCAGAGGCAGAACTCACCGACAACACCGTCTTCTCGGACGTGGGTATCGACTCGCTCATGGCCCTCACCATCTCGGCTCGCTTCAGGGAGGAGCTCGATGTGGATCTTGATTTCAACTCCATCTTCTTCGAATACCCGGCGGTCAAGGACCTCAAGAAGATGATGGCAGGTGACTCTGGTGCTGAGCTAGAACATCCAGCCACCCCATCGATTACTTCCGGCTCCGAGGCCGACAGCATCGAAAGCAGCGCCGGTTCTCAATCCGAACATGACACCGGCATCACTACGCCCAATTCAGTAAACGGCGAGGGCTTCGACTTCAACAAAGCGCTCGAGATAGTTGCCGAGGAGAGCGGTGTCGCAATTGAAGAGCTCACTGATGACACCAATTTCGCGGATAGCGGTGTTGACTCTCTTCTTTCTTTGGTCTTGGTCAGTCGCCTCCGCGATGAGCTTGAATTGGACATCCAGCACGAGTCTCTCTTCATGGAGTGCCCCACTGTCGGCGACCTGAGAAAGTTGCTCTGCGGCGAGCCCAAGGAGTCGATAGTGGAGGCAGCTCCGGAGGAAGCTCCTGTGGAGGCTGCGCCAATTAAGAAGGATGATGCCTCCAAGAAATCCAAAGTGCAGACTGCCGCGCTCGCAGCTCGCAAGCAGGCTGTAGACGAGCTGGTTGCCAAGTATACCCAAGGCTGGAAGGCGCCTACTCCGGATCCGAACGGCACCATACCAAAGGAGAACGAGAAGGTTGTCTTGGTCACCGGTGCATCAGGCAGCTTGGGAGGTCATCTCGCCTACCATCTCGCGCAACTGGAAGACGTGAAGACCGTGGTGTGTCTGAACCGCGAGAACAGGACTGAACCATACACCCGCCAGTACAAGCAGATGAGGGAGAAGGGCATCCGATTCCCAGAAAATCTCAAGCATAAACTGCGAGTCTTCCAGACCGACACCGCCAAGCCACTGTTCGGTCTGGACCAGAGCACCTACGACAGTCTTGTCGGCTCGGTCACTCACTTGATCCACAATGCTTGGCCAATGAGCGCTAAGCGTGCCCTACCCGGCTTCGAATCCCAATTCCAGGTCTTCCGCAACCTGATTGATTTCGCGGGAGACATCATCTCTAGCCGTCCATCGAACTTCAAGTTCGGCTTCCAGATGGTCTCTTCTATTGGCGTCGTAGGCCACTACGAGCTCGGCAGCAGCAAGAAGAAGGTCATCGTTCCGGAAGAGCCCATGAGCATCGATACGGTCCTGCCAAATGGCTACGGAGAGGTAAGATAAAGAATCTGAGTCACCACGTATGGGATCCGCTGACAAAGTCGCAGGCTAAATGGGGCTGCGAACGCATGCTCGACGAGACTCTTCACAAGCTTCCTGAGAATTGCCGCACCATGGCCGTCCGACTGGGTCAGATTGCAGGCTCCAAGACCAGCGGCTACTGGAATCCAATGGAGCACTTCGGCTTTCTGGTCAAGTCTTCGCAAACCCTCAACGCTCTCCCAGACTTAGATGGCGGACTGTACTGGACCCCGGTCAACGACATCGCCGGCGCCTTGTCCGATCTGGTCCTTGCGGAGAACAAGCCATACCCATTCTACCATATCGAAAACCCCGTGGGCCAGTCATGGAAAGAGATGAACGCCATCATCGCCGATTGCCTACACATTCCCTCGGAGAACATCGTCTCGTTCGAGAAGTGGCTGGAGATGGTACAGAACGCGCCTCAGAAGGACAACCCGGCATCCACGCTGCTCGACTTCCTAGACGACAACTTCCTGCGCATGTCCTGCGGTGGCCTCGTCCTGGACACGAAGCAGAGCGTGGAGCACTCGAAGATCCTGGCAGGCGTGGGACCCGTCAGCGAGACGGTGATGCGCAAGTACATTCACATCTGGCGTGAGATTGGCTTCCTCAAGTCTTCCGCCGAGGACCGGGCGCGCTTTGATGAGGAGAGAGCGCGATTGTGGGGACATTGAGCACGTCGGTGGAGATATTCTGAACGCGACAATGATGCGCGTCGCGTGCTGATAAGATGGAAGTGAGACGGGATGTCGTTGTGGTTACTGTGATGGAGGTGAACACGAGAAGGACGCGTGGAGTTTGAATATTTGGGCTTGGCGTTCGGATTTATCGGTCTAGAGAGCCCCCCTTATACAGTCTCCTACTATGTACGCTTTTGTATTACACTGTTATAGACGAATTTTGATACATGTTTTCGCTCGCCTCTATCAATAGGACTCCAAAAGACGATCGTAGAATTTGACTAAGTGCATGATTGCCGCTTGTCCAATCGGGATCACAATTGCCTTCAGGACTTCGCTCGGGAGAGAAGAATTTCCTAGACACCAGTGCACGCAGAGGCAGGATCGTGTTAGGGGAGCTCGCTTCAGGCGCCAATCGGGATTATCCTCCGGGTTTGTCATCGGCCTTTCGGGTTGGTCTAGGAACCTGCAGATAGAGGGACAGGGATTGGAAGGTGGAGAAGATTGACAGCGTCGTGAGGGAGGGAAACAACAAGAGGTCAGAGAGCGTAGAGGCAATCACTAGGCACTACTATTGATAAAGCTTGAGCATTGAACGAAGGGGAATCTGGTCAGCACTGACTTCACATGCCACACAGACAGCAATAATAGGCATGGTCTTTGGAAGACTCAGGGAATTGAAACTAACAGAGCTGCAAACACAAATCTCGTCATTCCAACGCCCGGCTACTGCGTACCACATTCCACCATGCCCATTTAATTCTTCAAAGCCGGCACCGAATTCCAAGCCCCCTCAAGCCCATTGTAGAACACCCATCGTGTCTGATTATTCAACACAAACTCATACCCATGTCCCACCTGCTTCTTCACCGCATTCCTCTTCTCTTCGCTCACCAGACTCCCACCAGGCTCCATCGCCCTCTCGATAGAATCCATACTCATATGTGCAATCTTCATGAAATCCGCCTTCGAAATTGGCAGTGTAGCAGATCCGACGTCGACGAAGTGTTTCTCCAGAGCGAAGAGGGCACGGGTGAGTTTCACGGCGTGGCCTTCGTCGCGGTAAACGATTGCGCGCCGGAAAAGTTCCGGCCAGCCGTCTTTGGGGTGGTCAGGTTGGTAGTTCGTGATGCGTTCGGGGTAGAGAGTAGGGCAGCCAACGCCTGGGTACATTGCAATGTCGACTCGGGCTTTGGCTTCTACAAGACGGGCTTTCTCTTCGTTTGTGATCCAGTCTTGGGCTATGATGGCAGGATAGTAGCCCGCAAGCGTCACGTTATGGAGCAGGACAAAGTCCATCTGTTCGTGTTTGCCTGGCAGCTGGGCTGCAGCCATATAGTATGCCCCTGCATGCATGTTCTCCGAGAGCTTGTTATGGATGTCTTCTGCAGTGGGCTTGACTTGGAATTGCGCAAGGTATGGTGCGAATTGCTGGCCAGAGACACGCTTCATGAGGCCGTCGGCAATCTTGTTGAACGGATCTGTGGACTTGACAGCGCTGCTCATCGCTGGATCCTGGCGCAATTGGTCCAGGATATCAAGCATTGGACTCTCCCGGACTTCGTGCTCCTTGAGATACTCTTCCGGGGCTAGAATCAGTTCTGCTGGCCAATTCGTGTGAATGCACGCAGCAGCCAATGCCTCGGCGACGATACTGGGCTGATCCCATTCGATACCGCAGCCAAGATGGATCATCGGGTGGACAAGATCTGAAAGGGTCAGTACAAGGACACGTTCTGCCTACATCGTCAGTTGACTGACCGGAAAACATGCGAGCCAAGATATCGTTCGCTCGCTTGTCTCCCTTCAAGACGTACTCGCGGACTGTACCCGGAATACCTTTCTTCTCTACCTCGCCCCGGAAGAAGACCAAGAAGTCAACATAGTGCCTGTCCTTCCCAAGACATTCTTCAAAAAGAGCAGGATCGCTGAGGTCAAGATCGTTCACTGGATGGCCCTTGTGGATTGGCGCTTGGTACGGCTCGTTGTATTCCCACATTTCCTGAATCTCTTCTGGAGACGCACCGAGGGACCAAAGCGCGAGTAGGTGGTGGGCGATGTGGTTGTGTAGTCCTGCGTTCCATCGATTATGATACAGATCATGGTTAACTGTGAGCAGTTCGGAGGTCTTCCTGGCGGATGCCTCAGTCAAGCCTTCGGCATGGGCGTAACCTGGAGTCCTATCAGGTGACAGCTCGACAGTATTTGCTGCCGTTCGTGGGTAGTTGTCTTTCGCGGCAGGCATTGTGACGGCTTCCAAGGGAAATACTAGAGCAAGAGAGATGAATGTTGCAAGGACGTCGGCTCATCAGAGAAGGCCTTCAGAAGGAGGGGTACTTTGACCATGTATATCAGCATCGCATCTAGAAGTAGCGTCACCACCTTGGCTCGCGTTGAATGTCCGATGACTGAGGGAGAAGACGGTGATAGGGATGAATGGATGGAAGAAGAATACCCGAATGTAGACCGGGGTACCAACCCCGTACAAACCCCGACGTGTGCTCCTCGCCTCACCCTCGAGACTAGGGCCTTCGCGCGTGGGTCGAACGATAAACGAACAATGTTCCCTTCCTCCGGCTTGCTGGCTTGTGTGCAATTCCGATCGGCGCTGAACTCGTCGAGACACGTTCACATGGTTCTAAGCGTTCCTGCAGGAGAAGCTTCCGCAGCCTTGAGGATTGCCCTTGGCATCGTTAGCAGCAACGCGGTCGTTGGCAGTGGATACGCGTGCGGTGAGAATGTGACACAGTCAGTTGGTGATTGATCCAGGTGTCGTTCCAAATGGCTTTGCTGAGCGCGTCTGAGGCCATGGCTACAGTCATATCAGATTGATAGGCGACTTTCCGTATAGAGCAGTGCGTGAGATGCTATCTCAGCTGCCACGACAGCTCGCGACATGGGCTTCGATGCTGTCGATCGCCATTTTTGTGCGGGTTGTTGATATTGAGGTATAGGTCAGGTATGATGATTACAACAAATTGTTCGGCTCGTAACTCAGAATGCAGATCCGAAATGCACGGCCCCCCTCTTTCTAGCGCGATTTGATGTCAGCATTTGCGGTGCACCCGTATCTACCAACGGCTTAATTGCGCGCATCCCACACGCGTCTCGCGTTTTCGTTCGTAGCGCTTCGTGTTCTCCCCTCTTTTCCACCTTGACGATACCATCTCCTTAAACTTCCCATCCGCCTTCCACCACACCACTGCAAAGATGTCTTCCCTCGCAGATGCGGCAATGCGATCAGATGCCACCCCCCAAGAACCACCGAGCGATGCGAATGGAGGCAGAAGACGGCACGCGCGCTCTTCGTCTCGTCCTCGAGGACCACCCTCAGTCAGCACTCCGGGCGTGCACAGCGATATCGATGGCTTTCCTGACGATGAGGTTGTTGGAAGAAAAGGGAGAAGATCAGCACCAGGTGGAACACAAGATGTGCCGCGAGTGGTCGACACCACCGCAGAAGCGCTCGGCCTCCAATTCGAGCGCTTCTTGGACAAGTATGTTGATTCGGATTGAGAGAATGGAGCTACTGCTGACGGAATGCAGCTTTACTGAAGACCCCAATTCATCAGCTGGACCGACTTCCAGCGCGGTAACGACGGATAAGTATTACATTGCGCAGATCCATGGACTTTGCCAATTCCAGCTTTCCACGCTCTACGTCGACTTTACACATTTGATGGACCACTCGGCAGTGTTGGCAAATGCAATTCAAGGGGACTTCTACAGATTTCAACCCTACATGCTCCGCGCACTGAACAGTCTGATCGCCAAGTACGAGCCTCAATACTACAGAGAGCACAGACAGCCTGGTTCAACGACTGCGAGAACAGATACTTCGATGGCAACGCAGAGCTTGAGCGAAGAAGAGATTGGCCAGACACCGAATCAGCAGACGCCGAATCAGCAAACCGACAAGATCTTTGCTCTTGCATTCTACAACCTCCCACTCGTCTCGAGGGTGCGGCAACTGCGAACCGAGCACATTGGACATCTGGTGTCCATATCAGGAACTGTCACAAGAACGTCAGAAGTGAGGCCTGAGCTGCATTTGGCTACCTTCATATGCGAGGCTTGCAATAGCGTGGTACCCGATGTCGAGCAGATCTTCAAATACTCGGAGCCAACTCAATGTCCGAATGCCACATGCATGAATAGACAAGGATGGCGATTGGACATCCGACAGAGCACCTTTATCGACTGGCAGAAGGTTCGAATCCAGGAGAACAGCTCTGAGATTCCGACTGGGAGTATGCCCCGAACCATGGACGTCATTCTGCGAGGAGAAATGGTCGATCGTGCAAAGGCAGGTGAGAAGTGCATCTTTACGGGTGCTTTGATTGTCGTCCCCGATGTCAGCCAGTTTAGAGTACCAGGATCCAGGGTGCAGGCTGTCCGGGATTCTCAGGCTCCACGCGGCGGCGACGTGGGCGGTAACGGGGTCGGTGGACTGAAAGCGCTCGGTGTTCGAGATCTCACCTACCGAATGGCTTTCCTCGCCAACATGGTTACTCCTGATGCCTCCACCCAGGGCCAGAGCGCCAACCAGCACCTCAAGGGCCAGGCGCAGAACATTTTGAGCTCCCTCAACCAGAATGCGGATATTAGCGAGACTACTGGCGAACAGGCACAGCAAGACTATCTCGAAACGTTGACTCCAGCCGAGATCGATGACTTGCGACAAATGGTGCAGCGAGACAACATTTTCATGAGACTGGTCGACTCGCTTGCGCCAATGGTCTACGGCCATACCGTGGTCAAGAAAGGTCTGCTGCTACAGCTTATGAGTGGTGTCAGCAAAGTCACGCCGGAAGGCATGGCACTGCGTGGCGACATCAACATTTGCATTGTCGGCGACCCCAGTACGAGCAAGTCTCAATTTTTGAAATACATCTGTTCATTTCTTCCTCGAGCGGTTTACACGTCGGGAAAGGCCTCTTCCGCTGCCGGTCTGACAGCTGCCGTGGTGAAAGATGAGGAGACAGGAGAATTCACAATCGAAGCCGGTGCTCTCATGTTGGCTGACAACGGCATCTGCGCCATCGACGAGTTCGACAAGATGGACATCGCAGATCAGGTCGCCATCCATGAAGCCATGGAACAGCAGACTATCTCGATCGCGAAAGCCGGTATTCAAGCCACACTCAATGCCCGCACCAGTATCCTCGCCGCTGCAAACCCTGTTGGAGGTCGCTACAACCGCAAGACAACCCTACGAGCCAACATCAACATGAGCGCCCCTATCATGTCTCGTTTCGATCTCTTCTTCGTCGTCCTCGACGAGTGCAACGAGCAAGTGGACGAGCACCTGGCCAAACACATCGTCGGTATCCACCAGCTCAAGGACGAGGCCGTTCAACCGGAATATAGCACCGAGCAGCTGCAACGGTATATTCGCTTCGCCCGTCTGTTTCAGCCGGTGTTCACCGACGAAGCAAAGAGCTTCCTCGTGCAGAAGTACAAGGAACTCAGATCAGATGATGCGCAGGGCGGTATTGGACGCAATTCGTACCGTATTACTGTGCGACAGCTGGAGTCGTTGATTCGTTTAAGCGAGGCCATTGCAAAGGCCAACTGTGTTGACGAGGTCACCCCTCAATTCGTGGATGAGGCGTTCAAGCTGTTGCAGCAAAGCATCATCTCTGTGGAGAAGGATGATGTTGAATTCGAAGAAGAGGAAGATACTACGATGGATGCAGATGCGGAACCCGGTGCTGCTATCCTCACTGAGCAAATGGATACTAACGAAGACGGTGGGACGCCTGCTGGCTCAGCACGGGCTTCACAGACACCAGCACCTACGAGGAGAAGGACACAGATCACGTATGACGACTACATTAAGATCCACAACATGCTCCTGCGACGAGTCCGCGATGACGAGAACGAGGCGGAAGATGGTGTTGAAGAAGAGGAGTTGTTGGTTTGGTACTTGGAACAGAAGGAGGAAGAGATGGCGAGTCAGGAGGACATGGAGACTCAGAAGAGTCTGGCGCGCAAAGTGCTGAAGCGAATGGTCAAAGTGAGCGATGTACGACAAACTAGATTTCCGGAGCGTTTGCTGACTTGTGGCTTCAGGACAACGTTCTCATGCAAATCCGCGGAGAGGGCCTTGCTGACGACGAAGGACAAGGGCTGGAGCAAGATAATAAGGTCATGTATGTTGTGCATCCCAACTGTGCCTTGGGAGAGGATGCGGCTTGAAACTGTTCATGATGCGAGCGTATGCTGCGTGTATATCTGATGATGGCGTTGGCGCTGGCGCTGGTGGCATCCCGGCAGCATTCATGGAAATGGACCAACTTGACGATACTGTTGAATGAGAGATATTCTAAATAATGCTGTGATAACCCCTGATAACGTGATTGAATTTCTTTGCTGAACGATATCGCCCTTATGCATTTGCCAAGAGCGGTAAGGGGCTTCCAATGGGGGTTGGGGACCTTCTTCTTCTTGTACACGTCACCTCGTCATTACCTTAACGGGCACTTCTTGCTGTTTGAACTCTGATTTCTATCAAACGCAGAATTCCACGGATTGACTGAACATGATGTATATGCGCACAGAGGCCGCATCTTGTCTCCTTATCGACTTTTGTTTGAAGTGAAGATGCCGTCAGGAACCTTTTCAGACCACGACTGGTCCTGGCGGAATCTGGCAGATGATGGCGAGTGGAGCATTCGATGGCTACAATTCTACAGGGCGTCTGCAGCTTTACGCTGCTGGTGAGCTCGACGCCAAACCTCGCTGGAAAACTGGCAGCAAGGAGCTTGAATACGTGCAGCAGTTGACTTCGACAACGGACCTGAGGCTATGGACTGTCTTCCCCTCGGTCGCAGTGGACTTTTCCAGGCGCTATCATCTCACTGCCAGTGAAAGGACGATAAGGTTCTGGAAGTGTTTAGAGGAAAGTTATTGGTGCGCTCATCCCGACGCGGCCATGCAGGTCTCCGTAAATGGGACAAACGAAGTTGTTGACACCAGTGGCGACTCGTTGTTACCGTCAACTTCTAGAACGTGAAGATGCTTGCACACAAACGCGGCATTTTGGTTAAATGCGATCAGCTCGCACTTCTTGATCAGCATTCGAACGTCCCCTGACCAATTCATCGACCATGGCTGAATCCAATGGCTGCCCAACCGAAGATCATCATGGCATAGAGGATCTCACCCTTCGGACCGATACATTGATGTTGCGGGAAGATTCTACCGAGGAAACCAGTGTACAGTCCGAAGGTAAATATCTAATGTGTCCGTCTCATTTGGACCGTACCACTGACCATCTGTAGGCCTGCCAACGTCTCTCGAGTTACGAGTCACATCATATGGCGGCTATGGACTATTCGCTACACGAGATCTACCACGCGGAACACGAATCATCGCTGAACCGCCAATGATTCACCAGCCTCCTGGAGACAAAATGGATGCAGTGTGGATGCAACTCGAAGCCTTGACACCCGAACAACTCAACAGGTACACAGAGCTCTCTTCTGGCAATGGTACAGTCGGCATCCATCAGCGCCAAATGATCAAAACTCGGCTGGCGAACGAACGGAGAAGTAGCGGCGCGGCTCTAGAAGCGATGACCAATGACATGGTCAAGCTACACGAGATATATTTCAACAACTGCGTGTCCATGGGTTGCAATGAGCGTTTTGGGGCCGGACTCTTCCCTCTTTACAGCCGCATCAACCACTCCTGCCTCCCAAACGTCCAGAATAGCTACAATGCTACCCTCGGCAAGCTCACCGTCCACGCCATCAGAGATATCAAAGCTGGCGCAGAGCTTTGCACATCGTACATCTTCAACTTGCGCACCAAGGAGCAACGCCACGAGCAGTTGAAGAACACGTGGAGTTTCGATTGCCAGTGTGAGGTCTGCGACAACACCCCCACGGCATTTGCCAGCGAAAAGCGCCGCCAGCTGATGTTCGACATTGATCAGGCTCTTGCTGCATATGAGGCAAACATACCATTTGCGAGAGCTCTCATTCCAAACGCTCCAAGGAATGGCAAGGAAGCTCGCGAGCTGGTAGAACGACTAGTCGCTGTCCTGAGAGAGGAAGGGCTCGTAGGAATGGATCTGGCACAGGCGTGAGTACCTTTGCTCTGGGTTTCAAACAAAAAGTCTTCTCTTGCTGACATCCAATCTCCAGTTACCGTGAATGCTCCAAATACAGCCTACAGGAAGGACTGATTCCCAAAGCCCTCGCGTACGCCCAGAAGGAATGTGAGGTCGAGAAGGTCTGCATTGGCTCGGAGACTGATCACTTGGAGAAGAACATGGAAGGCGCAGTGTACTGGATCAAGCATCTGGAGACGCTTTCCGAGCAGGATAAGGTCAAGGCACGCATGAATGAGAAGAGATTCGCGAAGGAACAGAAGAAGGCCGATAAGAAGGCCGCGAAGAAGGCGGGGAAGAACGGGAAGGGCGAAGGGCGTTGATGGGCGGGGAGATGTGGAAGGAGAAGGCTTTGCAGAACCGTGGGTATGCAATAAAAGTATCGTTTGCTTTGCGAGCATTTGGGAATTGGATGACTGAAAACTGTGGTATCACGTTGACCTCGTGATGGACAGATGTTTCTCCACTCCAAAGAAATCAGTCAGTCCTCACTGCACCAAACCAATCGGCCCTCGCGATTGACGTCGAGCTGCATCGTTACGATGCTTCACCAATCCAGAACTTCATTTCCTCTTGAAGCCTCATCCCAAGGTCCAACCTTTCCAATTGACACATGAGACGCATGATATCGAAAATGAATCGTTATCGTCGCTTTTCTTATTATTGAAGTCTACTAAGATGGCAAATAGAAGAAAAGTGCACGGACCTCGCTATCACATGTTAGCTGACTATTCCGGGCGGCCGAATGCACCAGGGACTACTTGCAACAATAGTAGATTACTTTGACACGAGAATTTTTGACCAATGTCGATGGACCATGATTCATGGCAGAATGTAATTCGTATCTGAATCGACTGTTTACGAGCACAAGAGTGGCTACCTCCAATCAAGCGCTACGCCGGAAGAACTTTTCCCCGCTAGCGGGGACTTCCTGCCTCGCAGCCTGAGCTCGGGCGGTAAAGCCGAGCTGGAGGTGATCTGTGCGGAGATGGAAAGAGTGGGTCAGAGAAGAAGGAGTGCGATATTTAATTCGACTTTGAGCTTCGCCTTGTTCGGACTGCTGTGTGGGGCCGTACTGTAACCGAGTAGCTCTTGGTGTTGAGAAAAGAAAAAGTACGATATGCTCGTACAGCGCTTGTGGAGGAATACAGTAAAATCGTGATAGGGCCTAATGAGAACAGAAGGTCTGGAAAGACGAAATTTAAAGTGAATCGCCAAAGTCTGCAGCCGAGTTGGTGCTGGAGAAGCGTCTCTCTGCTCTCATCGTGATACGACGGAGGGTACCCAATCGACGACAGCCTTGGTCTTGTCCGCCTCAGCTCCCAGCTGTGCGGGTTGTTGCAAATACGCCCAAACTTCCGTTGGACCCGGTAGAATGGCGTCGCGGCACTAAACAGCCTCCATGGAGAACGGTAGGGGAACGCGCTCGATACGGCCTTGGAATGCCACTATCTCACTTGCTAGACCCAACGCGAAACCTGCAAGGCTGCCCAGCTTCTCGGCGGGATGCAGAGATACAAAGTCGCATCGGAGCGTCTTGATGGCCGCACAAGCGGAAGGAGCGAGCTTGGAGAGCCACTTGACGCAGTCGTATCGATTTTTAGAGAGGAAGATGGAGTGTTCGTAGTAGAGCTTGCTGGATTCGGTGTAGAGTTGCTTGGAGGCGAGGCACTGCAGCGCTAAGATCAGCATGGACGGGGTTGCAGTAGCTGTGATTGCTCGGCGGCGTACCAATCCTGCATTGCGGCCTTCCACCTTTTTGACGTCCAAGTCCACGATGAAATCTTCGAAGGTGAGCTTGTAGATCTCATCACGCAGTTCGCGCGGCAAGGCCAGCAGTAGTGACTGCGGCGGCTGCGGCGCGCCCTGACTGGCGGCCGTCATGCTGAGTTGGAGGTGATGCTCGGGAGTTTCTGTGTGTGTGTGTGTGTATGTGTGTGTGTCGGAAGCTGCAAGCTGTTTGACAGCCGAAGGGGAAATGTTGCGTCGGCATCGGTATCGGATTCAATGTTCCGATAGTGACCCGTGCACTTTCACATGCGCCACTAGCGAGAGAGTTTGGAGTATGGCGAAAACAGTGCACTCACCAGAAGTTATCGCATGACAGAACAGATGGTGCAGTCTGCTGGAACAACCTGATCGCGGGACGCAATCGTTCATCTCCATTTCCTCTCGGCCTTGGAACGCGCCACGCTCGAGAGCAATGCCACACTTCCCTTCCAGCCGGACGTAGAATCTTGCAGACTTATTCTTCTGGTTCTCTAGATAAGCTCCATTATCGTTAAAACGGTTGTATCAGCACTTCGGATCGAAGCAAAGAGTCCTGATCTGAGCTCGATGTTGAGACGCAAGTCTCATGCGCGTCACCCTGCCGTCGTGCTTTCAGCGGATTGAGAATGCTGTGCCCTGGTAGAATAGCTTCACAGTCTCGGCGAAAAGCAGATTAGACGCGAAAAACTGGGTGAGATCGCTGGTCAGCCTGCCATTCTGCGTATCACAGCGTCTGGCGCTTCTTACCAAGCCCGCCCTGCAGGTCGGAGGAGGAGGCTTGATCTCCAAGATCTCGTCGCGTGATTCTTGAGGCAGCGCAAGGAGCCGTAATTGCGGCGATTCGGCCTGAGCCTTCGTGCGACCTGTGTCAGCGCGGAGACTGGAAGATATGTAAAACCAACGTTATCTTGAAGAGCCAGTCGACGTAGAGGACCAAATCTTCCATGGGATTCGAAGAAACGTTGGCCGGTCCTTGGTACTCAGGGATCTGTCCTTTTGAATCCTGTAAATGTACATCTTTCTTTTCTACAACACTCATAGAGATGAGATACTTCGCTATCCCCACACCGACAAACTGAGCAGCAATTTCCTGCACCCGCTTGCTTTCCCACAGATTGTACGCCACAAATGCAATAGCATCTCACACTCCAAAATCAGGAGATATAAAAAACACTGGAGAAGGTTTGCCATCTCTTGCTGTAGTGGTAGCATCGTCCGTGTCTGTAAGTTGGACGTGGAGCAAATTACGCCTATGCCCTGTTCCTAGTCGTTCGCTTCTTATTCGACAGTGGCGGAGCCGGCGTCGGAGGCTGCGGCGGAGTTGGAGGAAACAGATATGCTTGGGTCGACGGCGATCATCTCGGCGAGGATGTCCAGGATGGGCTGTTCAATCATTAGCAAGCGAACACTCTTCAGCACAAGGTTTTCATACGACATACCTTGGGTACCGTCTTATCATAGATTGTAATGAGCTCTCTCGGCTGAGGATAGACCTTCAAGGCCTTGTAAAAGCACAGTGCCGCATCGACGGGGTCGCTTCCATCTGTGCACATTCCTTCTCCGCGAGCGACCTCCTGCATGAAGTATGCCTCCGTCTCCTCTGGATCTCTCGGGAAGCCCTCCTCGTTTGCCTCGTCTACCTTGGCGCGAATCTTCTCTTTCTGCGAGCGCTCAGCGGCCTTTGCGGATTCCTCTGACACCTTCTGAACTTTCTTGTGCTGGCGCTTGAGATGCTTCCGGAATTCGGGATCGCTTCGGCGCTTGTGATCGAAATAGAGGGCGTAGACGAAGGCGCCGGTTGCGATGACACCGGCGGTTGCGACGGCAATGGTTGTCGTTGATGGCCCGGATGAGGGTTGTGTTGAAGCCATGGTCGAGTTGTGACGAAATGCAAGTCGTAAATAGAGAGTCGTGTTCCGCGAGTACCGGCGATCAAATCTTCAAGAGTGTAAACGCCTTTTGCGTGGTGGTGGGATCTGGAAGTGTTTCCGCGATGTTGAACATTTTGGGCGAAGATGCTGGATGTTCGGGAGAAGGAGCTCAAAATCCACAGGGTCCGTGCTCACTCCGCGTCATCTGCCGTCTGCCGAAACATAACGTACATGTAGCTCCCCGTCCTGCAGTCACATTCACCTCCACCGCCCTCTCCCTCCCACCGCTCCGCCCGTCCGCCCGCTCGCTTCGCCTGCCAGGATGTCGGAGAGCAAGGGCATCTCGCTGCGTCGTAAGAAGACGACAGCAGCGCGCCCGACCATCTCCGCCCCGACCCAGTTCCGCGAAGGCAGCAATGGACCCTCCCGGTCCAACTCGGAATGGACGGTTGCTACACAGGACTCGGGAGCTACATCACGGGACAGATCGCGAGGAAGAGCGGACCAGACCAGCGACTTGGTGAAGCGGAGATACAGCACGCGATTCACGGGAGGTCCAGCTCAAGATGGCGCGCCTCCGTCAATGCCTGCAATGCCCACGCTGCCGCCTCAATTCGTCGGTGCAGGCGGATCTGGGCCGGGGATGCGACCTCCGCCGTCGCGGGATGGAGACAGCAAGAGCAGAGATCGCGGGCAGGGAACATTGAAGGTGGATATTCGCGCGCTGAAGGATCCCAATCTACAAGTGGATAAGTACGTTCAGAGCATCCTGTCCGATGCGACCGAGAGCGACATCACGGCCTACCAGAGAGACCTTCAGAATGTCAAGGCGCATACAGATGCAGACCTCCAGCACAATGTCTACCAGAATCGAACGCAATTCGTCAAGATTTCCAAGGAGGCCGATAAGCTGAAGTCGGAAATGCGGACATTACGAACGTTGATGAGCGAATTGACCGGCGCTTTAGGGCATGCGACAAGCGCAGCTGGTGCAGACATCAACACAACGAGCACACTCAGCTTGGCCGATAGGAAGCGCGCAAATAGGAGCAGCGTTGCCAACTTGGAAGCCATGTGGAGTACCCATCTACAGACATTGTGGAAAAGGGTAGAGGGGAGCCAGAAGTACCTCCCTGCCTTGCCAGGACGACACATCATTCTGGAGAGTCAGAGGTGGGTGGAACTAAACGCTGCCACTTGGAAGCCAAGGCGAAGGGTTGCATTGGTCCTGCTGAACGACCATCTCCTGGTTGCGACGGAGAAGAAACGAGCTGTAGATGCCGCACCGGCAGGCCAAGGCAATAGAATGTCAATGTATAATCCGGGTGGACAATCTCAGACAACTCTGGTCGCGGACCGATGCTGGCCTCTCCACGATGTTTCACTGGCGGATATCAGCACGAGATCTTCGACCTCCATGGGTCAGAGCACGTCGAAAGAGAACAAGGCGATCTCGAACGCTATCAATGTGCGTGCAGGCAACGAGAGCTTTACCTATGCCACAAGCGACAGTGCCGACAAGGCTGGTCTCATCGTCGCATTCAGAAAGGCTCAGGAGGATCAGCGAAAGCAGTTGGCCGCCGAGCACGCCGGACGAGAGAAGAAACTAGACGAGCTGGCAGCATTTACTGGACGTGACCCAAGATCGCTGAAGAAAGCCGCAGCGGCTGGCAATGAGCAGCAAGGCGAGGACGGCAAATTAGGTGGCCTAAGCAGGAGTAATTCTGTGCTGGTAGACGCCGACGGGAGACCGCAGAGTATACGCTGGGTGGAGTCGCAGATTGATGGGCTCGACATCGACATCGCGCTACAGAGATTTGAGGAGGCAGTAGCTCGTGTGGAGAGCCTCCGCAAGATGGCGCGTGGTATCAAAGGCAATGCGACAGCCCAGGAAATCATCTTGGTTAAGGTGAACGAACGCGCCAGTCGGCTTGCTAACAATGTAGCACGGCAGTTGGGATATGCTAGTGGAGGAGCGGAACGGACAAAAGAGAACGTCTCCTGGCTGCTTCGCCTTGGGTTTGAGCAACTGGCACGGAACACCTACCTTTCAAGTCGCACAGAGACGATCCGCATGCGCACCAGACAACTTCCGTTTACAGGCGCACTGGAGCCGTACCTGCATGCACTCTCCTATACTACATTTACTCTATTGGTGCATACCTTCCGAACTTTCAATCAGTCCTTCCCGGCTTCGAGTGGGAGTGCTGTTGTACGATGGGCGAAAGAGCGTGTGGACGATTTCAATGCTGCACTTCACCGCCAGCTGGGCACTGTGGATCGAGATAGCGATGTCTGGAACTCATGCATTCAGATCATCGAAGAGCAGGCTCTTGCGCTCGGAGAGGTTGGCGTCGACTTCAAAGGACTTGTTGCGAAGGATCTTACGGGCAGTGCTGGAGCGGCGACCAATGGAGCGCGAGAACCAGTTGGACTGGGAGTGAGCACATGATGCGGAAGTCAGGGAAGTCATCATTCGATCAATCACACGAGTCGGAAAGCTTCGTCGTAGTTTCGAAGCCGATTCTGCGGACCGGAATCACGCCAGAAGGGAATATCACGAACTCCGAGCAAACGCCGATTGCGACCTTGTCCATTGATGGGAACGGAACATCGCAGCTGATACCTTTGCAGCGGCTACATCTTCATCATTGCCCAGCCACCTATCTTGTTCAATCGCAACAGCGTTATCGCAGAAGCGCATTCCCTAGGCAGATTTCACCATTCTAAAGCTTCACCGCAACACGATACCTTCCCGAGAAGCCGCCGCGTTGGACCGATTAGACTACTTTCAAATGTTTCGTTGGGAAATCAGCAGCATGTCAGCTCAGCGGCCGAAATATAACGACAGGCTATATCAGTACCAGATCATTTTCTCGCGAAGGACACGCTCTATGTGCTACACTCCCCTATCACTTACATATTTCAGTTCCGCGAAAACCCGATGATCGATCACGTGACTTTGTCCGCTGATTGCTATATTTTTGGAAATCAGTACCCGAGCTGTGTCCGACTTTAAGATCTTGCGTTGGGTACGAACTTATTTAAGCCGACCGGGCGTTCAGTGTGCGAAACAGACTGCGGCTACAAGAGGGTGTAATTGTCTTGGGCGACAACTCCACAGACTCTCCAGATTCGATTTCTCCTTTGCGCCGGCCTGGGGATAGCAGCTTATTCTGAGATTTACTACACAATGGACTGGCTTGCCGACTGCCGAGATCAAGCTCTCCAACACCTTGCGATCAAGCAAATGCGAACTGGCCAAATCGCTTCATTGGCCGAGAGGAGAAGATCGTCGGGTCGAACTCCAATCCAGCGACCGGTTATGGAAAGCCCTGAATTGCTTCATCCGGAAAAGCCGTCGCCGATCCTGGCTCTTCCTGCTGAATTGAGGGATATGATATACTGTTCGCTTTTCAACGAGGAGAATGTGCAACTGATCAAGCCTGCGTATCGCTTTCCTGGCCTCTTGCTTGCCAATAAACAAATCCATCGCGAAGCGACAGGGCTGTTCTACGCAAACAGCACGTTCCGATGCTTGGATGAGGATTCGGCGGTACGGTGGCTCACAAACTTACCCGCAAGATGGCTAGAACTTGTCCCGGAGGTCAGATACGATACGAGATGGATCATCTTCATCACGCCGGTAATTCCTGTTCCTGGAGCCGAATTCTGGCTCTACCGAAGTCTTGTCCGACGTTTGGAGGAGAGAAATTTCGATCTGAAGGTGTTGCAAGGCCCAGGGGCTGGAGCAGTCGCGGCGAGAGAAGAGGAAGGGTGGGCTGGAGAGGTCAGTGAGGAGATGCAGAAAGGGACTGGAAGGTTGAAGATTAGTTATTACCAGAGTGGCGAGGGAGGTTGCATTCGATGGACGGACAAGCCTGGTTTGATCGAGGTTGTGAGTCAGTGAGCGGTCGTGGAGTGCGCAATGGGAATTCGAGGATCTTTGGAATCACATGCCAGCGATCGAAGAGCGGACACTGCCGCTTCTAACGTCCACCCCCGAATCTTTGTCTCCTTTTGGCTTTCGAGCTTTGGCTAGTCTCCACATCTGAACAGGACAATCACACCACCTTCGAGCGACTGTACGCGAGGGTCTTCTGAGATGCTGATGCCGATGCCGATGGCTTGGTCGGGTTGAACTTATGGGGGCGTACATGAGGGCCTGTATCCCTCAAGGAGGGGGCATCTCTCAGCTAGACTCTCAAATGTGCCCTCGACGCATCTCTCAAAACACCCTTCACCACCTCAGCGTCTTTCAAGCCAGCCACCAAATATCGCCTTCTACTAGTCCTTCATCATGTAACATTCGCCGCTCACTCATCACTGCCATCCATCCAACAGTCCTTCCTCCCCTCCTTTGTTCCTCTTCCTTCCCATCTCGGCCCACCATCGAGAGTGCAGGCAGCGTACGCCTTTCTCGATGAGATGCCGAAGGAATGCTCCGCCGGAGGCTTTGGTGGCAGCCCGTTCAAGTTCTGACAAGCTCCTGCTGGGGGGGGGACTTGGACTAGGGCAGTGAAACACGTGCGGTAACGTGCGTGGTAGGTAGGACGAAGCGCGCGCCCTCTTTTTTCGCGTATGTAAGTTGATGATAAGAACTACGAACTACGAGGAGGGTTTTCGTCGTGGTGGTGGGATGTCGTGCCCTTGGGAGTTTTTCTTTTGGATATGTGATGTTCTGATTACTGACTGACGATCATCAGCTCCCCAACAAATCCGTCTCGCGGAGCTCTCGCTTGGATAAAAGCGCGCAGATGGTGGGGATTTGCTTCGTGGTTGGCCCCTTTTTGGGAAGACTTTTTGGTGCGTGCTCTTGGAGGGGGGAGGAAGGGAGGGATGGGATGGGATGGGATGTGCTTTGCATGCATGTTTTGAGAGCATTCATTGTGAGACGTGCGTTGTATTGAGATGAGCTTAACTGCAGCGTGAACAGTGGATGGCATGCATGGGAAAATGGTGCTAGCCGGCAAGCAAGCAGCACCAGCCTTGTGAGTGCACGCAAGGAACAGGGGGACAAACACTTTTGGAGCGAAAGGTTCGACATTTGACATTCGACCTTCAAGCTTGGCAGGGATGGTGGTGCGTGGATGTTTCTTCCGTTGCTCACATGTGAGCGTGAGATCCGTGCGTTGGACCGTGCTCCGCTGCTCATACTCATAAGATGCTTTTGGAAGGGGATCGGCTGCTAGCTACTGAGGTTGTATAGATCAGCATAACAAAAATAAGGGACTCCGCCCGCAATGGAAAAGCTGGGAGATTCATTGTCACATAAAGTCAGCCAGCCATCCATGTAAAACCTTGCCGGATGTTATGAATATCGGATGGTAGCCCGTCGAGCTCTCTTCCCCGGGCTCCCAACTGTCCCGAGAGGATTTCCGGGACTGCGGTATCACGGGGAGCCTGAGTCCCCTTGCAGCGCCTGCTTGCTGAAAAGCCAGCAGAGGAACTGCACCAAAGCGAAGTATCCCCCGACTTGGGCAAAGACATCCTTGATCGAGTCAGTCGCAGTGTCGATCGAGTTTGTAGCGACGAGGACGACTGAATACTCACGCCCGGGGAAGCGGCTTTCAGCCGACGCATGACCGTGCGTGTCATGTCGGAGAACTGGACGGTGACGGTCGTGTAGCACCAGTATCGGTCGGTCTTGACGTCGCAGACGTCGTTCAGATAGGGTGTGGAAGTCGATTCCACATCTGACCCTTGGGTTAGAGAATCTTGCCGTTTCCATTCATCGGCGGCACGCATATTGCGGCTTACCAAAGTAGTAGTAGGATTCGCGGTTCCAACCCACTCTCCACTTGGGGCTGACGATGATGCGCGACGAGCCCAGCATCGAGATCTGCATCACGGTAGCATAGCCTTTGGTGAAGGCGTCTCGAAAAGGGAGGCTCTGATCGTATATCATGAGGAGATATGTTGGTCCTGGTACCGGCCATCCTTTGGGGACGGTCGAAGTGTTATCTGGTTGTATCGGTCAGTACAGACAAGCATTTTCAGGGGGGTTTGAAAAGGATACCGACGCGACGAGAAGACTTGCAGCGCTACGGTGGCATTGGTCGTGTTGACGACCATCTCGGGGGAGGGCAAGAAGACTTGGTACGACACACCACCCGTATGATTCGGCAGTGGCGCTCGCATGACGCCCGTGAACATGTCGGAACAGTTGCAGTAATGATTTCCGAGAATATGCTCCACGTCTTGATCCAGGCACGGTGTCAACGTATCATCCCACCCGCCCGTAATATCGGTGAGTATTCCCTTTGGATGGGGGTAATTCAGGAGCTGTGCGGAGTCGTAGCGTTCCATGATGGAAATCCAGGCGACTGCGGGCAGAGGCATCTGTTCCATGTCCTGGACTTCCTGGCGGAGAGTCTCGCGATTGAGGCTGGGGTACCAGGCGAGGGGATACAGGATGAGACACATGGCCATCGTCAGGACGCTGGTGAGGATGCTGTTGATCAGATTGGAGTTGTAGACGACCTGCTTTCCTGGGCGGTCATCAGCCGGCTTTTCATGCTGCGTCCTTGGATGAAAAACGACATACTGTTCGTCGATATCTTCAACGCAGTGAAGATTACCGAAGTCATCCATATAGCTCCTCCCATTGTCTCACATGCGAGGTAGGCCTCTCTGCTGTGGTGGACAACAGCCACGATGCCAACCACGAGAAATAGCAAGAAACTGGTCAACACGACAGCTGCGCATTGCCATAGTGGATCTTTGCTGGATGTCTGGGGGGCCATGTTTGTCTCGTAGTCGAATGCTCGACGGTGCAGTAGCATTACGATGTTGCAATAGACCAACGCTTGGGAGGGCTGGAGCACCCCCATATACGAAGTGGAAACATCCTCTAGCATCACAAGTAGCGGCAGTGCTGAGGTGTGCATCGCCCATCGTGTGAGAGTTGTACACCGCATAGCCGAGATGACTATTGCACGGCGATGCTATCTGAGACAGCACGGCAGCCAGCGCTTTATGCTGCTATGCCGTGTAGGGTGCGCCACCTTCCTCAGGGGCAAATCAGTCGGGGACATGAGCAGCTAAGCCTCCAAGGCGCTGTTGTGCTACGGAAAGTTGTTAGCTACTGGTTGCCGCTCCTCTCACCGGAAAGCATTCGGGCCCCTTGATGATTTGGAAGTTTGGAACATGGCAGTTCAAAGAGTCGTTGTCGACCTGCCGTTACTTTGTCCCCTGACGACTTGGGCTGGGTATTGCCCTCCGGCCCTTGTACTGTTCTCGCCTCTGCAATGTTATTTGCAGCTGTTGGTCTGCCTCCAGAACGTGTCGGTCCAACAAACAACAGCATTCCTGCGCCACACTGAACTTTTCGGGCAGTAAAGACGTCCATCCAGATCTCGGTCGTTCCCCAAAAGGTCTTTCAAGAACGGAGAGATATTTGTGAGAAAGATCCTCCAAGGCCGAGATGTTGTCAGGAACGACTGAAGCCATATGCCTGTCAATAGAGGAATCGGCCTGCAAAATTTCGTCATCGCAGGGTCATGCGTAACTTCCGGCAAAACATCTTGTTTTTCGTGATGGGATATCGTTTGCCTCCTCCCACTCCGCATCATCGTCAAATGAACAGGTACCATGGTAATGACAAAAGACACGGGAAAGCAGAAGAGCAAAGAAGCAGGCCAAAACGAGTCTGCAAATGCAACGGGGGGAGGAGGAGTGGCGGCCGTGACGGGAACCGTGAGTCCTCCTCCGCGAAGATTCGAAGACTTTCTGTCTGCAACCCGGGTCCTCACCCTTTTTTACTTGCAGGTTGGAGCTGTCATCGGAGGAGTTACACGCACGGGTAGGTCTAACATTCATGGTGTGTGATATCTTGGTCTAATGCGACGAGACATACGCGTAGCCGGTGGCCTGATCGGATCCACGGGCCGCGCTCTGGGCGGCACCGTCAACAACGCCTCGGGAACGAAACCCATCGGCAATGGATTGACGACCGTCACGGAAGGGCTCGAATACGGCGTCGCGGGCCTCTCGCGTGGCCTGGAGGATTTGTCGGCTGGGAAGCGGCCGGGTTCGACGGATTCGGAATGGGATCATCGTCGGATGCCATAGACTCTGCGTGAACGGATTTATGGTCGAGGATGGCGCGCGCGCTAGATTTTTAATCATACGATAGTTGTAGCTTTGATCGCATTTACCGGCGTCAGACAGCTCTCCATGTCGCAGGCAAAAAGGTACAAGGGTACAGTTGAGAGCTGGTATATTACTATCCTAAATTTAAGCGAAGGGCATACCCGTAGCTTCTTAATCTACGCTATATGCTTACCTATATCTACTTCGCTAGAATGCGAACTGAACGTCGCAATATAGGGAAGTGCTTACTAAGGTGAGGGGTAGTAGCTAGCTAATTACGATTTATAATATTCTTTTTCGACTAATTAGCGCGTACGCTTCTATATAAAATCTGGCTGCCCTAAATATCGCACGCCTACTAGTACTAGTACTAGTACTACTATAATCTATCTACTACTTTCCTCCGGCGGCTCTCCGAGAGCTCTCCGAGGGCTACTACGTAGAGCTTCCCTAGGGAGACCCCGGACCCCCCCCCCCCCTTTTTTTGCCTTCTTACCGACTATATCAAACGCTACGGGAGGCTTAGAGGGTCTTCTCGTCGCTACGCTATAGTCCTACGCAAGCTCCGGAACAGCTAACGCTCCTCGTCGACCCTCACCGCCTGCCCTTCGCTTAAAGATACGAGCCTGCGATGTGAATACACATGAGCCGTCCAACCAACGCATTTCCCCCAGCGCAGTCCATCGTTGCAGCTGGAAGCAGAAAGGCGTCTTTGCATCGACCCAGAGCAGCCCGTAGACATCATATGTCTCCAGCCGGATTCCCCTTGGAAATTGCCCGTGGCACTACTTTCTGCCACACAACAAACTATCTCGACGATGCTCAGTTGTTCCCGTCGGTACTCCGTCAGGAGAATCGTTCACTTATAGAGGTCCGCTATTACTCAAAAAGATACTTCTTAGCACACCGACAGCCTCTACGTCCATCCCTAGAGCCAACATTCTTCCAGCTCAACAGACCTGTTCAGCAGCACACCAGCATAGCATAGCAGTTCAAGTTCCTGACTGGGTAGTTCCCGTGGCTGCGGCCTCTATCTAGAAGAGGGGAAAAGACGAAGAAATCCGCAAAAGACCGAGGATGTATATTTGTCCTTGAGACAAGTCATGGCCAGAATCCCTTCTGTCTCTAAATGTATATAGACGCGTCAACAGTTAAACTGCACTATAAGGCCAGGCAAGGCTTTTCGTCCAGACTCGTATATCACCTTCTCGAGTTTTTGCTTCCCGTCGGATGTATTGCGGACGTCCCCTTTCAGCTTTTCAACAACAGCAGTAACAGAATGAGTCAATGTGGCACAGATATACCATACCATAACCCAAGCCCAAGCCATAAGCTGAGCTCTACAAACAAACTCTCTTCGAGCGCTTCACTGCTTCCACAGCTTCTCCTAAACGCGAGTCCCGCCGTCCATCCTCCCGGGAGTATCCAGTCGTTAGCCAACTCTCAGACCGCTCCTTACATTCAAATCCAAACCACAATCCCCGCATCCCCCGTAGAACCTCACGGAGTACGTGTGTGTGTGTGTGTGTGTGTGTGTATAGCGAAAAGTCCCCCTCGGAACTCCACGACATTGATGAATCTGGGACTCGATGACCTTACCCTGGACACATATCGCAACGACGGCACGTGGATCCTGATGGCTTACGGGGCGTAACTGGTCCCTGGCTCTGATTCTGATCCTGATCTTGATCCTGATCCTGATCCTGATCCTGATCCTGTTGTGCGTAGGAATCGTACAAACAGCCCCCTCAGGGGGATGGAAGGCTGAACAGGTCGAAGAGCCGAGAGCGTTTACTCTGTGTAGCAGTATCTCGCTACGCAGCAGGTTAGCCTGAGTTGATACGGATTCTCTTGAATTGCAGCACATGGCTGGCTGACGGGCAGCGGCTTGACATCGCTCTGGCTTCTCGTTCTCTGCGTGAGGATTTCGCGGCGAAGAGAAATCTCACATGTCGTCGATCGGGTTCAGACAGAAGCAGAAAGATCTTGCAAGCCTTTGGAATAGGCTCGGGCGATTTCTTCACGGCTGTGCCGGTCGATTAGGAGCTGGAGTTGGACCGGAGCGGTGGAGTTTCTCGTCGATCTAACGATGGGGGCTCGCTCACGATGAGGATCCGACTCCGAATCGACTCAAGAATCATATCGAACACTCCACTCGACCGGTCTCAAAGAAATTCGTTCGTGGTGGTGGTGGTAGTAGCAGTGGCGAAGAATTGGCCGTTCACTGCACCAAGAAAAAAATCAAAAATGTCTGGAGTAGCCAGAAGAGGACGACGGGGTCGCCTGTTGGAACTACGAGACATAGGAGTGCCCATGACATCGAGAGAAAGAAAATGCCAGTCTCTGCGGACTGAAAACATCTCTCTTCGAATCGACGAAATGCGTGCTGGGCTGTACAGGGAACGCTATGAGGCTGTGGTGTACTGTACGATTGAGTGAGATGCTAAACATGAGCAGCAGAGATTCGCGAGTTGTCGGTGAGGTGACTACGCTACCATAGAGCAGAAGAGTTCACTCTATTCCATGCATCCGAGGCGCGCGTGGAACGAATCAAGCCCGCTTCCTCGGCAAGAAAGTATTCACGCCCGCCCTGCGGAGAACCCTCGGGCGCCCACCGATATACAAGAAACTCAACAAGCTGACGAGGGCACAGATGGCCGCCAGCACGAGGTTCATATTCCCATAGCCGATGACCTGCTTCAGTTCACCCGCCAACTCCGGCCCGACCGCCAGCCCGAAGCTGAAGACCATATTGCTCAGACCGTAGAGCTGCGCGTAGGGACCCTTGTCGCCGAAGTAGTCCGGGTTGGCTTCGTAGTACTTCTGCACCACGGCGCCCGCCTCGACGATGGAGGGCGCGCCGATGCCCGCGAGGCCGACGCCCGAGAGGGCGAGAAGGACGGTGTAGATGATTATCTGCTTGGTGCCGCCGGGCTGTGGGATGCGGAGGAGCACGAGGACGGGCACCAGGAAGCCGTAGCTGAAGACGGCGACGGGTTTCGTGCCATAGCGGTCGACACACCATCCGAATAGAGGGCCGAGAAGGAGATCAAAGACCCCAAGTGGGAGGAAGAGGAGGCCGGATTTGAGTGATGTGAAGCCGAAGAACTCACCGGCGACAGTCGGGATGGTGGCGTCGAAAGAGCCAAGAAGCACAGCCTGTATCATGGCGACGAGGAAGGCAACAAGAAGCATGGGATCGGTCAGACAAGGGATGATGGGGATTGCACGGACCAGACAGGAGTATTCATTCCGAGGGCGAAGCTTGTAGTATTCCTCATCGGGGTGTTTGCCACCAAGGAGAGGATCCTCCTCTGAGCCATTCGCAGAGGCGTTAGACTGCTGTTGCGATTCTTCATCATTGACGGCCTCGTTATGACTTTCTCGGTGCTGCTGAGAAGCAGTCAGGTCGCTGACAGTGCTCGGATCGTCCGCTTCGTACTTGAGGGCTTCTTTCTTCTCGATGACCATGATCCGCATGAGGAAATCGACAATGAGGATAGAGGCTCCGATGGCGAAGACTCCTTCGTAGCCCGTCTTCTCATACAACAAGCCACCGAGTGTCGGAGCAGCAAGGTTGCCGACCGCAATAAAGCTGAAAATCTGGAGGACATGTCAGCATGCTGTTTGTAACACAGCGTGTTCACATACCGAGCCAATTGTCTTGCCAAGATTCTCCGGTCCGACAGTCTCCAGACAGAGAGCCAGCCCAATCGTCCAGACGAACGCAGCACTGATACCCTGCAACACCCTCGCGAGAACCAAGACCGGCACAGTCCTCCCGAGGAACAACAGTACAGTAGCGGCCAACAAAGCGGCCAGTCCCAACAAGAAGGGCGATTGTCTCGTCTCCACCTTATCAGCCAAGATACCAGCCACGGGGCTGAAGACGACACTGGCGGCCGCATAGGCTGCAAGCAGTCCCGATACATGGCTCTGAATTTGTTCCTGGGGCAGGCCGACTCGGTCTTGGAGCATGAAGGGCAGCACGGGCACGATCAGGCCGTAGAGGAAGAGGTCTGTGAAGAGCCCGACGGCCACGGTGGAGACGATGAAGAGGGTGTTGCTCCTCCATTTGAGACCGGCGGGCTGGATGGTGTAGTCGGTCCTGATCTGGAGGGTGTTGAGGAGTTTCCTCCAGCCGGTGGAGACCGGCATGACGAGGAATTTTTCCTATCCCGGTAGGCGAGGGCTGGTATCCTGGGGTTAAGATGGCTCTTCCAATTGCTTCTGGATCAGGTATTCGAGTTGGTGAGGTATTACGGCAAATGTAGGTGGGAAGGTGAGAGAGAGAGAGAGAGAGAGAGAGAGAGAAAATGTGTCGAAGAACGACATGGAACGAACGAACGGACGTCAATGTCAACGTCATTGCCTGCTGGAGCCGTCGGAGTCTAATTTGAGGGACTTCTTGCGACCTCCGGCAAATGGGAAGTGATATCTCTGTATTTGATATGGGGAAGATACTGCTGCTGTAGATCAGACGGAATAGATTTCAAATGGACTCAATTTCGACGCATGTGAAAATTGTGAAGTGAATGGAGTTGCGAGTCGAAAGCGGCCAAAGCTCAGCTCGGAGGAGAGCGGAATTGGTTCCGGCTTTCGATTTCCACTTAAACGTCCAGCTTCTCCCTCTCCTCCTCCTCACAACAACAACAACAACACCACCACCACACGTCTTTCACCTCCAACAGCATCACGAGCCCAGTAGACCGGCACAGGCAGGAACATACCACATTTCCTACATTTCTCCCAAAAATGGCCGACGAGAATCCGCCCAACGCGACGTTCGTACATTGCACTGCGTACGAACCAGCGCGAGCGCCCGCCGAGACACTGACCACGCCACTAGACTCTACGTGCAGAACCTGAACGAGAAGGTCAAGATCCCCGAGCTGTGCGACTCCCTGCGCGATGTCTTTGGCGACTTTGGCAACATCATCGACGTGGTCGCCAAGAAGAGTCTGCGCCGGCGCGGCCAGGCCTTCATCGTGTTCGAGAGCGCCGGGGAGGCGCAGGAGGCCATGGAGACGCTGAGCGGGTTCGAGCTGCACGATAAGCCCATGACGATTCACTTTGCCAAGACGCGGAGCGATGCGACCGTGAAGAGGGAGGACGACGAGGCGGCCTACGAGGCGCACGTCAATCATCGGAAAGCGGAGAAGGGTGAGGCACACATATACACATACATCTGAGTATCAGACGAAAGGATCGGACTAATGATGTGTATATGCAGAGCGCAAGCAGGCCCTCGAAGCGGAGAAGGCGTCGAAGCGCACCGCGCCCGAGACGCTCGCCGATCGCCCCGCCAAGTCGACCAAAGCGGGCGCCTCCAGCATCGTCGACGACTACCTCCCGCCCAACAAGATCCTGCTCATCCGCGACTTCCCCTCCGAGTACGGCAGCACCGAGCTCACCTCCCTCTTCCAGCGCTACGACGGCTTCAAGGAGGTGCGCATTGCTCCCATTCCCGGAGTCGCTTTCGTGGAGTATCAGGACGAGACGGGCGCGATTGCGGCCAAGGAGGGTCTCAATGGCGCGAAGCTGGGCGACGCACCGGGACCGATGAAGGTCACTTTCCAGCGGCAGTAAGAAGGTCACCTTCCAGCGGCAGTAAGAAGGTCACCTTCCAGCGGCAGTAAGAAGCTGGCACCATACCGTACAGTCCGATGAGGTGAGATTTGCGGAGCAGGAGGGATGGTTTCGGACGTGTGGGTGGGGGAGAGGTGAAGGTCTTGGATGGGGAATGTTCTGAGGGATAGCCTATGATCATGATTGTTCTTGAGATACGGATCCTGAGAGATGAAGGAGCTGGCGCGGCCATTTCAATAGTCCCTCGCCATATTGGTCAATGTTTGACATTGCGAGGATCTCGCGGATTCCCGCCGCGCCCATGTCGTCGATCCACCACGTCTCCCGGCCCAGCATGACGAACATGAGCCAGTGGGCGTAGACGGCCAAAGCGAAGGGATGGCAGGAAGTGAGCAATTCCACCACACTCTTCGAAATGCGCGTCGGCCAGCTGGAGAGCAATTTCATGGGGTCCGTGACGTGTACTTCTCCCACGTGTTGGGCGGAGAGGTGGAGATCTTGGATTGCCGATGCGAGGTCATCTCTCTGTTGTTGACTGAGGCTGGTCTGCCGGGAGAGGGCGCGGGAGAGGGTAGTGGACCATTCTTCCCTCGAGACCTGGATGAATTGGCCGAGCATGGCTCGGTGCGAGTGGTGCAAGCGGCTCTGGCTCTGGCTCGACGACGGAGGAGGGCTCTCTCGTCCACCACCACCACCTCTTCCGCCCACCCGTTCATGCAACAAGATCATACGCGCCACCTCCTGCCCCGGCAAATGTGGCGAATGGACGACAAACCCACACAGCGTCCGGGCACCCCTCAGCAGATGCAGCCAATTCCAAGCCGCGGGATCCGTCAACCGCAACCCTTCCTGCTTTCTGCGGACGCGGAACCACGCGAAGGCCAAGAGGGCCAGCAGCAGAGAACATGCGAGGTTCTCTTCCACGTTCGATGCGTTCGAGGAGGAGGAGGAGGAGGAGGGGGAGGAGAGGTGTTGCATGTGCGTGGCGCTTTCCGTTACGAAGATCTCGCCGTGGTGTTGTGCCGTGCGGAGGTAGGGCTCTCTTCCTTCTGCTTCTCCTCCTGATAAGGGATTGTTGGAGAGGCTGTGGGAAGTCATAGCCGCGAGCGTGAGCATTCCCCTCCGCACTCGATGGGAAGTGGATGCTAGGCAGGGGATTTTGAAGCGGAAGAGACGCATCTGCTCGGCGGGAATGCCGCTGGCTGCGAGGCTGTCGATGGTGCAGGTCATGTACTGTCGGATCAGGACGCTCTCCGGTACGAAGTCTTGCTGTTTTTGTGTCCCTTCAACAACAACCACCGGTGTTAAGCAGGCTGTCCGGAGAGACTTCGATGGTGCCGCCATATCCCGACCCTGCCGTGCATCATTGGGGGGACGGTAGATGTAGTGCTTCGGACTCGGATACACGCATTCCAGCCTGCGTCGTCTACAGCCCGTGCAGATGGGGTGTGTCTCGTCGCACTACTGGGCGAGATCGCGCTCATCGTCAGTTTTTCTTCCTCGTCTTCTCCCCTTCTCCTCTCTAACAGTAATCAATGGAATATCTCACCTTCACCCTCCTCCGCTTACAGGGGATACAGCCCAGTCTCGACTTGCGGTGATTCCTCTTCGTTCTGATGAGGGGAGCTTCTTCCATAATTTCTATTCTTTTTGGCAAATTCGAAAACGAACGAGAAAGTATGGCCGCCTGTGTGTCATGTCATCTTTTCAGCGGGGTGCGGCGCTGTTCGTTCTTCTTTAACAAATACCATGGCTGCTGCTGTTACAGTGGGGATTGTCTGTCACCGGAGCTGAGTAGAGAGATAGATATGCACAGCTCAGCTCGGCTTGGGGACATGCATGCATGCATGGTTTTTGTCATGCTTTGTGACACCCACCTACCTACTATTGCTATTGCATTGAGACACCGCTGTCGATCGATGGCGTCTTCGCCGCTTCTGACATGTGCTCGAATTCCTACCTAATAGAGAGTTGGATTTTTTGACATGTTGCTGGCTAGTCCCCTTTGTGTGTGCTCAAGGGAGAGCAACGTTTTTCTTAGATAGGGCAGACGGGCGTGCGATTGTTTGTATTGTATTGTATTACCGCACGCTTCTGCTTCTGCTTCTGCCGATGGGAGAGATGATATGCGCATTGTTGTTGATGTTGATGTTGATGTTGATGTTGATGTTGATATTGATGTTGATGTTGAATAGGAGATATCGTACAATATCAGGAAAGAGTCTAAATTTAGCGTACCGTACCGTACCGGAACTCCGGACCCGAATCTCAACCACCTCGTCGACCTCGCGCCTCTTCTTGTCCTCTCATTATTTATTATTTATCTTTCTTCCTTACAATTATTTATTGATTCATCCTCTGCCATGGCATCGGACGAAACGATGAACGGGTGCTTCCGCATCATAGGCGAGGCCATCTCGGTCGAGCCCGAAGACTTCCAAGACCACGAGACCTGGCACTTCCTCGGCCTCAAGGGCCTCTTGGCTTCAGCCACAGCATCCGATCTCAAGGCTCAGACGGACGTGAAAGATATCCCGGATGATGTCTTCGAGAAATTCCCGACGGTCGGAGCATTCAGAGCCTTCCTCAAGGGCGACTCATCATCACCGTCGAAGAGGAAAGACGACGACGAGGAGGAGCCCGCCAATCCATGGGACGGGATCCCGAAGCCCAAAGTTCCCCTTTCAATCATTCTCCAGGGCAAACCAGAGACGTCCCACATGACCGTCTTCCTCTTCCCCGACGGCTCCGGCGCCGGAGGCTCCTACCTCAGTCTTCCCCCCGTCGGCGACGGAATCTGTCTCATCGGCCTCAACTCGCCCTTCCTCCGGCAGGCGCAGAACTTCACCTGTTCCATCCCGCGCATGGCCCGACTCTGGCTCGACGAAGTGCGAAAGCTACAACCCAAAAGCCAACCGTACATCCTCGGCGGCTGGAGCGCGGGCGGCTTCTACTGCTACGAGGTCGCCAAGCTACTCACGCACGCCGGGCAGCGCGTGGACCGGCTGATCCTGATCGACTCGCCGTGTCGCTACCTCTACGAAGCCTTACCGGCGCAGGTCGTCGACGAGCTGACGCGCAACGGCCTCATGGGCGCCAGCGGCGAGAAGAAGGCCCCCGAATGGCTCGTGCAGCACTTCACCTCCACCGTCCTCTCCGTCGACAAGTACTGGCCGGAGCCCTTCACGCCCGCCACCGTGCCGCCCCAAATCCACTTCATCTGGGTCCGCGAAGGCTTGGTCCGCAGCGTGCCCGAGTCGGGTTTGAAGGTGGATCTGAATGTCAAAGTCACGCGCTTCCTGCTCGAGCCCCGTGGGGATCTGCAATCCGAGGGCTGGGAGAGGCTGTTGCCCGGGGCGCGCATGAGTTTTGATTATATGACCGGCAACCATTTCCAGATCACGCAGGCGCCTCATGTAAGTTTTCCCCCGCGCCTTGAGAGAGCTGGAATTTGGGAAGATTCTGTTGCTGATCGATCAATGTCTGCAGTCTCACAGTCTGGCAAAGCTGCTCGCCAAGGTCCTGGCAACTTAATCCATCCCTCCCGAAAGGAGAAAATGAAAAGAAAAAAGCAATGCCATGTACCGAAGGAAGAAGCAAATGACGAAAAGGAAAGATAGAAATAGACTCTTAAGAATCGCATGCCATGCGTGCCTTTCCGTCACACGAATCCATGATGGAGGAAGGAGGAACGTGAAAACGGAAATTTTGGGGGCTTTTAGACTAAGCAAGCTTATCCAAAGACGACGACAGAAGATCTTCTTGGGCCGAGATGCTCAACTGCAAACGACCTGGAGATATATCTATGCCAAGCTAAGCTAAGCTATTTATTATATATAGACGACCAGACCGAAGAAAAAGAAAGGAAGAGCTCTTTGGGGGCGCCATCTCTGCCGATGACAAGGATCGTTAATTCGGCGATGTTGGGTGATGTGTCGGAAATGGTTGCAAGTCCAAGGAGTAATGTGCAGAACTTGTCAATTGGTGAATGCTCTGGACACGTGGATTGTTAGACTTCTTTGTCCTCAACACTCACGGCGCAGGCCGAGATCAACTGCGAATACAGCCGCCAAGTCCATCCTGAAATATCATCTGTCGTACAGAATGTCGAACAAGTGATTTCGACGTCTGCGAGCAACTTCGCCCAGGTCAGGCGGAAGATATCATGCAATCACTCACCTCTTCTCAACTGACGGTCCGCTACCCTTCGATTCTACCGCAGGCGCTCGTTTCTCTTGCCTTATCAATTCTTGCGCTTCCTGTTGCTGCGCTCCAAGCTTGTCGATCTGGATTCCTTTGTCAGCCTCCAGCTCCGGACGAGAATCCTCAGGAGGTAGCTCTGTTCCGTCTCGTACACGAGCATCACGCCGATCTGACCAGCCGCAGCATAACACTCGGTCTCAGCTTCGAAGTTCCGCTGCTGTAAACGTGGTATGGCGCTGCCGATCGACTTTGGCCACAACGCGAAGGACTGAAAATATTGGTGCACGTTGGCACGACGCTCATAGTCGAGGGCTTGAAGTGGCCGGTACGGCTCGCCTGCTCTTTTCTCATGTGCTGAACACGAGGAGAATGGCGATGCCGAACCGTTATTGAGTTCGTTAGCGGGCTCCGATATGCCTAAAAGTTGTTAGTAGCTCATAGATAGCCATTTGTAGTCTCGCTTCAAGACTATAAACGTCTTGCTGGCGTCCGGTTGTGGAACAGCACACGGCTCTAGTTCTGCCAAAGTAAGTCTCGAATGATGGATCTGGCACCTTCGTGGTTCCCGGTGATGTGGAATGAAGGCCAGGCACGATGTTGGTTGATGGTGGTGATGATGAAACAAGAAGCCGAGATTTGAGGCTAATCCTTTCTGGAAAATCTAATCACGTGACAGGCTATTCAGCCCGCCACCCTCTTCTCGGCAAATATTTACATGCAGAAGATCTTCTCTCCGACCATTTCTAGGTGCGAGTATACTTCACAGCTTTGCCCTGAGAGCCAGCCTTCTGACAGCCGACATAGTAGGTACTAAAGCTTGCGATAGCATCTCCATCGACGCACTCTTCGGTAGGATAGACGGCAATGGATCCTCCTTCGAATGGAACGGCGTAAACGGACAAGGAGCCAACGCCAGATGGGACAGGACTAGCGAGCATATATCAGCATACTCCAACTACGAGAATGTTCGATACACGTACTAGCAAACGGTAGCGTTCAGACTCCCCGGAGCGGAGCCACTGACGCTACACTGTTGGTCGCTATAGATGGCGACGCTGAGCGTCTCTGGTGGTGCGCTGCTTGACTGAGGGGCTGGAGCAGCGGATGCCGAAAGAGCCGTGACGGCGAGGAGAGCGAGAGAGCTTGAGGCGTGCATGTTGACTAGGCTAGGCTGTCGGCAGCGAGAGATGTTGGTAATTAAAATTATTGGAGTAGGCGTCCTGCTTGTTGATTGTCAAAGTTGAGTGCAGGGTTGAGAGAGTCTTCTTGCGATGCTTCTTTCTTATACAGAACAGGATCCATTGGACTGCCTGAGAATAGAGGAAGATGTAACATAGTACCATAAACATCAATACGAGCCATCGATCCTTGGATGAAACGGTGTGAGCCAAACGAATCCTCCGCGAACGTTCTTCTCGGGAGCGAGAGAGGATTTTACTGGAAGACTAACAAGCGGTCTCATGCGAACAGTCCGTCGTCCGTTGTGGTGTCCGGTGGGCTGAGAAGGAACGTCGCACAATCCAAGTCTCGCGAGACGAAGTTGTGCGCCTGAACAGGATTATCAACCCTAATGTATAGCCAGTCACGTCTTGCGAACCTTTTGGATGGCATCGCTGAGCGACGCTCGGAGGAAATGTGCGAGCCCGTGTGAGCGACTGTGTTACGCAGTGCCACAGAGGATGAGGCTGAGTTCTGCGGTCTTGGCGGTCCGCGGATCATGAAGTCAGCAGTTCCCAAAAGTAGCATACACTCCAAACTCAAATATTCTCATACTCCATGCACAGCATGCTATGACATGGATCGATGATCACGGCGTTTGCGGAATCATAATAAGGTTCGCGGTGAGATGCGCATTCGCATCCGCAGGATATCCTGTGTCCAATGTCGCCGCAGAGGATTTGGGAACTCGCAGCCTGAGGAGGAAAAGGGCTACGCGAGTGGGTAGATACTCAGTTTCCCTCTAAATTCTCTGACGGTACTCCAGGCCTGGTCAGGCTCGTCTTTAGGCCTCTTTGAGCGATGCGGGTACATTGACTGTACGACCTGTCAACAATACCACATCAGCTTTCGACTCGATTGGACGTTTCTGCGCCGCGGAATGCCGTTTGCCAGCCCAAGCTTATCAACGATCGACTCAAACTACGAGCTGACCGCTTGACGGTCCTGAGCTAAGCATAGCGTGGCATGTGACTGTGAGGGCGAGTGGGTGATGGCGGTGCACAAAAGATGGAATGTGAAAGGTGAAGTCTGCTGCGGTGAAAGCGGAAGTGACGAAATGCCGCGAGCCGCGCACATGACGAGGGCCATCCCGCCGGGATCCGGGCATTTGCCAGCGACGACTCCCTGCGCGCAAAGATCACTTCACCTCCGCTGCATCTTTGAAACGCTTCCATCCACACCCAAGAAGCTCATCGCCGCTCGAATCCTCCACTCCCACCACCGCCCACAACGACGAGGTGAAGCGCATCCGACCGTTTTGACGTCGTCACCATACCACGCTCCACGTGAGCACGCGACACCGAACGACACCATCGCAGCCACCATGGCGCCCGCCCTGCGATTCCCCAAGCCCAGAGTACGTCCCTTCATTCACTCAAGTTGCCCGTGCGCTAACAGGTGCAGTCTCTCCTCCACTTCGTCTCCCTACGAACCGCCACCGAGTTCATCAACTTCACTCTCCTCATCAACAAGGTAACCGGCTTCTACGGAATCCTCGCCCTCTTCACCGGCTACCATCTCAATCCGCTCCAACTCTCCCACTACATCTACTCGCTCGTAATACTTGGCTTGATTGCTTGGCTTGCTCCAAGCATCCGAAGGCCTGATCACCCGCTGAAGAACGTTGCGCTGGCATGGATATACGTGCTGGACACTATCATCAACTCCATCTACACCGCGCTATTCGGGATGGGATGGTTCATGCTTCTGTCGCATCATCTGCAGGAGCCAGGAAAAGATAGCCCGATCGGCGGAGGAGCAGCTACAATGGCCGAAGTAGCCGGCTTCACGAATCCAGAGAACAACGTCTCACAGGTAGACGTGGTTGCCTCGCCCGCTCCAGGACTTGCGCCAGGCCAAGAGGCAGTTGCATACGGCCACCCTCAATCAGGCGGACTGGGTGGCGCGGTCCTACAGAGTGACTCCATGACCTCAATCGCACTGCTGGCTCTGCTCAGCTTGGTGAGAATTTACTTCTGCATCATCGTCATGTCCTACGCCAGGTCCATTCTGCGTCAATACATCGCATCCACCTCCTATAATGCGCCATCTACCGAGAACCCTTTCCCATCCACGACAGAACCTACAGATCCATCGATGGCCGAGCATCCGTTCAGTGTCAGGAGAGAGGAAGGAGCAGGCTGGCAGGGCAAGCTTGGAAGGATCATGCTCCGATTCCCTACCAAGAAGTATTGGCTCGGGAGGGAAGAGCAGGACACTGCGCAAAGCGAATGGGAGCGAGCGACCAGCGGAAGATTTGAGAGCGCAGGACGAAAAGCACTGAAGATTCGTGTGCCAGGCAACGGTGTTGGCGAGAGGGAAAGACGAGCTCGAAGCGGAACAGGTCCACCACCACCAGTCGCACCGTCGAGCGGAAAGAAGATTCCCGAGTAAATTGTTGTGGAGTGATGAAAGGCGCGGAAGAGTGAGGATGAAGCGACCTTACGAACGAACTAGCATTGTGCATGGCAGCGGCGTTGACATTTCTGTGGGCTTTCAATGGTTGGCGAAGCGTCCGCACAGTTGTATCTCACTTGAGACACAAAACCAATGCAGCAACAGCAGCAGCAGATGAAACCGACGAGAATAGGGATAAGTAGGTGAAAGCCTGGATTCGTGTACAGCATTAGATACCACCACATACCCCATGAGCATACTGAGAGCTTTCAATACCCTATCGCTTTCCCTCCTCTCCAATCTCACGTGAATCCTTCCGGCCGGCTTGTAAGAAGGCAGGGAACTTTCCTCGACTGCTCTACCATCGTATCGTCAGATGGGCGTGTATAGCTTAGATGCATTCTTGAAACTTGGTTGATTCGTTGCGTACAATGCTACACTGTAAATACAAGGCGCTAGATTCCGCGATTCGCATCCGCGCCAGGATGGAGACCTAGAGATGCTTTTCGCCTCTGAACGCCGCGCTTCTCCCGTTTTGCTCTTCCGTGTCTCTGTCGCCTTGACGGGTACGTGATTCTGGAGACCAAGAGGGGTCTCAATCTCGAGCAGACTTGCACAGCGTCTGGCTGATAATTGAGGAGAGCCTCTGGTTGAGAGTTCAGCAATTGCAGCCTCCTTCGCTTTCGGGTTTAGGTGCGTTGACGTTCACATCGATTGCTGTTCACATGTCAGTGCTGGAAATGCCTGAATCGATAGATCCAAGTGACTTACTGTTGGCGGCCGCTTGTTGCCCCTCGCCCTCCATTCCCGGCAAAGCCTGTGCGATCTTCTTAAACAGGCCCTTGACATTATGACCCACTTTCGCGCTCGTTTCCACGAACATGCAACCCAGCCTCTTTGACTCTTCCTCTCCCTGTTGTGCCGTGACCTCTCTCTTCTCTTGCAGATCTGTCTTGTTGCCTACAAGCACAATAATCACATCGTTTCCCCTCTCCCCTCGCACATCATCCACCCACTTTCGTGTCTGCTGGAAAGATTTCTGAGAGGTGATATCGTATACGACAACGGCAACGCTAGAGTCGCGGATGTATGAAGGAATCAAAGATCTGAATCGTTCCTGCCCGGCGGTATCCCAGAGTTGCAGCCGTACTGTGCGGTCTTCGAGGTACATGGTCTTGGAGAGGAAGTCGATGCCGATTGTGGCTTGGTAGGTGCTGTCGAAAGAGTCGTACATGAAGCGTGTGATTAAGGAGGTCTTGCCAACTTTACGGGTCGTCAGTAGGTGTTCATTCTCCCAGCACTCGAGAGGTGTGGATACCTGACTGCTCGCCCAAGAAGACCAACTTGAACTTCTTGAGCGGGTTGGTGTAGGAGCCAACGCTCTGCGCCATTGTGGCTTCCTCTTCGATGCTTGTCCGTGCTATTCGCGTCTATCGAGTGTCGCAGTGCACCTGAAGAGAAGGTGTGGATTCGCTCGGAGGCCTAGCTTTCAACTCGTTTCCCTTCTTGCTTCGACTGCCGGATTCGGTGTGTGGCGTTCTAGAATGTCTCAGTCGTGTACGTCGGTAATCGTGACTTCTCGTGCGGCCGTCGAATGGTTGCGAACTATGTGCGTATATTCACAATTGCAAGAGGGAAAGTCAGGAGATGCGGTATTCGAAGGGCCACGAGGAAGGGAAAGGAGATGTCGCCAACCCACTGCAGCGGAACATCCAACCGGGGACTTCTGGGATCCTGGGCCGACCCGCAGCGGAGACAGCCGCGCGCGGATACGAGTCCGCTGGCTATCTCCAAAATTTCTGTGCTGCATCTCATCTTGACTTTACGACACCCTTTCTCACGAGTCACTACTGAAAGATGGCCGATTCCTCGAGCACCGCTCCAGCGACGCACTCGCAGCCATCTCGCAAAGGCAAAAAGGCTTGGCGCAAGAATGTCGACATCTCCGAAGTCCAGCAAGGCCTCGACACAGTCCGCGACGAAGTGATCAAAGGCGGTGTCATTGCAGAAAAGGATGCCGACCAGCTCTTTGCGACCGACCTACAAGGCGACGCCGAAATTGAGAAGAAGCATCGGCCTAAGAAGCTTCTGAAGGCAGACGAGATCTTGGCGCAGAGAAGTGCAGTTCCTGGATTGGAGGGACGGAAGAGGAAAGCTGCAGATACCGATGTCGCGATCCCTGGGAAGAAGCAGAAGAATGGCGAATATGTGTCACATCGAGAGCTGCAAAGGCTGCGGAACGTTGCGGATGGTGCCAGTGTGGGACGCCTGGCGGATGATGGAGTAGAGTATGATCCTTGGGGAGAGCCCGAGAAGACCGAATATGAGCAGTACGACTTTCTGGAAGCACCAAAGGACAGGACCCTGCCGAAAACACTGAAGCAAGCACCGGTACCTTTGACAGTCGACGGACGTCCGCTTGCACACGTACGAAAACCGGAAGCAGGCAAGTCGTACAATCCTTTGGTCGACGACTGGTCCGCCTTGCTTCAGCGAGAAGGTGCCGAGGCTGTAGAAGCAGAGAAAAAGCGCCTTGCTGCAGAAGCCGAAATTGCAGAACGGGAACGAAGGGCCGAAGAGGAAGCTGCCAAGGTTGAGAAACAAGAAAAGGAAGAATACGCCACTGATTACGAGAGTGCGTGGGAGAGCGAGTGGGATGGCATTCATTCTGAGGCTGAACAAGAGGGCCATACGCAGAAGCAGCAGAAACGAAAAACACCCGCGGAACGGAACAAAGTCAAAGCACGCAAGGAACGCGAGGCGAGGGAGAAGTGGGAGCGGAAGCAGAAGGAGCGGGAGGCGCAAGAGGCGCGCATCAAGCAGATTGCCAAGGAGGTGTCCGCAAAAGACAAGCAGCTTCGGCCTGGGATGCAACAGTCCGCGGCAGACTTTTCGTCCGACTCAGACGAGAACGAACATCAGACACGTCTACAGAAGAGGCGGTTCGGCAAGCTGCCAATACCGGAGGCGCCTGTGGAGGTCACGTTGCCGGAAGACCTGCAGGACTCACTACGAAGACTGAAGCCGGAAGGGAATTTGCTGACCGACCGGTATCGAAACTTGCTTATCAACGGCAAGCTCGAGGTGAGGAAGAAGTTGGGACAGGTCAAGAAGAAGCAGACCTTCCGCGCGGAGAAGTGGACCTACAAGGACTGGAAGCTCAAATAAGAATCTGTCAATATCGAATCAATCATTGCGCAAGCACGACGTCGCCCATGGTCTACGCTCTGCAGATACTGTTTAACACTCGATCTCGCTCGTAACCAACTAATCGTCAGTGATATAACTCTTCATCGCCTGGAACTGAGACTTCTCGAAGTTCTGGATCAGGCTCGAAAGTCTGCAGTGGCGGGGTACGTAAAAGGCCGTGTTTTCGGGGTAGAGTGGGAGACCTAACTTTATGTCAGAAAGGGGGCGTGGCTTGAGCGCGCCAGCACCACTTGCCTGGGAGCTTGAAGAGGAGCGACGAGCTCACGATCACAACAAGCATGGTCGACGATGTGCTGGAATCCATCTATGACGGAGTTGAAAGGCTATTTAAGAAGAATTGAGTGGTGCGTGATAAGAGTTTGGGGCCAGAAAAGAATCGCGCCAAGACGTCGGCTTTTGCATGTGATGTCCTGCCTGAGGCAGCAGAGGCAGGGCCTGGCCTGGCCTTCACATGCATTTTTGAACATTGCCTAGCGTCGAGCGCTCGCTGGCCAGTAAGAATAGCCGCTGCGACGCCGACGAGCCTTCCGATAAGCCCGTGGTGGTGCCTGAGGCGTGACTCGTTGTCCTGGCGACGTTCGTCAGGTGGGAGAGGAAGGAGCGACCGAGACCGACATCGCCCATCAACAGACATGCGGAGCTCTTCGTGTTACCAAAGTTGAACTTTGCTATCACATTCCCACCACGACATCATTCAACAGTCTTAGCAAGTATCGAAAGCACCCCGCCGAGACCTTCCGCGAAGACCAGAAGACCACCTTGTCTTTCTCTACCTCCCGAGCTGCGGCTGATCATCTAAGGATCTATCTGCCATGGTCATGAGATACTCTACTGCAGCGCGTAGGCCCTACCAGCCGACATCGAAAGTCACAATCGCAAGCTCATCAACAAAGAAGCAACGTCAATCTACTACCAGCAAACGGCTTTCACATTCCATCAAATGTACAGCCCTGCCTGCTTGGCACTCAATCTCAGATGGTGTTTCCACGTCGACAGAAGCCCCGCGAAGAGTTGTTTAACAGCCGTCTCCGGAGCGAAGACGAGGCACTGGTGGCGCGTCTGGAGCGACTCAGACCGGGAGGAAATCATCGGTTTAACGGTTTATACAACGCGTGGACTGGGAGATATGAGGAGTCCCAACGCTGGCCTTTCGCAATTGATAAGGATAAGGTCAGAGTGGGCATTGATTTGTGCGAGATAGAAGATGGGGCTTTGCGGGTGCTGGCAGCGACGACCAAGAGTGTCCTCCTAAAGCCTCTACCTAAGCAGGAAATGCGAACATTACCGTGTAGAAGTTCTAGTCAGATGGCCAGAGTGCGCTAGAACCCTCTCAAAGTCGGTCCACCGGAGTTGAAGGGTCGCAGTCATTTGGACGGCAAATGATATGAATTAGGAGGTGATATCTCCACGCGCAAAGCCACTTCAAACACGTGAATTCAAGGTCTGTGCGTCTGGCTCTCCCTTGCTGTGTCCCTGTATTACGTCAAACACGTCTGCTATTGAGTATGTTCAATTTAGCCAAAAGACGAGATTGCAGCGAGGCCGATCTTCCAACAGACGATCGTCATTCAACGCGTGAATGCTCGCAAATATGTGCTCGGACTCGCGGCTGAATATGCACCTACATCACAAGTCAAATGCCCTAGCTCGCTGTTGGAACATTCCATGGTATTGGATGGTGGTCCAGACCCGGTCCCTCGGACCAAACCCTGCGATAACGTGTCTGAGCCATGAGTCGGCTCTTTACGACCTTGTACGTTCCCCACACACCGCTGGACTTCTCCCAGGTCACCCATACCAGTCGAATCTCGTGGATAACAGACTTGCTATCAGGATAATTCGCATTTGCTCGCGCTCGCATTTCACGAACGCTAGTAGTGCCATCTCCGGTATGGACACGATGTGTGTGTCTTGTATTGGGAGTGAGGTAGAACAAGTGTTGTGTGTACTTGAGGATGTGGCAAAGAGATGTGGATTGTGAATATGGAAGCGAGCTACTAATAAGGTAGGCGGGCAGTCAGCATCGGAGCATTTGCAAAACTCAAATTTTCACTTCGTCGTCTCATCAGCTTCAACATTCCTCATTGGAACAACACTCTCCATAGGCCAGGGAAGATCCACCCGCGAGTTTCATCAAAACAACCCACAGAGCCTATCATCATTCCTTCGCCTCGATGAACGCCTTGGATGGCCTGCAGTATCATGGCTGTCGGGGATGAGGGCTATGGATAAGGTTCTGGGGTTATCATTAATAACGCTCTTCCCGGGAAACTTACAGGACATCAACGGCCAGGTAATCCACGTCGCTATCCTTATCACAGGGCTGCGAGTGGAAGGGTGCGGATGTTAAACATGGCAGAGTCTGCCCCTAGGGTCTGGACGGTCTGGACTTCTGGACTTGTGGACTTCTTCCTTCTTCGTCACTAGAGTTGGAGTTGTACCTTTCGCTCAACAACAATCTGCCAAAGACGCTGTTGATCTGAAGACTGGCAATACTGCACTGGAGTTACCACTTGGATCGTGGAAATCATGGCGTCTTCGGAAAAATCTGCGAAGATCAATGCGATCGAGTTGGGTAGCAGGAGCGGTACGAGCGACGAAGTGAGCGATGGCTTGGGATCAGAACAGAGCTCTATCGGAGAGAATAAGGTATACATCGGTCACATCTCGACATCACACTGTTACTAACTATCCACAGCTAACTCTTGGCTTCGTCATGACAATGATCGGCCTCTCCCTTGCCTTGGTCGTAGCGGAACTTACGCCCCTCTTCACAGCAACAACCTTTACCATCATCGCGAACGATCTCCACGCCACAAAAAACATGGTCTGGATCACCGTTTCCGCATACATCGCCGAAGGGGCCATGGTGCCTTTCGTAGGAAGCCTGTCGGATCTTTTCGGTCGAAGGAAAATACTCCTATTCAGCTTGGTGGTGAAAATGCTGGCATGTATCATCATGGCATCTTCACCCTCCCTAGCACCCTTTCTCGTGGGCTGCGTTCTCTCCGGGTTCTCCATTGGAATCCAAGCCATGACGGTAATCTCAGGCGTCTCCGAACTTGTACCCGCTGCGAGAAGAGGCGCCATGCTCGGATATATCGTGATGGGATTCATACCGTTCGGGCCCGCAGCGCTGTATGGTCAATTGATTGCCCAACACAACTGGAGATACATCTTCCTCTTGATTGGCATATTGGCTTTGCTTTCATTCATTTGCTTGGCGATCTGGTATCGACCCCCGCCTCGAACAGCTACCATCGGGCTGTCAAGGAGGGAAATGCTCCGTCGCATTGACTATGGAGGCGCTTTCTTCTCCAGCGTTGGCTTGACGCTGGCCATCATTGGAATCAACTGGGGCGGAATCGACTACCCCTGGAAATCAGCCCAAGTCATCTGCATGCTCACCTTTGGCTTCCTGTTCCTTATCATGTTCGGCATCTACGAAAAGTACTTCACCAAGTGGCCCATGTTTTCGATGAGGGTGGCGAAGAATAAGCGCATGCTGGCGGCTTGCTGTATCATCTGCTTCGCGTCCGGAGTGAACTATATGCCCGTCACGACCTTTTGGGGAATCCAAGTCTACGCCGTATACGGAGCCGACTGGCATCAAGCAGGAATCTGGGTGATGCCGATCGGATTCTGCGTCTTCGGTGGATGCGTCATCGGAGCCATGCTGTTGACTCGCTTCAAACGACACATCCTGTGGGTGATACTAGCATTCTGCGCTATGCAGACAATCGGTAAGTTTGACCCAACCTCCTCCCTTTCCCACATAACCACCACTAACAAACGTTTACAGGCAGCGCAACCGCCTCCCGCTTCGACTACACCAACGTCAACACCATCTGGGCGCCCTTGATCATCGCCCTCTTCGGCGTCGGCGGAGTCTCCCTCCCCAACCAAGTCATCTTCACCGTCATCGCCCCCGACGACCTCATCGGCAGCAGCGTCGCCATCGCCGTCGTCCTCCGCGTCCTCGGCCAAGTCGTCGGCAAATCCGTCTTCTTCAACATCTTCAGCGAGCGCCTCAAAGCCGACGGACCCGCCATCGTCGGCATCCCCCTCGTCAAAGCCGGCTTCACATCCCCGCAGCGCATGTCTATGTTGATCGAAGCATACATGTCCGGCCCCATCTCTCAGAGCCTCCATCTCTTCCCGGAATTGCACTCCCCGGCTACCCTGGCCATGGTGTCGAACGCGGTGCATCAGTTGTACGGGAAAGTCCTGGCGCATATCTATCTCATGTCGTTGCCCTGGGGCTTGATTGCTTGCGTGAGCTGTCTGGGGTTATATGGGATCGGCGAGTACATGGATAACCATGTTGCCGTTCATCTATGATTTTTGATTGATTCCTCCTTCATAGCATTGTCGGGTTCCAATCTTACAAGCGACGTCTCTTGTGCTCCATGTCAATCTACTTTTCCACACTACCGTCTGCAATGACAACCAGAAGGAGTGAGCGAGATTATAGCTTGCAATTCCGGACAGGATTTCGAATCTACACGCGAGCAACTGAAATATTTCCCGGCGCGGACATTGAAAATCTGTCTATGAAGCATAAGAAAGTTTGCCCCATTTCTAACCGAGTCTTGATGAGAGCGCATGGAAAGTCTCATATCACCGTTGGAAGATCAAGATCGAACACCGAGAGACTGCAATTGCTCGGACCGTGGCCTGTTCGATTCGCTGATGCTATCTGAGCTGATGATGCCAACGCAAATCGTTTAATATTGAGTGTGTATATGTGCCGTGTGTGTGACGGTAAATCCAATCCCCCAAACTCCCTTCCAAACAGTTCCCAACTCAAGAAATTGAGTCCAGAGAGCCAGAATGTTTCACATTCAGATTTCGCTGAAGACGAATGAATCCGACTGAAGGTGATTAAGAGCAGTACATGGCCCCCGTGTCGTCGAATGTATTCGCGCAGTAAGCCGACGGAGCAACTGCGCTTGCAAGCTTCATCGGCGCATGCATGCATCGACACAGGCGCAAATAGCCTGGATCGCAGCCCCACGACTAGAAGAAAGAGGAGAAAGGTAAGTCGTTCGCGATATGGCACGTTGCTAACCAGAGGATTTTGAATTGAAAATTTGTCGAAGAGGTAGATAGATAGGCCACTGCGAATCCCATCCGATCCAAAGAGGGTCCCCTCCCCAAAAATCCAATAGGCCCAAATCCAAGGAAAGCCACGCCATGATCCACCACATCGAATCCTAATAGCAATCATAGCGAACAAGTTGATCCTTGGGCCCGTCAAACGTCTCCGCGCAGAAACCGTTGTAGCATGAATCCTGGCATGCCTGATCATCGCATTTCTTCAAGCAGGGGCAGATGCCTTCCACACAGCCAAGTCCTGAATAGCGGGAGAAAAAAAGACAATCCGTTAGCGATGATATTTGGGACGCGAACCAGAAAGATTCTCTGTATTATTAAAAGAAGATGAGAAAAGAGGTAGGTAGATAGGTAGATTAGGGTAGGCTGGCGACTGCGAATACGATCCGATCCGATCCAAAAGAGAGCCCACCCGGAAAAAAAACAAATCTCCAAGAAGTGCCAAAGAAAATCCAAGAGAGGCCAGACATGTTTTGCCGAATGAGATCAAGAGCAATCATAGTCCATGAGTTGATCCTTCGGCCCGTCAAAAGTATCCGCGCAGAAGCCTCTGTAGCAAGAATCCTGGCAAGCTGAATCGGCGCAGGCTCTCATACAGGGACAGATGCCTTTGACACATTTGATTCCTAGATAGGGAGAAAAAGCAATCCGTTAGCGAACCTGGACGTCTGCTGACCCCCAAAAAGGTCTGTATTGCCAAAAAAAAAAAGCAAAACAAAAAGGAGAAAAAGAGGTGAGATAGATAGGCCATTGTTGTCGAATCCCAATTTCCCAGAAATGAGTGAGGGTCGGAGATTTACCGAATAATTAAATTCAGCAACGCCAGTTGACCTCTGGCGCATCGTCGTCGAAAGAATTCGCGCAGAAGCCCCTAAGGCATCTATCGGTGCATGGATCGGTCGGGTTGCAGCTAAGCAGACAGTCGCAGATACCAGGGACGCAGCCATAGGCTATATTCGGAGAGAAAGCAGTTTCGTTAGTTACTTGTACAAGACGATACCAGATGATTGTGATTTGGAATCGAAATTGGGTGAACGGAACGCACCGGCCCCTGCGAATCCAATCCGCGAGGGCCAGATTCCATCGAATTAGTATTTCAGCAACCCCAGTTGGCCTCTTTCGAATCGCCGGCGAAATCGTTCGCGCAGTAGCCGAAAAGGCATCCATTGTTGCATGTAGCATCGGTCGGGCTGCATTTATCCAGACAGGTGCAGATACCAGAGACACAGCCAAAGCCTAGATCGGAGAAGCGCGTTAGCTACTTGTACAAGACGGTACCAAATAGTTTGATTGGAATCGAAGAGGGTAAACGTACCGGCCACTGCGAATGCCATCCACAAGGGCCAGATTTTCACCGAAAATGGGATTTTTTCAGCAACCCCAGTTGGCAATCTTGGGTTTGTCGGGGAAAGTATCCGAGCAGTAGCCTCTGTAGCAAACCGTCTTGCATCCATCATCATCATGGGCGCATGACTTGACGCAGGGACAGTAGCCTGCGACACAGCCAAAGCCTAGAGGGGAGAAAGCAAAAGTCGTCAGGGACACCGGACGCTACTATGTTTTTTCCATTTGCAATAAAAAATCGGAAGAGGTTGTGCTTACCGGCTACTGCCACTGCGGATCGCATCCAAAGACGGCCATGTGAAGACCGAATGCTAATTTAGCAAACTTGGATGTTAACTTTCGAGTGGCCGCCGAAAGCGCTCGAGCAGTAGCCGCTATAGCAGGAATCCCGGCATGCTCTATCCTGGCAGGCCTTGTAACAGGCGCAGTAGCCTTCGGCACAGCCAAAGCCTGCATAGTAGCGTCCGGTCATTAACGACAAGTGCAAGGGGATATTATCTATAGAATCCAAAAAAAAGGCACTTACCCGCAGCTGCGAAGCCAGCCAGGCCCATGAGAGCCGTAATGTAGGTCGCGAGGCGCATCTTGGTTGGTTTGTTGTGGCGATGAGATCGAGGTCTGAAGTGTCGCAGGTAGGTCTTGGTTGGTATGTTGTGGCGATGAGGTTTGCGTCTGAAGTTGTGCAGGTAGGAGTTGATGGCGAAAGCTTGAGAGACAGTGTGGTTGTTATATAGACATTAGTAAACAGACCTTCCCATAAGCCCTAAGTTGAGACTAGAAGGGCGAGATGAGCCCGCGAGATTACGAGAGCCCGCGGGTCCGAAGTAATACCACGGGATGAGTATCTCACCAAGACTCATTCGAGCAATCACGGCAGTGCACGACTGGTGCTACTGTAGTATCCGCCTAAGCTCCGTCCTTGATCAGTCATAACAAGTACGGCCGCGGACGTAATCGGCAGAACCATGGCGATGCACACAACGTGTCTCGTTTCTACTTCACAACATCAGTGATCTCCAGCCCAGCAACGACATCAAAGAACGCATCTGCCAGGAAGTCGCCTCTGGCAGTAGGTCTGCCAGACTTATCTGTAGCCATGCACTCAATCGCGGGCTTCGCGACATCGCGCATATAACCTGCTATACCCTCCTTTTTGAACTTCTCGGCGAATTGTTTGGCGTGTAAGCTAAGACCTTGGGTCGCCCAGATTGGTTGAAACTGGAAATGAAATCAGATAAAATGATATCTTGAGTGATACAGGAAGCAATGGACGTACTTGCCAAACGCAACCCATTTTTGCAATATCTTGAGGGAAGCTTTCAAATTCTTCTTGTGTGTAACCGGCTTTGATGAAGTCGTAGGAGCCGGTGTATCCGAAGGCGAAGAGGCGGTTGGGGAAGACGTTTCGGACTTCGGTGTGGAAATCGTGCATGTCTTGCTTGTCTGTGCGGAATGGTCAGTTGCACTCCCTTGAAGCATCATTTTACAGCGCAAGGTCATCTCAACAGCTGCTACCGCTGATTTTGCGATGTTCCGTGCTGTGACTTTGGCCTTTGCTAGAATTGACGGAAAGACAATAGCCTTTCGGTAATCAACGTACTGGGTTTATCTGCATTGATGTCAGCTCTAGAACACTCGATGAGCTTCAGAATGACCGTGCGCACCTTGACGACTCCACGTAACGTCACCCAAAGGCGCAGCTAGAATCGCTCGGTCGATAACCTGCTTATTGGTCCATTGCCACATGTATTGTCCCATTGGTAGTCTTGGAAGCTCCCAATCAAAGGTCACGTCTTTGCCAAGACACTGCTTAGCGATTGTTCTACGCTTCTGCAGGGGGACAATCTTGCCAGCAACCTCGCTCTCGTACTTGGAGTATTGCTCGCCACTCGCAGCGGCCTTGACTGCTTGGTCGAAAGTCATCAAGCCAGCCTTGGCCTTCCACTCGCCCTTGACGGTAAGGTAGTCTTTGCCTCCAGCCTTGCCGGCCTCCAGAGCCTCATTGAAAGACTCGACTTCGTTCGTGGCGCCGAGAACGAATGGATGATCTCTTGGGTCGACAACGCTGGTAATGAATTCAGCATGATCGCTGTCGCAGCGGCAGAGCAGCATGGTGTCAACACCGAGAATATCAAAAGTCATCCGGACTGTGGTCAAACGGTTCAGATACTCCGAGGTAGGAACAATGGTGCGGCCCTCCCCGGTGGTGAACTTCTTGAGGCCAAGTGCTAGATCGTCGATGTGGATCATTGCAACTCCCGCGTCGACAAAGGAGCGGACCATCTTCATGCAGCCGGTAAGAGTACCGAAGCCCATATCCGCATCGGCGATGATTGGGAGCATGTAATCAATACATTCCAGATCTTTGCGATCAGCTTCAGAGTAACGAAGACGCATTTGAGTCTGGCGTTGATCGTGCCATAGCTGAGTGTTGAAGATGCGCTTGACCACGCTTGGAACGAGATCGGCCGGGTAGTCGGCGTGATCTGCACCCGGCCAGGCGGCTTGAGACAGTCCACAGAGGGCGCCAGAAACGTAGATCGTCTGCACTATGCGACAGTGAGCACCGTAGCCCGGTATGTGGCCTCTCCGATATCCTCACAATGCTTGGCCATCTCCTTTGCAATCAGTGGCTCGGTAGTGCCGAAGGTGAGCTCATACGTCCCATTCTCGTTGTGCTCATTGAGAATCTTCCACAGCTTACGGCCTTGAGCGCTCGAAGGGTACTCGATCTGGAAAGCGAGATTGCGGAGGGCAGCGATGGACTTGGCGGAATATGGGCTGGACAATGTCAACGTCCGAAGCGTCAACGTCTGCTGAGGCGGACACGTACCGTTGGATGTGCTGCTGACGATCCGTCTGCCACCATTGTTCAATATTCTGCACCTCTGCCTGGAAGGCCTCTGTCTCTTCGCGCGTGCTGAACCACTTTTGCATCTTGAAATGAAGAATATGACCAACGAGATTGACAGGAGTAGCTCACATGGAACCTACCTCGTTCTTCACGTTGTCGTCCTTGTATGTCTGCATGATTCCGGCAAGGAGTGCTCACGCCGAAGATGCTCGTGGCCTATCACAGACCCAGTCAGGCCGAGAGGAAGTGAATGCATGTTGTTGATGTTGATGTGAAGACGTGTGAGAAGAGGTGAAGTTGAAACGGGGACACTTGGCCGAAGGATTCGAATTGATGGATCGTCAATCAACTGTCAATCAACATTTGAAGGCAGCCATCAAACCCTCCGCGGCCGCGCCTGCGTGCGTCTTCGTTCGCCTACGGCCAACAACCCGACAACAACTGCGCTCCACCTTCAATTCTCCCTATCAGCTCATCGAACCCATTCATTCAATTCGATTGTCGGCCAAGTCAAGATGCACATATCTCGTGTTGGGTGCGAGGCCGCGCCGCCGAGACGTAGCTCTTTGTCCGGCGCCAGAAGAGAAGTTGACTGTATACTGAGTGTATATTGAGTGTATACTGAGTGTATACTGAGTGTATACTGACTGTATACTGGAATCGACACCTTGGATGAACATGTTGCCATCTGCAAGCAGTATGGCCGCGAATGGAACATCTCAAGTGCCCCTAAACCTCCAACTAGGATGGCCAACGCCCCGACTCACGGCCAGAGAAGGACTCCTCCAAGGCGCGGAAGAAGGCCTCGCAGAAGGCTCCAACATGGCACCCGTCCTGCTCTATGGGCCGAACAAAGGGCATCCGCCTCTATGTGATAGTCTCGCGAGCTGGCTTTCTGCAGTATACAAGCCATCTGCTGGTCCCAGCGAAGCATCCAGGATATGCATCACCAACGGCGCATCCGCGAGTCTGGCCAACATCACGATGAAATTCGCCGATCCAACATACACTCGACGAGTCTTCATGGTAGAGCCTACCTACTTTCTGGCTTGTCCTATCTTTGAGGACTGCGGCTTCCAAGGCAAACTGCGTGGTATACCGGAGGGTTTGCATGACGGCATCGATCTTCACTTTCTCCGCGCGAAGCTGGAAGAAGCGGAATCTGAGAACGGGTGGTCGGCCAGACCTCTTGCAAAGACTGGGCCAAACTATCCACATATCTACAGGTATGTGCTCTACTGCACAACGACCTACTCCAACCCGAGCGCCAAGACCATGCCAATTCAGATTCGAGAGGAGCTGGTGGAGATGGCTCGCAAGTTCGACATGTTGCTCATATCAGACGATGTCTACGACTTCTTGGGCTGGTCAGTAGACGAGCGCAGCAAGTCCTCTCCATTTCCCGCTCCGCCACGTCTTGTCGACATTGACCGCAGCTTGCCTGAATGCACCAAATACGGCAATGTTGTCAGCAATGGCTCTTTCGCAAAAGTCATCGGACCAGGGATCAGAGTAGGCTGGGTGGAAGGGACGGCTTCGCTGGTATCTTGTCTTGGCTTGGTCGGCTCGTCCAGCTCAGGCGGTGCTCCTTCACATTTTGCCTCTACTCTGGTAGACCGAATGCTTCGGAATCAGAGCCTGCAAGAACATATCCAAAATATCCTGATACCCGAGTACCGAAGACGGTCGCAAGTCTTGACGTGGGCCATTGAGAATCAACTACTCCCATTGGGCTACCAAATCGAAGCAACAGGTCCAGCACCGGGCCTTGCAGGCGGGTACTTCACCTATATACGTGTTCCGTCTTTTTTCACACAACACCGCGTGTTTGCAAAGACTCTGGCGGGAATCGCACTCCAAGACTACAGACTGCGCATTGCATTCGGACACATGTTTGTCGTGGCCGGAGACGAAAGCAGCAAAACCCGCGCAGAAGAAGATACGGGCTTCGCTTACTGCCTACGACTGAGCTGGTCTTGGCTGGAGGCAGAACAGATTGCAGAAGCCATCGACCGACTAGCGAAGTGTACAATTGATGTGCGGGCCAGGGTCGAGGCAGGCGAAGACGTCAGCAAAGGTATCGAGATTGGCATTCGATAGGCGGCAACAATGCACTCAGACTCTCAGCTTGCCCTCTGCAATTACTATTCTGGGTTTCGGATAACTCGCTGAGTTGGTCGTGCGGCAAGCCTGATAGGGTCAGACGAACTGGCCGCGGCGCAGACCAGGGCGATCAACTTTCTCCACAGTCTATGCAGATTGATCTAGGCGAATGAAGCCTTGGCAAGACTGATACTAGATACGTATCCCAGCTCAGGGAGATACGACGCCACACGACCGGCCTGACTGAAGGCATTGCTTACCCGCCCGCACAATTGCACTCGCACCACAAAGGTCGGCAACCATGGCGGACGCTGAGACTGTCCCTCACGACTCCAAAGCGCCCCGTGTGCTCATTTATAGCGACTTCAAAGTAGCGACAGACACAAGCCAGCAAGGCTTACGATGTTGGCGCAGCTTATGCGGGATACTTCGACGAGCACCCAGACTTTAGCGCCAGGGAGGCAGAGCGTTTACCATGGGAAGCTGGACCTGCGCCTGATACCGCACTTTACTGGATGCGGGAAGATACGAACTCCACGAGTGATCGGTACTCATGGGTTGGAAGTGCTTTCTACCGTGAGTTATTCGGAGTATTCGTATGTCTGCAAGAGACTGACTTGCGTTGTTTCCAGTCGGCTACCTTCTCTGGTCCTGCCCGGCGGGCTCACTACTCCAGAACCTTCCCAGGGCCAAGCTGATGTCCGTTGTGGTTTTCTGTTGGGGCTACATACTCATTGGCACAGCTTTCGTGAGAAGCTTCCCTCTATTCATCTTCCTGCGAGTATTGCTCGTAGTGTTGGAAGCGCCTATCATACCCGCAAACTATCTCACCCTGAAAATGTGGTATACTCGCCACGGACAAGCCCTACGAACGGGATTCATGTACACTAAATGGTCGACGAGCATCCAAGAACCAGCAGGACTCCCAATCCCCCTCTGCCGCATCTCCCCTCAGCAACCTCCTCCAACAGGTCGATCAGTCGTTCATCCATGCGGCATGGAAGCATCCTTATCTGTGCAGATGCATGTGCGATCAAGGCTCCTGTGACCAAAACCATCAGTATCTAGTTCAAACATCTAGCTATATGTACACTGTTAGTACTTACCCAGCCTTTTGGTACACGTATTGTTTAGCGGTGCATTGCTCAGGGCAATGCCTAGTCTCCTCAACGCAGTTCGGGCCCCTAAGTCCCGCCTGTCCCTCGTTTATGACGCAACCCCAATAGCCATCATCCTGACAAGTGTCAAGGTCGTACGCGTCGCATGGGAAGCCGAAGTAATTGGCCGCTACCGCTGCAGAGAAGAGGGTAATAACGGATAGAATAGAAATCTGCATGATTGCAACGATTGATTATGTTCGAATTCGAATGCATAGCCGAGGGGACGAACAAAGGACGGGTTTTTATACCTTTCCTTAACAGCGAGAATAGCCCTTCTCGCGACGTTGAGAGTTTCATAGTACGAGTTGCTCCGGCCCGATATCAGCAATTCTAAAACACTTTCCTTGATTTCAAGGTAGGATATAGGTGATGGATTCCTAGGATCGATCTCAAGTAACTTTATTTATATTTATAGAGTTGAAATCGTAGAAGTAAGGGTTGCGGTCGAAACAGTTATGATACGTCTGCGCTTCCAAATTGGCGTGCGAAGGGATGTGATGTGAATCCTCTTTTTTTTTCTTTTCCCGCGCGCGAAAGAAATTCACATCGGAGAGTCGGGTGACAAAAGCCATCGATCGCAGTGGAAAGTAAGGGTGCGCGCAGCAGATCAGACGGTGTATGGATAGGGAAAACAAAGTCGACTTTTCAAGAGGGAGTAATGGAAGTCTGGGCAGCGTTTTCTGGATCCTGATCCGAAGACTTGGGCTGAATAATTCCTGTTCTTTACACATCTTCGTGAGCGAGGATACCAAATGGCGGCCTTACCAGCAGTCCTACTCGGAATGCCCGAAGGTGTCATCGGTAAGAAAGGTACCCTTTCAACCCACAGCTGCAGTCTCGCAGCATACTATAGTACCTCGCCAAGCTCTGCAAGATTCCCGAATATCACTCCCAGAAGGAAGGGCTGATGAGTCCCAAAATCTACGGACAGATTGCCTCGACAAACAAGCGACTTCCCTCCACGAGGATGCGGCGTTCAATACTGGACGTCCCATGCGTGCGAGCCTTTCCTCTTGCGCAATCAACTTGCCACAATCCAGATCGGTCCCGAATCCTTTGCGAAGGCATCGTACGCCAGCCAGCGCAAGACAGGAATGCTGAATGCGAAGAATCTTCTTGCCTTGGATCGCTATTCGACTGGCTCTCTGGCATAGCTCATAGCTCAATCTCTCTGGCAGATTCCAAAGATGCCCATTCGATCGGTATTCCATGACGTGCTTGTTGATACGGGCAAGTCGTGAGGAAACACGAATTTATGAATCGTGTCGATGAAAGAGGAATCGGATCGCAGGTCTGGGACATTGCAATGGGGAGGAAGAAGAGATGGTGAACGGCGAGGTCATTTCGAGAAGCTGCCGCGCCTTTGGCACTGTTCTCCTTTTTGGACTGCAGTACAGGCCGACTGCCCATCGAGCAATTATGCACTCGCTCCTTGCCGTGGCCGTGAACATTCTCATACCCACCGCGGACAAGAGTGCCAGCCACGACAAGCATATGCTAAAAATTCAGTCATTTTCCCGCCAATCTTCAACTCTCGTGCATAGAATACCACACGGGTCAAGATTCTGATTCTACTCTCCGTCCATACGATCCATACTCGTTTTCACCGCTTCGGCGTTCTTCAGAACCATCCCGCTGAAAGCCTCCATCTCTCAGCTTGTCCAGAAACGCCCTAGCAAAGATCTTCTGCTCTTTCAAGACCCATAGCATCAGAATCTCGCCGGTAGAAGGTGTTGCCTACGGTCAAGTTTTGCCTCTGCATGTTCGGAACGTAGGGGGCGTACTCCTGTGGCAATATGATGAGGAAGGCGGTACTCGTTGTCAGTGCAGAAGACACTGCGGGTGTAAAAGAACGCGAAAGTTTTTGGAGGACAGCTGACGAGAAGCGAGAGGGAGGCCTACGAGGTGTTCCGAGATGGAATGGCCTGGAAAGGGGTTAATCACGTCGCCATTGAGGCCTAGATCGCTAATCTCATTGCGTAGCTCAGTGATCGATGCCAAGTCTGGCGATTGCGTCGGGTATTGCAGGCTCTTCGCCACATCGAGCATGATGATGTCGCCGCCTGGGTCGACGTCGTGATCCTGGCACGCGACCGTCATGATGTTGTCGGCAGTTGCTGATGTGACTTCTGCTTGTTGTTGCATGCCACTTCAAGCACGCATCATTCATCATTCATCATGAGGCATACGCACGTAAGTGAGAAATGCAGAGGCGGCTAGCTTGACCTCTCTGTAGCTTCAGTGTCAGTCTCGTTGCGTGTACATCCCATGGTCCAACAGCTCGCGGCTGATTCTTCCTGGTCGCAACTCTTCTGCCGCTGAGAGCGTCGCAGTGGGACTCTCCAGTCCAAGGTACTCGCCCGCGGCGACGACCGCCGCGAAGAAACCAAATGCGGTCAACAGCCAGCTAGCGATCGAGAAACCGGTGGAGAAGTCGTTGTCCTTTACGAGACCATAAGCAAGAGCAACCCCAAGACTTAGCAGCACCGCGAGCAGTAGCCCAAGATAGATCTTCATGGAATCAAACGTTTCCTTGACTTCGATATCGATGACAGCTCCCGGCTCGATCAGAAATTCAAGTCGTCGTATCCAATCTCGCGACCGCTTCGGAGGAGGAGGCTTCTTGTCGGAGAGAGTGCTAAAGAGCTTCGAGACCTTCTGTACTCGTCGTTTGAACTGATACATAAAGAAACTTCTTGCTTTCTCATCTTCTCGCGGCACAATAGGAACACGATCGGTGATTTCCCATCTGCCAGACCTGTACCCCGGGTCCTGGAAAGCATGGTACTGGAGGAAATAGATGAAGCTGATGGTTTTGTAGGAAGTCGCCTTCTGCATCAGACCAATCTGCTCGGTTTTGAGACTCCTGTATTCTTTCCGCAATCGATGAGCGAAGTCCACGTCGTCCCAAGAGTGTGTCTCGTATGAGAACGGGCGGCCTTTGTACCTTTCCCCTTTGCGAGTGAGGACGAGCTTCAAGTTTAGCTTCAGTACTCCAGGCAGCTGACGAACAGCGGCACGATCCCAAAGACCGCCTGTATGATGCGGAGGAGCGACTCGAATCGTGGTCGTATCCGGCATCCGGGTTGGACGATTATCGTATGATTGGCGATAGAACGGTGTTGACGAGAAGCGGAGCCTGGTTTCCGGTGGCGACATAAAGCCCATGGAGGGTGGTCTACTTAGAGGCCGGGAAGGAGGCGGGCCGAACGCTGAGGGCGAAGGAGGCCCATCATCATATTCCATAAAAGGGTTGGGCGGAGGATGCATTCGTGAGGGTCTAGAGTGGGGAAGTGGATGCGGTTGTGCGGATTGATATGGAGACGGCCTGGAAGCAGAGCGCATTCTTAAAGGTCTGTAAAGGGACTCGCCGCCCGAGAACTCCGGTAGAGGTCGACCTGGCATCGCGGGCTGGATATGCATTGACGTGATAGGAGCTCCTCCATAGTAGTCGTCAAGAACATCGTCAGAATCCTGGTCTGCATCTTGCGATGGCTTTGGAGACTTGTCTTCAACGTATTTCCGAGAAGGGCGGCGCCGAATTTTGTGACGATGGGTCTCGTGAGATTTCGTAGCACCGGCTTCAATCCGAACGGAGCGGTGGCGTGCTACATTGTAGTCCCAAGCTTCAGAAGGTACTTCTTCATCCTTCGCAGTTGGCCACTCCAAAGTCAGCCGCTCCGGCTTCTTTACGCTGTGATATGTGTCTTGCAGATTTGCCCTCTCCTCGTCGCTGCTGTGGTCATCTTCGATTTGGACGTTCATGACGAGAGCGAATCATGCATGGGATTATCGCTATGGCGTTCATCCCAAAGGAAAGAAGGAGAGGCAAACTCCAAATGAAGCTGAAGCGCATGATATGTATTTCCAAGCGAGGCCTTACTCACTCCGCATCGACAACGCCACGCTGCGGCTGAACGACCTTCGTCTGCGTACTGCACACCCGCACATGATGCCTGTAGGCGATGAAAAAGCGTTGAAGGGTGATGTTACCGATGATAGGAGATGCAGCCAAGCCTTTGATGCAGGCGAATCGGATAAAGGATCCCTGTCGAGCTGGTGCTCAAGTATATAGCCCGACGTTACGAAACATTTGACGCGTGCGAAAGTCCTGGAAAGTCCGCCGCTATGCCCGTCGTACGTTGCCTTACGGTCGTAAGGTCTGCGGAATGATTGGAAGGGCGTGTGTACACGTTACGATATATTTAGGGGTAAGATGCGAAGGAATGATTCGTAAGGCGTATATATACGTTACGACACATTCGCGCGCACTGTGTTTACTTAATAGGAGGTCACGTATAGGTTCTTTTGTCTGCGCTAATCAGAGATAGCCTTGACACGGCTTGGCAGGGTCCAAAAAACAGCTGGGTTTACAGTAGTATAGGCCCTAGTAAACGTCGGGCAATGATGGAAATGCGGGAGGAGGTTGACGAGATGAGGTCGGCGACTTTCACATGTTCCAACGGACCGTCCCGGCACTTGTGCTGGTGGGTCCCGCGAGCACGGGCCCAGTCACGATCATGATGTAAACGCGACCCGCGACTTCACTTCGTTTTCTTCTCTTGTTTGTCTACCATCAGCACTTCATTAAATCGAATGTGCTGTCCGCCGGCCAGAAGAATCCATCTACTTCGTGGCTGCTGTTTGCTTGTAGACAAAGACTCTACACACTTACATCAGCCACAAACACATGTGGCGCTAACACACACAAACAAACTGACACACAATCAACATGGCTCCTCCTCCTCCTATAACAGCAGATCAGGCGGCTCTGTGGGACCGCCAACAGCAGCAAGGAAACGAGTGGATAGCACAACAGCACCGCGACTCCACCACCGAGATGAATATCACTCTTGCAGACCAAACTGCTCTCTGGAGCCATCAACGTCAGCAAGGTAATGACTGGACGGATGAACAGCGCGGCAAGTTCGACGCCCAGATGCAAGAACATAAGCTTTCTCTTCGCACATTGCCGCATCCGGATATGGACGAGATCATCCGCCAGGTCGAGTTCTACTTCAGCGACGAGAACCTACCTTCGGACGCACATCTGCTCTCCAAGACGGGTAATTTCGGCGATGAGTTCGTCTCCCTCAATGAGATCCTCGGCTTCCGGAAGATGCGTCGCTTCAAGCCCAAGTCTCGTGTCATTGCTGCGCTCAAGGAGAGTCAGAAGCTGGAGATTTACAAGAACAACAAGTACATTCGCCGCAAGGAGCCACTGAAGATCCCTCTTCGTGTGACGCCGAAGGTCGATTCCAAGCGCGAGGAGATCAAGAAGCTCATCGAGCAGCCGTGGCTGACCAAGGGAATTCTCAAGCCCACTGGCTTCGAGGCGACGTACGCAGAGCCACCTCTCAAGCCGGAGGAGTGGGAGGAAGAGCGCTTGCTTTTCAATCCAGAAGAAGCCTTCGCTGTTCGCATTGAGAGAGCCATCGTCAAGTACACCTCGCGGCGCAAGTTTCATCAGGATACCCGCTTGGTCTTTTCCAAGTTCCTCATGTTTGGCGGGTTTGCTCAGAGCAACCGGATGTTTGTCGGAGGTGTGAGTAAGAATGATCTCGAGGACATGAGCAAGGAGGAACAAAGCGACGTGATGGCCCAATTCTCGGTTCACGATCAGGTATGGGACGGACTCGAAGTGGAAGAGGGCGATCCGACTTGGATCGTCGACTTTGAAACCCTCGCCAAAGCATTTCTCTCATCTCCGTTCATGGCCTCCTTCGATTGGCGAGATCACAAGACTCAGACGAACGCCACCAACGTCCTTCGCAATTTCTACAACTACCTCATGCACCACGATGTCTGTCCGGAGTACCAGGATCAGATCATCAAAGCCATTGAAGTCTGTGATCTTGCCGAAGACGAGTTCCCAAAATTGGCGAAGGTGGACGCTGCCCTTCCAGGCACTTTCAACGTGGCATGCTCAACAATTCACAACGGCGCTCACGCGAACATGCGGCCAATCGACCCGACCGCCGACTGGGTCATAGAGGGCGACTACACGGGTCTTTCCGACAAGGACGCGGAGATGATCTTCTTCGCCGGTGTCACGGCTCACTGCTCCGCCGAGCAGATAGCAGAAGTCGTCTCAATAGCCACAGTCAAAGGTCGCCTCGAAACAGTTCTTGAAGAGCAGATGGGTCTCGAGGTCGTCGGTGTCGAACATACCTCAGACCAAGCCAAGCAAGTCTACAACGATGATCGCATCAAGGACACCATCATCAAGTCCACCGGCAAGCTGATCTGCAAGCGCTGGAAGATGCCCAATGCGCGCCCAAGAGATATCCCCGAGGACACCATCGAAGACCTCCGAGCGAAGCGAAGTGAGAGGCTGGAGTTCTTGATGGAAGAAGAGATCTTGCAGTCTTGCTATCCTGGATTGAAATTCTCGGCGGTCGTCAAGCAGCTGTCGAACGGCATCAAGTGGATTGACTCATTCGACTTCACATACCCCAGCTTCTTCACCTGGATCCCGAACGAAGACTTCCCGTTCCCGGAGCAAGGAGCTCCCAAGGCATGGATGGCACGGCAGATGGAGAAGCAGCAGAATGAGAGAAGTGTGGTCCGGCGGGAGGACGAGGGGGCTGATGAGATGCCGGAGTGAGGAAGTAGCTCTAGCGTACCAAGGCTCTCCAGTGTTGATGACCATCAAGATTAGTGAGAGACGGTGAGCATAGAGCAATGTGACATGCAAGAACTGTACCTTATGATCATTCCTTTAGGCCCTCAGGATGCCATCCCCATCTCCTTCGACGCCTCGGTCGGATACCAAGACCGCAGTCTCTTCATCGCACTGATCGAACCTACATCACCCATTCCTCGCCTTTCCCTACCCTATTCTCCATCTTCTGCATACCCAACCCTTTCTAGCTTCCTACATTTCCTCAAATCCTTCTCCCCATTCGTCAACGCTCTTTCCCAAGCGTGCAAATTCTCCACACCCCTTTGATCATTGACATATACCTCCCTTGCCCTTCTGAAGGCTTCTCTTGCTTTCTGAAGATATTCAGCAGTCATATCAAGCCAGGAGAAAGACCAGGGCAGAGCCGATGGGGCATGTCGCCGATGAAGGCAAGAATGAGCGAAGACGAACAGCAAGAAGCGATGAAGAAGCACAGAAGGTTGCAAAAAATCCGAGATGAGGAAGAGCGCCGTTACTGTGACGAGCGAAGAAGAGGGGAAATGGTAGAAATACTATCGATCGGTACAGATCGTCAGCAGAACCTCAAACAAGATCAAAGCTTGCAGTCCCCATGCCGCCCTCAACCATCCTCCCGAATTCCAATTTCATGAGTAGGCGATCGACACCGCCGCCGCCCTTCCACACTTCGAAATCCCCCTTCTCGCCAGGGCGGACGTCGAGATACCTCAGGCTTCCGATCCGCTGGAGATCGAGCTGCCTCAGACGGTTGACGACGGCTTTCAATCCGCTGTCGACTTTCTTCCTCGCGCGGTCGAGCTCGAGGGATGTGTGCTGTTCTGCTTCGACGGTGTGGGGGCTCTCGCCGGCGCCATCTTGTGCTTCGAGGTCGAGCTTTTGTTGGACATCGAGGAGGCGAGTGAAGAAAGCGATCATATTGTCGATGTTGCCGAGGAGTGTGCGGAGTTCTCGGGTGTAGATTGTGTCGGTCAAGAGAAGTGCGTAGGTCAGTGATGCCAGAAAGGTACGGTGACCAGCTGCGAGAGTCTCCGGATCCCGTTGAGCAGGCCGCTCTCCAGGACCGTCCACTGTGCTGGCAGCGGAGACATCAGGGTCGAAATTCGTCGCGGGCTTTTCGGTCCACTCCTGAAAGTGACTGCAGGAGCCCGTGATGATCTCGCCTTCGAAGAAAGCAGAAGTCTCCGAGAGCAAGAAGTTGGCAGCACTCAGTGTAGCCCATACCTTCCTTGTCGCAGTTGTCCGCTTTCGATTCCGTTGTCTCGCATTGCCGTCCTGCGCAGTGACGGGATGGTCTCGCCTTGCAGGTGATCGACGCCAAAGATCGCTAGCTTTTTGGTGGCTCCTTCGAATGGCGAGTAGGTACGAGTTGATAGCGGAATACGTATCAACATCGCGCGTAGAAAGAAAGAGATCCACGGGCGAGGAGAAGCTCAGACTCAACTCAGTAGGGCTGGGGACGAGCAGGTCATTGAAAGCAGTCGAGACTACATCTGCTGAAGCGCTTTCGAAGCTGTCTGAGCTCGACGGCCGTGAGGTACCTGCTTTTGGCGTGGAAAGTGAGATGTGCTGCCGTGCATAGTCCAGTACGGCGTCAGTCGTCTCCGAATCTTCGGCAGCAAGAGCTTTCCACACTTGTTGCAGCGCTTGGTGCAGCTCAGCATCTTTGACAGAGAGGCTCTGCATCGCTTTGACAGGGTCTTGCTGTAGTAGTCGGCCCATGCTCTGCTGACGAGACTGCACTCTACTCTCCGCCTCGTTGATCAGAGCAACAGCGAAGTCTCCACGACCCAGCAGAAAGAAGTGTCGCAGGCACATCAACACTTGTCGTGTCAAGCTCATGGGCAGGAGTTGCTGGAGTACATTCTGGGACAACGACAACCTGATCTCGGAGATAGTCCTTGAGAACTGCGAGGGTATCAAAGGAAGAGGCAAGGCCGCGAGCAAGCTGAGATGAGCCATGGCGAGGTCAGCGTCGGCAGATCCACCGCCTGAGACAGCAATGGAGACCATCTTCGCTTGACGATGTCGCTTGACTTGGTGTAAGGATTTGCCGATGAAGAGGATAGAGCTTGCTGTTGTGGAGCTGACGAAGGTTGGAAGTAGATCGTTGTCTTTGCTGAAGGACTGACCATCAGGTCCGTCAACGTGTATGAAAAAGTCGTGGGCGCCGAATGCGGGTAGCTTCCCATAGATGATCCACGATGAGAGCTGCTTCAACCAGGCAGTCTCGGCGACTTTGGCCAATTGGGTGGCGGCTTCTTCAATGTCTGGAAAGCCAGTCTGGGTCTCCGCACGAAGCTTGTCGATGACCTGGGCGCTGGAGCAGGGCGTGGAAGGTCGCTGCTGCTCCCGACTTGCATCTTTGAGAGGCTGAAAGAAGCACGCGATCTGCCAATACCATGCCATGCGGCGGTGCCAGTCGTCAAACTCGCCCACCACGCTTGCGAGTGGCACAATCTCGTATGCGCCAACAAGGCTGGCATCTTTGGTTAGTATCTTGCCCTCCACGTCGAGGATCCTCTTCTGGAAGCGAGCGAGATGGGTGTGGAGGATGGAGCTGGCGACCGAGCGGCAGATGATGGATGGATGCGCGGCCGATATGGATTCCAGATGACTCTTCAGCTTGCGGTGAAGCTCAGACAGCCTTCCAATGGATCGTAGGAGAGCGCGCTCGGAAGGCGATATGAGCGGGAATTCTTTCTGGTCCGTTTGCGAGTTCTGGTCTGCGAAGAGTGGGGAGGGATGGCCGGACAAGGCCAAGAGGACCTCATGGAGCATGGCGGGCAGCGACAGCAAGCGAACAGGTGGGGGGAGTGGAGCTGTTGGGGTCTAGCATGCGAAGAATTGGTCTTGTAGGTGAGAGAGCCCGCGTCGACTTTAATACGTGTAAGGTCCTGCTCAGGTGCCGTACATTCCGGTAAAGTCGTCCGCGAGGAATTCGTGAAGGAGGTGCCGGCACGCGTCTCCGTAGACGGGCGGGAAGAGCGAGGTGCCGCAGAGGTGGATGATCAGGTGATTTGATCGGAGATCTCGCTAAAGATCTTAGATCTCAATCCATGCGTGCGGAGCCTGTAGAGCATGCACACGTGCCGTGGTCGCCGCGATCGCGCTAGTGGTGATGCGGGACAGGTGAGTGAATGTTGGGATCGTGTCCGCAAAAGGGCAATGCGCCGTTTATGCATCTCTATGCAGCTGATTCTTGATGCATAAAGTCGTGGTTTCGCTCCCCCTTATCTGAAGTTCACGAATCAGACCTGACTGTGACTTCTGTCCATGAGGCTTGGCGATCAAGGGCTGGAGCATCTCGTGCTTCCTGCCGACCGCATCCCCTAATAAGAAGTGGCAGGTGTCACCCACGTGGGGTGAAGTGCTACATCCCTTCTCCATCCTCCACCGTAAGAAACATCTCCCACACGACAAACTCCTAATCACCAGCGACAACGACGACGACGACGACGACGACGACGAGCAGCGTACCATAACATCCTCGCGCAGCCCCTCGCCCGTGCCAACAATCTACACCCTCCGCTTCCACAAGAAGAAGAAGAACAACAAGAAACCCACCAAACGCATCCACCGAATCCTCAAAATGCAAAACATCCGCGCCAAGATCAAGAGGACGCTCTCCCTGCATGACAAGAACCGTACATCCACTCCCATCCACATCCATCCCATTCCCCCCATCCATACAATACTAACCAACATTTCTCAAAGCCAACCTCGACGAACACCACGAACCCGAAGACATTGACGAAGAGACGACGGGCCACCTGCACCGACAGATAGAGAAAGCCGAAGCGGACGGCCACGACCAGGGCAAGCCGGGCAGTTTTCTGAATAAGTTGATTACGCACGGGAATAAGAAGACGGAAGAGCAGATTGCCCGGGAGAATGCGAAGCCGCAGGGGTCGAGGGGTTCGTCGTGAGAGAGAAGAGAGAGAAGAATGGAGGGGATGCGTGCGTGGGGATAACAGGACATGTGGAAAAGGAATGGATATGCATGATGAGATGAAGGAATGAATGGATGGGATCCTAGGCCTCTCAGTGGACAGAAGGAGAAGTATTTCTTGATTTAATTGCTTCGGATGCATGGACTGGACACACGACGGATATGGATCCGACTGTCGCATTCTTAACATTCTACACTGCTGCCCTCTCTCTCATCTCCCCTTCTTCCACATCCCTCATCCACAGCACATCTCTCGCGACCCCCAACCCCTCCAGTAACTCTCCTATCCTCCGCATTGGAAGAGGAGGAAGAGTAGGTGGTATTGGCAGAGTAGATGGACAGGCGTTGCGTGCGGCAAAATCATGGATGCATGCAGACGTCTTTGCTTTCCGTTTCTGTTTCTGTTCCCAGAGGGAGAGAAGAGAAGAGGATGAGGTTAGGTATAGATTTGGTTTCGCAGTTCTCCCGGGAGGTGGAGGAAGTGGGATTGGGTTGATTTCGCCGTCGCATTGGGATTTGTGTTCTTGGTGGTTCTGGAAGGCATGGCCTTGATTCGAGGCGTGAGCTAGACGATCCGTTTTTGGAAAGAGGTGGAGGTGGAGTGGAGATTTCCCCACGATCTATGGTTCTATCAGATCTGGGGAAGTGGAGAGCGTTAGGTTTCAGAGGGGTTTGGCTGGCCAAGGTAGATAACAGGAATACAAGAGAGGGGTAAAGCCGAGGTACAATGTCGATCAGAGGCACATGGTGAGTTATTCGCTGGGAATATTCCATACTGCGGGAATCTACGCTAACGTATCGATTGCTGGCGTTTGCATGTGACAGCTCCAGGTAAAGGTCTGCTTCCTCTAGCAGTGCTTCCGCTGTTGTGACTCTCCTGGTCAGACACTTGCAGAGGTGCTACGTTTCCACCGCGCCTTTCCGACTCTGGGATGTCTTGCTGGCTCGAGTCGTCCCATATCGCTTCCGTGGACCTAGGATGAAGATTGATGAGCACTTGTCTTAGACCGAATGGTGTGGGCCACGTTTACCTTGCTTCGGGCATGATGGAACGTCAAGCGTTACTGGAGTCAAACTTGACAGCTCGCTGCGTAGAGATGATCTGGCCATCACTCATGAACCTTGCCTCAAACGTCGCGCCGCTCCAGCCGGCGAATGGATTTGGGGCAAATTTGAGTCGACTGGAACACTCGATGTACCCTCGCGCATTGTGATTTTGAGCTTCGGCTAGCATCTGTGAGGACCACGGCCGCGCTTTGGTGAACGTCTGCACCGCCTTGAGATGACTCGGCTCCGATAACCGGCAGAATTCTCCCAGCACCGCCAAGCTGTCGAAGTAGAAGCGCGCGCAGGAGTACCAGATACCGGAGGCCTCCTCTCGGACTTGTTTGGAGGTTTGAAGCAAAGCCGGGAAGCGAATCGGATGTGCCAGAGCTGACAGTCGGTTCCTGGGATGGTTGCAGTATCTCTCGAGCCAGATTTCGCCCGGCTCATACAGAGCGTACTCGTAGATCCGATTGCGTAGCTCCGCGGGCAACTCGAAGAATGGACACATGTCGGCGGAAGTGTCGTTCGAGGTGGTGTTGGAAGGGGTAGGTGTATGCATCTTGTGGTGTGTGTTTCGATGTTGTTGTGGATTGGGGAGTGGAGGTTGTCGTGGAGAAGAAAAGTTGTTGGAAGAGAACTGGAAAGGGAAGCACGAGGATGACTTGCCGAAGTTGCCGAACTGCTAGGCAGCAATGGGCCCGTGCGCTACGCCATTCACATGCTGGCGCGTGAAACGACGCGTGGTATGATAATGTCCGAAAAGAAGTGCTACAAGCGCAACGTACCAGACGTATCCGGGGCGTCCAGGTCCTCGTACGTCGATTCGAGTACGCCATCGCGAATGCTAGTTCCGTGCGCCTGCAGCTCGCTTTTGACCAGACGGAGCTCTTCTTCGCACTCCTCGCGATGATTCCATGGGGAGGCATCACGAAAGAAAGACAGCAACTTGATTAAGCCGCCTTGGCTCGATCAGTGCGGCAAAGCCGATCAGATTCCGGTGAGAACACCAAAGAAAGACGGAAGAAGAATACCAGATTCCAGCGGCCTCGTCGCGCACCTGCCTGCATACTTGAAGCAGCGCCGGAAATCTGAGCGAACTTCTTCCCCAGAGGTCTTCAAGCACTACGGGATCCTCGGAATATAGAACAAATTCGTAGATGGTGTTGCGCAGCTCGGCCGGCAGCTGGAAGAGGCGCGAGTCTTGGGCGTCTTTGGCGGCACTGCTGGCGGCACTGCTGGCGGCACCGCTGGCGACCATGGTTAACGTGTGTTGTGGGATGGTCGAGTTGAGTCGTGGACTTGAATTTGTCGAGGAGAATGTTCCGCGTGCGTGCAGGAGAGACCGAGAAAGAAGCAGCAAGAAGAAGAAGAAGAATCTGCGGTTGCTAAGCCGACCACCGGTCTGTGCGTCACCTGTTCACTTACATCTGGATGAACATGTGAAGATGGTGGCTACACATGCGCCAAGATCTCCTTACCATTTCAGTCGCGAGCCGTTGTCACCAGCACAACTTTACGAAGAAATGTTCCGGCCCCTTACAAGGCGGCGCGGGCTGCTCCCAGCGAGATCTTAGCCATCAACTGATTTCTCCAAACAAACGTGGCTCCTTGAGCGATGAGATTATGCCACGGGCGATTCGCTACATCAACACGAATGGATCCAACTCTGCCACTGTGCGAACACCAAGCTTTGACATGCAAGTACAGTACACTATTCAATCGATAGCAACTAGAGCCTAGCGAGCCTGCGCTCTCCCGCCTACAAGCCTGAAGCACCTCTCCCAACAATCATCCTCCCTTCGCCAGGCCTTGGTGATTCATCTGGATCACCTAGACTTGATGAGATCCTGATCACTTTAACAGCCACCGCCAAATGAATCGTCATCGGGATCGCAAAAGGGATTGGGTTTGCTGGGTTTTGGGTGTTTGTAGGGTGTGTTAGGGCCGGGACCGCCAGCGCTAGCTCGATTGGCTCCGTCTCCCGTGGACGCTTGTAGTGTTTCACCTAGAGATTCGATTAGGATCCCCATCACCGTTCAGTCGTTAAGAAGGGGGGGTCCTCACCGGGCAAATACTGAATGCTAGCCTCCCTTTCAGAAAGTGGCTCTCTCTTCTCTTTGACACCTGGACAGCCAATCTCGTCGTACTGATCGCAATACGGATCGCTGCCGTGTACGACAGGGCCATCGCCTAACGCTCGAGCGTTCAGTGTTTCACCTAGATTCAATTAGATTCCTATCACTATTCAGTCGCTAAGAAGGGGGCATCCTCACCGGGCAAATACTGAATACTAGCCTCCCTTTCAGAAAGTGGCTCTCTCTTCTCTTTGACACCTGGACAGCCAATCACGTCGTCGTAATCGCAATAGGGACTGGATCCACCGGGTCTGCCGTCTGTGATAGGGCCACCGCCTAACGATCGAGCGTTTAGTATTTCACCTAGATTCAATCAGATCCCTATTACTATGAAGTCGTCAAGGGGGTAAATTATCCTTACCAGGCAAATCCTGAATACTAGCCTCCCTTTCAGAAGGTGGATTTGTCTTGTGAGGAGTACCTAGACAGCTAAGCACGTTGTCGAAATCGCAATTGTGATCATCGGATCTGCCGTGTATGACAGGGCCATCGCCTGACGATCGAGCGTTTAGTGTTTCCCCTAGATTCAATCAGATCCCTATTACTATCAAGTTCGTCAAGGGGGTAAGGTATCCTTACCAGTCAAATCCTGAATCCTGGCCTCCCTTTTAGAAAGTGGCTCTCTCTCCTCTCTACTACCAGTACAGCCAACAGCGTAATCGGGATCGCAAGGATTCTGGCCGGGGTCGTTATGGGGGGGACCTCCGACCGATGGGACTTTTTGGACGTTATCTAGATTCGATTAGATCCCAATCATTGTTCGTCGTCAAGAGAGGGGGAGGGGGCACACCCTCACTGGCCAAAGACTCAACACCGGCCTCCATTTTCGCCACAGCCGAATGGAGGCCAGGCCGTCGACTGCCTTGGCCGATCCTGCCATCATCCAATGGGTCACCTAGACTTCGGTTAGACTCCAATCACTATCAGTCGTTCAGAAGGGGGGGTCTCTCATACCGGTTATCGACCTCGAGGCACCGCTGTCATACTGAAAACTGGCCTCCCTTTTCGCTTCAGCCGAAAGTGGCTCCCTCATCTCTAGGACAGCGTCCTTGTCGATAGGGGCGGCCAATGCTAGAGTAGCAAGGCTGATGGCAGCGAGGCCAAGAAGATTGAAATGCATGTTTCTTGCTGTATCGTGTTCGAAGTTGCTATTAAAATCGGTAGTCTCGGCTGTCACCGATGAAGAGCAAGTCAAGAAGAGAAGAGAAACTCTGAAAGACCCAATTCTTACACTGGAATTCTCACGGACCTTTGTAGCCTTTGACAGCTCAAGTGCTGGGGTCATTCCTACAGTGTCTGACGCACCAAGTGCTGGGATGGTTCCTATAGTATCCAGAATCGGATACGGGAAGTTGGATCTTATGTGTTAGAGTTCTGGGTCGGCCCTGCGAGATTTCTGGCCGTGGGCCGATTTCTCCGTACGAATTGGCGGTCGCGAAACGTGGCCGCTCGAGCGATTTCCTTAAATGGTTCCAATGACACGCGTAAAATGTAGTAGATTGACTTGGCCACTGAAGAGGAATGTCGTCTTTGTGTATCAGATTCCCGCTGTTTCTTCCCGAATCTGGCGGCCAAACTTCGACTATTGCTGAAAAGGGATGTCTCGTACCGGTGACTGAGGTCCTGATGCTAGACTTGTCAAGGCAGGACTCGGCGCTCAGAGGACAGAGGCACTCGTAGATCATGTTTGCGCAGCTCGACGGGAAGCTCGAAAAGAAGAGGTGAAGTGGCTGGGCTATTTTTATCGGTTGACGTGATTGGGCGATGATTTTCCTGAGCAGACCAAGTGTCTGCTGCCTGGCTCCGGAGGGTTTGGAGAGTGCGATAGTTGTAGTAGTGAATGAAGCTGAAAAGAGGTTGTAACAGAAAGTGCTGCAGCGAACATTGAAAGATCGGAAACAATTCACAGATTAAGAAAAAGGAAGGCGCATCGCGTTATTGGAGGAAAGTACGAAGGCGCTAATAAGCTGCTGATGGTCTGCAAATTTCACGAGCCATTCGTAACATTGACAAGAATCGATTTTTCTGCCACTGCCTAGCTCTATACGCGAACGCGTCTTATCGCCCCATCCCGGCGCCGAAACATCGTCTCCAACGAACCGTCCCTGAACTCAATCTCTTACACTGACCGCACCTTTGGTAGGAATAAACCACCGGTCGACAATACCGCGCGGCGGAAACCTCGATGCGGAGTTGTCTTGATACCTGTAGGCAAGGTGGAAAGTCGATGAAGATGGCACTGGTACTAGCGGATTTTTGTCGTGAGCCTGTTTAGAGAGCAGTGCTGTTGTACCAAGTCTTTGGGTGTTTACGACTCAACCTAGAATGCCTATTCACTGCGAGCAGGAAGTGGGCTCGTGAACACTCTGGCCTCACTTTCACCACGAAGAAGTCCTTCGGTATTTTCAATCGAAAGGAGGGAGGTGATTCTTCGAATAACGGCGACTTGAAGGATGTTAGAGCGATGCCGGGGAATGTGCGAGTGGTTCTCGTTCGATGTGGTGATTGCCGCATTCGTTGCGAAGTATTGACGGCTGCGAGGAAACGAGCTTGTGCCGATGTGAGCGTCATCCAGCAGAACTGATGAAGGGCCGGGATTGGCCAACTTTGGATAGGTATTACTGTTAGATCCGGTTTCACAGTATCGTTATAAGGCGAATGAGCGTCTTGTGATGATGAGAAAATTGAGAAAGAAATTGAGGAAAACTTTTGTTCTGCCAGATCTTTCAAGAGCGTTTTTAAATGGCCAAGGCTGGAGTTCAAAAGGGACATGGGCCAGGCCACATGCAAAGAAGTGAATTCGTATCAGTGCATCGTTAAACTGAAGCTGAAAGGCGTTAACTCATTGCCGGGAAGCAGATGGCGCTACGCCATGTGCTCCGCGCTGTAGATTTGGTATCTAGCATGTTCCCGCCGCACGGCAAGCCGCGGTGGGGTCCTGGTAGTGGTTCTTGTACAGAGTCTCCCAGCAGGCGTCATCGCTACACGAGCCCTGGCTCTTCAAGTAGAGGGCGCCCGCCATGATGTTGAACCATGGAGTGTAGCGGTTGGCTCCAGTCAAGCAGCTGTTGGCCTGCACAGTGGTGCCCCAGGCGACTGGATCGATCTGGACGAGGCCACCGTTGCTTGTCAGAGGATGTCCTTTGCTCTCGGTCCAGATCATATCTCTCAGGATATCACCGGGGACGCCAGACTCCTTGGTGGCGGCTGCGATGGCGGGGCCGTACACATCTGCAATGTCCTCTGCGGTCAGGTCCATGGAGCCATACTTTGGGTAGTTCTCTCTCTGTCGGTCGTTGGCTTTCTGTGCGAGAGGGCAGTTCAGCATGATCTCCCACGGGTCTTCCGGCGAGAAAGCAGAGGAGACAGGGATGTTGATGTTGGCCTGCTTGTAGTCGTTCTCGACGGTGTGAGCTGCAGACTCGCCCAGGTTCTCGTTCCGGAGGGCCGCCATCTCCTGGGTCATCATGCCCTCGAACTGCGCGTTCATGCCGGAGGTCCAGCCAGCGGGAGTGCACTGTGGATAGATTAGCCGCGGGCTCTGGGGATTTCTCGGAAGGCTTCATGTGACGTCAAGGGCCACTTACAGGAACATACGCGCCACGCTTGGCGAGCGAACTTCTCCGAGCATGGTGATGGTGATGGCCGTGCGGCTGAGCGAAGGCAGTGCTCACGGTCAGGAGGGCCAGAGCCGCGGTTCTGATGTTACTGAACATGGTTTCGATTCTTGCGGTTGCTGTGCGGCTCGGGTATCTCAAAAGAGCGGTCTTGTTGATTGTCTTCTCTCCTGGAGGCGGTGCGATTCTGTAGAGACTGGCTAAGTCACACCAGGCGACTTGAGTTGTATAAGGAGTGACAATAGCACGCGCAAAGAAGACCGTGAGGACAGGCGGCCCGGGGGAAGGACGAATTTATGTGTGAGGAAAATCATGATTGATGAAAGGAGGTGACGTTCCGCTAGTGGCACAGGTGGAGCAATTAATGTGGCCATGACTGCTGTTGGACCGGGATCTGTACATCGTTGCATTGGTCAAGCCGTTCAAGGATCTTGTTTCAACCTTGCCGCGCCGTGAAGGTGGTTAGCCTTGCCTCGCTAAGCCGGCCAATGGGAGAAGAGCCGAACAACCTCTTCACATGCATTCAGCCCTACGGACGTCAGAGAACTTCGGCTCATGTCAAAGCCGAGGAGTCCGACTCTCCTCATCTACGGCAGTCTTCTCTTGAACGTCCTTCCATGTTCTGATATATCACGGCAGTTTCGCAGGCGCAGAGGCGTGCTTCGCCACCACAGAAAATTCGACAGGGAGGCATGCCGCGATGATGCAAAAGCGCCCACAACGAGCGCCACTGCGAAAACTTCAGCTACGCCCACGTAGAAGCAACCTGGAGTCCCGGACTGTTCCGTCGCTCCGCTTTGTCAACATCATGCGATCCTATCCGAAGGCGTCCTTCAAGTTGGTCGGTCATCATGGCTGGCACCGCGTCTTAGACGTGAGCCTCAACTCAGTCTTCTTCATCTCTTCCTGCGAATGCTGTGTCTCTCTAGTGCGAGTTTCGAAGCCTCACCAGCAGCTGAATTGGATGCTCTTCCGAGTCTGATGTCATGTGGATTTGATCATGTCTGGGTCGCGATTGGTCTTCGTCTAAGTGTGAGTCCAGGCGGATGAATGCGGTCTGAGAGTTGGAAAGAAACTTCAATTGAAGTGCAGAAGCCCATGGCCGCTAGGAGATTCCATTGATTTTCGTGTATCTCATGTGAGCCGCTTCCCGTCGGTCAACTGCTCAGCCTGAGTTTGCAAGCAGACCATGAACTCTGGTGAGGCTCTCCGTCCCCAAGACATCGCAAAGCCGTCAATGTGCTGCCGAACTGAGTCCCCGCTGCTTCAAACCGCGTCGAGATCAGACCATATGGTTTTCAGCTCCTCGTATGGCTTACCTGTGATCACCTGCTGACCCTTGTAGTGTATTCTCATCTTGAGTACCCCATCCTTGAGCCGAATACCTAGCGCCTTGAGGAGTTTGCAAATTCCAACCCACCGCAATCCAGCTGCCTCAACGTCGGCACGAACTCTGATGTCTCCCAAGAGAATGACCGAATCCGTCGCCTCGAAAGCCTTCGAGGTAAAAGTGCGAATCCATTCTGAGGCTTCAGACTTGAAATCAAGGTATAGCTTGAGCTGCGCGAGCCAGATACCATTGGCCTCGTGAGTGATCTGACGGCAGACTGATAGTATGGCAGGTCGTCGATACCTATGTCTCGGTAGACAGAGTGACCTCTGCCCTTCATTGGAGCATACACAATGTCCATCGGGGGCTTCCTCCTCGATGACTAGCTCGTATATGCGGTTGCGTAGCTCGGCAGGGAGCCCTAGAAGCAGGCAGGCGGAGTTGGATGACATGCCGCTCGCAGATGTCAGACGTTCTTGCAGCGGACAGTCGGAGCTGGAAGTCATGTCGTTCGCGGATATCAGGCGGTCTTGCAACGGGTAGTCGGAGTTGGACACCATGTCGTGCGCAGGTGTCAGACAGTCTTGCGGTGGGCAGTCGGAGTTGGATGCCATATCGTTCGACGATGTCAGACGGTTTTGCAGCGGGCAGTCGGAGTCGGAGTTGGAAGCTATGTCGTTCGCGGATATCGGGCGGTCTCGCAGCGGGCAGTCGGGGCTGGAAGCCATATCGTGCGCGGATACCAGACGGTGAAATTGGGTTGGTGTTTGGTGTTTGGTGTTTGTTGGTTGGTTGGATTGTTGTTGTTGTCATGAAGCTCGATGCGAGTTTCGCTTTTCTTTTGTGTGTGAGGAAGGAAGTATCCGAAGCAGCAGCAGCAATAACAAAATGAGAAGGCGCGGGCTTACGTAATCAGCACAGGCGTTTTCACATGCCTCAATCCAGACAAGGAAAGTCTTCAGAACATTCGCAGTCACTAGCGCAAAGAGATTTACTATTGAGGGCTAAGTTCATGTCAATGCCATGATCCGCTAATGTCTTCCTCGCTCCAGAATTCCCCAACATTGAACCCGACCCAATGGCGTATTCTGTCCCTGAGAAGTCCCAAAGCGCCACATACACCCCAGACCATTCGGTCGGACATCGTTGCTGGATGTGTGGCCCTGCGGTGTTTTGCGGATGATTGATGTTGAAGTCATGTATCGGATCGAAAAGCTGAGATGTAAATGAGAAGGCGGATGTTTGTGTGGTGAACAGAACAGACGGGATCAAGTTGGCGTAAATCCGAAAGCGAGCGTGAGTGCCCCTGACTAACCATACCTATCTTCCAGACCCGATTTCTGTATTGATGGTGTCCTGAGAAGTCAGCATATCTGACTGCAGCAGGTTATTTTTATGCTACCGCAAAGCCTCCCATTAGCCTATTATTAAGTGTTCGAGCGGAAAGATGGAATACTGACCGAGCCGGCCAATGGAAGCATTGCATTCGTCCTGCTCATGTGCTATCTCATTCCATGCCCAGAAATCATCTCCGTGATTCATGTTGCTCTCCTGATACCCTTCGCCCCCCCCCAGTGGCCCTGTCTTAACCGGTCCCGCGAAGAAATACCTAATAGATCACCTTGATATGCACCTTTCTGGTATCAACGCCAGCCTTCTTGAATGCCACCAAGACCACATCTCTATCTTGAATTCCCCGACGGTCATGCAGAACAGCCTCCGCCCGGACGATGATACTCTTCAGCACCTTCTTCGCCTCCGGATCGATCATCTTCAGCCAGCCAATGATGTTCTTGTAGTGAAAGGCGGAGCAGCGGAAGCTGCCGTAGTAGACGGGCAGGGCCTCGGCGCGCATGTCGCGGCAGGTGCGAAGCAATGCTGGTACTTTGACTCTGTACTTGCTCTCGCGTGTGAAGTGAGGCGACGGCGTAACTCCTTTGGGAAAGAGCGCGAAGTGGAAGATGCGCTTGCGGACCTCGACGGGCAGAGTGAAGATGCGTGGGACGACCCAGACTTTCTCAACGGTAAGGCTGCTGCGCTCACGGGCGTTCACTTCGGCATCCTTGGCGCGGATGGCTTCCAGGTCGGCCAGGCGCTTGGTGTCGGCGGCGGCGACTTCATCGTCTGGGTCTTCGAAGAAGTAGTAAGGGGTGAGAAGGGAAGACTGGTCGTCGTCATCCTCGGAATCCATGTCTGGTGTGTCGTACTTGTACTTCCTGGAAAGTGTTGTTAGTTGTTTGTGCCGTCGAGGAAGGTGGAAGAGCCTTTATCCTCACTGCAAATACGACGATTGGTGGAAAGAAGAAAACATCTGACGAGACGCCATGTGAAAAATAGTGAGCAGTCCAGCTGCTCGTGCTTGTGATAGTGATGGTATTGAGGAAAAAGTCAGTTAGTCTGAACAATGTGAGAGAGATGTCGAGCAACAGAGCAATTGGTCGTGAAGGGAGGAGAGAGGAAGAAGTGATTCTTGATATACCGTCTGTTCGAAGACCAGATGAAGCGGCTATTCTCTAGAAGTTCTTGTCAGTAGCCTATTGTTCTGATCATCAGCCGCAAGCCATTGTGAGCTGGGTATTGCCGATATGGTGAGAGCTATTGTCAATGGACCATTGTTGGTCGTGTCGTTGAAAGCTCACCACAGCTTCTTGCCAGATCAGGGCATCTCCACCGCAGCTATTGTTGCTATTGTGCTGACCGACGCGCCTTGGCCACGGTCCTTGGCGAGACGCTCGGGAAGGGGGATGTGATGAGTCTCTGTAGGTCAGAGGCTTTCAGCCGAAGAGTAGAGATGGTATTCACGTAGATGATAAGTACAGGCAAAAGGATAAGATATACAATACGCTCAGTATACAGCCGAGTGCCCAAGCTGCGCCTGAAAGCGGGACGCCGATGATGCTATTGGTACATTTCGTGGTATCTTTTTGATCGTGTCGCCGTTCATTCGTTGATCTTGGCCAGGATGCTGTACCATGTCAGTGTTCGTTCCTGCCTGGTATGGTTGCCATTGACTTACTCGTGGTCCCGGAAGAGGGAGAACTCCTCATCGCCAACCTTGATTGGGCTGCCACCAAACTATTGTCCCAAATCAATAACAATCCACTGATCCCCACATCTGGTTCCCTCCGTTTCTTGTTTCTTACCTGAGGAATCAGGACCTTGTCGCCCTGCTGCACACCCATTGGTATCCGCTTGCCATCCCTGTCCACTGCTCCCGGGCCAACAGCCAACACCTTTGCTTCGTTGAGCTCCTTCACCGCGGTCTCTGGGAGGAAGATACCGCCGGCGGTCTTTGCTTCGGCCTTTACGCGCTGGACGAGGACGCGGTCGAGGAGTGGGGCGAGCGCCTTGATGGACTTGAGGGTGGTCGACTGGGAGAACGTCGCATTAGCTCTGCGGCGAACAATTCAGCGTCCGCACTCTTACCATTCTGATGGAAGGATGAAGTCGAGGATGCAGATGCAGATGAAGTTGCTTTCGGGAGTGTCGTGATGCGGGAAAAGATGTTTCTGGCGGGCGGGAGATGGATGGAAGCGAGTGTAGAAACCGGTGGAAAATGTTCCAGGACGAGCTCTGAAGCACGGGCCACACAAGCAAGTCGAGGCCTCGGCTGCAGCTTCCGACCGGACGGAAATACATTTAAACGATCCCGACATTAGGTATTAACAAGACCAACACCACCTCAAACACCAAACATGTCCTCGGACCATCATCATCATCATCATCATCATCATCAGCCGAACGAAGAAACTTCATCGCTGAGATGTGTCGCTTCCACTCAGGATGCATTCAAACGTCCCGTAGACCGACGTCTGCGCCCGCCGTCTCTGCTCACGCACCACGAGCATGTCGCCAAGCGCTCCAATGTCTTCCATGAGGCGCAACTCTCGCCCGACGGATCGGCCATCATCACCAACAATGAAGATCAATGTCTGCGGACCTACCCGTTATCAGCAGACGTACTCGACGAGAATGAAGAGCCGCGCCTGCTGAGACCGCACGACATGCATCTCTCCCACAGCAACATTCAGGCCTTCGCTATCTATCCACACTTCAACGCAGGCGATACCACCTCGACCTTGATCCTCTGCGGCAGCACAGATGTCCCAATCACCCTCCGCAACGCACTTGCTTTGGAGCGTCCGGCCGCCTCATATCCCTTTGTAACTCGTACAACAGAAGAACACTGCCCGCCGAGAAGCCTCGCCTTCACGCGGGACGGCAATCATTTCGTCGCCGGCAGCGATAATTACCTTGCTATCTTTGACTGCTACAGAGACGGTGAGCCTCCTGTATCATTTCGTAAGCTGAGATCTCGAAGGGCCGCTGTTCAGTTGGACTCGTCGTCTTTCTCCAGAAGCGCAATCATTCGTGCGCTCGACATCAGCAGTGGCAGAACGCTAGCCGTCGGCAGCTTCGCAGGTGAGGTAGGGCTCTTTGGAAACGAGGGAAACGGGGCTTGTGATATGGTATTCCGCATTCGGGAGGCTTCTGGCAGTGGCGTCTCCAGTCTGAAGTGGAGTCCAGATGGAAAGTATCTGCTCGTCGCAGGGCGCAAGAGAGATGACATATTTGTGTATGACATTCGAAATACCATGTCAAAGGTTTCCACCCTTACAGGGCGTCGGGCGGAGACTTTGCAGAGGCTTGGCGTTGATGTGTTGCAGACGGAGCATGGCTACGAACTCTGGGCAGGAGGAACAGATGGATGCGTAAGGAAGTGGGAGAATCCTGGACTAGCCGGGGGAGATCAAGCACCTGACGCGGAGATGCGGCTTCATGATGGTAAGACCAGACCCCATCTAAGACTTTATGCATGCTTCTAACACTCTTGCAGGGCCCGTGAGCAGTGCCACTTGGCATTCATCTGGAGCAGTGATGGTGACTTGCTCAGGGGAGCTGTATCCCTCCCCGAATCTCGACGACAGCGATGAAGAATCCGGCAGCGATGACGAGCCAAGGGAAGATGAGCTCTTCGTTCCAGACAACAGCCTCAAGGTCTGGGCAGCTTGAAGGACATCATGCGATTCGGAATCCGAATCACAAGAAGCTCCTGAGTGGCACATGAGTCGGCGTTTCGTGGCACAGGTAAGTAGGAAGCGCACTTGATTGACATGTGGAACTTGCTTCAAGGAGTACCCAGCAAAAGTACTGGAGCACGTCTAGCTCAAGACTCCCTGCGCCATTTTCTCCCTGCACGACTGCGCTCTACACCAGCTCAGAATAGCCTCATCAGCATCAACAAATGCGCGCAGTCTGGTGTCAGCACCGCATTATGTTTACAGCACATCGGCGACAACAATCCACCTCAACTTTTTACTCTTTGACCACAGCCACGCGACCGAGTCTACGAGCTTGTACCTCCGCCTACGACTCTCGTAGGTTGCCCCGACATGAGCATCGACCCCGAGAATCAGGCGCAGGCAAGATCAATCATATCTCCCTTGCTTCAGATGTCAAAGCAGATGCATGCAGAGGCAGGCTGCATCTGGCTTGCGGGTAACTTTCCACAGCCATGTCGATGTTATGGCGGCTCTGCGATCATTTGGCAGAGCAACCGCTGTCAAGGCTCGGACCTTTCGGAATGAGCCCAAGTATCGAGCAAAGTGGCGCGCTCATGAGATCTTCGCTTTCTGGTGGAATGACATGAATGACTCCGGGTTGTGGAATTGGGCTCTTGAAACCGGCTGGAAATCATGTGTTCATACTGTATGTTCACCGACTTATGCTTCGGTTCCCCAAACCCGTACCTCGGAGTATGGATCATTGCAGTCGGTCTGTACTGCAGCTTGCGGTGTAATCTCCAAGCTGACCGCGGAAAGATTGTGCGAGGTCTGCTATAGGAAGACGAAATCGTTTTGGGACGCCCGCAGGCAGAAGGACTGCTGAGCAACAACACAAAGAGACTCGTGGACGCAGCAGACTGGGATCACGTCAGGGGCACAAGTAATACAATCTCCATTTGACCCAGTTTTCTTCACTTGCATATCGAATACGTCATACTGCACCAAGCTGGAGGACAGACATCGGTCAAGCCTGGACTACTCTACGACACATCATTCCGCGTTATTTCCATCTCCCTTTCCATCCCTCTTCTTATTCTGCGATTTCCACCAAAGATAAACTCTCGGCAGGAGAGGAATAGAAGCGAGGTATCTGAACTCTACTTCAACAAAGCTTACGATTTCAGATCACTACGGACTGGCTGGCCTATATTTCCTTCCACCAACGAATCCCGCACTGGACCTATCATCATGGCCGAAGCCCATCAAAGAACCAAAGAACCTCAATCCCAGCTCCTCGCACTCCCCGCCGAACTCCGCAACAAAATCTACGAACTCTCCCTCCCGTCAACTTTCATGCTCAACCGCGAAACCCACATATCCAAGACCGCCAGCTCTCTCCCGCCACTCCTCAACGTCTGCCGCAAAACCCGCTGCGAGGCCCTAGGAATCTGGCTCGCGGACACGCTCTTCAAATTCTTCCTACTCGACGACGTGAAGAATTTCCTCGAAATCATCGGGCCCGGCAATGCGGCGAAATTGAATCATGTAAGGGAATTGTACGTCTTTCGGAGTCGCGAGGATGCGGAGGCCAGGCGGGCTTGGTTGCAGACTCAGGCGCTGGGGTTTGGCGTCCGCGAGGGCGTGGTCGAGTGTCTCTGGGGGCGGTATGATTGGTTTGAGTATGAGAAGGCTTTTGTTTGTCATGGTAGGAGGACCGGTCCTGGCGATTGATGCTTGTTTGTGGTTCTGTGGTTGTGGTTATGCTGATGGGATGGGACTTTTTCTGTGAATCTGCCGGCTGGGTTGGGCAGGGGGAGGCTGGCTGCTTGCGCTGGGGATGAATTTCGTGGTGATGTTCTCAAACCTGAGCTTCTTCTTACATTTCTCGGGAATGCTGGATTCGGTCGCCTCCTTGCGGATGCACGCTATGAGACCCCCGGCTGGCCCAATACCTGATTCCACCGTCTGCAGAATTCGCGGCGCAGACAGAGGGGGTGCGGCTCTTCTAGCGTCGTCTCTGTTGGCATAAATGGCCTTTGTTGAACCACTGAAAAAGCACTTTCAAATTATGGAAAAGATTTTGAGACAGGTCGCTCCTTTGCGTGCACGATTTTCACATGCCGTTTCGCTTACCCAAAGACTAACCGTATACGTACTAGTGTATACGCTTGAGAAAGCTAATTCGTAACATCTTGGGCTGAAGCTGCCGGTACTACTCTACCTCAACTCGTATTCTTGTAGTCAATGGGACATGAAGCCTACTTGGCGTCTGAGTAAAGGGCCATTCGGAAGTGTCCGTGCGCTAGCCGCTAGCCGAGCTAAGCGAGAGAGGAAAATGGGCAAGCACGGAATCAGACATTTTGGAAGAGTGGAAAGGGAATAGGTAGTAGTACAACAATCGCCGATGCGCGCGAGTAGGAGACGATGTCTAGCTTGAATGAACACCGCATCTGCATTTCTTTCTCTCGATACCATCAATCCTCGCCGGTCTAGCTTGAGTGAACACCGCATCTGCACCTCTTTCTCCCGATACCGTCACTCCCCGCCGCTCGCTACGCACAAAATCTGAATGTGCATCGAGCATATCCTAACGCGAAACGTCCCATCAATGCCTGTGTCCTTCTCTCTCTCAGGTTCTGGATCCGTCTCTGCGAAGATCACATGAACTACAAGGCGTTGTCATCCTCGTCGAACATGTCCGGAAACTTCCCGCGTGCTTTCTCGACAACAGCATCCCGCACCTCGCCAGCGGTGACCGTGTGCTTGTAAGTCTCAATCCAATAATGAGACTCCATCGAGCTCTCGGTCTTCCAGTCGCCGTGCGCCTCATGAACGATCTGCAGTGGAGAGTTTTTTACCGAACGGTCCGTGCGTCTTCACGTGCCGGTCCGGTCGACTCCACCTGCAACTGTCAGTAGCCAGAAAAGATAGCCGACAGGGCCTGGTTTTAAGCGTTTTCAATTCAGACACATTACTATCTTCACTGTCTCATCTCAAGCTCTATCGTCTCTCACGACTTGTGCTTTCCAAACCCAAAATGATGTTTCTTCTTCTTCTCTGGATCCTTGGTCAACTTCGCGCGACTGTTCGCTTTATCTGGCTGCCCATTCGCTTTCTCGGCACCGTTCAAATCAATACTGCCCATCTGCTGTGTGGGTGGTGCGACCGGCTTTTGCTGTACAGGAGCCTGTTGCTGCTGTTGCTGAGGCGCAGCCTTAGGTTGAGAATCAGGCTCGAATAGGTGCCGCGGTGCTTGGGGTTTTGGCATGTCCATGGGGATGTTGAGTCGCCTCTTATCTGCTGACAGATCCCCGATTTGTCGGATGAAGAATCCTGGAGTAAGCATGTGGGATGTTACGAGGTAGACTTCTCTGTTGGTGGCGCGGCCGACGTTGTAGCAGGCTCGTGCTTCTGAGTATGTTGCCCCTCCAGCCATCATGACTACCACTCGTTGCCGATTCTCAGTGCTGACGTTCGCCCTTGTCTTCGCCCACGTCGGTTTTGCTGACCGTAGAGAAGTAGCTGATTGCTGTGTGGGTTCGTTGCCGAGATCGAGAGGAGGCTTCGTGTATGGGAATGTTGTGGTATCTACAGCATTCGCGGCATGTGCTTCGAGCAGGTTCTGCAGAGCCGGTTCGTATCTGCTGAGCGCGTACTCCTCCATCGCCATCGCTGGCGGGGGTTTTCTGGCAAACAATGGCGGCGGTGGAGGTCGAGAGTCCTTCAGGTTTCGTGAGGTTCGTGCGCCGAGAAGTTCCAAATTATGTACAACTTCCCCATCTTGCGGGGGGAGTTGCGCGTGTGAAAGAAGTTTCTGCAGATCAGCTGGCACCAGCCCATCTTTGTACAGCAGGAACAAAATCAGGAGTCGTAATCGATCTGACGGCGTCACGGATTCTTCGTCCAGCATTCGCACAACTTGATCGGCAAGCCCCTTAGGCTTTTTGTAGTCCTCGTCCAGACCGGTAGCGAGTATCTGTCAAAGTCAGCGATTGCCGTATACATCCCATAGTACCAGACATACCTGCTCCACAGAAGCCAAATCAGGCAGCTTGTACTTTTGAAACCGATTCATACTCTCTTGCGCCATACTCAAATGCAGCGCGTACGCCTCTTTCATTTCCTGGAATTGCGGCAGACCAGCCAACATATCCTTGATCGTGTTCAAACTCGACGCATCTCCGCCTTGCGTGAAGTTCGGATTGTCCTTCATGAACCTCTGAAAGTCTCCCATGAGCTTGTCGATGGTGTCCTTCATGTGTCTGTGCCGGTTCTCCACCCAGAGCTTATCCTTCTCAGTGATTTCCACATCCTTCTCTTGCTCGTCTGGCTGGCCTTCGTTGATCAGTGTCCTGTACGTGATCTTGTCGCCCTCTTTGATAGGCAACAAGTCGTGGGCCATGGCTTGGTATGTGAATTCGTGGATTAGAGGAGCAGATAGGTCGAGTGATCGGTCAAGGATGTAGAGGGAGCCTCGCGGACGGTTCGTTGCTGGGGGGAAGTCTTCGTGAAATTTGGCGTAGAGATCTAGCTCGTCCTGTACGAAGCGCGCGAGGTGAGAGCACAGTATGCTTGCCTCGTGGGTCGGTGTTCGCGGTCGGTAGTATCGAATTGTAGGGTATTCGCCGAGTGCGACGCAGACTCCAACCACCTTTGATCTTCTCAGCACAGCTCCAAAATGCCCTGAAGCCTCATACCTTCTGCGCAATATCCTCCAAATGCTGCCTGACCAAGCTGTTGCATGCCGGATGGAAGAGCACGGGGAAGCTGTAGGGATCGCGGAATGTGACCAGATGCGATTCCCTCGGGAAGAACTCGACGTTCAGCACCCTGAACTGCTCAATCTGAGATCTTGCCGTCTGCGACTTGTCTATTCGGTCTCTCAAGGCGGGATGTAATACTGGTCCTCCACCGTCAGCACTCTCTTCCTCCCAATCCTGTTCACACAACTCACGACTCGTCCACACCAGATGTGCCCTCCTGTACTTTCTCTTCTCGAAATCCGCCATGACGCAGTCCACGATGTGCGGCTGCGGGGTGAGAATGTAGATGGCGTCGACATCGCGGTTGGTCTGGCGGCGATCGGTGATCTGTTCGATATCTGGAGTAAGTCAGGCGAAGCTGCCAGGAGCCAGGAGCGGGATGGTCGGCGCATACTTGTGATGTTCTCGTTCAGGATGGTGTCTTCTTCGAGGACGTTGTATATCAAGCGCTTGCTGTCTGGGTCGAGGACCAGCACTTTCCACTGCGTTTCGACGGTCAGAATGGCGGGAGAGGATGGGAAGGCTCAGGTATTCGTACGTCTCCCCGCGTGATCTGTCGTATTGTGCTCAAAAGGACTGTCGCCGGATCAGTATATCTCTCTTGGGGGAGTCGTAGAGTTCCGTACTTTCGCGCTGGGCTTCAATGATGGAGACCATGATGGAGCGGTGGGATGCGCCTGGCCCTGCGCTTTAGTCGGAAGAGCTCTCGGAAGGTGTGTCGCCGAATTGTTGCACGTTGGAGAAGGGAACAAAGAGAGATCGGGTCATGCGCAGACTGAGACACGGCACGCGGGGGAATTCGGTCGCATGAGTTGGTGTTTTGCTTCCCAACCTCAATCTTGCGATCAGATCAGACAGAGCTTCTCCGGCTTTTGGCTCTGCCTGAGGCGTCGAGACAACATGCGACTCAGCTCAACCAGCTCCACCCAATAAGATCTTGGACGACGGTATGTTCATGCCAAGACAAAGGCCGCGAAGCTCTCCAGATGCGAGGAATTCCGCAATAACACGGCATAAAAAACGTTCGGTAAGACTGAGATATGTTGCGAAATAGAGGGGGAGAGGTCTCATCTCATCACGTGTGACGCAATCCCGCCGCACATTGCGACCGCTCTCGTCCTATGGTACGCCGTGATGTTTCTACCCTCCCGTCTGCAGCTGCTTGGCTACACTTCCACTTTCGACCAACATCACCTTCCTTCCATCCATCCATCCATCCATCCATCCAGCTACTCCTCCCTACTGCAATGCTCGCCATCAGACCCAATGGCAGCATCTGCGCCCGTTGTGCCATTCGGAATCACATTCTCGTCCTCCGCCAGTCCCGCAGTAGAAGCTCTTCCACCCGCCAGAAGAATGACAAGTCCAGCAAAGTCCGCTTCCGCGCATTCGACGACACAGAATCCTCTAGACGTCAGGGACCACGAGGCGCTTTTGGCACTGGTCCCGGTGGAACCCTCAGGAAGCATTACGGCAAGACGGGTCCCGCGGACTGGGGTCTCGATGACGTTGCCATCGAGAAGAGAAAGGCTGCGCAGTTTCGAGAGGCTTTGCGGGACAAATTGAAGTCGATCAAGGAGGAAGTGAAGGATGCGCCGGTTCTGGAGCAGTTGGCGAAGGATTCGAGGGAGATGGGTGACAAGGAGCAGGGCTTCTCGAAATTGTGGAACGATTTCACGCAAAAGATCTGCGAACTGGATGCGCCAAAGGGATGGGGGCTGAATCCCGCAAATGGGCAGGGAGAATCCTTGTGGGAGGATCTCCGCTCTGCCTTCCAGACAAGAGGACTCTCTGGACTGGAGGATCGGATCAAGTACGCGTTCTATGCACACGTCACGGGCAGCAGATTCACGGAGAGCGATGTTAGGAATCAGCAGGCGCTGGCGGATTTGCGATACCCGACGGAATGGTATCCGGCGACCCGAACACTCCACCGAACGATACATTTACACGTTGGGCCGACAAACTCTGGGAAGACGTATCAAGCGCTGCAGCGATTGGAGCAGGCGGAGAGTGGAGTCTATGCTGGACCGCTCCGACTTCTGGCGCATGAGGTCTATTCCAGAATGAATGCGAAAGGGAAGCCGTGCGCTCTGATTACCGGAGAGGAGAGGAGATCGGCCGAACAGAAAGAGCGAGGGGAGGGCGAAGATGCCGAAGAACAGAGTGAGCTTGCAGCGTGCACTGTGGAAATGGTGCCTCTCAACAAGACGATGGATGTGGCTGTCATCGATGAAATCCAAATGATTGGCAACTCGGAGCGAGGCTGGGCTTGGACGCAGGCTCTATTGGGTGTGAAGGCGAAGGAGGTGCATCTTTGTGGTGAAGAACGGACTGTGCCGCTCATCCAAGAGCTTTGCGCGAGCCTTGGCGAGAAATTGGAGATACATAGATACGAACGTCTGAGTCCTTTGCAGATGTCAGACCGATCACTGGATGGAGACTTGAGACGCCTGAGAAAGGGAGACTGTCTCGTCAGCTTCTCCGTCATGGGTATTCACGCGCTGCGTAGAGAGATTGAAAAAGTGACTGGCAGGAAGGTGGCGACTGTCTACGGGAGTCTCCCACCCGAAACCAGAGCGCAACAGGCCCGACTTTTCAACGATCCGAATAACGATTTCGACTTTCTGGTCGCGAGTGATGCCGTCGGGATGGGGTTGAACTTGGCTATCAAACGGATCATCTTCGAGTCTTCCTCCAAATTTGACGGCATGTCTCGGCGTGCATTGCCCATCGCGGATATCAAGCAGATTGCCGGGCGTGCGGGTCGTTTCCGCACGGCTCTCCAAGCTACTGAAGCACCCGCATCACAGCAGAATCTTGCCGCCGCGAAAGGTGAGATTGCCGCAGAAGAGGCTGTTGCGAATCAGGATAAAAAGGAACGCGAGCTTCCAGATAACCTTGGACTCATCACCACGCTTGAACGCTTCGATTTTCCCATTGTGCGAGCTGCTATGGGCGCCGATCCGGAACCCATCAAGACTGCGGGTCTCTTCCCTCCCGCTTCTGTGCTGGAACGCTTTGCCGGTTACTTTCCGCCCGGAACGCCATTCAGCTATATCATCACGAGATTGCACGAGCTCAGCTCGACGCAAAAACGCTTTCATCTGTGCGGCCTGAAGGATCAAGTGTGGATTGCTGACATTGTCGAGCCGGTGCAGGGCCTCACAATCGCAGACCGCAATCTCATCTGTTCAGTACCCTGCTCCAAAGCGGACAACGATCTCTGGAAGAAACTCATGCCCGCCCTCGCCCGCCGCATTGCCGAGCAATCCGATGGTAACTTGGCCAATATCGAAGAGATGCCACTTGAGGTTCTCGACATGGAAGTGTCTGCTTCGAGAGATTACCTCCGTGCGTTGGAACGTCTGCACAAGGGCATTGTGGCGTATCTGTGGTTGAGCTATCGGTTTGCGGGGATTTTCAACACGCGAGCACTGGCCTTTCACGCCAAGCAGATGGTCGAACAGAGGATTGCTGATGTGCTGGAGATGTTCTCTTTTACCGAGGCCAAGAGGCGGGACGCCGTGAAGAGGAGAGAACAGCAGATTCTGGAGGACTTGTTGATTGGGGAGAGGAACAGGGCTGAGCAGGAGGCGGCGGAGAAGGCGCAGGGAAATGAAGGTGAGGTCGATCGGGATGGTGAGGAAGTAGAGGCGGAGAAGCACATGGCTGATATGGCCGGCGAGGATGTGTCTTGGGAGCGGTCTGACGAGGACGAAGAGTATGAACATGGGCAAGAGTCGGAGGGGAAGGAGACGGAGGACCTATCGCAGCCACACAAAGAAGACGAAAAGTATCAGTTAGGGCAGGAACTGGAGGGCAAGGAGGCGCAGCCTGATCTTCTTCAAAACCTCGACGATCAGACAAGCTTGACTGCTGGTGGTGACCACCTCTCAGGGGATCAAGATATCCCACTCGAAGAGCCCGAAGTTGAAGAGCTTCGAAGTAGAGCGAACATGCCCGAGGAAGACCAAACGCAGGATGCAGTTCCTCGGCCGAAGGAGGAGAAGACGCTATTCCTCAACTCTCAGCAAGCCCCAGGCATCATCGATACACTTTTGGGATCCAAGGAAGAAAATGCGAGACCTTCGCAGCCACCTGATAACTCGAACATGGATCACAGATCTGCATCTGACCACTCTGCTGGAAAGGAGCACCAATCTTGGCCGTCTGCCGAGGCTGTTGAGGAATTCTCAGGTCGGGCTGCCGAAGATTATCAATCGAAGAAATCGAATGAAGCCGCTTCGGCTGGGTCGTAAGCTGGCAAGCCACATATGTGTATAGACACCAGAAACCCGAATGTACAGCTAGATGGGTGTCGGGATGACCCCGAATGTATGATAACTACCCTCCTGGTCCCTTTCTCCTCTTTCATTCTCTTGTCCTTTCCTCCTCCTTGGCTGGCTTCTGGGTAGGTAAAGGATTGTTATTGGAGAGGGATGCGATTATCACGCAGTTGTTTGGGGCTCAGTTGATTTGATCACAGGCATGGAACACGGTGTGTAAATCTGGACTATTTCCCTCTGTGGTGCTAGGGATATTTCCGAATAATCTGCTGTTCTGGTCGTTCCATGATGAGTGAGTGTTGGTTACACACATTGCTCGTCTGGAAGACTCAGGCCTGTCGAATACCCGTAACTTCGACCACACGGAAGCGATCCCCTCTTCGATCTTGACCGTATGCGCCATTCTGAGGCCGAAGATTCTTTTGGGCGAACACAGACTTCTCAACATATTGACGCACAGACAGGCTTGTCACTAGTAAGAGTTTCCATTTCACGTGTTGATTTTTGGGTGAATTTCCGCTTACTCCCCGTTTTCAGCATGTGATTGCGCAAGTCCGTGCGCCCTTTTAGCTCAGCCTTATTCTTCGCTTGCTTGGACGTGCTTCTTGAAACTTCCACAGAACACATCCACCTCACTTTGGTCTTCAACACCGTCACACCGGCAACAATACAATTCATTTCAACCTTTTGTCTCACAATCTGCGACCAAAGTCTCTGCGCTGCGCTGACCAGCGACTTTCAGCCGCAGCGTTCAGATCATCACTCTCAGTCCTCTGTGCTCTTGAGAATTTTCAAATCCAATCAGAAGTACCAACAGCACAGCCATAATACTACCAGCAACATGACCTCCGCCGACTTCTCTGCCGCCAACACGACTCTCGCCATGACTTCCTCCAACACCACTACACTCGCTCCAGAAGACTCGAGACTTATGACCCTCCCACAAGAGCTCCAAGACATGATATACGAAGATGCCATGGCGACGGAAGTGCACATCGCCGATGACTGGCGTATGCCGGGACTGCTTCGAGCTCTTCGGACGGGACCCAACACGCCCATCTTCGAGCGTGCACTCAAGACTTTCTACGAAGTCGCGACCTTTGATATCCTCGACACGAAGCTCATCGGATGGCTGCAAGAGCGCAAGGAGTACTCCAAACTCATCTCCGACATTCACGTGCATCGAGTTGGAGAGGCCGACGATGTGAACCTTGTAAAGTTCAAGTATAATGTTGTTGAAGCCACACTCATCATGCTCACATTATCAGCCCCCATCAACGTAATGAGGGTCATGATCAACTTCGAGATCGCGAGGAAAGCTCAAAAGCATTTGCTGACAGTGGGCTTGGAGATTGCTACTTCTGGTCTTGTACTTTCAGAGGATGCCTTGAAAGGCGTCCTATTCTCAAAAGAAGGCGACAGTGCGTGGAGCTCGGACCTCTTTGAGGGCTTGTGCAGTATGCCTGCTTGCGCATCCTTTATGCAGAGGTTTGTTGTGGATTCGGACAGACTGAAGGCTCTCATGAACGGAGCGCAGATCGACGAAGATGAGACCAATGGAGATGGTGATGATGAGGGTGACGGAGCCGATTCGAAGAAGGATGAGACCGAGTTGGTTGAGCATGGTGGGGATGATGAAGTGGAGCACCATGGAGTTGAGAACGAAGAGGACGGGGAAAAGGTCGAGAGCGAAGAGGAGGACCAGAGCGAAGAACAGGTCGACATGGAAGATTATGGATCTGGAGACGGGGAGGACAAGACCAAGCGCAAGAATGAAGGAGAGGTCAAGGTCGGGGTCGAAGGGCACGCTGGAGAGGATGAATAGCCTGAGAGGAGAAGCTCAGGTGGGAGCCAAGAAGATCTTATGATCATCACATCGACAGCGAACGACAGAACGATATGAGGGGCTTTAGTAATACCAGTAGCTCGTCTGTCTGTCGAAGTTCCAAAGACCCCTTCAACAGCGGATGAAGACTCTCGATCCGCCCGGAAGACATGGAAATGTTGCGTGCACATTCGGCACAGGTGCAGTAGTTGGATCAGAGTCAGACAGGATAGAGTGGTTTTCACAAGCGTTGGAATTGAAAGCGATGTAGAATACAAAACAACATGAAGCAAAGTTCATGCACTACCGCAGATTCAGTTTCGAAAGGCCGCAAGGTTACTCAGATGTTTGTAATAAAGAGAGGAAGCGGGAGATTTGCTTGACCTGAGAGAGCCATAGAGGGTTCGGCGCAGAGGGATCTGGTCTTCTCGGAGGAAGCCGAGATATCGAAGTAATGTAGTGTCTGTTCATGACTTTCGAACGACATTGGTACTACCGGCATTTTGTCCTTGTCTTGCCTGTTGTTCTTGCCATTTACGCTGCTCTGCAAGGAGCCCATCCTCCTCGTCAACGTCAACCATATCAGCGTCTCCATCGGCCCTTCGTTTGACCTTTGCCGCGGGCTGTTCAGGTAGAGCACCAGCCTGTAGCCGAAGTCAGTACATGCTACCATGAGATTCGTTTTGAGACAGAGGACGACTTACGAGTCTCGCTTCTTCTTCCCACTGCTTCCTCTCCATCTCGTCATACTCGTCTTTCCTCTCGATCCATCTCTCCTGCACATCCCTGACCTCCATCTTGCCGTAGTTTTCGCTCATAGCCTGCGCCCAGATACTGGCCTCGTCCGAAAGCGTCCGTCCTTGCTCGTCTGTCGCTCGTGCTCCCGCGAATACATATCCCGAAGCCCGGTCGATGGCGCGGAGTAGAGCTGCCATTGATTGGCGATCTTCTACAGCCAGAGTCTCAAAGCCGATCAGTCCTTGGTCTTCGATGAGCGATATAAGGGCTTCGTTGAGACGATCCCATTTGTCGGATGAGCCAGCCGGAGTTGCCTGGAGTTCCGCGGAGAGGGCAGGTAATAGTTGATGCAAGTCTTGCACTTCGGTGTAGTAGTCGAGATTGAATGGTAGGTCGGCTCCGCCAACTGATTTGAGATTGTCAATCTTGGTGAAGACGTTCACGATTGGGTATGGCAGATGAAGCATTCCCCGCAGGCACAAGATCAAGCTGCTCAGGTATAACGAGGGTCGAGTCAGGACCACCGAGTCGAGCAGCTGAATGATGACAATCTACTGCATCGTCAGTCAGCGGCGTCTTTCGGGATATTACGTCAAAACATACGCGGTAGCCAGCTCTCTCGATTCGCTGTAGTATTCGTGGGAGGGCGGTGTGATGTGTCGTTAGTTCCGCTTGACCCGGAGGATCCAGAAGTATTGTCTCCTCTAGACATCCCATCAGCTGAGATACGACTTCACGGAAAGAACCAACGTACCGCTTTCTTCGAGTCTCTCTAGCAGCCAGTCCAGATTGGCTTCAACTTCCTCCATCGCCCATAGGACGCCACCGTTCGGTCCCAGTTCCTCCCGCTCCATCACCTCCTCCACATTCACCAATTCTCGGACATCAAAATCTGCATCGTATGGGATGTTGTCGTTTGCCGGGTCCAGATTTCCCACAGAGCATGGCCGAGCTACTGCGCGCATAAATTGTTGGAGGCCATTGCAGAATGTGGACTTCCCAGCGCCGGGAGGACCAGTCGGTATCAGAACAGTGCGCATTACCGTTGGGCTAAGTGTGTCCCTTCCAAGGAGTATGTTCGAGTCGTGAGAGGGTGAAGTAGTTCTAAAGTTGTTCTTAGAGGGAAACATGTGAAGAGCCAATGCGGGGAAACAAGTGGCGGGACTGATGACATAAGAGTTGGCCCGAGCTCCGCACCTATGTCAACAAACATTCACTTGATGCAGCGACGACATCTTCACATGCAAACCTAAGCCACCGATTTTCTCCCACCTGACAGTCGATACTGAGACACAGAAAAGGTCGTCTGCTGCTGCAATCGCGGACACAACATCACATATACATTCGAAGGCTCCCTGGACAATATTATCACGCAGCATCGCCGTTGACATGGCCTCGATCAACGAGCTCCCGAATCCTCCCTCAGACACCATATCCAGCGTCGTCTTCTCGCCCGACAGCAACAAGCTGATTGTAGGAAGCTGGGACAGCGGCATTCACGTCTACAGCAATGAAGGTTCAGGCTTCCAACTCAGCAAGAAGATTGAATGCGATGCGCCGGTCCTCGGTCTGGCTTGGAATCCAGACAACAACACAATCTACTCATCCGGCCTTGATCATGAGGTCGCAAAGTATAGCATCGAGCAAGGCGAGGAAAGCCGGACAGTATTGAGCTCCCATTCACAGGCAGCGAACAAAGTCGCCTACAGCAAAGAGTTGGACCTGGTCATCTCCACAAGTTGGGATGGAACGATGAATGTGCAAGATCCGAATACTACCTCCTACGTCTCCGTCAAACTCGATGCGAAGCCTTTCGCCCTCTCCGTCACCCACGATAGCGCCCTCGTCGTTATGGCCGAACGAAAACTCCACGTCTTCAAACTTCAAGCCCTCAAGCAACTCCTCGAACAAGCCGGCAGCACCGCAGACGAACAAGCTCCCATCCACGCAGAGCCCTGGCAACATCGCGAAAGCAGCTTGAAGTTTATGACGAGAGATGTGGCATGTATGCCGGACGGAACGGGCTTCGCAGCTTCCAGCATCGAGGGAAGAGTCAGCGTAGAATTCTTTGACGAAGAGCAGAACAAGAACACGTATGCCTTCAAATGCCACCGAGAGAAAACGACGGTGACATCAGCGGGCGAGAATGGTGGGGAGGAGGAAAAAACTGTGGATATTGTATACCCGGTCAACGCGGTTGCTTTCCATCCTTCACACGGAAGTTTTGCAACGGGAGGTGGAGACGGGATTGTTGCGCTTTGGGATGCGAAGAATAAGAGAAGAATTCGGGCGTATCCGAAGCTCGCGGCGAGTGTGGCTACGTTGGATTTCAGTGCGGATGGAAGGCGGTTGGCGATTGGGGTTAGTCCGGGTTTTGAGGATGGGAGAGAGGAAGAGGAGCCGGATCCGAGTCTCGTGAAGGTGTATGTGAGAGAGCTTGAGGAGGGCGAGACGAAGGCAAAGGCCCCGAAGGCGAAGTAGGAAGGAGGTTTTCGAGAAAATGCTTGGTTTCTAGCGTGGCGTCTGGAGCTGGTACTCAGCAAGATATTCGACTCGTTGATCATCCCCTGCTTCGGAAAATCTTTACACCGGTCTCACGCATGCCTGAAGAAGAAGCAGTGTAACAAGGCGCAGCCGGTATGCGGCTGCAGTAAGTGGGGGCTGAGCTGCGACTTCCCAATCCTTTTGAACAGCAAGGCTGCCACCACAGTTCTTCTACTCAATTTCGCACTCGAAAGACTCCTGGAGATACTACAGCACTACGAGCAGCACTCGACCTACCTTACGATGCCGGAGTCGTCACGCGAGTTCCAGCCCCCAGCCGAAAACACGACAGCCGGAGCGGCTATTGTCTCCGGCAATGCGAACGGGACTGGCCAACATGCGAGCAAGGACGAGGACAGCTTCTTCTGTGAGGTCTGTCTGGATGCATTGCATTTGCGGAGGCCTTTCCGCAGGCTCCCAAGCCATTGGATCATTATTGAGCACCATCCCAATTTGACCTGCTGCAAGGAATCGGCTGATGCAGGTTGTTTCTTTTGTTCGCGCCTGTGGGAGGACTATCAGGACATGGATTCTCGGACTGCACTCTCAGAAACCGAGCTTAAGGAGATAGTCATGGAGTTGGAGGGCTGTCATGAAAATAAGATCTGTATCTCCTTTCCATCTGCGCAGATCAGGCATAGCTATCGCCTCGCAACGGAAGCAGCAAGTCTTGGTAAGAAGTACACCTGCGAGAAATATCGGCACACGTGCATTCAGGTTCGGCAACTTGCGACGTTCAGCCTTTCCCTGCTGTCACGCTGGTTTGGCAGTGGTTGCAATCGCTGAAAGTGTGGACCCTGGGGAAATACGACCAACTTGTACGAAGACGCTGACACGCGCAACAGCACGCAAAGTAGAGTACAAGCCACCGACATCCTCTTCGACGGCTTCCATGGGAACCTGGGCTTGCGCAAAGAAGTGGATAGAAGAATGCGACATGAAACATCCCCACTGTCAAACGTTACATGACAACATTTGGCATCCCACTCGTCTCCTCGACGTCGGCTTCGATTCTGAAAGAATAAGACTTGTCGACACCATCAGCACGGCCGTCTCAGGTCCGTATGTAACCCTCAGCCACCGATGGCCTCGAGGGTTCAAGAACTCGCTGATACTCCGTCCGGAAACACATGACCAATTCCTCGCAGGCGTACCTCTCCACAAACTTCCGCAGGTCGTACAAGACGCTATCACTGTTTGCAGGCGCTTACCTGTCAAATATCCTTGGGTTGATTGCATGTGTATCGTACAAGACCAGGCAAATCCCATTGATTGGCTCCACCAAGCGTCGTTGATGGAGAAAAGTCTATGCACATTCATACCTCAACCTTTCCGCTCTCGCAGCAAGAGATACTGAATGTCATCTGTTCGGAGAACGCTGCCGGGATCCGTCGGAGGGCAGGATTACCACAGCTTTGTGTTTTGAGGACTCTGAGGCTCATATGGGCTCGAAACCGCAGCGATACCGACTTATCGAAGATTTGCTTGACCTATGGCGGCATGAGGTCGAGGATGCTGAGCTGAATACGAGAGGATGGGTAGTGCAAGAAAGACTGCTCGCGCCACGGGTGCTACATTTCGGCCGGAATCAGATACTCTGGGAATGTCGGGACCAATATGCGGCAGAGATATACCCCGAAGAGATATCTCCTGATTTTTGGAAAATGCCAACGCATATGCATTTTGACGCTCCATACGAAGACTGGTCAAGGATAGTGAGCCGGTACTCTCGCTGCAGTTTGACCAAGAAGTCCGATAAACTCATCGCCGTATCCGGCTTGGCTAAGCAGGTTGGCAGCAGATTGAACGACGAGTATGTGGCTGGTATGTGGCGTCAGGATCTTGCAATACAACTCTTCTGGTCAACACGCGGGTTTTATGGCACGCCGGTGTGCGGACCAGCACAGAGCATTTTCGGGAAGCGTCCTTCGAAAAGAGCACAGCCATATCGTGCCCCGTCTTTCTCATGGGCAGCGACAGATGCAGAGATCCGTTACTCGCTTTATTCGGCTGAAGAGAATCGGCATTCTATTATTGAAGCTGTCGAAGTTGTCGACGTTCAACTAGAACATGTAACGAAGGATACATACGGTGCCGTCAGTGGAGGCTATCTGGACCTCCGCTGCTTCTTGAAAAAGCTTTTCCTCCCGTCTGGCCAAAGCCCTTGGGGCGAGCAAAATGAGGATCTTAACGGTATGTACGGAGTCATCCCTGACAGTTATTGTGATACTTTCAGGAGGCTTTTCGTTTTTCTCGATGACTATCCTGAGTACTTCAATCCCGTGGGGAGAGAGGATGTCTACTGCGTACCTGCATATCTTGCTGGTAGTCGCCGCTGGGATTGTTTATTGCTGCAGGTCGTGGACGCAGATGAGGGCATCTTCCGGCGATTTGGATTAGGATGTGTTGACTTACAGGGCGAGGAGGCCGATAATGGTGCTCGATTTTCGCGCCAGTGCTGTTCTAGGGCTGCATCTTACCCATGCCGCTCTTTCGATGGAGAAAGACATGTTATTCGGATCATATGATGACACACCCTCTGAGATCATTGTTTCTTTCGACAGAGATCATAGGGCAGTATTCAAGCATTGGTTCAATTTCTCGGAAAGCTGCTCCGTGTCCCTTGGTGTTGTGTTAGAGCCTCAAAAAGAGCACTTGACCCAGGAGGCTTATCCGCAACCCGTCAGCTTCCCGACTCTGGAGCATATAAGATGAACATTCGAGATTATGATTTCGGATCTCGGACACTGCTACGGTATTTGCGAGGCCTCGAGAGACTATTTTTGGGAAGCGTTTCGTTATGGGTTCTCTTTCTTGGGCCTTAGCTCCCCAGACACGGCCATGACAGAGAAGCCTTCCAATAACGACCCCAGAGCTCGTTAGGACGTCCTATACTACTCATAACCTCTGCAGCCTCGATGGCGGTCAGTTCCACAAATTGTTCCCATGGGTTTGTGCCTTTGTAACGCGGCTCTCAAATTGATTCGACTCTAGAGAAAGACACAGATTTCGATCTCGAAGCTCGATTCTTGGGCATTCCGCAAAGCTGGTGTGACTAGAGCTTCGGAAAGCGAAAGATTAAACGGTAACTCCTAAGGGATTCGTGGTCGTACAGGCTTCCTTTGTGTACTGATTGTAGTGACGAGACCATATAGCACTCCTTGGCTCCACGAACGCTCCGTGCTGGTATTGATAATAGGAGCCGTTGATAAGGGGAACATATCGTCCTTCGCATGGACGCTGGACCCTCAGTCGAAGCTGCGTATGATCCAAAGGTTGAAGACTCTTGAGAAAACTTTCTTAACGTGTCCGCTGCTTCCGGGATTATATAAGAAGCGTTAAGGGGGATATCACAAGAATTTCCTTCCAGATCCATCCGTTGTAGGAATTGTACGACGAGACTCGAGGACGAATTCTGAGTATCCCTACTCGTATTGGAAATGAAAAGCCACCTAGAGTACCTAGCACCGAAATTGCCCTTCTGCGATTCCTGGCTCTGCAAGCTCTTCTATTACAGATATCGTCGGAGTGTATCCAAAAGTCAATTCTCGAGCTGGCGGACTGCCCTTCGTCCGCAACCGTAATATTTGATGTACGGAGGCTGAATCTTCCTCCTATAGGAAAATTCCCCTAATGCTGTCCGAAGGCCACCGTCCTTCCCCCTTGTCGTTAGAAATGCCAAAAGGGGTTTGACGAAAAGAATTCTGACTCGAGGGCCGCTCTGCATCCTTTTTGACGGGGGGAGCAACTGGTATCCGAGTTCTCAGGGCATAGTAAATTTCGGCCGATGCTATTCCAGACCTTGTATAGTTGGCAACTTCGAATTGCATCCAGGCAAAGATTTCGGAGTTAGGTTTATCGTCCCGCAACCGTGTTCATATCGAGATACAACGATGCGTGGAACACTTCTCCCAGATTCAATGCTTTATCCGTTCGGAATCAATACAGCAGTTCGCCAGCGAATGGTATCAGCGAAGGGTATTGGAACCTCGCGGTGCTGGTCCGAAAAACCTACGTTTCTAAGAATTAAATGATTTGCAGAGCTTTTTGGACGGCAGCTGGATGGCGATGTCAGAGGGACTTTGCTAATACTTGCCCTATCCTCAAGCAACCAAGAAGAAGCAAGCAAAACATTCTATGTGCAAGTTAACGAGGATAGATTTAGGCATCTTTTCCATAACAAACGGCGATGGAGTCATTTGGAGATCTATTATAATTATGGGAGCCAGGTGACGGAGATACTCCGCGATAAGTATCTCGGATGATCTCTCGGCGGCAATCTGCTGCTGAATCGACTTCGTAAGCTGGAAGGGAGTGGAGTGGGAGAAGGTCTCGATGGAGTGGACTCGAGGAAGTGTGAAGGCCTTTTTTGTCATGACCGTTCCGCGGCCAGCTTGAACAGACAGCATCGTTAACAGTCGACACTACTGTGTTGACGGACAGCTATCGAGAAGGGAAAATCCCCCGTTAGGCATGGTTGCCAAGATCCGATCAACGGCCGTTATTGCGTGCTTGCAGTAAAGACCGTTCCCTCTCGAGATGCAGGATTGAACTGTAAAGGGTGCGCTCGCCCCCGAGAGCTTCCAGGCTATCTAAGGAGCTCCGGATGTGCCTTAAACGACAAACACTAAAGCAACGGAGTATCGGCGCATCGGGGAATCGAGATTTTAGCTTAGTACGCGAATATTCTAGTACTCTCTAGAGTAATTCTTATTACGTAGATATACCTATAGAATTTTAACGTCGCTAATATAGAGAAGGACCCGGCCTAGCTACGTACGTAACTCGGCTACGTATACGATCTAGCTATATACGCGTATATAGCCTACGCGAATACTACTATAGTATCCTAAGGCTCTTAAAATAGCTATTCTTATAGACTAAGATATCTTCGAAGATAGCGTATTAGCGACCTACTAACTTAGATATTCTCGTTCTAAAAGTATATCTTAGAAAGATACGTAAATCTCTAGATCCGGCCTAGTACTAGCTAGGTAGAGGTAGTAAGCTCCGCCTTTACGTAGATTACTACGGGTATATCCACGTAATAGATTTTACTATATAGAGTACTAGGAGATTCGTATACTAAGTATACTCTGTAAAATCTAAATACCCCGATACGCCGATATTCCGTTGCTTCAGTGCTTATCGTTTAAGGCACATCCGGAGCTCCGTCGTCCTCCTCGCGCCACACCACACTACACCACGCCAGCCCTTCCCGGACGGTACGAACCTGTGGCTACAACGCATAGCAATAATGTCGCATCGCAATGCCAAGAAGGGCAGACGAGTGGACGTGAAGGGCGTGGCAGAAAAGCGGGTCTGTCAAAGTCTGGGCCGTGTCTGGAACGTCATATCTGCAGCCTAGCCGCCCTCCTTCCTCCAACTTCACCTCACAGCCAAGAGAGCTTCCAAGTTGGAGGCGAAAGCAGGAAACGACCTCAGACTGGCGCGTATTTGTCATTGCGGAATCTACGGACTTGTGCGACGGTGGGGAAAATCGGCCAGATATCCTCAACAACTTATGGAAGACTTCGCACCGTCGGAGAGCACTCCTCGGACTGCCTGATGCGGCCATCCTCATCTTCGTAATGCCTCAGGCTCCGGAGGGATTGTGAGGTACTGGCTACATCATATCGGGAGGACCGAACCCGGTTACTGGAAGTCGTCGTCTGGCTGCCGTCCACTCCGTTCAGCGCCACTAACTCGACGCGGAGTGGAGCTCTCCCCATCATTTGCCGCGTGCGAGCCATTCACAATCGATGATGAGTGCTGCAAACCGCGGGGTCGAGAAGGATGGACGACCAGCACACCGATCTCAGATCTTGCGAGACTAGACGCTGTGCTGCGTGGACATGTGCTGTTGTGGGGCTCTTCACCATTGGTGCCACACTGTTGTGGCTGCTACCTTACTGTATGCAGGCCTGGCTCATTCTGCCGTCATGAGCGACGAGTCCCACTATACTGTTGACAATGACGTGCGAGGTGCCGTGGCCGGGCAGAGGAGGTATAGATATGAGATGAATGCCCGTGTTCCAAACAGGCCCAGTTTTCCTGCATTCCGTCAGATCGAAACAAACTACCTCCACACGCTCCACTACATATCAACATTCAAGATGCAAGCCGCAAAGGACGCCGTTAAGAAGTTCACTAGCAAGGATGGTCACCACGACACTACCGTCCACGAGCAGGTATCACCGGTAAGGTTCCTCCTCCCCCTGCAGCTAAAGATTGTACTGACTCGTCAAGGCCGTCACTAGCGAGACCGTCAGGCCTGAGCAGGAAGAGCGTGTGACTCAGGCGGTCGACCGGGAAGTCCACCAGGACCACTACCACACCTCTGTCCAGCCCGTCCACGACAAGGAGGTCCTACCAGAGCAGCACCACCACCAGGCCGCCGGCGTTGAGCATCGCCATGTCAACCACGACGACCACGCTCGCAACAAGGAACACCTTGCACAGGAGGCTGCTCAATTCAAGGACACCTCTGTCCGCCATGATACCCACCACACTACGACTGTCAACCCGACGGTGACCGGCACCCACACCCACCACCATGTGCATGAAAACATTCAGGTATGTTAGAGCAAGACAGGGTTTCGGTGACAATGCTAACAAGTCTGTCAAAGCCCGTCGTCCACAAGCAGACCGTCGAGCCTCACGTCATGCACACCACCGTGCCCGTCCACGAGGTCCACCAGAACGCCGCCCAACACCACAGCACCTCCACCCTCCCCGCTGTCGGCATGCAAGACTTCAAGAAGGCCGGTGGTGCTTTGACCGGTCGTGAGGAGCGCCACGATGCTTTCGAAGGTGCCCCACGCCACCACCACCACCACGGCGAAGGCACCAACACCACTGCTGCCGGCACCACGCACGGTCAGGGAACCTTTGACAACTTCAACAACAACGGTACCACGCACGGCCAGGATACCCTTGACAATAATCTCAACAACAACGGTGGCGTGCACAACACTAACACCAGGGGTCTGGATTCCACCACTTCCGGCCAGACTACGGGGAAGCCGTCTCTGATGGACAAGCTCAACCCCAAGGTCGATGCCGATGGTGACGGCAAGCGTGGATTGATGGATTAGATGCGAAATATGTTACGATGTTGAAAGATGGAAGGAAGAATACGATACCAGGAACGAAGATTTGCCATGTTATATTCCAATGCTTGTTTGTCTCAAATATGTATTCGATGAATTATCTACAGCTGTCTGTTAGGAGTGTTCTAGCTTTCCACCTTAGCACGTAGCTAGCTATCAAAACACGAGTAGGCTGACATTAGATGTGCCTTACAGTAGTCCGAATTTGATCCCTTCGTTATCGGACTTAGCTTACGTTACTTTACTATTATTTTAGGTACACGATATATCGTTTAGTCTCGGGCGTAGCTTACTCGTACGGACAGCTTACCGAATCGACGAGAACCTCCTCTCTTACGGCGATAGCCTATACCTATATTAAGCTTATAACCCGAAAACGTACAATTCTATATTAGCTTTATAGCTAGTATTTTTTACTAGAGGGTAAGGAGTGTAAGGTAGTACGAGGTAGTAGGTAGTAGTATAAGGTAGTAGGTACTAAGTGTCTATACTCTTAGTCTAATTATACCTTAGGCTAAAATCGGGCCTAGTCTACTTTAGATCTAGCGCGTCGGACTTCTACGTACGCGCTCGACTAACTTATTACCTACTAACATTTACGGTATAGCATTTTAGTTATAGGCCTCTATTAGATTCTTACTTCTACTATAGAGTCCTCGTCTACCTTTTCCTACCTAAGACATCTAAACGCTTACTAATAATTACCTACTATTATCTTCTATAGCCTATAATACTTTCCTATATTAATAATACCTTTAAGCGCTCTTTCTCTTTATAGCGACAAACGACCTTAATCGACTATAACCCGGAGTCGCTCTTTAATTATACGTCTAGACGCTAGCTTTAGAATAAGGAGCTACAATTGAAATACCGACGGCGAAAGTTTAATATTATAGTACTTACGTAGGCCGTAGTACCGGTAACTAGGTTATAGTCGTACGTTAAATTAGCTAAGCTATTAGAGGGCTAGTTTAATAAAGCATTACTACTAACTATAGACGATAGTAAGGAAGTAGTCGCTAAATTGCCTAACCCTAATATAGGTTACGAGTACTTTACTACCGCTAGTAAAGTAGCTACTATAGATTATGTCCGAAACGTTCTCGGTGTTCCTATACCTAAGGTCTATTCCTAGAGTTCGTTAATAGACAATCCTATTAGCGTAGAGTATATCCTAATAGAAAAGTGTTCCGGAGTCGAGCTATATAAGATCTAGGATAAGGTTACCGATCGACAAAAAGCCGCTATTATTTAGAAACTTATAGGCTACGAAGCTGCTTTTATATTATCGAAACTCCCTATAATTAGGAGCCTTTACTACGTAAAGGATCTCGACTCTATTAAAGATAGTTAGTACGTCCCTATACTATCGGGGAAAACTACGAAATTCCTAAAATTCGCTATTAGCCGGACTATAGACAGAAGCTTCTTTAATAATAGTAGGGCTAGTACGACGGCTAACTAGGGACCCTAGTCTACGGTCGAAGAATATAATATCGCAATTACCTAACGTAAGATTGCCTATCTATAGAGGTCTTCTTACTTTCCTAATCTATAGGGATTCTATAATAGTCTAGGACAATACTAGTAAAGCTCTTAAACGAAACTGTATACCCTATAAAGTTACGGTAAAGTCGCTTATTATCTAAGACTAGAGGATCCGATTCTCTCGTAGCTAACTATCTAGTATATAGATCTCTACTAGGAAAACATCTTTGTCGAAGAGAACGACCTAACAAGGATTACGGCTATTATCGACTAGTAGGTAGTATATACTACCCCTCTCTTCGAGTAAGCCCGTTATCTAAAGTTTCTCTAACTCGAAGGCGACGAAGCCCTAGAAACTTTTAGTACTAGTAATTTTAAGCTCCCTAATAACTTTAAAAGTCTTAGCGAAGAAGAATAGTAAGCTACGAAAAAGCTCTACGTAGCGTAAATTCTCTAGAGACTTTACGAAATCGAGCTAATACGTAAATATAACAATATTAAGCGGGCGATTAACTCGGTAAGGGTCTCCTTAGTCGGTTGCCTACTTATATAGGAAACATCTTTAGCGATAGCGAGCTTATAGTTAAGGATCTATTAATTACTCTATAGTAGGAATAGGTCTAGATAGTAGATAATCCCGTCGCGGAACCTTACCTACTGTCTTTTACCGAAGAAGACAGACGAGTCTATATAGAACAGTTCCCCCTCTAGACGTAAAGTATAGAGTATATAGCGGATTTTCTAGCTCGGTTTAGGGCTAATCGTAGTTAGGAGGGTTGGGTTTCGTATAAGTAGTACGAGATAGCTAAAGAGTATATGAAATCTTTTAAGGAAGACTTTATCTCGCGGCATTTATCGATAGAGGCGGAGAGGCGGAGATAGCTTAAGGTTTGGCCTTTCCCGGAGTCCGGACAGCCTATTTGAAAAGTTTGACCCAACCTACGATATAATGCTCGATAGGACGGTTCCGTAATGTACTACTTACCTCTGCCTAACTTCGGGGACCCGCCTTTCGGAAGCGCTAGATATTGCTAATTGAACGTCTTGCAATGGAACCGTAGTTCAAGCTTCTCGATCCCGTCTGTGGCCTCGTTAAAAAACACGGCATTGGATCCCTGCAGATCCTGCGAGTTGTGCAAATGTACAGAAGCAAGTGGCAATCGGCACAATTGTCGGCTTAACAGTCGCCTAGGCCACCGGAGAGGGGCGAATCAAGCTTCCTGCCCCCTACACCGAGCAAGATACTGTACCCGTAAATCTGTGCGGTGCTGCAGTTGATGCATCCAATCTCTGCCACTGAAAATCACGGCTCCCAAACAGCCTCAATGATATTGAGCAGAAACGCCGGCGGGACTCCCTCGACGTTCTTAGTCGGCGTCTTTACACCCAAGAACTTGAAGCGTTTATCTGCTCGCTCGAACAGATGAGCCCAGTCGGTCTCTTCGCGATCAAGTCCGTTGAAGAGCAGCATCATATTCAGGTCCCACTGCCTGAGGAATGAAGCGCGTCAGCTGCTACATTGCTCTTCATGTTCTTCAAATCATCTGCTCACCTCTTCACCCGGTTTGCGGCTGGGGGAAGCGTCCCAGCAGGCGGCATACATGCATCGTTAATGACCACTCGCGCACCGGGCTTGAGTCCCGGAATCAGAGCCAGCAGGATCTTGACGCAGTACTTATCCGGCCAGTCGTGGAAGACGGATCGGAAAAAGTACACGTCTGCGTCCTTGACCGGTTGAGGTTGGAACATGTCGTGTGCCATGAATGTGACACGGTCTTGCACATCGGCGGGCAATTGGACATTCGAGGGGACTTCAAGCTCTTGGACCACAAACTTCGTTGCTAGAGAGAGTCGTGCCAGAGCAATACTCACTGGCCCGCGTCCACCTCCGATGTCGACAAAGGTCTTCACGTCCTCCCAACGGTAATTGTGAAGCAGCGGAGCCGGAGGAATGAACGAGTCCCAGGAATCCATAGCCGTAGACGCAGCAGCGTGCCGGATGGGGTAATGCTTCTGAAGCTCTTGGAACATGGGTTGCTTGGCTTGGTGCATCAGACCCCAGCCGGAGAGGGTAGGTTCTTCCGACGCCGGGTGCTTCTGCAACGCATCTGTAGCTCTCGCTGATGCCGAGAGATTCTCTTCTATAGTGAAAGCGAAGGCATTGCGGATCAGAGCGTTCTCAGCTAGCGTACGTGAGAAGGATGTGTGCCGTCTGTCGCAGCATAGCGGAGAACCCGGCGAAGGTCCTTTTCGGCGATGCCGCATTTGTTCGACAGCTCTGTATAGGTGATCTCTCCTGCCACCACGAGCGTTCAAGTCAGCGTTAGGAAGCTGAGGGTTGGCGGCAAATGACATACCACCCACTGGGACGTGCTCGGCAATGTTGAACCGCGAGATGGTCTGCAACACAAAGGAGTCGACGAACTGTCCGGTTTAGTCTAACGCTCGAATTTTGCGCAAAGAAGTGTCTGCCTCACTCCGACGTCTAAGACCGTGTCGATAGGCCCTTGCATCAGTATCCGAAGCTTATGCGTAGCAGCTACTACGTTGTCCTTTGCCGTCGACACTGCTAGCTCTGTAGGAGGTATCATTACCGTGGGCGGTGCATTCTGGTCGAATGATAGGCTTGGAAGGTTGCTCTTCTTGCAGAACTCGTCCACGATTGCCGTATTACGAGCAATGATCTGTGCGAGCTGTGCGATTCTGCTAGATGCTATAGTGGGTCGACTTCGTTAATAGCTAGCCTGCAACTGTCTTCGGCGGTTCGCAGTAGTATTCGGTGTCCAACGAGTTTTAATGCGTGGGCATATCAAGTTCTCCAGTCTCGTATACTAATAAAGAATCCGAATTCGGATTGTGCCTCTTGTTTAGCTGCCGCAACGGTCTGACGTACGTCCTAGCGGTCTACCTTAGGGCGGGAACGGGGTCTTAGTATGCCGTAGTTATACCGAATATTCAAAATATATAGTAGTGTCGGCTATAGATTTGAGATATACTATATAACTACGGCATACGGTTTGCCCTACGATAGATCGGTAGTAGAGAAAAGATATATAGTAGATATATAGTAGTTCTATTATATATTTTACTTCTATAGTATATCTACTATATATCGGTCTAATATAGTATAGTATTAAAAAGGCTT